ACGTGTATACATTGGCTCACACAGGTTCAGCTCTAAACAATCTTAGGTTGCCTATTGTGCTATACGAAACAAACAAGCAAATGGAACTGCTACACTATGTACAATTTGTATGTTTTCATACTTCTAATCAAGTTTGACTATTATTATAGATAGCTTACATAGCGTAACAGACGTAAAGGCAATCATCACAATCATCTCGAGTGTAACTACACGGCGACCACACGGGATCAGGTTTATTAGCTGTTATAAGTAGTTGGATAGGTACGTATACGTACCTACCTAGGTACCTTATTGTAAATGTGTAAGTTAGGCATATTTGCCCCCAAAACGTGCTTTACTATTTATGGTTAAATATTGTCAGAGGGCTTTAAGGGACTATAAACGTCAGGCTATTGTAAGATGTCAGCTTCGGGCGCAGTGCGGTAACGGCACGCGTCTATGAGAGGATGACAACATTGGGGGTTACCTTAGGTTAGGTAGTCTATTGGAAGGCTTTGTATCGACGATTTATCGGGCGAAGAGAAGAGAAATGCCGGGAGAAAAAAAAAGTAAAAGTAAACAACTTAGGTCAGGTTAGGTACCTGGTATGTAAACTGTATGGCTCTCGAGATCAGCCATGCCGAAACAGCCGCGATCGAATCTACTTGTCGAAATCGTCAACGACCGCAAGGGGCTAGGTAGTACCTAAGGGATATCAATAGATCTTGTTCCAGGCGGATGTTAGAACTTGGCGTTAAAAAATTTATGTGATTGGGGGGTTCGCCTTGCATGCGCCAATTCCCAACTCCATGTAAGCGTAAGATTACGATTCGGCCTAGTCAGGAACAAGAGCGGTGCTAATGTAGTAGAGTTGCAGCGGACTAACGCAATTCGATGACTGAACGAGTGGACGATGGCGCCCTTCTCGTCTGCGTTTTTTCGTCTGGTTTATCCGAGCAAGACTGCAAAAGGTTCAATAGTTTTCTATTTGTTTCTTTTTCTTACGAGTATGCCGAGAAGCACAGCCTGGCGATGTTGCTCACCCTCCTTTACCATCGTTACTATGGTATATACCTACCTACCTAAGTACGTATAAAAATGGTTATGTAGTGAAATACCCCCGGTCTGGCCTTTCTACGGACAACTCACATCGAAAAAGAATGAGACGAATACACACTCTGGAGATATATTTCGGAAATAAATTGTATTCGTCGGAAAGGACTTTGGTTCAAACGGGATATTGTCGATCTCTTATACCTGAGCCTACGAAGATCTCATGGAAGCTTAAATATCGCGTGAGATCGGCTATTTTTACGATGGGTATAGTAATAAAGAAACCCTGCTGGGGCTTTTCGATAGTCAGGAACCAGATCCAAATAAATCCTGCGCGGCACATTCTGAGATCAATAATACAATAAATACATTGATAAGTAAAACCTCCCGTTCGGAGGATGGAGAGCCACGAGAATCCCAACTGCATGGCGGGCACACGAGACGCAGGTACACACACACATATATATACTTACACGTACCTAACCTACGAACATTGTACCAACCGCGTGGGCGATAGGATGGGCGCCTTACGCCACGCCCAGATTATTGAAAAATCATTGGTGAGAAAATTCGAGCTTCCGGATCTGGGTCCCGGACTGCATTTTATTTGCTGCCCAGGGCTATATATCGCAAACTACACCAACGGCGTTTTCTGTATCGCATTCTTCCTCCGTTCTTATGAAGGCGTCCATCTTGGTAACAAATGTATATCATTATCTATATATGTACCTACTAGGTATGTATTAGGTATGTATTAGGTTAGATACCTGTAGGTATGCCATCTCGCGTTTGCTGTTAATACGACGTAAATCGTTGAGAGATCGGATTTATCTACGATTTTTAAGTCTGACAATAGTCTTGTTGTTCACGGACCATGAAACCACGATCCACTACAGTTGGTTCCGCGGATGCCCCCCAAGCGAGAGCTAAAAACCAGGTGTTTTCTCGTGTTCAGATCATCAGTCGCCATGGGCTCGGACGGAAAATAAACATGGGTGGTTTATGGAGTCGATGAGTAGATGAGAGGTAGATACCTAGCAAGTGGGTAGGCTTAACCATAGTAGGCCAAAATAGGCTTGGGTAGGATGGACAAAATATGCAGAGCGGAAATTCACAAGGTGAGATGTCCAACATGTCCAATATGTATTCCCACGTAGCTGTGCTACATACATATCAGTCCTACGTCCGCCGGGCTGTACATATGATGGACAGTGACCAAAGTTGTACACAGCATTGTCCCATTTTGGCTGGGGAGTAGTAGACTTGGATCTGGCCTTACTGTGATTTGAAGCACTCGACGTAACAGGATGGGGGAAGAACTAGTATTGTCAGCGACGGATGCAGAAATAGGGAATAAGCGGGCTGGCGGAAGAGAGGTAGCCGCGTGTTCAGCTTTCCCGAAACAAACTGACTGGGCCTTTCCAGAAGGTAGGAATTGTTTTAGAATCTTAAACAGTGGTGAGCCCTAAACCCGAGAATCTGGTTTTGCGTTAGGTATTTCCCACTGCTCGACTCTATGGCTCATACGATACCTACATTAGGTACCTATTTATTATTGAACCTGGACAAGGTAGTAAAAATGCCGTAAAGCCCTAAAAGCCTTAAGGCTGGGTTATCCGAAAAGAAAAAAAAAGAAAAAGAAAAAGGGTTGACATGCCGCAATGCCGCAGTGGCGTAATTCGCTATTGTTAGGTACCTATGGTAGGTATGTAGTAGTAGCTGACCATCGTACCAATGGAATCATTTGACTCTGTGAAACAACGTATATATTATGAAGAAACAATACATCTTCAAAGGATGCCATGATTTATCTATCCACTGCAGATATACTGGGGTATTTGGGATCTACTGTTAGGGAGTTTCAACCGGATGAAACAGGCTCAGGTTCAGGTTCAGGTTCAGGTGTTGACTTACTATATAACAGAGATCCCGTGCTCAAGCCCACATCCACGTCTAAGACCAAGCCTGAGCCGAAGTCGAAGCTCACAGCCAAAGTATTGGAATACCTATTGGAATCAAATTCCATCCTTTTCCTCCTCGTTTCACCGCTGACGTTATTTGATCGTACCCAAAACTACAATTGTACACCCTCTTCGCCGGACGGGCAGTTGATTTTAATTTACTCGTCCGATAATACCTAAAGACGATGGAGGGCCGGTGAGAAAGCAACATTGAACAATGACGGAATATATTATCGCAACGCCACGGCAAGTATGGATTAACAAATAAATGAATTGAATGAAGACCTCAACCAATCCCCACCAAGTGGTGGTGCGATAGTGCGATAGGTGCACATTAGCAAAGTCCAAGACTTTGAAGGAAATTAATAAATTGCCTTTGAGGTCGCAATGAGGGCGCAGCCAGCTTTTTGGAGCCAATTGGAGCCAATTGGATTTGAGTAAAATAACGGTAACGACCGCTACTTTCTGCTAGGAGGTACCTGTATCTGCTATTTCTACTAGGTAGTATGTAGGACTATAATCGGACCAATTAGGCATGCATGAACCGGACCGGGGTTAGATGCATTAAGAAACCTGATCTAATTACGCGTCAGTTAACTAAGAGAACTTGTTTTCCTACCAATTGCTGTCTTAGTCACCTTCCGTTTTGCGGGTAGGTACCGCCATCTTCCAAGTATTCCAGGTATTTTCAAGATGGATCTGCAGGTACTTCATCTTAGTGGAACCCCCCCAGCCCCTACATGCTGCCCCTCTACATACCTGTAAATCACGCCAGTTGCTCTATGTATCAACCTGCATTGTGCAGCAGAGTGCAGCGGGAACCTCTACAGCACATGCCCGCTTTGCTTTTCATCCAGCCCGTCTGTAAGCCCGGACGTCGCAGCCTTGACATTGTTATTGCACAACCTGCATATATCTCATATATTTGATCTGCACAAAATGTGTGCGCATGCACATGTTGGGAAGCCGGGAGTTGGACAGCGAGAGCCAAGTCGAAATATACCCGCTGCGCACGAGGCATTAGCATCGCCATGATATTTGTCGCACAACATTAGTAGAGATGGTACAAGATCCTAAAGAAGAAAAAAAAGGGAAGAAAAGAAGAAGAAGAAGAAAAGGGGTTGAAAGGGCTGAAATGGACATATTTGTTTGTGGCAAGACTCTAAGATTTTTATGTGCTTTAGCATTCCATTCAGCTTTCTTTCGTCTTATTTCTTATTTCCCTTCTTCATTGTGTCTCTCTCTCTGTTTCTCTTCTTACCTCATAACTGGTCTTTGGTTCTAACAATAGAACCTAACCTTAGTATGTCCGACTTCTGATGTACCTGCGGAGCTAGCAGAGCAAGAAGCGCCTTAAACAAATGTTTTACATAGTACATTACTACATAGTACCTAAGGTAGCACACTTGTCTGGCTGTCAAAGCTCCAAAAAAAAGGTTGGCCCTGGCCTTATTTCCCAAAGAAGAGGGTCCAATATCACTCCCCACTGCCGCTAATCTAGTTATGTACTAGACCGGCGTAATTAGCCATCTTGCTCCACCCCCTTCTCTAGCCCCCCCGGTCCGTCTCCCCTGATCAATGAACAGACTGATCAATAACGAGGCACCACCCCTGGGATTTAGTGCCTTGGCACCTCGAGCCACGACTCCTCTTCCACACTTTCCCTCTCACGTTTCCTTCATCAGTTTCTCATTTACCCCTTCGACCTGCCTGTCTTTCGCCCTCCACCCTACCTCTTCCGTCTTTCGCTCTTTTTTCCCTTTCGCCGACCTCGTAAGGTACACCTTTCGACGACAACACTCCCCCTTCGGCGCTGGTCCTCCAACCACCTTGGAGCCTTGACCGCTAATCCGACGACTGCTTTGTAGTCGACAAGATATCGGCAAGACCAATGCATCGCTGAAGAATCGCCCGCGCGATACGTCGTGAACCACCATATAATATAACGAAATTGGAATTGCAATATTAGATCTCAGTTGACGATTTATTCGTCGCGCCGCTCTTTTGAAAAAAACAAAAAACCAACAACAGCAACAACCAACTACTACGTAACAAAATTATTCTGCTTGCAAACAAGGTCAGTAAAAAGCGTACATGGAGCACAAGAGTCATCGTCGAGAGAGGTTGGAAGATATGATGGACCGACATTTCCTTGACCCCACGTATGCTTGATACGGGGGATCTGTCATGGATCGGTCGTGCACTCTTGACATTGAACATTACAGGACGGAAAGTGCTGACAAACTTGTCCACAGCATCCACTCGTTGACATTTTTTGTCAAGTACATTCGTTCTAAATTATCCTGACATAGTAGGCCATCTTACCCAGCTTGGATCTGTTTCCTCGCCGACTGGTGAGACTAACCAACCCATCCTCCAGTTACGATTTTGCATAGCCGTCGATCTTGACCATATTCCCCCGTCGTAGCTATCAGACTAACTGTCAATCTGCCTGTCGAGAATTTTAAACCTTAACCTTAAGTCATCATGCATAAGGGGTCGTTAGTCGTAGCCGCCTTAGTGGCCGCTGCGTCACTAGCAAGCGCCGAGCCGGAGAACAGACCAAAAATCTACTTCCCCAGGCAGGTTAAGAGGCAGTATACTAATCACACCATTACGAGCTCGGCGTCGCAGAGTACTCACAGCGAGTTGTCGGACTCGACGACCTCTTCCTCGACGAAGAAGGACACGATTTCTGACTTGCTGTCGAGCCTCCTCGGGGGTTCTCCGGACGCGAGTGATTCTTCGATAATAACAAGCTCTTCGACGACAACAACGAGCTCGTCGATCACTTCGTCTATCAATACTCCTTCCGTGACGGGCACGTCGTCCACAAGCGAATCCGGATCCCAGTCCCAATCGACGCCTCCGTCTTCATCCTCCCAGTCCCAGTCATCCCAGTCTGAACCTGTGTCTCAATCTACGGGCTCGTCAGCTAAGCCGAGCAGCAGCAGGAGCGACATCGTGGGCTCTACTGGAGGGGTTCCCCCGCTAATTGTGCTACCAACACTTAGCTTAGATCTCCCGACTCTATTGCCGCCAGAGACCACGTCTTCTTCTGCTAATAAGACAGCGAGTGCGTCCTCAACTGCATCTCCGACGGAAACCTCGACCGAGACGACGATTGCTGCTCCGACTACGACTGCCGAGTCTAACAATGGAACGTCCACTGTCGATACGAGCGCTTTACCTGTAACAGAATCTACGATCGAAGCCAATACTACCACGGCACAGCCGACTTCTTCGGGTATTCTTATAGCTCCTACCGGTGTCGTGACTCAGTCTTCAAGCGCTCCCGCTTCTACGAGCTCGGATGGCGGACTTATCGGCGGTTTAACTAGTGTTGTTGGTGGAGTCACGAGTGCCCTGAGCGACGTGACGAGTGCGCTGCTCCCGGCACCAACTGCCAATGTTACCGAGTCCGGCACAGGAGCGAGCACAAGCACTGGTGTGGATGCTTCTATTGAAACTAGCGCGAGCAGCACAGACAGCGGATTGTTGCCCACTCTTCTGCCCACCTCTCTCTTCCCAACGACGACGTTTCCCGGCACTGCCCCCACCACTTCTACGGAGGTTGGTACGAATAGTACGGACGGCGGTTTGCTGCCGACTCTGTTACCTACGTCCCTCCTTCCCACGTCGTCGTTACCGGGAAATGCTCCTACAACTTCCACTGGAGCCGGCGCAAATAGCACGGATGGCGGTTTATTGCCGACGCTTTTACCTACGTCTTTGTTCCCGACCTCGACATCTTCCGGCATTGCTCCTACAACTTCTGCAATTGCTACGAACAGCACGGGCGGTGGGCTGCTACCAACCCTTTTGCCTACGTCTCTATTCCCGACAACGTCGTTTCCTGGCACAGCCCCCACGACTTCTATCCCCACGATTTCTATCTCGTCCAATGCTTCTACTGTCTCGGTATCAAGCTCGGAAACCCCGATTTTGTCGCTACCGCCGATCTTGGGAGGATCGACCTCGTCAACAGTTTCAGCGTCGACGACCATCATTGGAAATACTACGGAATCAACAACTGCTTCATCCACTGGTCCAGTCCCAACGTCTATTATCGGAAATACGACCGAATCAGCGACTGCTTCTTTGACGGGATCCAGCAGCGTCAGTCTGCCGACGTCTACCGTTCCAGTTCCCAATAATAGCACAACGACGACCGAGTCTAGCAGTCTGTCAACTGTTACGTCTCCTACGGTGCCACTCAACTCTACAGCATCGTCGACACAGCCTCCTACTTTGTCGTCGAGTGTCGTCTCAGTTCCGGCTAACTCGACCGTTCCCCCGACTACTACCTCCGAGCCGCCAACTACCAGTGAACTTCCCACCACAAGCTCAAGCTTTGTGTCTATTATTGTGCCTTCGACCAGCTCTTCTATCATAACTACGCCCACATTCACACCTACGCCCACGTCTACTTCGACAAGAACCACTAGGCCGTTCACTAGCGCCACGGCGATTGCAACAATCACGGACTCGGAGTCTTGGCTTCCGACTACGATCATTGTTCAGTCATCTACTAGTACCCCCAGTACCGGCGCGACCCATACCGCAACAGGAATTCCGACGTCCCTACCTAAGGCCATTACTCCCTTGACGCAGCCGCCAGAGCAGCCCGAAGGTACCACGCTCATTCAGATTTCATTCCTGTTCGGCGAGAATTACCAGCATCTCGTGGACGAACCCTTGGCTGCTTCCCAGATGTTCGTACTCTTGCCTCAAGGTCTAGCGTTCGGAGGTGGTTATGACCTTGACAGAGTCAAGATGTTAAGCATCAGGCCCTATGATACAACTGCCCGCTTGGGTTACATTACCTCGCAGGCCATGGTGTACTATCCCACTGATGGTATTGCCCAACTCAGTGCCGATATTGGGTACCCTACGACGCCTTTGTACAACCATAAGAACCCCTTGGTGAGGAACTTGACGAGCGAGATTAACCCGGCTATCGGTATCATGCCGGGCGATGTACTTGATGGTCTTCCTGGCCCTAGTGGAAACAGTGGTGACGGTTCAACTGATGCTGGCACTCCCAACAACAATGACCCATTCGATACCCAGGGTCCTAATGAGAAGACAACCAGCGCGCAGCAGGGAATGACTGCTGGTATCGCTGTTGGTGCTGCCAGTGTTGCTGGTGCGTACGGTGCTGCCATGTTCATCATCGCCCGCCGCTACAAGCGCAAGAAGCAGAGGCACCAGCGAAGCAGCTCCGTTACTTTGCCTTCGGAAATGCGACAGAGCGGAAGTCCGGCTTTGATGGGTGGCGCATTGCTGAGCCGAGATTTCACGAGCCACCCGGGATACGGTGGGGCTGGAGCGAATACTCGTGACAGCCAGGGCAGTGGGAGGAGTGGAATGAACAGCTCAGCACGCACCGCGAACATCTCGGCGCCTGTCGCAGCTGAGAACTCTCTTGGCTGGAACTGAGCAATCGTCCAGGACCTGCACGTCACATCCGTTTCGTTTTTTTATAGTTCGATACCCATCCAGGAGGCGTTGCCAAGCCACTGTGGGCGGCCTGCCTAAGGAATTGCGACCATCGTGAGCATTCACTGAGGTTTTCTTATGATTTACATTCTCATATGGTTGGTTTTATCAAATGATATTTGAATATGCCACCTCAAAAAAACTTAGCTACGAATCCTTAGCATCGACGAAGATGTCAGCCCATCTTTTGCTGGCTGGTATCTGATGACCGAGGTACTTTAATCTAATGCGTTTGTTTGCGCTTTATTTTTTTATGGGAGCGGGAAGGGAGGCAAGATGCTTCGTTACCGGTTTGGAGTAGAGGCTGAAAGGAGAAAACGGATGCTGAAAGACGGCTCTAGAGGGCCCGCGGCAACAGCTGGCCGTGGAATTGTACATTTATGACTATCACGCCTGCTCCGAATAGACATGTCAAAAATTCGATTGTGGTGTTAAAGGAAGATCGATGAAAAAGACAAGTCGAGATAAGCTAAGAGCGGCCCTCTAGAGCCGTCGCGTGTAATGGTTTGATATATACCACGAATAGACGAAAAAGGAGAATTTACTAAAAAAGTTCCTTTTGTTGGACTTGTCTACCTAACTTTGTATACTGAGAAACTTTTTTTCGAGCATTGTGTTCTATATCATCTAGTTGGCAAAGTGGCTTGGTGAGTGTTTTTAATTTGGTTATTTTTTATTTATTAACGACCAAGTTGGTAGCCGCTACTAGAGTTATTTTGTATGAAGTATATTATATACTAGTCACGCCTGAATATAAACTTTCATTTGTTCTTATGTTATTTGAGAGTTGAGCCTCCTTAACTTGTCTGATAGGTATCATACCTAAGGTTAGGTACCCGGTTGGTATGACTAATGTTAGGTATGTACCGTTAAGTTAGGTTAGGTAGTAGAGGTACCTGCGCCTGCGTATTGCAAATCTGTCGGTGAATCTTCGGACCTAATCTTGGATATCGGGCCCTAGAGGTTTAGGTAGGAGGCAAGTAGGTAGGTACATAGGCAGCTGCTACCTAGGCCGTTAGGTACATCGTTGCTCGTTAGAAAATACCCAAGGAAATTACCGGCAGCGAAGCTAGTCATCCTCAATTTTCCTCCTCAGCTTTTCAACTCCTCAACTTCACTGACTTTCATATAACACCGCAAATTTCATAGCGCGCCTTTTTTCTTCTCTCGCACGCAAGAAACGTACCAATCATTGACTGTGCCATATTCTACTGCACAGTCAGAAACATAATCCCTGCTTATTTTCTTCCGCTCTACTTTATGCAACGAGGGCTTTCCGACATCTCAAATCAGATTCAACCAGATAACACTTCCCAGTCTTCTAAACCCCTCCGACAACATGGCTTTCAGCATCATGACTCCAGTAGCGAAGCTTATAGCTCCCTGCTGCAGCAGTCGTCCGGCGGTGGTGTGTCACCGCGATCTGCGCGGGGAGTCGCTGGAGAAGGTGTCTACCCGGATTCTCTCGAGGAGCGATTGCGCCGATTGAACGTTGCTCGTGGCGAGCCGAATGCGACCCGATCCGCGGCCCCAGGCCAACGTATATCAGAGTATGAGAACGCATTGACACCGGCTATACCGAAACAACCTCTCGGGTTCAAAGTTATTAAACGCGCGGATGCGGGTTCTGACGGCGTTCAGCTTTTAGATTTCCCTAATGGTATGCTAACATCGAATGGCCCCTCAATAACTACTGGGGCTTTAGTTTTAATTATATATTATAGAGATTTTAACGCACATCTTATCGCATTTACATCCCGACTCTCACGCGTCTGTAGCCTTGGTATCGAAGCGATTTTATTCGCTAATTACCACCCCTCATGCCTGGCGCATGGCATTCCAGCGGTTCTTTCCTGGACAGGACGCGCTGGTTACGGCAGCGAAGCCTCATGGTAGAGTTTGGCCTCAAGATGATTCGGATTTCGTGCGATCAGAAGTCCGTCATTTCACCCGGCTCACGCTACACGCTTCTTGGCGCAGCGAGTACTTTCTAAGAACTCGACTTCTCCGCAGTCTTGTTAGGGGCAAGCCGGGGTCTAGCGCTGGAGGCATCGGGTCTTCTGCGAGGACCAGCCAATCTAGCAAGAAGGCAAGTGCGGTTTTAACCTATAATACCAAAGTCCCTACACCAATAACCCATATTCACGCTACCTTTAATACCGGCGGGAAGAAGGCGCCTATGGTAGTTCACGGCGCATCGGAAATGGGGATTGCTAGTGCTAGTGATCCTACCTGCGGCAAGGTTGAGAAATGGGGTCTAGATGAGATGAGCTTTGCTCAACTAGACGAGGTCGTACCGTTTCTTCTACCTTACGGGGTTGGTGAAGGTCCAGCAGCGGTTCCTAACGTCATGGACGTCAGTCAGCCGTATGGACTTGTCGCGGGAGAAGGCTTCCCCGGAGGTCGCGTCTTTTATCGCTCAAGTAGCGAGTATAGGGGCAAGTATCTGGGCCAAGAAACAGGACTTATTGAGGCGCATCCCGACATCCCCAAAATCCCCGAGCTCTCTGAGAGTATCTGCGCAGTTTGGATTGCCAAATCATCGACTGTTCCCTCTATGACCCAATCGTTGGTAGGGATCATGACCGGCTCATCCTTGGGTGTTGTAACTTCATACGCGCTTGGTTACGATTCCAACAGTCCACGATATTCTGCAGGTGAAATGAGTGCCCGTTGGGTACTCTGCCCTGGCGTGCCTATTGTCGCCCTCAAAGTTGATGATAGCTATAGCCAGAAGCGTAAAGCTCTCGGTCGGGTCTGGGCAGTGGCGCTGAACGCGTTGGGCGAGATATACTATCTAACTCAACCCCCGACTGCACCTACTAGCAAGACAAAGGCCGATGATACCGTCAAACTTGCATGGCATACAGGTCGCACAACCTCTTGGCATTTGGTAGAGGCTAGCCGACGACAGGCGCGCATGGACGAATCGGGTAAAAACGCAGTTCGCGGGGCCTATTCTCCAAAGTCGCCTTCGAATAGTATGGGTCTAACTAAAGACCAAATGGCCGCTGAAGCCCGTGAGATTGAACGGTTCCTCCGCTACAAGCCAGCGCATTTCCGTAAGGTGTGCTATGGTTGGGACATGCGCCGAAAACTTGAGGTAGATTTTGCCAATGACGATGGAAACGGCGCTGGTGAAAGTGTTTTCATCTTCGATTGCGCACTTGAGGAGGACCAGACTTCGTCTATCAAGAGGTTCCAGCGAATTACTATGGGTCGAAGCCAGTCCAATACTCAGTCAATTCCCAGTCCAGATACCGCCGCAGAGATAGCTCCTGTTTCCTCGATGTTCGGTGGTGGTAGTGCGAGATCGCCTTCTCCGAATTCGCCTAGCTCGCCGTTACCCAAGCATGTGTTGTCAGCTTCGGGCAAGTCGTCTCCGCCAAGTATGGCTGATACCGGAAAATCAGACCTCGATGGTTGGTCTGAAACGTGCTTTTGCTCCAAGGAACTTAGTAATTCACAGATAACTGCGAGCGGCATAGATGCCTCGCAACTCGCCCTGGTCACTTCTTTTGAGGATCCTTTGAAAGATGCACCGGGGTTTTCTTCCAGTAGCCCATCAATACCAACCAGGCAAGCGCCATCAGATATTCCCGGGAGACGGGCAAGACTGTTCGGTGTGGGTACGAATAAAGGGAAGGTTATACTATGGAATGCGCGAGAAGTTCATACTGGCGATGGTGTACATCCCGTCAGAATCATTCAGACGGAATCTCCTGAGGTGTCTTCTTTGGCTTTATCAGCTCTTTATCTGGTGCATGGTGGCTCCGATGGACTTGCCCAAGCCTGGGATCCTCTAGCATCTACGCTGGAGCCGCTTCGTACTATCAATTCCCGATCCTCAGGCAGGATGCCTCGTCATGTACTTCTCACCAATCCTGCGGCACATACCGCAAATTTCTCAGCTGTGGGGGCCATCTACCTAGATCCCGACCCAACAGCTTTACATGGAATAGTAGCGTTTGGAACCTTTGTGCGCTACTGGGCCTATAGTTCTTCAAATCATGCGACGGGGCGCAAGCGTCGACATCGTCATTCTGATATTCACGGTCGTGTCACCGGTCGACGCCACGGCGGTGGCGTTGAGGGTTATATTGCTGCCGAAGCTGAAGAGCTACGAAACGAGCAAGAACACAATGCACGGGAACAAGCTCGACTTCGCTCTCGCTTCGGCGTTGGTTTGGGGGACTTGACAGAAGAGGAAGCTTTGCGCTACGCCGAAATGGTATCTCAAGAGTCTTTCCTTCTCGACGAACAACGCCGGATAAGCGCTAGTGACACGGGGTCCGCTGCGGATTTCGAGACCACGTCGAGTTCTGGTAGCACCGTCACTCCCGACCCAAGTGTGACGGGACCAAGTCCTCTAGCAGCTAGTTCCAGCGCCAATAATGATGCAGCGGACGAGAGCGACTACGAGCGCCAAATCCAAGCCGCGATTCGTCTGTCCCTTATGGAAGACGTAAATGACATGGGGAGTTCGCCGAGAGCCAGTAGCTCTGGAGAGTACGGAGCCCAGATTACGATCAAGGATAAGCGAAATAAGAAATCTTCGTCAAGCAGCTCGCCCCCGTCAAGCCACATCCCCGTCGTTAAACAAGCCGAGTCTTCGAGCCTCGCCGTAACAAGCCCGCACTCGATTGCTGACGATGATCTGGAGTTTGCGCTGCAGCTTAGTCTCGCGGAAGAGGAGAGCAGGAAGGCGAGTTTGGCTGCTCTGGAGAACGTGAACGAGGAGTTTCCTACGCTTGGGGGAACCGGTTTGGGCAAGGGGAAGGGGAAAGCTATTTGATTCCTCTGTCCACGCTCCGCTTCTCTTCCCCCAATACAGGAGTAATTTCGTTTCTGGTATTATATTAGTTTTGTATTTTTTCGATTCGTTCTATATTTTTCTCCCCTTGACCCGCTGAGGGGGTTGAATCAGTTGGCTTTGCAACACCTCAAATTTCGTCCACGGTTATTCAGAAACCGCCAGATTATGTGTCTCCTGGTGAACATATATACGATCTTCATATTGAAGCTATATTATATGCTCTGTAGTGTTTGCAGCGTGGTAGAGATTATTATATGACCCAACCTATTCCTTATCTTGCATTTAATTTATTATCTTCGCGGCGTATGATAAATGGTGCTGTGAAGAGATTCCATGTCACACAATTATTAGTTACTTGTTAAGAACAAACAGCATTTACTTAAGAGAATGAATGATCTCTTATTTTCTTTTTTCCTATTTTTCTGCAAACTCGCTCATCATCTACCTACTAGGCATAGCCGAAATCGCCTACACCAAACACCGCACAGGGCGGATTCTTTCAATGCGTGCCCCCCTCCCCCCTCGTAGCATTAACACAGTAAGTAGTACGTAGTAGTACTGCCGGTGATTCCTCCCTCTCTTCACGTCCAGTCTCGTCCATCATAATATAAATCAACGGACGAATCGAACGAGCTGTCGTTCTCATGTCCTTCATTCCCCAGCATATAAGTACCTAGGTAGGTAAGTAATTATGCACACCAACTACCGGGCGGTAGCTTGGAATATGTAGGAGGTATAATATATATCGAGGGGGGGAAAAAAAGAGAGAAAACAAGGATATTTGCCTCTGACACGAACGCCGTTCCGATGCAACGGGGGAGAAGGAAGATTTTTTCTTCTTCTTCTTCCTCTCTTCCCTCTCCGTATGTCCAATGCTCTTCGTCATCATCGAAACGAGGCAATACAATAAACATCCCGGGGGAATCAATCATAGTAAAAACAAACAACACAAAAATAGCCCCCAACTCCTATGCTAGCATATACAGATATGTAGGTGCGTAGGTATCAAAACTGAAAAGAGAAAGAAGAGGGGGAGGGCTGTGATTAGAACGTCGTATAACAAGGTTGTTCTCGCGAATATTACAGTGGGTTATAAGTATGCATCATCAGGGTATTTCCCAGCTGTATCGTTGCAATGCTAGTTGGGGTATATGTATAAGGTCGGGTCCGTCTATTCGTGCTTGCTCGCGGGCTGCGGCCATACGAGCTTCTTCTTCAATAGTATAGTTGCTTCCAAGCGTGTCTGCTCTCGACACGCGGCGAGACGCACGGCGGGATTCATATTGGGAATCGTCGTTATCTGGGATAGGGGGCATTGGAGGGTAAGCGATTGGTTGGCCGTCGCTATCAACGATGCCAGGTATCGATTGTTGAGTAGGCTGAGGGGTTTGAGGTATTTCGGGTGTTTGGGCAGGTTGATTAGGTAGTCGAATGTTATCTGGCAAAGGCCCTAGGCATATTACCCGCGATGCATCGATAGGCGCTCTCTGGAATGAAGTAGGCGGTGGTGCAATCGAAGCGTCATGGGATGTTGAGAAACCGGCGGTGGAAGCAGAGCGAGTAACGGAAGCCGATCTAGGGTTACTCCAAGAGGACGGCGAAGATGGCGTATAAGTGAGGTTCGGGTTCGAGGCTGAATGAGAAAGGGTTTGAGTAGGAACAAAACCCATAGAAGAGTACGCATCCGTCATTTTATTTGTCCAGCCGCTCTGAGAACTCAGAGGTGAAGGCATATTGTTGTTGTTTAGAGTATCATATGCTGGGCTCGATGCTGGTGAAGGAGTTTCGGTAGTACGGTTTAACGGTCCGTAATGTCTTGCTGGGCTAATATTGTGGTACATCCCAGTCGGCGACTCTGGCGTACGGGGGGCATACTCGGGCGCTAATTCTTGTCCTTGTCGTTCTAACCGATGCTTCGCATAATCGTAATTATTCCTTGGGTAAAACTTCCTCCCTGCAGCATCCAATACATATTTAACCGTAGTAGCGTCTAACTCCGCGGGCTCTGGACCAGGTAACTCGTAGCGTTCATGGCTTTGGTCTGCGGCAAACTCGTATATTTTCGGCTCGTTATTCTCCTCAATTTCTTCGTGGATATTCTCATGCGTAGCGGTAGAACGGGTACTTCCCTTCCTACCCTTCCTATGTGCACGTCTTTTTGACATCTTTGAAACAATACGAGCTACCGGGGTGGTTGGCGGTGATAAGTCGATCGTCGAAGCCTTGTCATTGAATGTGTCCTCAGTATTCTCAGCATCTCGTTGCTTTCTTCTCCTTCGACGTAGTACGAAGAAAGCTATAACGGCTGCCACGCCTAGGAAACTGATTCCGATTGCCAAACCTACGGTTTGTGGCTCGGTAAGACCTTTTCCTTGGTCGGGCCGTGGGGGTGGACCAGGGTATGGACTATGTTCCCATGTTGCTACAGTCTGAATAGAAGTATCTCGAAGCGGCCTCTCGGGAAATCTAGCTTTGTGGATCGAAAAACTACTCGTTTCGTAGTTTGTAATTAAATACGCTTCCTGGAAGAAGGACCTTCCAATTATGGCTGGGCCGTTGGCCTCGGTTCGCTTCAAAGGAAAGTAGGGAACTGCCGCTGCAGTGTAGTTAATAATATTCATGAATGGGTAACGAAGAGTTTGGATAAATGCATTAGCAGATACCGTAATATTCACGACTCCAGGTACATCGAGAGGCTGTCCGAAGTTGTCGTGATTTTCTGCACTCGACAGGGTAAAGGTAAACGAAAGATCCGGTGACGAACGGAATCGCTCCAGATTATCAGTCTCTTCGCTGTTCGAGAATACGTAAACACCATACGTCTCATTCCATGTAAGATTCAAGCTAGCAGCGAATCGATCGCAGATAGTCGGCGGAAGCCATAAATATGGGGTGGAACTGTCAAGCACGGCCGTCACCGATTCGTTAAATGACGATAGTGGGATAGATGTCGCCGGCCAGGTAGTTGGTGCCCGGCTAGCATCAGAGACCGAAGCGGTGATGGCCCTTACAAGCACTTCGGGATGTCTTGATGTCGCATTGAGGCTAAATTTCGTGTTATGGGGCTCAAAACGATTTGCATCATACCCACCCAACGTTAGAGACAATGGAACTCCTCGCTCGCCCGCTAATTACCGTCAGCTATCCTTTCATCGTCTAATTTAATTCTGTACTTACCATAGTAAGCCCCGGCAGTGTAGCCGTAACTATGGCTCGGGATTGTGCCATCTTGTTCGACTAGTGCAGCAATAGGACTCTGGGCAACAACGTTGTTGAAGCGACCAGGTGTGATGCCCAAGCCAAATAATCCATTAAAGTAGCCAGTCTCGTTAACGCCGGCTACTACCTGCTTATTGAAGGAGGTCTGCCAACGACGCACGCTGTCGTATACGACGACGGTCTCCATCGCGTAATCACCATTACCCCCGATTCCGAGGTAGTCCAAGCCAAGCTGCCAGGCACCGAGCGAAGACCAACTCTGCGAGGCGGTGGTGTTATAGACGCCGCCACGGGCTTGGACACATTGGCCATCTAATTGAAATATGTCAGTGAATTGCCCAAGTCCATAGCCGATGCTACCTCGAATTAGTCTGTATACTTACTAGGTCCGCAACCGCCATTTTCGACAACCCATATCTCGGACAGACTCGTGCTCACGAGAACATCAATCTCCTGAGCCGGTTCTCCTACGAAGAGACCGATCGAAGACCAATTACCGTCGACGCCGTACCTATGTCACCATTAACTCCATGCTCATCCCCCCAAAAAAAATATTGGATACACGTGCCAGTTCAAAGAAGGCTCAATCCATAAAGCGCTGAGGTCGTCGGCATTGACTAGGTCGGGAACGAGCAGCGTCCCGATTATAGTCGCGAAGAGATACGTAAACATTGTCCGGCCTATCGCACCAACCCGGCAGTCGTACAGGAGACGCGCAAGGTCACCAGCCTTTTCCCTTTCCAAGCTTCATTAGGCTCGTAGACACGCTGGCGTAACTTTGACCCAAATCCATCAAATTCGGATAAAATTTGAAAATCGACGCAGTTAGGGAATAGCTGCAGGCGCTACGGGCGTCTCTACAATTGCGCCTGAGATCGATTGGTCGCGTATAAAGTTACCAAGTAAAATTCGCGGTAGATAGATTGAATGCAGAAGAAAGAAAGTGATAGACGAAATAACCAAGTCGAAGTAGATTTCCATTAGTGGCGGGATCTGCCGGGGGCATACCTAGGGCAATGAACGGTTTTACAGAATGCGCCCAATGCCATGCCTGCCCTGGCTATGACATGGCATGGGCATGCTCACTCGCAGTGTAGATCGACGGAGGGTGCTACAACTTAGCACCGATTTGCACCGAGCAGGGCATGGGGGATCACCTTGTGGCTAAAATGCAAGTCAACATTGTCTCGACAGTGGAGATGTAGGGTCGTGCCTTGTCAGGGGTGAGAGCCACGCTACCTCATGCAGGAGAGAGGCGGAGAAGTGGATGAAGCGTGAGAAACGAGTAAGATAAAAGTCTCGGCTCCAACAGTCGTATGTACCCTGTCTTTCTCGCGTGGCTTGTCGGCCTACTGTTCCCCAGACCCTTCCTAGTACTAGAGCTAAGCTATCCATAGCCAGGTACTATTAAATCCGTAGAATTGTACGGTAGTATTACACCTAACTCGAGTAGGTAGGTAGTAGTAGCTATTCGGGAACGCCTGGGACTTTTTTTCTCCCATTCCGACAACGGTACCATATACAGAAGTTCTGCTATACCTTAAGTGTCTAAAGGAGCCTAGAATTTGATCAGGTAAATATTACACTTCGTTGAATTACGCTGTCGTATCTACCATGGAGACTATTAGTGTAGATGCCTGCTCTGGGGCGTTCGGCAGTCCTAAGGTCCTCATCCCTCGTCCCTCGTCCTCGATCATCTAACAAGGGATGCGTGCGGCGTAGCAGAGTACCTAAGGTAGAACCAGCATTTTGAGGGTATCTGATGATCATCGCATAAAAAGGTAGGCATTGGCCGAAACAGGTTAATACATGGTAGATTGAACAGGGCTGGGTAAATAGGGCAAGGTAGTCCTTTTCTGCCGATGCGTCAAGTAATAAAAGGCGACGGAACCGAGCGTAGAATGCGAGCGTACCTCTCTGCTCATATTGTGTCTTTGCAGTAGTTTAATATTGTCATTTAGATGGTAGTCGAGTGCCAACTTCATACGAGGTGAAATATTCATATGCTAGATGCTAGATCCGTACTAGATAATGTTGTTGGCCTTGAAAGTGGAAGCATAATAAAACAGATAAAGAAAGGTAACAAGGTGAAGAGAAACAAGGACAAGGCCTAATGACGACTTGAAAGGAGCCGGAGGGAATTGGAAGGTCGTTTGAGATCAGTGGGTCGATACCCCTGCCCTTAGGTCCACAGCCTACGGTACATCAACGGGTACATTACCTATATGGTACCTATTGTACTTATCCAGTATCTGCCAATAACTGGTCACCCCGCTCTTTCCATATTTCGTCTCTCAGAGGTAACTTGATTGGAGCAGATGACAGGGATCCCATCGGAGATACTTGTCCTAAACTTTGATTCTCAGGTACCTAGGTACCTTTAATCTGTACTATGTATGGGCATTGGCCAATCTCGATATTGATCCAATCCCATTTGCATCTTCTACAACTACAACTTACTATGGCTATTCGTCGCATACGTATAACGAATCGATAATTCTTTTTGCCATCTTAACCTGGATGCAGAGCAAGTCTAGGCTCTCTAACCCCTAGGACCCCTAAATAGTGTAATACCGAAAAGGAACGCAGCAGGATTTCTTGGCCGGCTTATTCCTCCTCGTAACACTACACTACTCGGACTGCTAATGTAACGCTCGCGGGCTATTCTCGCGATTCTTACGTAGTTGGTGTCAGAAACAGCGGCTCAGCGCAATCCTAGCACTAAGACCTTGATTTCTTATCAAGATACCTAGGCAGGTATCTGACCAGAATCCTACAGATGCGAGCTTCACCCGAAGTTTCCAGATTCTTATTTTACGAAAAATACGTCATCGAGGTTGTGAATATGTTTTCGCACCTAATGTCACCGTCACCCCTGATAGTTAGGGTAGTTGGAAGCTACCCTCATTTACTGCCTACACCTATTACGTACCTAGGTCCTACAGTCCGAGGTAGGTCTGGGTAGGTCTGGGTAGGGTAGATAGCTGTCAACCATTGGCAAGATACTCTCTAGAAGGCGTCAAGGTTAAGCTTGAATGCTACCGGCAGTCTAGACGAGGAGCTTGGTGTCCATCCGAAGGCCATCATCCTAAGCTCATATTATCCAATTAAGTGTGAGCTTGTGTGTGATCTTGCCAAAAAATACTACGCTCTCCATACAGCCATACAGCTCTATACAGTGCTGGATGCCCTCACGTTTACATAGTTCCCGGCGGTCGGTATTCGCAGTACATTATCGCAATCTGGCCTTCATCCGGCAAATTTAATTGATCATCGCCTCCTTTTCACCACTGTCCATTCAAACATCCAGATCTCCCCTCCTCTGTGTATTAGTAGTCAGTCTTGCCTTTCTTGGTCATCTTCGATGTCCGAATGATCGCCCTTCGGCTGTTCGTCTTCAACTTATAAGACGACCGGTCACTACAGTGCTCGACAAGAGAATTATACAATAACGCGTAAAGCCGTGAGCGCCGAGCGGGCGAATAAGGATATGGCACACAATATACGAGTTCTACCTAACTCACAGTCACAGTTACGATACGAGATACCTAACATACATACAAACCAATTCGGATCCGACAATTCGAGGTGATACGTACGAAGCAATTACCTATATGGTATGTGGTCAGAGTCTTTTCCGGGGATTTGCATTTTTCCCCCTTATTAGGCGGCATCCCAAATGAATCGGCCCACTACTTAGGCCAAAAACGGGTGCAAATCAATTTCCATTCTTCTTAATTCCCACGACCAGTCACCACCAAGCTTCCCGTGTTCGTCCATTCCAGCTCAATATGCTCAATATGGTACTTTTGTGGGCTGCTTTACCGACAGGCTCTTACGTCTTCCTGGACTTCTGCCATTGTCTCTCACCCCTTGCCTTCCCCATGTTCTCATATCCCGCTTCCGAGAGAAAGACAGAGAAACCATACCATAGTCATGTCGCTTCACATAAAATGTCGAACGGCCCAGCCGCGCATCTGCCGCCCGCCATTGCGTGTGGACGATTTATTGGTTTTATTACTGCGTCTCGTCTCGTCTCGTCTCGTCTCGCTTCGCTTTTATATTACACGTGATGCTCAATGTTTTCTGGTAATCTAATAAAACCGTTTCAGCTTCCCTCCAGATGTAAAAATTCCGAGAAGTTGGTGGTTCCTTCTCGAAGTAAACACGACGGTGTAAGCGCCGGGTGAAGAGAGACAGGGCTAACGACCGTACTCGTTCCGGGTACGCAATGCTCTTTGTTATCTCAACACTGCTATGTGTCGTGGTGTCCCTAAGCCGTGGCCTGGAATTAGTCAGAGACAGAGATGGTTAGTCGAGTTTAGCTGGTCTCCCTCCTTAGCTACTCACTCGTATTGACGATATAGCAGTGTTCCGCCCTGGTCGGTTCTACAAGAGGATACCATCTTATAACGGCTCAGTGACCGTCGTGGTAACCAGCTCGTTTGACATACTAGCCTCCAGCCTTACGGTGTCGAGTTCGGAGACACGGGAGAGTTCTATAGATGTGAATTTAATTACACCAATTGATGCTTCTACTAGTGATGCATCCTCTGGGATCGTGGAACCCTCCGAAGATGGTTCTTCAACAGAGTCCTATCCTGAGTGGACGCTATTTAACTTAGGAACCATTACCACAATTGGGAGGCCAACACTCATTTTGCCTACATCATCACTGTCAAGGGGTAGTCCTGTTGTTTCTCCCCCGCCAGCCTTTAGTAGCTCGAGCTCTACGAAGAATGAGATCTCCTTTCCTACGCTAACCTCATCATTCGAATTCAATGGAACTTCGAGACCATGGGGTTGGAATACTACCTCCAGTGCTCCGTCACTTATCTTGCCCACAGTAACTTTGCCACAGCCAACAGCTATCAGCACGACCTCGACGATTACTGCTACGCCGAGCGAGTGCCCGGCAAAAGAGAGCGGTCCAATAACTATTACTTCTTACTCTATAGTTCACACATCTACTACCACATGGACCGGGGATCCGGATGACTACACACCCCCTTACCCACCTATAAGCACGCCTGTACCATGTACTCCTAAGGAGAGCCCAACAGGTCGCTTTACAATTACCCTTTGCGATAGCGCGGGCAAGAGCTGTTCGCTTATTCACACTACCGTTCCGCCAGGGACCGTCACCCCCACCGACCCCGCAGAGCCAATATCAACTGTTGTCTTAATCACAACGGACAAGAATCCTGTTGTGGTGTTTCCAACCCAGGTACCCCCAAGCTACGGCGGATCGCCCTCCGGTCCAGATGTTCACGACACGGCGACCAAAGGCAGCAGCAGCCACGCTATTACCCCCGACTACGGGATGGACCCAACCCCTATTGAATCCGCCAAAGCCTCGCCGGCTCCGACTCCGACTCCGACTCCCAACGGCGGAAACAACGGCGAAGGACGAGCCCCTGTAACTGTGATAGTACAACCCAGCAAAGTGGTCATTGATGACCACACATTCACTGACAGCCCATCGCAGCCGACATCAACTGTAGTCGTAGGAGGCGAGACTTTTGTCATCAATCCGTCCCAGGTAGTTGGTGGTGGAGTCACAATGACCCGACCTCCTATCGATGTAGGGGGTGGTTTCACAACTCAACCTCAACCCCCGCCGATCACAACTTCCATCGGTGGCTTAGGGGTCGTCCTCGGACCTTCGTCGGTTGCGACAATAGGCGGCACAGTATTTACCATCGCGCCTACGCCGACGGTAGCCGTAGTCCAGGGCCAGACAATAACCCTCGGACCCGCGGGGCTCGTGTTCCCCAGCCAGACGCTGCACGTAGCCGCTGGGCCCGCTGGGCCCGGGCCGACGCAGACAGCTGTCCTGGGCGGGCTATTAATCACGGCAATCGGCTCTGACACGGTGGTGATATCCGGCTCGACGATAACGTACGGCCCCAGCGCGTTCGGTAGCAGCACCCTCACGACTACCGTCGATGGGGACACAGTGCTGGTCGCGGCGACGGAGGGAGTCGTGCTGCACGACGGCCAAGAGACGCTAGGCGGCATAACGGCGGCGCCAGATTCGACCAAGTACGAAATCGTAGGCGGGGCGACTGTCACGCAGCTAGGGTTAACGGCGATCGAAATCAGCGGGCGGACGTTCCGCATCGGACCTGGGGCGGCGGCGACGCCCATGACGACAGTGATCGCAGGCCGCACGCTGACGATTGGACCGGACGGCGTGGGTATGTCGACGTGGACGTTAAACGCGCCGTATGCGTCGACTACGACTATTTTCCCCGGTGGTCATCGTAACGGCGGGAACGGAAATAATGCCGCGATGACGGTCCCGACGACGACGGCCACGGCTGGGAAAGACGATAGCCGAGGAGCGCTTCTGCGGCGGCCGGATCGGGCGCGTGTGCTGCTGTTCTCGCTTGGCGTCGGGTGTTTAGGACCCTGGCTTTTCTGGCTATGATGGGTGGGACATCGAGCATATTACTTCTGTTCTATTGATATTACGCTATCGGTTGGGCGTCCTGCTGCTGCTACTACTACTACCACCTTCTTAAGGAGGCAAGGGAAGGTGGATTGGTAGTTGATTGGTTTGGAGATATTCTTATTTGATTCATTTTTCACGGCGTAAAGGGGCTAGCTACCTAGCTACCTCCCTAGGCAAGCTACGAGAGAGAGAGGAAGGAGGACAACAGTACATGAGAAGAGAAAAAACAGCCCAATCGTTCACATGACGGCGTTATGATACCCTATTCGCGCGCACATGCTTAACGCTATGTTAAGAGCGTTAGTGCTTGATGAGTTGGGGGCTAAAGGATTGAGAGTATGTAATTAATGAGCTATCCACCCTGTACATAGTATGTACATACGTATCGATCTAGAACGGCCTACCTAGATGCCTTGGCTATATACTAGAGCGCGGCGCGTGTAGGAGTCACATCACCAGGAGGTGGCGATGGTGAGAAAGAAGTTTGAGACAATATGTATACCACTTGGTATACACTACAAACAGCTTCGTTAACCCGGTGAGAAAGTTCACCACCTATCATTAATGGATAATCAACCCCTTATTGTGAAATGTGACTTATCGCCAATATTTTCCCATATACAACCCGATTTTTATTTTTATTTTATTTTTTCACACGTTTGTTCTCGGCAGCTTTGAATTTTATCATTTCTCGAAACCCAGGTATATAAGGTACCTCCTAACCTACCTGTACCCGGAAATCCCATAGTGCAACGCTACGCTGCGCTGGAAAACAGCACTCCTCACGATGTAACATAACGCCCCGAATCCTTCGCTCTCTCCGAAGGAAATTTTGAAATATTGCATAAATCCCCTTCAAGTATTTTTTTAAGAAAAAAAGTTGGTGTGGATACGTTTGTCGCGCTGCTGATTTGTTCTATTGTCCAGACATTAGGATATACCAACCTTAGGTTAGGTTAACAAATAATGATACATATATCAATGTCAACTCTCAGAGAAAAACACGACGCACGTAGAATCAAGTTCGTAGAAGTGCCGTATCGAGTATTGTAGGTATCACCCAACCTGATACTGATCCTTTATATTAACCTCTATCTCCCCCCTCCACCCCAACGCGCCTTTGGTTAGCACATAGATCGAGCTTTTTCTCTTTCCCTTCCATGATCCTTGGCACGCCGGGCCCAAGAATCCACACTTTTATTAATTCTCCCCCTTCCTTCTTCCCCTACCCCTATGTCGAAAAGTCTACCTAGGTAGGTAGCCGTAGCCGTTGTAACGTCAATGTTGCAGGGCACATATATATACCTAGGTATATACCGGGTCCCTGACCGAGAAGACTAGGTAGGTATGTACCTAAGGTAGGGATGCAACCTCGACCGCGGACTTGCCCCGTAGAAGCATTCCTCCGGGCACGTGGCGACGGGGCGTCTTTTCTGCTGCGGGTATGTAGAAGAGAAAAATAAAAAATAAAACTCCACATCGCCTTAGGTCAGGTAAAACAGGAGATACCTAGGCTCAGTTGTTGGTTTTGAAGTATGTAATGTACCTACTTATGCTAAGTACTAGGAGGTAGGTAGCTAGGTAGAAGAGCGAGATCCTAGCTTGGGGCTTTTCCATGCAAGATGTCGTCGAATATCCTATTGACTTCATATAAAGTACCTACTTAGGTACCAGGTAGGTAGGTGATTATGGTTGTTACCAAGCTCTGGTACTATGACTTTAGAACTCCCATTGATACGGAGGATTATGGGGATATTTGTCTACTATGGTAATAGCTGTCCTACTCGTGTATATCAAGCTATCCCAGGATTGGTTTGCCCCGAGTCGCAGGTGAATATCATATCATATCATATACAGGTTTAATAAAGTATCACACATATCTCTGTATAAGACGGGTAAAGCTCCGCCAGGGGTAGCCTATTGCTATAAAGAAAAATGATCTCTCCCATCGAGGGCACACAGCACCGATCTAATATATTATCATCTATAACCGAAACCACGCAATATATAGGTAAGCTACAGTAACAATTGGTGTCTCCTTGGGACATATTTCATATAAACGTATGGAGCGTTCAGCCCCTTAGGCTACGGAAAGTGTCACCCTTATTGCTGGCGAGGTATCGGTGCGGATGGTTTCAAACCAAGTTTGGTATAGAGGCTTGCTTATCATAAACCTGTATTATTCAAGATTCTTTTTGATGGTAGTTAGTAGTCTTAAAAGGTACTGTAAGGTGAATCAGCACAACAGTATTTACATCAAGCCTCAAAGAGGTCGAGCGAAGCTTACTCGCCTCACTTGTCTAAGAGCTGAGCAGCGTGACAAGTATAATGTGTACCTAACCTAACCCACCCAAACTCTATGGCACCTGAAAAAGCAAAAGGTCGGGAGGTAGCTTAGGGCAAGTCATAGCACTTTTAAAGACAGACGAACGTATGGGGAGAAATGCTAGAGTTAATCATTAATCTCTAGTAAGTCTCATCGCCCACTAAGCACAATAATATGTCCCTAATATTTTACATTGACGTCCCTGCTCACCGTGGTTGTTGTTACATCTATCATGATGGCTGAAGAATAATACAATCTCGCCCCAGTGGCGTTACAACTAATGAAGTCCTCCCGCCCGTTACCAAACCTCCTCCCATAATGGGTTGTTTATCGCCAGTAACTTTTTCGCAGTCTCGCGATCAGGGGCCATCTTTCCCATTACCATGGCATCGTGGATGGCTAATTTAACCGCCTCTGGCATCTTCCCCGAACTCCCGCAAATGCAGATTACGCAACGTTTCTGGATAAGCTCGCAGACTAGCTGCCACTGCTCTCGGATACGGTCTTGTACGTAGATCTTCTCTTCTTGATCTCTCGAAAACGCAGTAATGACCTTCACCCTAAGATTCTCCCACTCGTTTTGAAAATAGAAGTCGGCATCACGATTTCGACCGCCGAAAAAGAGGACAGCATCGCCGGTTTCTAACTCTTCCAGACGATCCCAAAGATGAGCACGTATTGGCGCGACACCGGTTCCCGGGGCGATCGCCAATAATGGTCTGCGTACCCAACTAGCTTCAAGTGTATCATATTCTCTGTGGGTGATCATGATCTGTGTGCCAGGGCGTAGGGATTCCAAATATCGAGAGCAGAGCCCCTGTCGAGTCTTTCGTAAAACCGTCTTGTACTTCACCAGCGCTACTAGAAGCTCGACACGCGTACAATCCGGATTTTCTTCGCTCTTAAGAAGTAAGCCACCACTAGCGATGCTGTACTCTCGGCCTCGCATGACAGGGAAGATGGATGGAAGGTGTTGGTAGGGAATTTTCACCGACGGGAAGTCTTGGAGAACCTCTAGAATGGATCGTCGAGGCCGAGAAGTATAGTCGTAAAATTCGTCCGAGAGGCCGGGGTTCGCAAATTCCCGTAGGCGCTCTTGGTGCATAGGGTCATTTGTATAGAAAGCAATATCCTGGAAGAATACGCGCTTCGGGATGGCAGTTATGTCGTAGTTATGAATAAGGAGCTGACGTAAGGTGGAATGATCAAGAGGATAGCAATTCTTGGGCCTTGAGTAAAGCGAATCTTGCTGCCTTGCACGATGTTCAAAAGGGACATCAGCTACCTCGGTCCAGTCCATGAGCTCGATCAGTGCTTGCACATCCGCTGGGAAGTTCTTAGGATAAAGAACGACTGTGTCGCCTGGGACGTAGCTAAAGAGGTCTCTCTCGCCTCTTCTGGTGGGACTCGGCTGTGTAGGAACTTCAATAATTAGACGACGCACATCTTGCCAGTGACTAGTGGGCGTAACACGATAGTTCTCGCGCACATGAGCTGGCCAACCTCCCGGTATTGGAAGAAGATCCGAAGGGGGGAGGGCATCATCCTTGGAACTACTCTGGTCCTCCAGGAGATATTTAGTTGGGTGGTCCCTTAGAACATTGGGTCGGTCTAAGATATCTATCCCGCCTTGTATTAGCCTGGCCGTCTGCTCTGATAGACGTGCCGGATAGGTGTCGCTGTTGACGGACATCCTCTCTGTTCGGAGATCATGCTCCAATCGCTCAGGATCGGGAGTGTTGATGTGACTAAAGAGTGCTGCTTTGCTGTCGAGAACCTGCATGTGCAGCTTGTGGTGCTGATATACATTTGGTGATTTGACGAAAGGGGCGGCTGAATCTGCACCGTTTGAGTCTTCAACCTGATGCCTATCAAAGTCAGGCATAGGCTCATCCGAGGTATCCATCGTGGGTGCTGGTTCTAATATGAACTTCGGAGGAAGTTGCACGTCCACTGGTATAGGTGATAAGCCGTCAGGTAGGGGGTACTCCTTTAATAAATGACTACGGAGGCTCAGAGACCAAGATAAGAAAGTACCGTCAATGCTATAAGAGAGGGTTAGTTGGTGATTTGTTACTGGACCTCTGATAAAGGAGCCCCAAAGGAAGAGAACGTAGGAGAGAGAAAAAGAGAGTTTGGATGATGATGATGAAAAAGGAGAATAGAAAAAAAGAAAGAAAGAACGAAAGAACGTAAAAAATAAAATAGAAGCTGTCGAACTTAAGGCAGAAGGCGGAAACTGCTTACCCGTCTTGGTGACGTTCGTCAGCCTCGCCACGTGGAAAGAACTCGGTCGCACCCAGCTGTTCAAGGCGTTTATGAAGTTTCCTAACTGCCCAGTTGTACCTGAATGATGTGGGGATTAGAAAATTAGTCAATGACACAACGAGGTAATTACGATAGGTGCAGGGTTAATAAGAAATTAATAAGAAGTTAATAAGGAGTTAAATAAGGATGTTGCGTACTTGGAGTATGAACTATCACCAAGACCAAATGTGGTGAAGTTGACTTGCTGTAGACAATTTGGAGGAAGTCGTTTGCGGAGGAGACTCTTCCAAAACTTGCGAGCGTTCTTCGGTACTTCGCCTTGGCCCGTGGTAGAAATGACGAATATGATCAGAGGGTATTGTAGTAATGCATTCTAAACAAGAAAGATCTGGTTACCACGGTGTGTTGGCTTTTTATAGATTTTACAGCCGGTGCACGATAAAATAATAGTACCAAATAGTACTAAATAATACGAGAAGAAGTGTGGCCGTGGAATTACAAAGTTATCGTAACCGCCTTGTAGGTGACTTCTGACTTCTGCCTTATGCCTTCTGGGATTGGGAATTGATAGGCTTAGTCCTCTTTTTTTTTTTTTTTTTTTTTTTTTTTTTTTTTCTGTAATGGCCTTAGAACTAGAGGGAGACGCATTGTCCCGTGCGCCCAGTAAACGTAAACGTACAAAGGGAAAAATGAATGAGGTGTGAAAAGGCAGAAAATATAAATATAGGTATGTATCACTTTCAATGGTGTCATTGAAAGTTTATAAGTGAGAAACAAGTGAGGCGCTTGAATACCTAAACGCAATGACGAAGTAAAAGCAAACAAACAAATGAAGGAACATTAACTTACAAGTTCAATATCGTTCATTTCTTGGACCTGCGTCTTAAAGTGTAGTCTTTCTGCTAGACGCTCAATATCGCCAGCTAGATCTTGGCTGTTCCCCGTCTCGGAACCATAAAGTATAAGTATGCGTCTATTTGCGGCTCCATCCCCACCAGCCGCATAGTCATTATCGAGCACCGAAGCCATGTTGAATAAGTTACAATTTTAGAACTTGAGAAATCTACTATGTAGGGGGAAAGAATTGCAAGGGTTGCGCTACAAAGTCTGGAAAGATGAGATCGATAAGATAAGGATCTTAGGTACCTACCTCTATTGAGTTCTCTGCCCCTCCTAAGCGCTCTCTCCCAATTAGGACCCCGCACCTGCTCTTAGATCTGCTATGACATGCTAGGTTACAGTGTACCTACCTACCTGCTACTGTTACCATCTTTATGTACGAAATATAGAAGGTACGACGTACGGTACGCATATATATATATTATTGGCATACTTTGTGCATTATTAACATACTGCCATATAAGGGGCTAGCATATGTGTATTCGAACCGCTTAATAAATTTTCATATATATTATATGGATGTCATAAGTGTAGGTATACACATCAATAGGGAGGAGGTTTGTCTACGTCCTATAACTTCTTAAATAATTCTGGGAGGAAAATATAACCCCTTTGTGGTCTATCCACACGAGCTCGATTTGTATTGAGAAAAAAAAAAAGGCCAACTCAAACTGCGGTGAACATGTTTTGACTCCACAATATCGAGCTTGATAACATTGACGATTAGCTAGGTAGCTAGGGGCCATGCGCTCGACGTTGCCCAATGCTATTCAAGCTACTGAGGTGGCCTTATGGAGTTGGATATAGCTGCTACCATTTGACTAAGCGCAGCACCACGTCGTCACCTAGGATGGCCATATGATCTATTCCATACTTGGCCACCGGCGTGACAGAATGCTATGGTCACGCTCATTAGTTAGAGCCGCAACCTACTACCTACACCGCCTAATAAGAGAGAGAGAATTTGAACGGCTTCGTTCTTTTCGCCAACGAGTTCTCGCATGGTCCGGTTTTCCTTGTTCCTTCAACACCAACGGAAAAGACAGAGTTCTGCTGCAAGCGGTGTGTGTGGCTCCGGTGCGGCATTGCATCTTATGCGGCGTACGAAAGATGGAACTGCTCCCGAAATGGGTGGGCGACTACAGGTAGGTAGGTAGTGTTTGAGATATGATATTAGGATATAGATGGGGCTGAGTTTCTCTAGCTGTATCTAAATGGACAAAGTCTAAGGGTGTATATGACTTATACAAATCATTAAGCTGGAAGTGAACAAGCCCTCTATTGTACGACGTGACACCACTGGGGGACATCTGGGGAGGCTTGCATAGGGAGTCGGAATGAGTTCTCGGGCCGCTCTGCATGACGTCTTTTAAGCTCCCGAAACAGCCGTCTTCACACGGATTAGTTGGCGTTGGTCTAATATAGATTTACGATAAGAGTAACTTGACCCAGGAGCCCAAGCCCACGCACCACTTACCACATGAAATTGTTGTTTGGCTTCCGCCTATAAACGTAATTCTGAGCGTGGAAACTTGGAGACCCCAACGATAAGTTCTAAGAAAACGATCCTGTTCCCGTCCACGTTCGTCCGTTGCTCTGCTTCCTTTCAACCCGGTCTTATATACATACCTAAGCACCTACCTATACCATAGTTTAAGCTGAATTTCAATTTTAATAGTTATAAGGCGATGGTATCCTTCTCTTGCGGGACGTGCATGGTTTTAATTGGATGGGAAACCGTTTCTTTAAGAACCAAGGGGAATACTAGGGAATCCCAGGGTAACGCAGTAAATTACCCCGTAGTTTACATAATAGATATCTTAGCATGATAAATCCAACCCGTTTTACGATGGGAAGATCCGTATTCGTAGGGCTTCAACCTCGAAATAGGGCACTAAAAAGGATTAGCGGTATTTGGGTGTACCTGAGCATGCTATGTACTATAATACCTAAGGTTTATAGGTTAGGTAGGTACAATACGAAATTACGAATGGCTGTTACGCAATGTCTCCGAGTATTTGTCACGTGCAACTGAGGAGACAGGGATGATGGGGACTGGGGGGGATTGAGCTGTTAGAGAGACTTGAGATCTATCACATGTACTATTTATTTCCTAAGTATGTATTCTATATTACTAAACAAATCGCCGAGTAGAGAGAGAGAACCAAAGGAGGATTTTAAGTTGGATTTAGCTCCAGGAACATGTCATATATGAGCTGCAAAGCAACGTTGAGATGACCTTCTAGTTGTCCGCGTTCTTTCGTTCTTGCGTCCTTGCGTTCTCCGGGAGCCGGTATTTTGGTTAGGGCTGCCGATTTGGCCGTAGTTTTCATGCACGCAACAGCTAGTAAGCTACCTTACCCAGCCGAAGACACCGGCAAAAAGCCATGTGGACTTAAATTGTTTGCCAATTGCGTAGTGCACCACCACCTCACCTAAAATCGTCAGTTGATGGAATGCAAGAGTCATACACCGACATAAGGCATTTTTACACTACCTGTACTTGTACTACTGACCTGTTTCCTGTTTGCTGTTTATCTATGTACGGATGCATAATATGATTAAGCTTAAATAATTGATATTATGTAGGTGATGCCTTGTTTATCTGTTTCTAGTTATATAGAATGTATCTTATCGGTGTAAACTCGTGGACCTCTTTACGGAAACCATATGGAAAGTTTCTGCTCGTCTGCGATAATGTACAGGTATAATGAACTTGTTTCTTGAGGATGCGACTGTAAAGGGGGTAAAAAAAAAGGGGGGGTTAGATATTCTTTTCTTTTCGATTTGTAGGTGAAGAGGGCGTTTCTTTAAGAAGAGAAGGAGGGGTGTATATATACAACAACCCCAGTTGGGTTCGCATTGTTCGCATTGAGTGGCTCGATCGTCCAGAACCCCAGAAACCAGGTTCTTTCAGAGCTTCCAGAAGATTGGTCCGACTTTGACTTGACTTGCTATGTAATCGTACACAAATAGCCCAAATTCGCATGTGGAAGGGAGAGGAAAGAATAAAAAAAAATAATATAAAAAAAGCTCCGACAATGAAGAACGTGGTTCCTTTTAATAACATGTCATATTATATCATATTGTTGTATCTGGATGCGAGTTAACCCCCGATTCTTATCAGTAGGACAAAGATGCACCGACCAAGCATTGAAATGGCGTAATTTGCTGTTTTGCTGGTTTTCAATGCGCCCCTTCAATGCGGCCTCCGAGTTTTCATTGAATCCAATCTCGACAATTCAATTACCTGCTACCCGATTGTACCTAGGTAGTACTTATTAATGCAACCTAAGGGACAATCCATGTCTTTCCATCCTACCTTCTTGGAAAACTTCGGGCTTGACGAATTACAATAGTCGTACCTTAATCCTCCACTCTCTTGGAGTTGAAGTGTGAAGGAGGTACCTGGGTATGTACCGTTGAGGAATACACTCGGGTGTTACCGACTTGGGAATTTACATAGGAAGCTTCGGTGTTAGTCAGATCAAATGGGGTAGCGCCTGCAGGAATATCTCACGATTGAATTAGGTATTTACTATTCTATCATCTGGTTTGCGGCTTCTCAATATGTCACCAAGGATTTCAATAGCCTATAGGTACCTAATTGGTTGAAGTACCTATGTTATATACTATTCACCTAGGTAAGACCTATGCAGTTTGCCTCAGCATTAGGTGACTTGCCCTTCTAATCAAAGGATCTCCATAATGTAAGTACAAGATCTAACATAACCTATTGTTGACAATTCATGCACTTTGAGATAAAGCGTACAGACTCATTATAAAAAGTACAGACTCATTGTCAGTATCAGTGTAATCATGTCGGTGTGCTGTGGCTTCTACAAATATAAATACATGATGCAACTACCCTAGGGCCTAAAGTAAATATATCACACTGTAGGTTAGGTACTTACTACTCACTACCGATACGATACAGCTATTTTTTACAGATAGGCATTTTATTACAGCATACACCTCTAGGTAGGTACATTCTTACTAAGGTTAGGTACACGTTAAAGCCCATGCGTCCCCCTTTCTACCTTTCTACGATTGGCCCATTAGATTTCCTGTCAAAAGTGCAGTCATAAGTCACTTACCCCACGCCTGCCGTACGTCTAACCTTTTTTTCGTGACCCACACAAGAAACAACAACCCTTAAAAAATTCTGGCCGCGTCCGAACATCTGGTCTCTCCCATTTCTTCTTCACACCTCTCAATCCCATCAATCTCAAGCTCGTTGTGTCACAACCCACCGATTCCCAACTCTTTCAATCTTCTCTAGGGCACGTAGCCACCCTATTCCTCCCCCGAAATTGTTCAAGAGTTCAATACTGAACCCGAAACCCGAACGTCCATTCAACGTCTATTATCGCCTCTAGTCAAGATAAATCAACCTACCTTCAACTAATCTCCCAACCAGATTACCCATCAGTCATAATGGCCACCACCACGGAGAAAGTTGCTGACGCTGCCGTCAACGACGTTACCAATGCTCTGAGCAATACCTCTATCGCTGCCAAGGACGAGAACAAGGATGCCGTCCATGCTAGCGCCGCCGAGGGTCGCCGCCTATACATCGGCAACCTCGCATATGCGACAACTGAGGGGGAGTTGAAAGAATTCTTCAAGAGTTACCTTGTGTAAGTTTATATCCCCTTCGCTTCCTCTTCACTTGATTCCTTCCAGATAGAGGATGGCTTCCCTATTTTTATGGTTGAATATCTGCGAGTTAACCCGCCATTCCTTGGAATCTCTTGTGCTACACCAAAAATCTCCGCCAATCTACACATGTGTTTAGTTGCTACTGCCAAATCCTTAATCGGACTTGGTGGCAAGCAAATGCTGGCGGTCAATAGTATATCAGAAATGCGGGTTATCATGGGGCGGCTAGCTTTAAATGATATCTGGCTATTATCAAGCAAGCTCGTTAAAAATTTGGACTAACCTTTACCGCTTAGTGAATCCGTCTCAATCCCAAAGAATCCTCGTACCGACCGCCCCGTTGGCTACGCCTTCGTGGATCTCTCTACCCCCACCGAGGCTGAGCGTGCCATCGCTGAACTCTCCGGCAAGGAGATTCTCCAGCGAAAGGTCTCAGTTCAACTTGCCCGCACTCCCCAGCCGGCTGGAGAGAAGGCTGAAGGAGCTACCAATGGTGAGGCCGGTGCTGATGGTTCTCGGCGCCGATCCTCTGGTCGTGGCCGAGGTCGCGGTCGTGGTCGTGCTGGTCGCGCTGGTCGTGGCGGCCGAACCGTATGTTTTAGACCTATCCTGTATCCGTTTTGGCAAATACTAACTAAATCATTTAGGAGGGTGGAAAGGATGAAACTCACGCTACCGAGGCTGGTGCAAATGCTACCGCTGCCGACTCTGAGGTTTTACCTTTGACCGATATCACCAACAAAGCGGATACTGACAAAACTGACAAGACTGCGAAGAGGGGCCCGGCTCGCGAGCGTCGTGAGCGCGGACCACCTGCTGACGGCATTCCCTCCAAGAACAAGGTTATGGTCGCTAACCTGCCCTATGACCTGACCGAAGAGAAGGCAAGTCATTATTTTGCTGATATGTATTTCTTCCCCTACTAACATTTTCTATAGCTGAAGGAACTGTTCAATGATTACCAGCCCTCCTCTGCCAAGATTGCCCTTCGCCCCATCCCCCGATTCATGATCAAGAAGCTCCAGGCTCGTGGTGAGCCCCGCAAGGGACGTGGCTTTGGTTTCGTCACCCTAGCTTCTGAGGAACTCCAGCAGAAGGCCGTTGCCGAGATGAATGGCAAGGAGATTGAAGGCCGCGAGATTGCTGTCAAGGTCGCTATCGACAGCCCCGACAAGACGGACGAGGAGGCGAATATCCCTCATGAGAATGAGGTCAATGGCCAGGAGGCTGCTCCTGCTGCCGCTGCCCCCTCTGCTGCCGCTGGTAGCACTGCTTAGATGATCTAAGCATATTTCCGACGGCGCATGTTTAATTGTCAAGACAAGATGAATCCTAACAATCATATCTTATTTACGGGATACATTACACAGTAGTTACGCGTCAGTCAAGTTTTACGAGGGATGGCTAGTTTCTTGATTTCACCATAGATACAAAAACCCCACAGGACAGCAGCAATATGGCCTCAGATATCGTCAGCAGCGACTGCAGCATTCTGCATTTAGCATTTCTGGCGGATGTCTGTCATGATGCTGCAGTTTTGACACATTAATTTTTTCACGAATGACTTTGACAACCACCTCTCGAGCATTTTCATGGGTTGTACACTAGGTGGACAACGGAGCAAGGGGTCACGGTGGACTCGGAAAAGTTCTCGCGAGCAACATAATAGATATGATTGATAACGAACGGATTGATGCATGGTGACCTGTCATTTGTGACATGCGTGATCCGGAACTCTATTAATTTTTTCCCCCCTCAAAATTAAATTTTATAATGGGTGACTCGGAAAATCCATAACGTCCCATAAGCAGTTAACTTACCTACCTGTAATATCGATTCGGGTAGGCAACAGTATTATGGTACAGCTAGCTAGCCCAGCCAGCTAGCCCATCGTAAATCAGGAATGCGTTTAAAATATGAGGTCTCCTTAGCATTGGATAATAATACGACGGAAATGGAAATGGAATTCATTGGATCGCTATTGGTTTGACGCTATCGATGTTACACGCACGTAGATATTACCTTACATGATGTAGTGATACGGGCAAAGGGGGGATCTAGACTTTTTGTTTTTGCTCCTTTCTAAGCCAACTATTTCGTACGGTAGGGGACTGTGTTAGGGGGCTGTAGGGGACGAGAACGCTAAATACAAGATGTGGAGAATCGGGGTAGTCTTTGGCCCCCGATATTTATTCCCAATTTATTAAATTCATTACTAAATAATGTCCCTATTTTATCAAGAGTTGTCGATTGCGCACCAGTTAAATTAACACCGCGTACTGCTGTAACTTCATAGACGGTTAATGAAAACTGTCCTCGTATACGCAAATGCTTTCATAAAATTGGTTTCATACCATTAGCATCTCATTTTACAACACTCTTTCAACGCCGAGTTGGCAATTGTTAGATTGTTAGATTATTAGATTATTATATACCTGATACCTGCATTACTCTGCGCTGTCGCCATCGGCGCAACAAATCAGTAGTTCGCCATGGCCTCCAAAGCTATGTGGGAAGTCGACCCGGAGACTAGATCAAAGGTACGCATTACTATTATTTACCGTCGTTCTAAGATCAATGCCATTGGGACTAAAGATAGTTGTTTGCCGTCAACGTAGAAAAAAAAAGGACATTTGCTAACTGTCAGCTTATTTCCAGCTCCTCGCTATTCAAAAGACGAATAATAACAACATCTGCTGCGATTGCAACGCCCCGAACCCGCAATGGGCGTCTCCAAAGTTCGGCGTTTTCATCTGCCTCTCGTGTGCCGGTGTCCACCGGGGCCTGGGTGTCCACATCTCTTTCGTTCGATCCGTTACCATGGACGCGTTCAAGCAGGCTGAGATCGAGCGCATGCGACTCGGCGGTAACCAAGGATGGAGATCATTCTTTGAGCAGCACGAAGATACTAAGATGCGCGGTCTGAACTGGGACGACGCTACGATCGCGGAGAGATACAGCGGCGAAGTGGGTGAGGAATGGAAGGAGAGGCTCAGCGCCAAGGTCGAGGGTAGAGAATACGTACCTGGCGAGCGCAAGACCACGCCACAACCTGCTCCCGCTGCCGCGAAGCCCGGTCCGAAACAGATTAGCAGGACTGGAACGCCGCTGCAAGGCGTGGCGACGAGCGGAAGCCGAACGGCGAGTCCCAGTCGACCGGGCGTCAAAGCTAAAGTCGACGACGAATATTTCGCGCGACTGGGAAAGGAGAACGCGTCCAGGTCGGACGCCTTACCACCTAGCCAGGGCGGTAAATACGCTGGATTCGGAAACACCCCTGCACCTGCAAAGAGCGGCGGCGGAGGGCTCCCCGATTTATCAGAGGTGCAGAAGGACCCGGTAGCCGCCCTGACGAAGGGATTCGGCTGGTTTACAACGACGGTGACGAAGACGGCCAAAGGAATTAATGACGAGTTCATCCAGCCTACGGCCAAACAGGTGAGAGCACCAAAAAAAAGCATTTGCATGCTAAACCATAGATATCACGAGGCCGACACGCTTGCTAATTGACGAGAAACAGCTCTCGGAATCCGATTTCGCGGCGCAGGCCAGAGCCGCGGCAGGGAACGTGGGCAAGGCGGCGCAGGCCGGGGCGATGACGGCCCAGGAGCGGTTTAACCGGTTCGTGGAGGGGTCGGACGAGCGGAGGCAGGTGCCGATGGACGAGAGCAAGAAGGCGTTCTGGGACGACTTCGCGGCGGCGGCGGACCAACGACACGGTACCGGCCCCAAGTACAGCTCGGTTGGGACTTCGGCCATGGGGAGAGGCGGGAATAAGAATGCTCCGGCGGCGGCGGCGGCGGCCAAGAAGGACGACGATTGGGACGACTGGTAGGTAGTGGACGGGCGAGAGAGGGGACTCGTCGGGACTGGGATGCAACAGGTGTTCGGGGTGTGTGGTGCGATGTGGTGTGGTGTGCAACATTATACCTATAGACGACGGACACGATATGCCAATACTGTACAATTAGATACCTAAGGTAAGCCAAATGGAGTTCTGGGTAGCGTATATACACATCTATTTTATTAGAATCAATGTGAGAGGTGCAAATATAAAATTTCTATACAACGGTGTAAGTGGTGTAAGTGGTGTGTGTAGGTGATGGATACCCAACTAGCAAGGTGAATCAATGAATGTGCACTAGGCTAAGTGGTAAGTAATAAAGAATTGGCTACCAATTCAATATTCCATTGATATGATTGATATGTGCTATATCAAACCAAAGCACCCTTATGTATAAGCCATTATCTGTATGTATTGTAAAGTCACGATATTGTCGTTGTAGATTTAGATTATATGTTACCCGGGTTCTATAAGTGCTATAAGTGTTGGACATCACGTGGGTCCCTTTTTGGCCGAGGTCTCTTTTTTTAACACAACCTTGTTCCAATGAAGCGCGGCTATCGCCGGTCTCGGTCGCGGATTTTCCAGCTGGTCATTGAAACGGAAGCTTCAATTAAGGTTAAGGTTAGCCGAAGCTTTGAGAATCCCGACAAGACAAGAAACATAAAGGCGTCTCTGTTTATTTTTATTCTACATAGACGGCCAGCATAAGCTGCCAACATTTTTTTTTCTTCCTTCGCCATGTCTGCACTGCGCATCCTCGTGCCCGTAAAACGGGTAATCGACTATGCGGTAAGAAACCACCTTGCGATTAACAAACTCGTTGCTTTTCTCTCTCTCTCCCTTTTCGTACACACGCGCGGGGAAGAGATAAGCTGACGAACGTGTGTTCCAGGTCAAACCGCGAGTCAACAAGACGCAGACGGGCGTGGAGACGGCGGGCGTGAAGCACTCGATGAACCCGTTCGACGAGCTGTCGGTGGAGGAGTCGGTGCGGATCCGGGAGAAGAATTCGGCGCCGGGCGGCGTCGAGGACATATGCGTGATATCGGCGGGGCCTCCCAAGGCCGTGGACGTGCTGCGGACGGCGATGGCCATGGGCGCCGACCGCGCCATCCACGTGGAGGTCAAGGAAGGGGAGGAGGAGCCGCTCGAGCCGCTGACGGTGGCCAAGATGCTGAAGGCCGCCGTCGAGCGGGAGAAGAGCAACCTCGTGATCCTCGGGAAGCAGAGCATCGACGACGACGCCGCCCAGACCGGCCAGATGCTCGCCGGCCTGCTGGGCTGGCCCCAGGCCACGCAGGCGAGCCGCGTCGCGTTCGGCGCGGCCGGCGACACGGTGGAGGTCACCAAGGAGGTGGACGGCGGCGTGGAGACGGTGCGGGCTAAGCTGCCGATGGTCATCACGACGGATCTGCGCCTCAACGACCCGCGCTACGTGAACTTACCGAATATCATGAAGGCGAAGAAGAAGCCGCTTGTGAAGATGAGCTTGAGCGACCTGGGCGTGACGAACGAGAGGAGGCTGAAGGTTGTTAAGGTTACAGGTACGACACGCTCTTCTTTTTTTCAATGATTTTTTTTTTTTCATATTTGTCTTACGTTTTAGCTCTACACTTGGATTGTTACCTAACTGACTTTCTTATTGCAGAACCGCCGCCGAGAGAAGGTGGTGGCAAGGTCGAGGACGTGGACGGGTTTATCTCCAAGTTGAAAGAGCTGGGGGCGATATGACCAACAATTAGAGTATGAATATATGTGTTATACTATATTGTTTACGACGAATGAAACCCAGCTACGCAAGTGTTTATATTCTACCTACCAATGGGCTACGAAAGGGTACCAAGGTCCAGATAGGCACTTCCGCATACTGAGAAAGTCTTCAGGTATATACGAAGACGTGTATACATAGTAAAGCTTCCTTTCCCCTTCAAAACAGGTACTTAACCTAACGTATTACCATATACATACTATGTAATAGCTTGGTAGTGGATTCTATCCGATTCTCGGTAGGTAGGGAGGGCAATAGTATTGCAGTTCCACAAATGGTGTTTACAAGTGCTGAACTAACTTGTTGGTCGGTGCACTAGTAAAACGAGTAATATCGTACATGGTACCGCACGCTCATATGGCTAAAGGGTTGGGTTTCAAAATGTTGTTTTTTTTTTTTTTCGTGGGCACATGGTTAATTTATGTACGTTTTAGGTGCGTGGCGGAAGGGAAGAGGTTATAGATGCATTGGAACTGACTAATATGTACTACCATAATATTGGAATATCAATATCCTCATAGTATATATTGTACGTAGTATAGCATAGCAAACCTTAGGAAGTACCTAGGCTAGGTAGACAGTGGTATATATGTTAAAATTGCAAGTATCTCATACATATGCAGTATTACGTACCCAATTTTAAATAGGTCCCTTATGGTAGGTAGTAAACGCTATTTTGGCTTTCTTTGCTGTAAACAGCATCCGGTATACCTACGTCAGAGCGTTGAGGACGTTGAGGGCGTTGATAGGCCGAAAACGGCCTACTATGTATACTATGTAGTTAATTTTTTTCTTCTCTTCCGTCTAGCGGGCCCCATATGGACCATGTACAGTGTGTAACGCAAATACAGCAGGTCTAATTGGCCTATAGAAGGTACAACAAATATGGGCCATGCATGGTTAGCTTGGGAATTTCGGAAACCAGTCAGATCGCACACAACCTTGAATTCTTAGTCCCCCGCCATGAAAAACACCTTTTTTTTTTTCCTCCTTTCCCCGGCCGTCTTTAAAACTAACGTTACTACTCCTTTCCCAATCCACATCTATAACTATCGGTATTCCTTAGAATTTCTAACCTCTTCTACACCAACTGACTTCACCTCTACTTTTTTGCCTCTTCTGATTGAAAATTTCCAAGTAGCCCTTATGAACGGGCGCTCGTCAGTCTTCACATCCCAGGTACGTTCAATGAAAGGACTCCAGTCACTTTCAAAATATGACTTCATTCCCACTGTCCCCGATATTCGACATATGAAAAATATATTCGTCGTTACCACGCTTTCCATATCCTACCTTCGCCTCACACATTCTATCTTCTCTCCAAGAACCTTCTGATCTATATTCATGGTACTCTAATTTTTTTTCTCTCTTTCTTTTTGCTAACCGTATCGCCACAGGATTATATCTCTGGTTCGTCTAGTCTACTTCGCGAATCTGACTCACCGCTTTGGATACTAACGTAAATTTAGACCACTTGTGGCGGGCTCTCTCCGCTTAAAGGAGGCCATTGAACAATCTCTCTAAACTCAAAGCGTTGAAATTTTACCACTCCAGAACATGATGTTCTCACGACTAGCCCTAAAGGCTGCGAAGCCTGTAGCATTCGGTGCTCCAAGCTTCTCGGCACGGGTCCGATTCCTCTCCACCACTGGAAACTTCTCGGCCCAAGCCATCCAAGGTAGTAAGGGTAGGCAGATGCCTCGGACTCTATCTCGGGGTACGAAACCTGCCTCTGGTATGGAGGCTACACTTACTCTTCGGGTATGTTATAACTACAATAGATTTCGATAAGAACCGTGTTCTGACGGACAAAAAAAGGATGGGCCTATTTTCCACGGAAAGGCCTTCGGAGCCAACTCCAACATCTCCGGCGAGGCCGTTTTCACTACTTCCCTTGTCGGTTACCCAGAGTCGATGACCGACCCCTCGTACCGTGGACAGATTCTTGTCTTCACTCAACCATTGATTGGAAACTACGGTGTTCCTTCCAGCGAGCGTGACCAATGGAACCTGCTGAGGCACTTCGAGTCCCCTCATATCCAGTGTGCAGGGATTGTTGTCGCTGATGTCGCTGAGAAATACAGCCATTGGACCGCGGTGGAGAGTTTGGGCGATTGGTGTGCCCGGGAAGGTATTCCGGCCATCTCAGGTGTCGATACCCGTGCTATCGTCACTTACCTACGAGAGCAGGGTTCTTCCCTCGCCAGGATCTCTGTTGGCGATGAGTATGACGCAGACGAAGACGAAAGCTTCGTTGATCCCGGCCAGATTAACCTTGTGAAGCGGGTTAGCACTAAGGCACCTTTTGTTGTGGAGGCTCACAACCCCAAGTATCACATCGCGCTACTTGACTGCGGTGTTAAGGAGAACATCCTTCGAAGCTTGGTGAGCCGTGGAGCTAGCGTAACAGTGTTCCCATACGACTTCAAGATTCAGAAGGTTGCCGACAACTTTGACGGTGTATTCATTTCCAACGGTCCGGGTGACCCGACCCATTGCCAAGCTACCGTACACAACCTCAGGGTCCTGATGGAGACTTCCCAAGTACCCATCATGGGCATCTGCTTGGGTCACCAGTTGTTGGCTCTAGCTACTGGTGCTCGAACCATCAAGCTGAAGTATGGTAACCGGGCGCACAACATCCCCGCTTTGGATATGACAACTGGACAGTGCCACATCACCAGCCAGAACCATGGTTATGCTGTTGATGCTAGCACCTTGGGTAGCGAATGGAAGGAATACTTCGTTAACCTTAACGACGGTAGTAATGAAGGTGAGTTATTTTTATCTTTTCACAAAACTTACATAATTACCAACGAGTTGCTAATGCAATCTGATATAGGCATGCGCCACATCTCCCGACCAATCTTCTCAACCCAATTCCACCCTGAGGCCAGAGGTGGCCCTATGGACAGCTCCTATCTTTTCGACAAGTATATCGAGGATGTGATGGCCTTTAAGGCATGCCAGGCTGTTTACAAGGACAACAGGCCGTCCCAGTTCATGCTCGATATTCTGAGCAAGGAACGAGTCGGCGTTCAACCAGAGCCTCTGGCTAGTCCTGCTTAGAAAATTTGGGTTTCGTAGAGGCACAGATAGGTATATTCTATTTATTAGGGGCATATTTGGGTGGGATCGTGTCATAAAGGGAGTTGATGTATCTTCAAACCGAAAAGGAATAATCGGTATGCATTTGTAATTTGAAGTATTTGTAGGGGTCAATCCCCTTTTACGATATTTTTATTATGCCTTGTGAATACGGTATTTGCCTACATACCTCGTCTCGATATTCTCTCTACAGACGGTTAAATATAGTTGATAAATAAACGTGGACATGATAGAGAATATTAGGTATATATCGCTCTGGAATCCAAAGCCAGCAGCATCCTACCACATACATAGGTATATTTAGGTATTGTAAACGCTCCTATGGGCACATTGATAAACAAAAAGACTAACTCCTGGATTCCATTAATTACATAGCGCGGAGGGTATTTCAAGATTCGCCGTGCGGGAGGAGACAAGTATCGCGCCGACGGGATTTGAGACGGGGATTAGCTAGAACCACGTTATGGATAACTAGTATGTATCTAATCAGTCGGGGAACCTGCTTTGCGAAACATGAGTGGGTGAAGCCTACGGCTTTAATCTGGTTTTCTTTTTCTTTTGTTTTTCTTTTTTTATATGGAATGAAACGTCCTCTATTAGCATGCGTTTTGCGCATTTGCCTACACTACCTAGCTAGGCGGCTGTCTCTTGTCTTACTCAAAGTAGTAGCTCGTGATACTATTCGCGAATAGGCCTTGCTTTGCTTTGCTTGGTTTGGTTTGGCTAACTTGCTTGCTTGCTTGCTTGTTTGTTCTCGGACTGGGTATCCTTCCTTCTCTCCTTATACAAATGCATCCATGCGTCCATCCCGTTCTGCCTTTGCGATGCTAGGTACTTTTCCGTGTGTGCTTTCTCTCTGTACTCCGTAAATGCTTTGGACCTTTGCTTTTAAGAGAAAAAAAGAAAACTTCTGCGAATAGTCGAGCGCACGGGGAGATACGCACGCACGAATAAACGCAGGATACGTTTTGGTTTTATTTATTTGTTTCATATACAAGCACTCTCACCATATTTAGCAAACCAGTAATAACTCACGTAACTCACTTGGTCGTCAACCCCGAGTCCGTCTCTCTAAGCTATCTGCCATGTTAGTTAGTAACGATTGTAGCTATCTCTGCGGCTTGGCCGCTCGTCCGCATATCGGCCGTAACCGTCACGGCGGCTACTTCTGTCGTCGGAGTACCGCGAGCGTCCGCTGGAGCCGGATTCTCCAGGCCGGAATCGATCGCCACCTCTAGGAACGCCGTGGAAGATAGGCATGCCGCCGCGGCGTCTGCCACCACCACCACCACCACCGGCTCGGCGACTACGTCCTGGTTCGCGGGCCGGTTCGCGGCCTGTCTCATGTCTCTGCTCGCGTTCGCGCTGATGTTCTCGGTGAGGTGGACGGATACCGAGGAAGATCTCTTTGCCCCTATCGACGAGCGTGTCGCCGTTCTCGAAATAGTAACGCTTGTAGTCTTTGCCAAAGTCTCGGTCGGTATCCTTAGTCTTGGCGGCTGCGATCGCGTCGAGTCGTCGTCTGACCAGGTCGTCTGAAACGGGTTGATATCTAACGATGGGGTGCGCATGTGTCGATTGTCCGGGCTGGTCTAGTATTCCTGCTCTGGTTTGGTGCATTCCGGGGCCGTGGTTCGAGTTGAAACCGCGTGGTCCTGTGGGTGCGCCTTCGATTCCTGAAAACTGTCTGGAAGGTCCAGTAGGGATGGAAGGTTTGCGCTCGAGCTGAGGTTCAGGTGCCGGGGGTGCCTGCTTTGTAGGGCCAGCGCCGTCGAATTCCTCAAGTTTGACAATTACGTTACCGTCTTCATCATTATCGTACACGACCTCGTAGCGGTGGGTCGAACCGCGTCCTCCGGTAGATGTCTGCTCCATATCAACCCACTCCGCGAAACGCTCTGACGGAATGAAGTCAACCCACAAAGCCTTGCGGTTGGTTTCGTCGGGCCAGACGCGGTTGTGCAGTGCGGTACGTACCCTTGAGGCAGATGAGATGGTGTTGAACACTACGAACGCGTGCGTTCGGATAGTGTCGAGGTAGAAGTCAACAATAGTACCTTCTTCGGCAGGTGCACCTATCGACGCGGCGAGGTCTAGCAGGTGTTCCTTGACTGCCTGCGGTCGAAGAGGTCTCATAAAGTTCTTAATGTACAGTGCAGAGGTTGCGGGATGGATGGACGGCTCTACATCTCGTTCTATCTCAGCCGGGTGAGCGGTATAGGTTTGCTCTCGAGAAGGCTCATCTTCGGGGGGTTCTTGGAAGGTTGCCTGGGTCTTATTTGTTACCACTTCTACAGCGTGTCCATTTTGAAGGTCGGGGTTAGCATCATCAGCTAGGATTGGCTGGGTAACACCGTTATCGCGTTCACGTTCGCGCTCAACTGGCGCCTCATCCTTGGTATCTTCCATCTCAACGTCAGGAGGAGCCCGTGTTGTATCCTCTTTGTCTTCTTGCAGCTCTGCCACTGCATCGGCTTTCTCTCCGACGGGGGTTGCGACGACGGGGTCTTCCTGGGCATCTCGATTATCTTGCCTAGCTCTCTTGCGTGCTACTTCTTCGCCGGATGGTGCAGGGCTTAGAGACCTTCGCTTTCGCTTTTGTGAATCTTGTATTAGTTCGGTAGGATGTAGCAGTGTGTCTCCAGTCGAGGGTGCTAGCTCTTGCGTCTCAGTAAGGACTGGTGCAGATACTTCCTGCCCCGGTATGGCTGTGGCTTCGGCTTCGGCTTCGGCTGCGACTTCGGACTGCTTGGAGGATTCATCAGGAGGAGTTGCGTGGGAATATTCTGGAGCTTCTGTTGCTTCAGGGGGGATCTCCACCGGTTGCACCTCCCCATTAACGGCCTCGGTTTCTTCAGGGGTTTCACCTGAGGATTGGGAAGCGGCTCTCTCGGAGTCGACAGCTTCTAGGCGTGCTACTAGGTCCGCCTTGAGGCCATTCTGCGGTAGGCCAAGTCGCTTCAATTCCGACTTTAGGTCAACGACCTTCAGCTTGTTCCAGTCTGTAGCCATGTTGTAACAAATTTAAGTTTACGATAATTTGCACATCGGCTGCAGATATACCTTTATAGAAAAACTAAAAGGCAGTTGAGAATTAGAAGCGTGGTGTTAGAGGTATCTATACGGATCCGTAGTTGTAGGGTTGTGATGGGAGGAAGGATGAAGATGATTGTTATAAAGCGGCTGCGAACAAAGAGAGAGTCGAAAACCGCAGCTTTTTTTTAATAAAAAAAGAAGAAAAAGGCTGCAAAAGGTAGTAGTAATCTTTTATGGCGTAAGCAATGTAATGAAACTGAATGAAGTATTCAAGCAGTGATTTTCTTAAAGGTTGGTATATTGGCGGAAAAACACCTGATGTTGAATACTTGATGGCATTGGGTTTAATGCAGTTCTGAGTTGGGCGGCGCGTGTGTCGCGGTCTCGGTCTCGCAATCAAAATTTCAAATGCAAGCGAACAGTTGAATTCCAGCTGTCAATGCCCAGAGCTTTCATATTAGCTTGAATGCAGCTACATCATAGGTGCCTGGATGCCTAGGCTACAAGTACTTGTGTACCGTGGGAAGCCACGCCATACCTCTCTAGGGCTAGCGTACATCTGACATAGTAGGTACCTAAATACATAGTAACTACCTCATGTTGTGCAAACCTCAAGTCTAGTTGAACTGCACAACAGGTACGACTCTCTACAAATGCTCATAAATACGCGGCGCGGCTTCTATCTTTAGGTTAGGTTAGGTAGGTATTCAATTCCTATTAAAAAATTAGTAAAGCAAATTTGGATCTCGCTATAATTCTTAAAAATCACAACAGGCAACAAGCAAAACAGTTACAAACGGATCAGAAACAAACCTAACATTCTCATATCTCATATTCGACTCGATCAAATGTGTATTGTAAAAAGCAATAAATAATTCGTGAATCCTTGTTGGTCGATTATCAGTTTTGCTCAGAATGCCCTTGTTCTTATCCTTGGTTCTAGTGTACCTAAAAAGGTTCTATTCACAATTCATAAAACTGTTACTACATTCTCTTAACAACTTTACCCTTACTACATTAATTACATTTCTACAGAAGTCTATTACAACCTCACAGCCGTCAACATGACTGGATCCCACAGCTGGTTTTCACGCAAAGCACCTAGAAGAAAATCTACCCGTAGTGTCAAAGCATCCCATGGCAACTTACAAGCAGACACGGTTATTAGTGGCCGTATTACCAAACAAGTCTCTAATAAAGGGAAATCTTACGAAAGCCCTGTCAAGATCAAATATGAAGATGAAGAAGTTGAAGCTCTTGCCACAGGCGCTCAATCAAGCCAGGTAGTCGAAGAAAACGAGGATATTGGTGAGGATGACGTTCTGGACACCATCGAGGAAAGTAATGACAACGAAGGAGGCGGCGAAGGATTCAGCGAAGGCAGCATAGAGGATGAGATCATAGTCCGTACTACCAGCCCTCTAAGTAGTACTACACGGGAAACGACAGAAACGAATGAGTCGCTGAGCGGCAAGTCCCGTCAAAGCAATCCGGTTGAGTCTTCTGCCAGCAAAGAAACAATTCAGGGCCGCGATACAAAAGAAGGATGGCGTTTTGAACAAGTTTTCCTCAACCAGGTCTTAAAAGCGCGAGATGAATACACCCTAATGCCGACCACCTGGAGGATGCATTTTCGAGGAGTTCCTTTGCCCGATGGCTTGTTCTACATCAAGACTCACGCCGTCAGTGCCCGGCCAAGGATATACGCCCGCACGGATAAACTTGAATATCAAGGTACGTTATCAGGGTTAACAACAATAGCGTTGCTGTCGATGCTCATATTCCGTAGGTGCTACTGCGCTTCGCAAACTGATGGATATTCATGGACGAGTCCGCGATCTCCGTAGGGAGCAACGGTCTAACCAGGACGAAGAACATAAGCGTCGATGCGGACGCAGACTTGTCGACCATATTAAACAGGCGCTAACGCAGGCTTTGCGGTGGTCTGCGACTGACGGAAATATAAGAAAATATCGCCGTGACTTCGAGCCTAACATCGTGATCTTAGAGATGAATGACGAAAACAAGTCGGACATGGACGTAGTCATCGAAACCGAAATAACGAAGCTATCCGCATGGTGGCGTGATAAGCTCGCTCTCGTACCTGGAGAGTCACGTCCAGAAGCACCAGTACTCTTTGGTTTCGTAATATTCAAGCATATCGTGTTTATCGTCACAATGGACGCCCAAAACCCGAATGCTGTCTGCCACGTCCCGTGCCAACTAAACCTGTCAGAAGAGAACCAATACCAATGGAACGCCTTGGCAATTATGGCCACTATCTGCTGGGCCAGAGACCTCTACATAAGTATGATGGACCGACTACTAGTAGGTGTGGATTACGACGAAGGTAGGCACTCGAGCGATCCAGATGCTTAACAGGTCCGAGACAAAGGTATAGAAATAAGGAAGAACTTGCGGCTGTGTGTTAGCCAGGTCTAAAAAGTGATATAATGATAAAATGCTTGGAAGGGTAGCATGTCGAGGTTTGATGATGACATACAAGAGATAACGAGGAATGGCATGATGTCTGCATATGTTCAACTACGAAGCAATGAAAGCTATTTAGGTCGGAATTTGCATTTGAACTTTGCTTTGCTAAGTTAGGTAGATACCTTGCATGCTGCTTAGAAATCAACTATAAGTGTTGTTTATATATCAGCTAAAAATAATAAACTCTACCTTAGGTACCTTAGGTACTCATGCTGGTTTGCCAGATACTTCAAGTGCCTCTTAACATAAGGTAGGAAGGAAGGATATCTCATCCTACAATCATCTCTTTAACGAATATGGGAGGTACTTATGCAAGTACCACCTTAGGTACCTACCAGGTATAAATTGAGTTGGAAATCTGGGGTACTGGTGGGGCTATCGATTTAGCTAAAGGGCCCCTCCAAAATTCTACTATCTATGCGATTGCGCGACGTTTTGCCCCGCGAACTTTTCAACCCTTGGATTGAATAGGTAAATTTTGTAATCACCGCGGCCGAAGATGACGAGCAGAATAGGGGGGTTGAGCTCAAATGACACGGGGTCGCTACAGGGTAAGAATGACAATATAAACTCATTAAGAAGTTTTTACTTATATTCGATTAACTATCTACCTAGGTATCCTTGAAGTATGGCACGACCATCGACCCGTGATACTATTTGCGACAACTGGTATTTTAGTAGTGCTTTGGTTATATATAGAGCTACGCCAGAAACCCAAGATTCCCACTGATGCTGTCAAATTCGATCAACCTCTTCCAAAACCTACCGCGAAAAGTGACAACAAAGCTCTGCAAGAAAAGGTTGACTTGCCCAAAGAGAAGCCTAAAGAGAAGACGAAAGAGCTCACTACCGGTCCACGACGTATCAAGGGTGAATTGCGAAGAACAGATAGCGCACGCAAGCATGAAGAGTCTAAAACACCCATCCAAACACTTGTGTTCTACTCATCCTTGACTGGAAGCACGGAGAAGACTGCTACTGAGATTGCCAAGACCCTGGGAATTTCGTTAGGAGAGAAAGTCGACGGCTCTGGGAGGTCCTTCTTAAATCCTCTCGTGTTAGATTTAGCCGAAGTGGATTACGATGAATATTTCATAAGCCCACCGAAACCAGCAGATAATGGCACCCCGATAGATTACTTCTACCTTCTCCTGGTGCCTAGCTACAATATCGATTCCATCAACGACAACTTTCTTGAGCATCTAACGGAAACGCATCATGACTTCAGAATTGATACCGCGCCGTTATCTGGTCTCATTGGCTACTCGGTCTTCGGCTTAGGTGATCGAGAGGGATGGCCGACCGAAGACGAAGGGTTTTGCTTTCAAGCTAAGGAGGTTGATAAATGGATGGCTAGGCTTACGAGCCGTAAGAGGGCTTACCCCTTAGGAATGGCAGATACGAAACGGGAACTTAAGGAAAGACTTGGCGAATGGACTGATGGAGTGGTCGACACCCTAAAGCACATTGCCCTAACTGGGTCTTTAGGAGAAGGAGTACCTGGTAGTGGAAATGATGTGGAAAGCGAAGACGAACATGCTTCTGGGGATGACGATGGAGAAGCCGAAATTGACCAAGCAGTGACCACAACTAAGCCGAAAAAGGGACGTTCGGGGAACATTGAAGATGTCGAAGATCTCGGGAAGATTATGAAGACCTCTCGAAACGACACAGAATTACCAACCGGCTCCGCACCAATCGCCGTGGACTTCACCACATACAACAAACCAAAATCGAAGAGACCACCCCAAACTGTTAAAGAGATGGTACCTAAGAATTCGCCCACATACGCCTCTTTGACTAAACAGGGGTATTCCATCGTAGGTTCGCATTCAGGGGTCAAGATATGCAGGTGGACCAAGTCAGCACTACGAGGACGCGGCTCCTGCTATAAGTTTTCGTTTTACGGCATCGCATCGCACCAGTGCATGGAGACTACGCCGTCACTATCATGCTCCAACAAATGCGTTTTCTGCTGGCGACACGGAACAAATCCAGTCGGAACCACCTGGCGCTGGGTTGTGGACCCACCCGAGATGATCTTCGACGGCGTCAAAGCTGGTCACTACAAAAAGATCAAGATGATGCGCGGTGTTCCCGGCGTCAGGGCCGAGCGATTCGCAGAAGCGATGCGCATACGGCATTGCGCGCTGAGCCTGGTCGGCGAGCCTATCTTCTACCCGCACATCAACGAATTCTTAGCATTGCTACACGGCGAGCGCATCTCTTCTTTCCTGGTCTGCAACGCCCAGCACCCGGAGCAGCTCGCGGCCCTCAAGGCCGTCACGCAGCTCTACGTGTCGATCGACGCCAGCAACAAGGAATCCCTGCGCAAGATCGACCGGCCCCTGCACCGCGACTTCTGGGAGCGCTTCCAGCGCTGCCTGGACATCCTGCGCGAGAAGCGCTTCCGCCAGCGCACCGTCTTCCGCCTGACCCTCGTCAAGGGCTTCAACGTCGAGGACGAGGTGGAGGGCTACGCCGACCTCGTCGAGAGGGGCCTGCCGTGCTTCGTCGAGATCAAGGGCGTCACGTACTGCGGCACGTCCAGCAGCGCCGGCGCGGGCCTCAGCATGGCCAACGTGCCCTTCTACGCCGAGGTCACCGAGTTCGTCACCGCCCTAGATAACAAGCTGCGCGAGCGCGGGCTCGGGTACGGCATCGCCGCCGAGCACGCGCACAGCTGCTGCGTGCTCCTCGCCAGCGAGCGCTTCAGGGTCGACGGCAAGTGGCATACGAGGATCGACTACCAGCGCTTCTTCGAGCTGCTCGAGGAGCGGGGCGCGGACGGCGACTGGACGCCTGAGGAGTATATGGGCCCCGAAACGCCCGAGTGGGCTACCTGGGGTAACGGCGGCTTCGACCCGCGGGACGAGAGAGTCGATCGTAAGGGCAGGAAGATCGAGGTCTCCTAGTTACGTACCTAGGTACCTACATACATAGACAGATATCTTTATAATTACAGCTAGGTAGTTGAGATAGATAGGAGGTAGGTAGGTTTACTTTAAGGTTATTTATACACGGGGGGTGGGGAGGGAAAGGGGTTGAGCAAATCGCATAACATAGAGCGAACAATAAAAAAAGAAAAAATAATAAAAAAAGGGTTCATGATCCATAATTTGTCTATACCAGCCCCCCAGACATTATCATCATGAAAAATGTACAGCGGAGCCACCCTTATTCTACAGCGGAATAACCGGCAGCCTAATAAACGACCAGCAGCCGCCCTTAGCCAGCCGCGCCGGACCATATATCATACAAGGTATCCCCATGTGTTTGTTTGTTTGTTTGTGTGTTGCGTGTGTGTTATGCGTATAGTAGTATACCTAATAGGGCCATCTTTTAGACCATTCGATGCTCGGGGGTTCTCCTCTTCTCCTAAAGCGGAGGGTTATCTTGAAATTTTTTATTTTCCTTTACTTTGGCTTTTGCTTTTTTGATAATGTGATTTTTTCCTTCTTTCTCTTTTTTTAATAATCAGCCTCCTCGGGAGGGAATGGATCCGGGTCAAGGCTATCATGGCCATCGCCGCCGTTGACATGATTCACCGTCCGCCTCCTAGGGAAGAGTGGAGTTGTGAGTAACCGCCGCGGCCTATAAATGGAGTTCTAATCCAGACCGGCGCTGGGCAGATCGGAGAGGTTGATACCGGCGCCCAGGTCGAGCGTCTTGTCGTACGCGATCATTTCTGCTAGGACGTCTAGGACACGCTGGTAGAGGGGTCAGCAGGGGTTGCCTCGTGGTATGGATATGGCTTCGATGCGGGGGGAGGGATGGGCTCGTAATGTGTAAGCGCGAAGAGAAGCCTTTTTCTTCTTACCTTATCCACGGTCTTATCGTATATAGAAATCAAGTCCCCCGGAGTCGGGTATACCTTCAGAGCCTTGTAGAAGGCTAGTGCGGCTTCCATTGTGTTTAATGCTGTGTTAGGTTCGCCATGCGTTAGCACTTCTTTGTCTTGGGGCCATATCGTCTATACCAAAAGTTTCTCTCGACATGATACGAACAACGTCCTGCATCCTTCTTCGCTATCCTAGGTCCCGAAACGTAGACGAGGCATATAGGGTATAGTATATATGCGCGTGTGACTTACGGTCAGCGGCGAGAAGTTCTCCCTTCTGGACATGGTCCATGAAGAACTGCTCCTTCTCGTTAACACCGGTGGGGTAGCCGTCTTCCGTAGCTTGATCCACGGCCATCTGAATGTCTCTGCGCTTCTGCTTAGTCTGCGCTACAGCTTCTTCCTTCTCGGCGCGCGCTTGTCGTCGCTCTTCCCTTCGTAAGTTCCGTCGGAAGTTAGGGTCTGCCCGACGTTGGTAGTCGAAATAGATCGCATAGGCTGTTGGACACAATTAGTTTTTAATTTTATTTTGATTTTATATTTTATTTTATATTTTTTTTTTTTTTTTTAGATTTGAACCCAACGAGAAGAAACGTATGCTCGGGAATATTTCGCAATCTGTAATTCAAAGCCCAAGTCATGGATTGGAAAGAGAATGCCGTACCCAGAATACCTGTCGCGGCCGTGGCGGCGGATATCGTTAATATAGTACTCGGTTGGACCATCTTGATGGATGTGACGATTTTGAGGGTCGAGAAAACAAGTTTGGAGGGGGAGGAGCCAATTAGATCGACAAGTTGGGTGGTGGCAGCAACCGAATAAATATTAATACGAAGATGGACCAAAGAAATAGATAAATTTTTGTCCTGTCTATTTTAAAGTATGCGACGCAAAAGTTGCTGGAGCTCGGCAGAGTTGCGTTCGTTGAGAGGCAGGGACTTTTAATATTAAAAGCAGGGACTTGAAGATAAAAAAGCAGCAACTTCTTTCCGTAGGTAATTTTTTTCAATGGCACCAGGTTGTATTCCGTCTAGGTAGGTACCTAACTTCGATTTACAAGTGACGTGCAATCGCGGCTCAGCCTCGGATCCTTGCTATCGGGTACGGCGCTAAGCATGAACAGGGGCTAGCGTATCCCGCCGTCAAATAAATCCGGCCGATTTAGCACTGGATTTAGCACGCTGCACAGCGAAGATAGGTACCTAAACATAGCGAGAGACGGGAGCACAGAGCAGAAAATGCACATTCTAATACATACATGTAGTGGACATGTCGCATAAGTGGCATATGTACCTAGGTACCTAAGGTTAGATACCTGTCTCAGGTCTCAGCCAAGCCAAGCCGCGTCGACCCTCAAACTCCAATACCTGGTGATGATGATGATGATAATGACGGTGGTGACTTTTTAAATAAGCACCACAATTAAATCTCATTTTTACCGGTTCATCCCTCAATTTTAACCAGCCCTTGATGGATTGGTAAACAACCTTACTACCGCATTGAATGATACATGTAATACCTACAGCGCCGAATAATTCCCATCTCTAATTACCTTTACCTTCTCCCTATCCCCGTCATCCCGTCATCCCGTCTAGACCTAAACACCCACAATGTCTGAAGAAAAAGAAAGGAGCAAGATATCGCTCCGTAGCGGTCCTAAGAGGAAAGGTCGTCCTACCATAAGCGCCCCTCGCCAGATATCAGATCCCATTCCACAAGATGGGGTTCCGATTCCTCGTAGCACCGGAGGGAAGGTTGGAACGAACAACGTGCCGCCACCCCGACAGCGACAGCCTCCCGCAACTGGTGGAAAGGTATACCGAAGTGATTCTATTGGTTATTTATTCTCTCTGCTAATCGTACTCTTTGCTCTTTACAGACTGGCGACCTTGTTAAGCGACGATATTCGACCCGTTTTAATAATCTCCCTAGTGATTTCGATCCAACTGCTCCTCCGATCCCGTCTATGCCCACCTTCGATATTTCCAAATACGATCAGCAGGCATCGCGACCTCTAGCGCCCTCTTCGCGTGACGGACCAGGAGCTGGCGCGTCCAGGGGTGCTCCTCCAACCGTAGACCCTAAGGCACTTAGAGATCCGAGACTCGTCCCCGATCAGTATGTCGCTAATATTCTTAGCGAGGCTACTGAAGATGAGATTAGAGATTACGAAACTGCCCTTCGCAAGCTGAAGAACAGGGCGTCTGCAGATTTACAGCAGAGTGTCTACCAAAATAGGGCACAGTTCATAAAAATTAGTAAAGAGGCCGAGAAATTGAAGTCCGAGATGCGCACTTTGCGCAATCTGTTTAAAGAGTTAGCCACGAATACGAATGCGCTCCGAGCTGCATCCGGTAACCATGGCAGCTCTATGAATGGAGAGTTCTCCACCGGTCTAAGCAAGAAGGACAAGCGTAGCTCGGTAGCGGATAGGACCGTTCTTTGGAATACTCAAATGCAAGTTCTGTACAAGAACGTGGAGGGTTCTCAGAAGTTTTTACCCAACTCGATGGGTAGGCACGTTATCCAGGATGCCGGTCCTTGGATTGAGCTCGACAATGCGACGTACAAGTCAAGGAGATCTATGCAAATATTTCTTCTCAATGATCACCTTCTCGTCGCTTCGCGGAAAAAACGTAAGACGGATAACCCGAACGACACGCGTGGCCCAGCTACCAAGTTAGTTGCGGATCGCTGTTGGCCGCTTTTGGATATCGAGGTTGTCGACATGGCCGCAACCTCGGAAGCATACAGCGGCAGGAACAAGCTGGCGGATGCTATCATGGTTCGGGGCGTCGGTCAGGAGTCATTTATCTACAGGACAGAAAAGCAGGAAGACCCGGAGAAACCAGCATTGTTATTGAACATCCGAAAAGCCGTTGAGGAATTAAGGAAGAACTTGCAGTCTGAGATGGAGGCGAATAACAAGGCTAAAGAGACTATTAACTACTTCGCCTCCCGAGATCCGGGTTTACTGCAAAAAACGGAGCTACTTGAGACGCTCTCTGACATTAAGGATATGTTAATCGAGGTGGACGGGAAACAGCAAAATCTCCGCTGGGTGGAAGGTCAGATGGATGAGCTGGATATCGATATCGCCCTTCAGAAATTTGATCTGGCAGTCGATCGTGTCGAGAAGCTGCAAAAGCTCGCCCGTGGCCTGAAGAACAACGTTATAGCGCAAGATTTTATCGACTTCAAGATCGAGGAGAGATGTTCCAAGTTAGCTGGTTTAATCATACGGGAACTGGTCGACTCGCATAGCCAGCCGCTTAAAACAAAACGTAATGTCGAGTGGCTCAACAGGTTAGGGTTCGAAGACCGCGCCAGAGATGCATATCTTAAGGCTCGGAGTGACTTGATCCAGAAGCGTTCAAGGTAAGTTCTCGCAGGATGCTAAAGATGTTACTTTTTTTTTTCACATACTAACTTGGCGTAGACAATGCATCTTCCAAGGCGATCTTCACCTCTACATCTGGCAAATCTCGTTTGTCTATTTCAGTATAATTAAAAACACGGTGAACTGCTTCCAGAGTTGCTTTCCGTACACGATGATGAGCGCCTGTGTGAAATGGGCCAAGGAAGAAGTGGATGCTTTCAACGTAATTCTGGCGAGGCAGCTGAGCAGCACGGAAAGGGATGGCGTGGTATGGAGACAGTGTATGGAGAGAGCTAAGCTCCACGCCGAAATGCTCTCGGAAGTGCAGCTGGACTTTGGAGATCTGGTGGGCAGGGAACCTCAAGGGGCGAAAGCTAATGGACCGGTTGGACTCGGGCTGGCGTAGGCCTTTTTTGATGATGTATCATTAAATAGCCTTGCCTTCTACTATTTGAACATAATCCTGATCGATCTTCTGGTATTATCGAGTATGATTTTACGATTGGAATATAAATATGTGTGTATATACAACACCTACCTAATCCATGCATGGGCTAGAGGTAGTCTACCTCCTAAAGTGTTTATTGAAAGGTAGAGGGGATCCAGCTGCTAGAGAATTAGGTAGGTAGGTACCTACCTTACTTATTATAGGGGGCAAGGGGCTGAGGGTAGAAGGGGGCAGTGGACTGGTGGGGTGTAAAAAAGAGCCGCAATTTTAGTGGCAACTGACGTACATTTGTACACAATGCGGAGGTACGTAGTACATCGTGGCTACCTTTGCAGCCACTAGATAAGGTGCACTAGATAAGATAGGTACTCTTAGCCTTTAGGTACCTATGTACATACCTAAGGTACCCAAGGTACCTAGCTGCTAGCATCCCTTTTTTGTAAGGCCAGAAGGTCCAAGTTCCAACCGTGCTCTGCTAGGTATTCTCTGCTATCAAACAGGGAAAAATCCTATTTTCGTAATCGCTCGTGACAAACTCCCACTCCCACATTACCCCTTCAATCTTCAATCCCACTAACACGCGACAAAGATACCTTAAAGAACCACCCCCGAATTTCCACACCCCCCAAAAAAGAATTCATCGAGCGAGTTTACAATTAATAAACTTAAACTTTTGTAACTATCATTTTATTCTTCTTTTTTTCTGCGACGATACCCTTTTAGACCCCACCCACCGAAATCCATCTACATCAACGACGAGGCGTTGCGCTGTTGTTACCGGTGCCCTAAAACGTCATCTCGAGTCGACGGCCCCCCCTCCGCCCCTTTGACTCTATCGATTCGATAACCTCCTTCAGGTCTTGCGAAGCAACCTGCAATACTAGGTACCGCTCTACCGCTCTACCGCTGGATAGTACGGACATAATACCTCAGTTACCATCGTGCGACCTGATTCTTGGTCCTCGTCTGTCAACATGGATACCAATATGGAAGACGTCGTGCGCGTACCCGCTGATCTGGCCCCGATCCCCCCCTCAGAGCCTACGACTACCCCTACCCTCGACGGTTGGATCGAAAGTCTAATGAACTGCAAACAGCTTTCGGAAGCTGATGTTCAGAGGCTCTGCGAGAAGGTGAGCTATCGCATATCATCTGCATATCCATCTGCAGCAGTTGTCGCATCTCACCTTGAAACAATCATACTAATATCGCCCTATTTATCTAGGCGAGAGAGGTCTTGCAGGAGGAGTCTAACGTCCAGCCGGTGGTATGTTGTTGTATTGTGTATATCATATCTGTCGCTTCTGCTCACATGCAGTCTAGAAATGCCCGGTGACGGTGTGTGGCGACATCCACGGCCAATTCCATGATTTGATGGAATTATTTAAGATTGGTGGTCCCAACCCAGATACCAACTACCTGTTCATGGGTACGTATTCCTCATGCCTCGCAATACCCCCCCTTAACGGGGGGTTGTTGAAGACATGGAAGATATGGTTATTAATTATTGATACAGGTGATTACGTCGACCGAGGATACTACTCTGTCGAGACGGTAACGCTGCTAGTTGCCCTTAAGATCAGATACCCTCAACGCATCACCATCCTACGTGGCAATCACGAGTCCCGTCAGATCACCCAGGTCTATGGTTTCTATGACGAATGCCTTAGGAAGTATGGCAATGCCAATGTTTGGAAATTCTTCACCGATCTTTTCGACTACCTTCCCTTAACTGCCCTCATCGACAACCAGATCTTTTGTCTTCACGGTGGTTTGTCGCCTAGCATTGATACGCTTGATAATATCAGAGCTCTCGACCGAATTCAAGAAGTTCCTCACGAGGGTCCCATGTGCGACCTGCTCTGGTCTGACCCTGATGACCGATGCGGTTGGGGTATTAGCCCTCGCGGTGCTGGGTACACTTTTGGGCAGGATATTTCGGAAGCATTCAATCATAACAACGGCTTGACTTTGATTGCCCGAGCTCACCAGCTGGTCATGGAGGGATACAACTGGTCGCAGGATAGAAATGTGGTGACGATATTCTCTGGTGAGCTGCCATTATTATCCAACTCTTCTAAGCTCTTCTAGAAGCAACTTACTAATTATTCCTAGCACCTAACTACTGCTACAGATGCGGTAACCAAGCAGCTATCATGGAGATCGATGAGCATCTGAAATACACCTTGTAAGTGGCCTATATCGTATCGTAGCTTGACGATGAGACATGTTCCGTCTTTAACTTTGGGAAATATATACTTACTATTTTCGTGTAGCTTACAATTTGACCCATGCCCACGGGCTGGTGAGCCGATGGTTTCACGACGTAAGTTTTTATTAACCGTCTTATCTCCTTATGACATCAAGACTAACTTGAATAATAGGCACACCAGACTATTTCCTCTAAGTACCCTACAAATCTTGGTGCCACGCGTTGGACAAGGCGTGGGTACAAGGTTCGAAGGTGTCCGGGAGTTACGTTGAGCCTAGATCGCTATACCCCTGCCACACCAAAAGTCAGAAGGCAACGCACAAATGTGACCGCGCCGCAAGCAGCATCTTCAAGCATGTAACCCATCAACAACCTCAAATACAAACGGTCTTTGTCAGGCCGGTGCCGATGCGGTTGGCATAGCAAAAGGGAAAGGGATCTGGCGTGGGACTGCTGCGTCCTCATTACGATACCACATTTGGAGCCCATTTTTTGATGGGATAAGACATTATGAGCAGCCCACTGCAAAAGTAATTACCCGAACATTGTATTTCATGAATGAAGAAAGAGACTTTGGCTTCGATCATGGGATGAGCTTGGTGTATTCGAATGTGATGTGATGTTTCATGCAGCCCGTTAAGATACCTAAGAACTAGATACAATAGATAGGAGTAATTAGGATGGTTGATTCCTGTCATCGTCCCAAGTGGGAACTTGACCTCCTCCTTGGCGACATCATACCTGGTTGAGAGTTAGATATCGCACACGAGTATCAACACACTCGGTCTAAATCCTAGCTAGGCAGGTAGGTTTCAATCTCTGCCTCTTGGTAACCCCATTGCGCAGAAGCCAGGTTATTCGAATATAATCATTAAAATTTCGTAATGTGTAAGGTGGTATACACACAAGTTCTAAATTATCCTTCCTTATACAACATTTCCTTGTTGTCCTCCCTCGCCAACGTTTCCTTCGTTGAAGCAACCCCCCCCCCCCCCCTTGACGCCGTTGATATTGTGGTAACAGACAAAACAATGCTTTCTTCCCATATCTTCTTTCTTCTCCCTTTTCTAATTACCTAGGTACCTATTTACCTAGGTTAGGTTACACAGTCCTCGCCCGCGCCAGCGGACAACCAGGACTCCACGTTCTGCCGCTGCCGCTGCCGCTGCCGTTCCGTCTATTCCATTCGCTACCATCGCTACTCCCGTTGCTACTACTGCTCTGACTAGCACTTGTACTCGTACCACTGCTACCATTACTATTATTATTACCCTCTCCCTCCCCTTTTCCCTCCCCTTTTCCCTCCCCTTCTCCCTCTCCTTTTCCCACCTCATCATCATCCTCTTCTTCTTCTTCTTCTTCCCCCATCCCTACCCCGAACCCCCACCCCTCCGGCGCCAGCAGCGTCGCGCTCAGCAGCTCCAGGTCCAGGTCCAGCGCCGGCAGGATCGGCGGGCCCAGGTGCGCGGGGGCCGGGGCGCGGATGCGGGACAAGGACGGGGACGGGGACGGGGACGGGGACTGGGATGGGGTTTCGCGAATGATTTCTTGCACGTGCGCGGCTTCGCCGTACCCGTACCGGCTGAGAAATCCTAACCCCAACCCGTCGCCGAAAAGTCCCATCCCGCTCCCCCCGCTGCTGCCCCCGTTGCTGCAGTCCGGCCCGTACGCGTCCGCCTCGCTCTTGATGCGCATGCGCATGCGGCGGCGGGCGCGGGCGCGGGTGCGGGTGCGCAGGGCGAAGGGCATTGGGGTTGGTTTGTGGGATTTAGGGGATTTGGGGGATTTGGGGAACTTGGGGGAGGAGGGAGAGAAAGGGGGGTGGTAGTGGTAGTGGTGCTGTTGTTGTCGTTGTTGTTGTCCTTCTTGTTGTTGTTGGGGTGGTGGTTGGGAATGGGATAGAGGTGGGAAAAGAGATAACGAGAAACAAAGCGAGCGCGGGTGCGGGTGCGGGCGCTGGTTTGAAGGCTGTTTCCGCTCGAAGCTGCTGCTGCTCGTGCGCACGGCCGTGTTGGAGGAGTCGGTGTGGGATGCGGATGCGGATGCGGATGTGGCGGTGTTGTTATTATTGCGGTGCGAGTGCGAGTGCGAGTGTGAGGACGATGGGGAGGGGGGTGGAGATATGGTTTGCGGAGGGGGCGTGGATGAAGGCGGTATGGGAGTCGGGGTAGGCGTAGGAATCGGCGTGGGAGTCCGAGTCCGAGTCCGACCCGGACTCGTTGCGAGAAGGGGGGATCGAGCCGTAGTTGCGGCTTCGTTAGTTCCCATGACGGCGTACTCGCTGATGGGATTACTATACGAGGTAGAGTGCATAGACGGTACGATTGGGGAGCAGTCCCCTGGGCTCAGAGCATCATCTGGTACGATGAACCTCCTGTCGAAGCGGGCCAGCAGGTACGCGGTAGACACGACCAGGTCCGTGACGAAGTTGAAGCCGTAGTAGCACGCCCGACTATGGAACCAAGCCGGCTGGGAGCCGGGACGGCCGTCGAAGTTGACCCCTACGCGGAACACGGCTCCCATCGTCGCCACGAGCGATGCGAAGACGAGTAATCCGACCTTAGCACGCCACCGGCCCGCGCCGAACTTCTCGACGGGGCGGAAGCGGAACCGTCTCACGCGCTGCGCCGCGGCCGCCAGCCCGACCACGGGCACGGGCAGGAAAGTCAGAAAGGCCAGATACGAGCCGGCGAAGAGCTGGACGGCGCGGTCGGCGAGGCGGGCGCGGGGGTCCAGGGTGAAGAAGCTGTGGATGGTGGCGACGATGGCCATGACGAGGCAGCACATGACGCAGACGATGAGGAACCAGACGACGCCGCGGGTGCCGCGGTGCGAGCCGAGGCGCGGGTGGTAGGCGCGGAGGACGCGCTGGGCGAGGAAGAGGTTGATGATGAAGATGAGGACGGAGCCGCACTGGGTCATGACGCTGGCGGCGATGACGGCGTCGACGGTCTTGGGGTACGAGGCCCAGACCATGCGGGCGACGAGCGAGACGCTGCGCAGGAGGCACAGCGCGAACAGCATGCCCGAGAAGACGAACTTGAGGTTCCGCTTCTTGTTGATGCGCAGGATCGCCATGTGCGCCGCCGCCGAGAGCAGGAACAGCAGGAGCAGGACGACGGCGATCGGGTCGTCGATCGCGGGCGAGGGCTCGCCGCCTACCATGGCCATGGTCGGCAGGTACGGCGGGCCATCGGGCGTGGATAGCTTCGTGTTTGGAAACATTGTCAGCGCCGATGAGTTCCGGTAAGTTCGCAAAAAACAACGCTTTTCACTTGTTAACGTGGACGTACCTGGCTTGCTCCTGATACATTTCCATGGGGAGCACGAGCCGTCCAGCTCCCGGACGTGGCGGCGGCTTTTTCTCTCCTAAGCATTGCGAAGCGGCGATGTCCTCAGTCCGGCGGACACGGCCTGATACTACGGGGGCGGGGCTGACTATCTCGACTATGCTTCCGTCTTATTTCGGATACCCCAACCATATTAATAAAGAGAGAGATGGAAAAGAGAGAAAAAGAGAGGCCAGATCGGCGGTCGTAAGGCGTTGCATTTGTATCGCGGAACGGTGAGAGAGGTCATGGCGGAGAAGGCTTCGAAAATAGGTTGCAAGTGAACTCGGTTTGGAATCTGTAGACCTCGTCGTCATCCTGAAAAATCTAGACTAGCTAGAGTATGCGTCACTAACGCGCGACCTAGTCGTGTCCTCGTAGCGTTTAGATCCGGAGTCTATCGTGCTAGATATTAAGTCAAGAGGGAATAGGGGCCGGGCTTTACGCACAAGCTTATGCCGAACCCGTCTCCTCCCCTTCCCCAATACCCCCCTTTAACCCCTTTTACCCCTTTTACCCAGAGTCAATTGCAAGCAGATCCGGACGAACGAGATAGAGTTTCCATCCTGAAACACGGCCGAGATGCTTACCCGCAGATGCGGATGATGCTGCAACTTTAATCTTGCCTGGGATCGCCGCCGCATTACTAGATTCGTTCGACCCTCCCAAGGCCCCCAAGTTCAGACCAGTGTCTCCGATCATATGACGAGCAGCATTAAAGTTCATCAACCGAAAGTTGAGCCGCGCTCCCCTCCCCTTTTTGTTATATGGCAATCATATATACCACCTTACAAGGCTATATATATATACTAGACTAGACTAGACTTACCAAGCAGGCCTTATAATGCGACCCGTAGCAACGCTTTTAAGCCGGCTCCCCTTTTCAACGGGGGACGGTTCTGAAACGAGCTACTCGCGACTGAATTGCCATACATAAGGTAGGGCTTAATAATGTTAATAGGTATCTAGGTAGGTAGTTAGGGACCGCTTGGCGATGCTCTTTACCTACGGCGTGCGAGCTAATGTGCCTGATATCAGCCCGTAAGGTTTTTTTGCCTTTTCTTCTCCTTCGCTTCTCGGGGAAGAGCCTAGCTTCGTTTCAGAAAGGCAAGCTGAGAGTTGGGTCGATTCTTTTTTTTTTTCTTTTTTTTTTTCAGAAAATGAGGAATGGCTAAGAGTGTTATCCCAATATATGTACCGTAACAAGGCCAAGAATACGTGGCTCGTCTATACGGATAGTAGTTACGGTATTTCTTCTAGTCTTTCTTACATGGTTCTAATATTGTAGCTTAACATAAGACCCTACTGCTAATTTGGAATAGAGGTACTAAGAAAAAAAAATATTTATCGTGCTCTGTGATTTCGGGATGATAAAGCTCGCCCCTTATTCATGCTTACCTAATCTCTCTAACAGGCAAAAATCCAAACTTACATCGTACACTACGAATATCTATATCTTCATCTTCATCTTATTTCTTACTAGATTAAATTACCGCTATACGCTAAGCTATTATCTATTAATTTCAAGCCCTAAGAATGACAGCCGGTGTGATGTTATAGACTTATAGTCAATACATCTACAGTAACCCGTAGTATAAAAGAAAAGTGGGTCCCGGGGTAGATCATCTATATTGTATACAAGAAAGACAACTTCATTACCATATTATCCAGATCATATTAACTGATTTTTTAAAACCATTCAGACTGTATATTTCACATAATTTTTATTACTATTCACGCAAGCATGCTTTGGTAGTTCCAAGAAGACGTCGAGGTGTGGGGATCCAACAGGTTGGCAAGTAGAGGTATATAAGTGCCGAAAACACCACAAACTATCACATACGACCATAGGATCAGGAAAACTCGGGATCCCGTTCGCTCTCCCATAGATAAGCCTGATACCGCTGGATTAGTAGTTGGGTCGGTGACGACCAGCGAATCCCCAGTGTTGTATGTTTTTTACGTCTTTTTTGGCCGTTTAGTCCCTTTTTAGCCTCACTTAGCGTGGTATGGGTAGAGTTCAATGATTCAATATCTATGTGTGGTTTAGAATAACCGAAAGGCAACTCATGCAACATGTTTAGTCGCTAGCGAGGAGTTGTCTGCGTCTCTTCTTTTTCACGTTATGATATGGAACATCTATTAACGCCTCACTGTCACAGCGTCACTTAAGGACATGTAGACAATATTATAATTCAATATCAGCTAGGGTTGCTAAGTTCACGGGTATAGTCGGGTGGATTATTAGTGGGCCACCGTTCGTATATATAAGGGAAACGAGGAGAGGCATCTTCGTAGTTTTGTCTCTTGTCTTGGTGTAACAACAAACTATTCCACCGAGACCTTGTCACCAAGATACCTATCTGTTTACCTAAAGTAATTTCTTCATAAGATTCAGAGGAATTGGTTATAAACGTCTACGTAGAGTTATGGATAGTGCTAGGGTTACCGTCTATATAAAGGGTACCTAGGGTAGCCAACTCCCTCATAGGAGGATAGAAGACCAGCCAAATCGAACGCTAAATTCCAAGTCACGCCTATATCTTAAGCTTCGTTTGTCAGGGGTATGAGGCACTAGTACGGATCGTGCCTTATGGCCCACTAGGATAGTGTATATAAGGAACACGCTGCTCCCTCGAAGGTGCTTCGAAGGGCAAGCGTTAATAGATCACTACTATACACTGCATACTTGATATTCTACGTGCTACTGCTTCTAGTATTCACTCTATGTACGACATACATCACGGGACCCTTCTGACATCGTTCAAAGGTTATATGAATCCTTTACCCCTATTAAGTACCTAGGCATGTTATTTATAGGAGACCAGCCAACCTATCTTATTATCTCAATTCGGCCCTATCCTGCGTATGGAAATTGTGAAACATCACTTCCTCGTTATATTTACCTACCACAACAGATCCTTGTTCACTCTTGCTGCTGATCCTACCGGTCTGTCTTCATTGACTAGGTGTTAATGCTATACCTATAGGAGCTGAGCTGTGCTCGATGATTATAGAGGCGATGTTTTGGGTCCACTAGAACATGTCCAGAGAGATCCCGTGATGTATGTCGTACTTAGAGTGAAAAGCGCCAGTTCTGCTGAAGTCTCAGTAATTATTGAAGCCCATAGACCTCTTGGCTCAGCTTACAGTCTTCTCGCGTCGTGTCATGGTTTGAGGAGAGATAATCGTTGTTGCACAAAGGGAGAAAGAAGGAATAATAAAGGGCCCCTCGTCTAGCTACCTTATATATACGATGGTGGCCCACTAGGGGTCCACGCTATAGGACCGTACCGTGACACGCCGGTTGCTGGAAGCAGTGCAGGTGTCCCGGCTCAGCCGTTTCTGAGCCGAACTACCTAAGGCAGCTCGCAAGGGTCACAACCCCCGAGGACTCGGATCCGGTGCATTTTGACGAAGAGGACGAAGCCGTCGACGACGAACAGGCCGGCGTATACTCGGCGATCCCAGAAAGTAATGTTTGCCGCTGACATCTTGAACTCGCACGAACGGACTGGCTGCTGCGGACGAAGAATCTTTTGCCGACTTCACTTTGGTTTGGGGGATTCTCGGGGTCCCCTCTTGTGGTTACCGGAATTGTGACTATTCCAATCTTGGGACAAGATGGGGAAAGTGATGCTAGTCTGATGTCTAGTCCTGGTAGAGGTGATGCGTTGAATAGAGCTAAGGTAGGATTTAGGTAGGTAGATATGATAGATCTCGCTATAGTTGATGGATTGTATTGAGTGGCAATTCTAGAATATCTTATAAGTTATTGGAAGGGAACGAACAAATGGTGTAGGGACGAAAGATGAAGTTATGAGAGACTGAGAGTACTAGGTAAGGTCTAAGACTTAGGTACCTTATTTATATTTATGACAGGAGGATAAACCTTGCATTATTAGACGTGAACGCTACTAAAGTTCAATAAGCACCTGCCTAGTTCTTATTTATCCTACCTCTCTTCCCTTCTCGTGTAACCTATCCCCGGTTAATCCCTCTCCGGTTGATGGCATAGCTCCTTCATTTTATTATTGTTAGTGAATGTACGTTACGTATTACGTTCTGAGTATCTCGTTAACGGCAATAGCTAATAAGATGTAAATGTAAATCAAACGCCACTACTATTGATGTTTTATCTATTTAGCCTAGCACAAACTAACTCTGCATATGATGTAAATGTTATAGATGATATATATCCAGAAGAAAGGACATCTCAAGTATGGATAGCCACTGGCTTTTATAACTGGCCTAAAATCACTTATGGAACAAATAACGTTGTTTTCATTAAATATTGTTTGGTTATATCCTCCGGCAGGTAAGAAACTGATTGATCAAGCCCATCCTCGTGTACTTGTATACTGCCGCCTACCTACTACGATTGCTCCCCCCTTTTTCAAAATATGTGGCTAGGTAGTGAGTCGACATGAGGCTGAGGCCACGTGGCTGGAGTGGATGACGACACCCTGAAGAATGAATGGAGTACATACATACTATGTAACTATGTATTGTACCACCACCTTGTCCGCGCTAGTAGACGCAAGCTACAACAAATCAACGTCTCGGAGCTGTGAAAGAAGAAAAAAAAAAAAATAAACTACCTACCTGCCTGGTACCTAAGCTTCTAGACTCCTGACGTAAACATACTTAACGTTACTACCACCACCAACCAACCGTATCCAAGAAAAAAAAAAGTGCCTAGAGGAGACGACGAGGTATAACATCGACATCAACAACTTAGCCCGGATCTCCCGCGTTCTCCCGATTCCAAGCTCGAAGTAAACAACAAGGCGAACTGAGAGAATCCCGCACAATCGCATACATCACCAACTCCAACTTCATCTCCCTCTCCCTCTCGCATATCGCGCAGCTCAGTCCAATCCAACCAGCTACTTACCAAGTCAGCTATCTACCTACCTATCTATCAAACCCAATCGCAAACATGGATTTCTCCGACTCATTGTACGTCTACTACTACTACTACTACCAAGCCGACCGTTCCGTACAAACGAAGATAGCTAGCTACACGTGGATGGGAGTGCTAACATGGACTTGTTTTTTTTATAGTCGAATCGTCAACCTCGCGGTCGGCGTCATCATGGTCCTTGGCGGAATATCGCAATTTTTCAATCTGGGCTTGTACGTCTTCCTTCCCCCCGTCCCTCCCTCCCTCCCCACTTCCGCCCCCCTCTCACTAACCTCCCCCCTCTCCCCCCCCAATACAGCCAATCCATCATAATCGGCGCCTACGTGCTCATCTTCGGGCTGGCGGTGGCGCTCCTGGAGTTCCAGATCCCGCCGCAGGTGTCGCGCTACGCGTCCTTCATGTTCTCGTTCCTGGGCCGCGGCCTGTTCTACGTCTTCGTCGGCTCGCTGCTGCTCAACCACGGCGTCCTGCGCATCATCGCCGGCTCCGTCGTCGCCGCCGTCGGCCTCGCCTACGTCGCCCTCGAGTTCGTCCCCTCCGTCGAACCCCCCGCCAACATGCGCGAGGCCGACGCCGGCTGGGGCGCCGAGCAGGTCTGATAGAAGGTACCTAACACGTCCCGTCGTCGCCTTACCCGTTACCTTGGGTAGGTACCTAAGGTATGTATTTATAATACATAAATAAATTAGAGGCGGATAAGGTTTTCTACCTAGGTACCTATTCTCTCTAACGAAGGGTCTTCTTATCATCTTCATTTATATGAGGAAGAAGTATTATTTTTATCGGCGCGATTCTCCGATTTCAAGGCTATTCATCATTACCATCGTCTTCATCTTCTTCTTCATCTTATCGAGTTTGTTGGTGGAATGCCGATTTGGGTGCAACTTCAAAGAGATGGGGATTCCTATCTGGATAAAACCGCTTTTAAAAAAATAAACACGTTCGGTAAGAGAGGAGGGGGCATGGCTGGGCTGGCGGTGGTCGCTTATATAGGTACCTAACCTTGTATGTGTACGAATAACGGTGGGAAGTGGGAATGAACTCATCATGTAAACCCGAGTCATGTGTGACGCAAGGCTGGATATTTAGGTAGAAGATGGCCACTGTGAACGAGGTAGACGTCTCAAAATATTCTTCTTCCTTATGGGTGTTTTGCATTTGCGTTCGTAATAATATATTATCGATGAAGTTCATAATTTACGTCTTAATCCTTCCAGACTAGTTACATTGGTTGAAAAGTTATCCCTTTCCCCGTGTGATCCTTTCCGTCCGTCCCTCTATATAGACCATTGTGCACAATGTCATTAGGAAAAAAAATCAATTGGACTGCTCGTGTCTTGGGAATATTATAACTGCCATCCCGTTATTTGAAATATCATCCCTCCTACACCTTGCATATATTTTACAGGTTCACGATACGCCGAGCACATATGCTATGTCGCAGAAAAGCAAAGGTTACCGGTGAAGGAATTCAGGAATTCGATCCTATGACGCCCCGTAGTGTTTGACTTGCCCTTTTGTGTTTTCGCCTTGCTCCCATGGCCTGACTCCGATAGGCTCCCAGTCGTAATTTAGGTCATCAAAATAAAATCAACGCAAATTCAGACGGTAACGAATGTTCCGTTCCTACTTCTGTAGTGCAGCCATCTCGCGCTCTTTGTCCGCGAGCATCTGGCGTATCCGTTCGGCTTCTTCTTGAAGTGCCGCCAGTCGTTCCGCTTTCGACTTCTCGTCCTCCGCCGTGCTCTCTCTGGATTGTATAGCGGGCAATATGTTTATCGTCATCCCCTGCAGGCTGGGGCTTGGCGCTGACAAGATTGTAGTAGCCGGTGATCGAAGACGTAAAGCCTCGGCAAGGTTATCGACCGGAAAAAAACCTGAATTCGATTCTGACGCCGGGTTGAGAAGGGACTTGATCGATGATAGCCTTTTGGAGCTATCATGTCCGGGTTCGCTCGGCGTGTACTCCGAATCAGTCCCCGAGAAGGAGCGCTTTCTTGATGGCGATTGAAATGACGCGGGAGATAGGGACGACTGACGATCACTTAACGCCACAAGTGATTTTAAAGGGGCCAGCCGATTATCGTGGGTGAAAGAATCCCTAATATCGATATTATGAGGAGCATTAGTAGTGTGATATGCTATGAGATCGGTCGAGGTTATCGGACCTGACGCGGGGCCAGATCGGATGGGATCAGGGAGTAGCGTGAGTGGGTGTTCGGCCTTTCGACGTAACCCGAGATTAACAGATCCGTCCTCGTTAACGGTGCCACGCTCCCTTTCGATTTCGATGTACGGACTTTGCTGTTCGATAGAATCGATCGTCATTGCATCCTCTGACCCGCTATCCATTTGATTTGCTGGTATTACGCGCTTTCTCCTCTTAATAACAGATTTCTTCATAGTAACAGGCCGGTGAACTCCGTGAAGTTTGTAATATAACCCTGCTGCAATTAGCTAACATCCACCATACAAGCGTCTAAGTGTATACGTACCGCAGGCGTTGCATATGGTATGGCCCGACTCATCACGACGCCACAACGGGGTAATCGTAGTACCGCAATTTTGACATGCTATTACTACGGTCGTGTTCTGAGCCGCGGCCTGCTGCGCATTTATATCTATCGGCGTCGGCCCATCGTCTGGATGTGGCCCGCTTCCACTGCCGGATGCCCGATTTTGATTTTGGAGTTGAGCACTCTTCGCTACTCGGTTGTTATACGCCGGGCAGCCGCTACATCCCTCCGCGCCGCCGGTACCATTGCATCGTCCTCCACCCGGACACGATCCATTGGGCATTTGATCCGCAGCGACATAGGTAGCCCCGGGAATATTTGCTGGGTTGCCTTGGGAACATGAGCTAGAAGAGGCCTTCTCGGGTGTCCTTTTCGGAGTAGTAGTGACAGTCGATGGTGGCCGTTTTAAATTCGTCGGGCGCGACGAATTGCGCGCCTTTAGATAAAGTCCGCATGCATTACAGATGGTAGCACCTTGGGGCGAACGTCTCCATAATGGCGTTCTCGTAGTACCACAATTGCTAGAATAGGGTCAAAACCGGGCGGCACGTCTATCGAGTTAGTGGTCAACTTACCTGCATACCTGGCCACTCTGGTTCGATGTGGGATTCGATTTTATCGTTGCCCAGCCCTCATGATGGACAGGGTCAAATGGAGAAGGACTTTTCGAGTTGACTCGCTCGGATCCTTGTATCGACGGGCTGGGTGCTTCCGAAAAATCACTTTGACTTTGAGCCGCAGGACTCCTCGAGCCAATAGAGGAGGCGTTTCGAATAGACATAGTTTCGGAAGGTTGAGTACTTTCCCTGGAGGCGATAGGACGACTAGGGAGCGCCGTCCTGGTAGAGTTGGGTTCTGACCTGGCCAGTTTTGCGTATGAGTAAGGGGCCACTTCCATCATAATCTTCGTCGTTGAACCCTTTAGAAATTCGTCTGACTATGATAAACTGCGGCGATCGTCGCTTCGATTTCTTTCTTTGTTCTATGATAGCATGGGACTCCGGGGCTCGAATAAAAAAAAGAGAAAAAAAAGAGGAGACGCTCTAGAGTAGAGGGGCAGTTGACGGGATATAGACAAGTCGACACGAGATCCGTTAATGTTCAAAAATATCAACTGTTTAATGAGGCCTGTTATAGAACCAACTAATAATGTCGGACCAATGAAGCGTCGGAGGTGCCACTATATCGTGATGGCTCGTGTCACTTGTTAGCTCGAACAGTGGCGATCAGCAGTCAGTGACAAGATCTCTTTTGCTCCAAACCGGGCTGCATGAGGATGTAAGTGAATGGGGAGGTGTACCGATGGGCTCGACTTGCAATTGACTGCGAACCTGGCAGCCTGGGGTGGGTAGAGACGGGGACTATGGGGGGGGCCTCGGATGCAAGGGGCAATGTTCCTAGAGGCTCGTGGGGATTTGTAGTTAGGTCTGGATCAGATATGTGACTCGTGAGTTGCTTATGGGCTTTGCTTATGAAAATAGGGCACGGCCAGATCACGAGGACGAACCCGTATAAGCAAGCCTGGCAGCGCAAGTTGTTGTGTTAATGATTTTTGGGTATGGTTTTTTGGCGTGGATTTGGTTTGTCAGGTTACCTAGGTATTGTTATGTAAAAGGTACGTTACGGTGTACCTTGCAAGGGCCTTTCCTTTTTTAATCTGTACCTAAAGGATCAAGTACCAAGTTTTATTAGGACGGAGACTCGCCTCAGTCCGAGATGAATCTCGGAGATTCGAGGAAAGATTATCTGATCTAAACGAGGCGGTGGATGGCACCGGATAAGATTAGGAATGCTAATATCAATGCCACATGGAACATGGGAGGGGGTCTAAAAGGTTCTAAGGCCTAAGGGGAAAAAGAAGGAATTACTTAAACTTTAGACTCATCCTAACTGTTAAACTTTACATGCTTTACATGTAAGTAGGCACCATTTGTACCATACAATGCAATGCAATGCAATCATAATACGGGCAGTCCGTACCTAGGTACCTTGGTACCTTGGTAAGGAGGTTTGATTCCCCACAAGGCTAGTATATACTACTACGGATTAGCGGCAATGCTGCAATGCTCTAAAAAAAAAAAGGATATAATGGGTCCCGACCGTCGGCGTGCCGGCTGAATGAGGATCAAGTAGATTATTATTAAAACTCGTCCCATTGGCTCAACCGTTGATTAGATTTGGTAATATGACATGGACACACCCCCTGGGCCCTTGCTCAACAGCCGTCTTTTCTTTTGTTTTCTTTTTTTCTTTTTTGTAATGCTCACCTGACTATTGGCTGATGATGATGGTACGTCGGAAGGCGGTCTGCCCGATTCCACATCGCATTTTGTTATTAATCAGTTTGTGTACCTACTCTGAGCAGTGATATCTAGGTACTACTATGTACTATTATCAACCATCATATCTCAGATTTAAGGTGTAGTACCAGTCGCAAAGAGCCAATAAATAGTAAGTAGATATTGGCTTGAATATTCATTCATTCATTTGCCTCCCGGTATCGCTTCCATGCTTGATGCGCTGCCACTACCCTTCTAATGAATGTTGTGAATGGTAAGACATTGGAAGTACCTACAAGGGAGACACGGAATACGATAAGAAACGCTAAAAACGACCTACTCCTATTGCGACCCAAAAAGGTACTTTGTTACAAATGTTCGTGATGCGGTGGGTCATCTCTCTCTTCTATGCCAAGCTTTTTTATCTAACCTTGTCCCATCTCCCATCTCCTTGCAGCATGCAAGTCGCGGGCTACCGTGGTACGTACCACTACCTAGTAGGAGGTACTTAAGGTTTTTGAAGGGAGGGGGAACTCCGTAGATAAGATGAAACATTATCTCTTATCACCGTTGATCAACAATCCATCGATCATTTTATGCGTATCTGAATGTTGGCTTACTTATTCCAACTTTTCATATTGGAATATGTCGTATCTTTATTTCATCTTATTTTATTTATTTTTTGAGAAATTAATTTAAAACAAGAGATATCTCACCTAACCCTAATAATTATATAGCGATAATACCTTCGTAAGTTCACGAAAATCTCTTCCAGCCTATGTAGAGCCCACGTGGACCGATGGAAAAGGGAAACCACATTCTAGACAAGACGCTTGGAAATACGATATCTTTGATTGGATAAATAGGGACCTGGAAGCGTGCATGGTGGGAGCCGCTAAAGCAATAGTACTCTATGATAGATCATAGTATACTCCGTACAGTATGCGAGAAATGATGTCAGTACCCGACGGGTTCCTTTACCTCCCTTCAAGAGGTACTAGGTAGATATTTTTCACTTTTTGTGGCGGTAAGTACCTAGGTAGGTTACTCGAAGGCGAGGGTTAGGTCAATAATACGAAAAAAAAAAAAAAAAAAAAAAGCTTACAGGCACCGAACATCGAATACCTTTTATAAACAATATTGTGGTTATCCATCTTGTTTTATTTGGTACTAAATTTAATAGTCTAGCATAATGTAGGTATACTTTTCGTAAAGAAGAAAAAAACCGATAGCAATTTAAAAATCGAATAGGGGTATCGGACAGGAAGGCCAACAAACAATCATCTCATAACTTCGTACATCTCTCCTTAAACTTCAGCCATGAGCTGTTCTCCCTCATCTAGTAGTTCTGTCACCTTCTTCAGGTTTTGTATTAGACTCTTGCCAAGTCCAACGAGAAGAAGCTTCTCTGCGTTTGCAGGCAGTCCCAGATAAGTTGGCGGCTCACGCTCGGGGAGTTTTTGGATCCATCCCATGAATTCTTCCATTGAAGTACCAGATGGTACTGCGAGACTCGTTTCCTGCCCATCCTTCTCCGACCCCTCCACTAATTTATGCCCAATGTCGAAAGCCGATGGCGTAAGGGATTGATTGACCAACTCAGTCAGCCGGTTGAAATCCCCTTCGTCGTCAATCTTACCACCGTAGGTCTCACGGACCAGGTAGCGGATCATATCCCAGGGTATGTTTTGCGGATTGATATTCGTACGGTTTTGTGCTACGGACTCAATCCATGTATCGACAATGAAGGCGGAGCATTCGTACTATAGGAAGACAAAGTTAGCTACTATCAATTATATATAAGTTGTATAGCCTGTTACTTACGTCGCTGTCGTTGAACTCCCAGAAACCTTTCCATCCCAGGTTTGGTGCGTACCGTAGACGCTCCTGTACCACAGCATGTAAGAAAGAGAGAAGTAAGTAAAGCCTGCCGCGCTCTACGGGGCTCTTGGTAACTCTGGTGGATAAAGAAGACATCGAATCCTTCATATTGGCACGGACACCAGCTGGCTGTTCGTACATAAGTACGCGAGATGCGCGCAGCAAGTTCACAGGAATCTTTGGGCTGGATTCCATCGACAGGAATAGTCTAAAATCGGAATGAGGGTTGAGAGATTCCATACGCTTCTCGAGAGATTGTAACCAAGTTGGCGCAAGATGAACGTTCTTGATGAGAACCCAAGATCCGACCTGTGCTGCATTGGTAACCGCCTTGTCGGCACTTGTAAGACTTTCGTTTGAACCCATAGCGATGTTTGTGCACCTAACACGCATTCGCTCAACCAAGTTGTCCACCTTGTAACTGGCGTCGAAGCCGGGGGTTGAAACCAACGAAATGGGACGAGTTGGAGGCACCTGGCTGACGGTTTCTTTGAGATCATCCACAATGTCAAGTAGTTCAGCTCCGAAGACCGAAGTCACGAACCGCTCCGCAGTCGGGACGAAACGGTCGAGGCGGAAGAGTTTGACTAGAAGCAACGAGAGCAACCCTTGATCAAATGGTTCTGTGTTTGCATCCCAAATTTGGGGGACGAAGTTTTCTGCAAGCTCCTCCGACAGGAATGCATCCCAGGCATTAGCCGGTACTTGGTCAAGCTTATCCTTCAACACACCAAGTCTCTTCGCACGGGTGAAAGTCTCATCCTTGGCGTCGCTTTCGGTGGAGAGGTCTTTGCCTTCGACACGATCGTCGAGGATGACATCAATCAAGCTCTTGTCCATCTTGTAAGGCGAGGCTTGGGCGAGGAGCATGGCGAGAGTGATCCGATCCTTTTGGAGTAGACCCAGGGCAGTCCTCTTGAAAGTTGTTACGAATAAGTCCTTGATGATGACATCTCGGCGTTTGTTGAAATCTCTTTCGCTTGCTAGGTTCTTATTGCCATGGAGAACAGAATGGAAGATGTCAAGAAAATACTGCAGAGAAAATTGGTAGAAGTGGTTGAGGTAGTGCAGTTGCTCGAGGACAGCAAATACGGCACTGCATGAGCGGGCAATGATGCTGTACTGCAGCGTGATCTCTTCAACTTCGGCCATTACTCCTTCGGTGTTACTCATCTTAGTCGCAATCTCGCCAGCTTCGGTCTTGAGAGTCTCGAGAGTCTCGATGACATGATCGTCATCCAAAATATTACCCCGAGATTCGTTAAGGGCTTGCAGAAGTCGTTTTTCAAGTTGTCGAAGATGAACTTTGAATTCGCCTTGTAGCTTGATGAGATTAGACCTTCTCTCGTCAATGTCTGGTCTCTCCGATTTCAGAACGTCGTTAAGGGACTGAGTCTGGAGACTGCTCTGGGTGACAGTGAAGTTGACAAACGTTGTTCGACTACAAATATCCGGCGGGAATGTCGCCGATGGATCTCTCGTGGATAGATAAATCTTGAACGCAGGGGAGAAGTCAATTTCCTGCTTGCCAAGTTGGATAAGCACACGACCGCCGGTCTTCTGGTATTCCTTGTTGAGGACGTGGTTAAGGATTGGATCCAAATGTTCCGCATCTTGTATGAGAATTGGGTTACCAAATCTGAGAGAACTTTCGAGCTGCTTTGTGAAGGAGTCGTCCAAGAAACTTGTCACAGTAAGACGACGATCCTTGCATTCGCGCTGAAGGAATTCGGTAGCCCTGCCTGAAGGGTCGATAATCAGTGGGTAACGGTTGAAGCGCTTGAGAATGATGGCGTTTTCTGTGCATAGATCATCGACTGGCAGGGTGTTTTCTTGCCAGCTGAGTCGTTCGTCCGCAGTCGACAAATATTCCGTAACGGGATTATGAGGTTTGAAGTTGATCCCGGAAAGGTGAAGTTGGTGCAACCAGTCTTCCATCATTGACTTTCGGAAGGTTTGATCGTAGAGACCACTGTATGCTAAGAAAGCGGCGGCGACTAGGACATCGCCGACCAAGGTGCTAATTTGAGTCTCGAATGACTTGCTGCCATCCTCCCAACGGGTACGCTCTGAGGACAGACTGTCAAGAAGCCTTACACTTCGGTCGACCTTAAATTGGACTCGAGCCATCTCGGCCTTGATGGCTTGAGTCTCGCTGATGAGGGCTGCGTATTCAGTCTTGTAAGTAGCGATGCTCCGCTCTAGACTGGTGATAGTATTTTCAACAGCCTTTGCCTCAGCTTTGGTCTGAAGAGCTCGTTCTTCAAGTTCGCCCACCTCCTCCCGTAGAGGACCGACGCGGTCAAGAATTTCGGAATAATTAACCTGGGCTTCTACCCATTGAACTAGAGGACCGCAAGCCTTGCTGGCACGATTTACCTTCTCGTACGTGAAATCTGGCTGGGCTAAGAATTTGGTCCGCATAAGCGTTCGCAAGGATTTTGTCATTTGTTTCTCGTTGTCGAAGTTGACAATGCTCGCGATAAAATTGTCTTGGCGAACAATGGCTTGGACGTTCTTCCAATCGGTGATCTTGTGGCCTAGCAGTGCACATACGGCTTCCATGGCGAGTCGGACACCCTGGGGTGGAGAACCCATAGATCGAACTTCAGTCAAGTGCTGTCGTTTAATGTTGCTGACACTAGCCTTTGCTTCTTCTACTGCGGGTTCAGCTTTTGCTAGGTCATTGAGCACAACCTCCCTGCGGGATGCGACTTCTGCTTCTTGCTTTTCAAGAGCTGCTTGGATCTCGAGAGAAGTGTTCTTGCGCTGTTCGGCTTCCCGTTGATCTGCAACCATGCGCTGTAATTTCTCATTGGCTTCCGCATCCTTTGCTTCAAGTTGGGTCTTCTTCTCAGCCAAACTAGCTCTCAGGTCCCGGACTTTCTCGACCGTGTCTCTCAGCTTGTCGAGACCGACGTTCAAGTGACGCTGTTGTTCTTCCAAATCTTCCCGCTTTTCATTGTATAGCTTTACATACTGAGCAACAAAGTCGAGGAAGTGGCGCGGCGTAAGGAATGTAACTTTGCCCTGTTGCTTCTGAAGCTTCGCGTTAAACTGCTGAAGAGAATAGTGGATGTAAACCATAGAGTTCACGACCGTTTCTCTATGAGAAGGAGGTAAGGTGAGACCGCGATAGGCAACGGGAATAGTATCAGGGGCTAGGAAGTTAGGCTTGTCTAAGTCAATAGAATGCGTCAACTCGTTTGCAACTTGGAAGAGTGCCTGGTCAGACCAGTCTCCAAACCAATTCAACACACAACGATTGAACAAGGCGGGACTGGTAGCAGCCTTCGAGGACAGCCCATCTTCAGGTGGATTCATAGTGAAGACAACATGCAGATTCTTGACGATCTGCTGCGTGAACCATTTATACAGCTCTTCTTGGGAATCCAGTAGTAGACCTTGCCGTTGCGCCCCTTCCTTGCAGGCAGTCATTAAAGAGGCAAAATCGTCTCCTTCAAAGAGACCAGGGACTTCGGCGTTGGCAAGTAGAGTGTTCATGCGCTCTAGGAAACCCGAGTCAAGAACATTAGACTCGTCCATGATAAAGCATATCTTTTCGCCCTTGCAACCGCAACGGCGCAAGACCTCTCGGAGATCCTCATCGAAGTCTTCAGCAGAGTACTTGCCGTGGACCTTGATTTGGAAGACCTTCAGACCATTCATCCATGCAACGAATCTCGAAAGTGTAGTCTTTCCACTTCCACTGACACCGATCAAGATCAGGTGACCTTGTGGTTGTCTAAAGACACGATCAATACGAAGAACGTGCTCAAGTACATCGTTGAACAAAATGAGCGGAACATCCACCTCTTCTTCGCAGAATGTCTTGAGGCGAGCCTTGACAAAGTCTCGTAATTGTTCTCGGTCAACAGGGACGTAGTTCTTTGAAAGCCAGTTGGAGAACAGGATTGGCCCGCCTAACGCTTTCTGCTCATCGATGGTGGGGAAGAACTCTAGTGCGATGCGCCGCACAGCTTCTTCCGTCCATTGCCTCTCCTCTTCCGCAACTAAACGATCTTGGAAAAGTCGTAAAGCCTCGTGCGCCCAGATGCGAATCAACCCTTCTATCGATAGGGTTTCTAATGGACGGATGGCCTCGTATACACCACGTACCCATCTCGTCAACTCACGAGGACTGTAGACGTAATGAGGTTGTATTTTAGGTGTAAACCGTTGTTGCGACTCCAAGTAGAACCGAACCATCGATTGAGTAAGCGGTTCGGAGTATCCACGAAGCGCTGGAATGATCTTGAGGATAGCGGAGTTGAAAGTACCATAGATCTGAAGTAGGGACAACTCGCCTGGATAATCGACCATAATGAGCGGTGCATGTCTAAGGAATCTGGCTCCCATGGGCGTACGGCCAGCGTCAGTTGGAGGATTACAAGCTCCCACAAACTGGATTCGATCGAGTGTTACCCAAGACTTGTCCGACGTTCGCCAGAAACCGTTATGTTCTACAAGCTGGCGGAGGAACGAAATTGCTCGTTGAGTTCCGTATTTGTCCGGTGCCGGCAAGTTGATCTCATCACAGAAGATTACGAGCCATCGCCCAATCTGAGTTGGTGACAACATCACGCCGTTCAGTGTCTTCTTATATTCACAGTACTGCTCAAAAGTCTTTATGAGGAGATCAGGTGTGGTCGCACTAGAGAAATTCAGACCGACGACCTCCATGTTTGGCAGTTTTCGAAGTGCACTGAAAAGAGTCATCGTTTTACCAGAACCAGGGGGGCCACAGAGCAGAAGTGGCTTGTGTTCTGCAAGCCAAGAATAGAGCACATCTTCGTGACGGACTGTATCCAACGTTGGAATGACGACGTCTGTTTGTGTAACGGAGTGCGTGTTGACCTCGATCGTGGGAACTTCGTTTTGCCACGGTGTCCATTCGGCTCTAGGAAGGGCGACATCGAAGTCGATAAGGGAACTGGTACCATCAAGGGGCGGGGATCCAAAGCTAGCGAGAGCTCCAACGCTGTCTCCGAAGGCTTTTCGGTCATTGAGTGGACAATCACCTGTTAAAGCCCAGACTAGAGCAAGTAACAACTTCTTCGAAACATACGCCTCAATCTGCTCCGGATCCAAGGGGAAATCAACATGCGCTGCGTTGTATTCGATCATGTCTCGGACAGACTTGTTTAATAGAGAGAAAAGAGTTGTGAGAACACGAGCGATAGTAAACTCCATGATATGGTTGTATGTTTCTGCTTGCTTGAGAGCGTCGAGGATGAAGTTGTCCGTGGTTAGATAGGCGTGCAACAAATCCGCGACCTGACCTTGAATCTGAAGGGTCTTTGCGGGGCTCTGGCCAGCCGCGGCAGCATCCTCATCTAAATCTTCAAAAGGCACTGCCCTCAGTCTCTCAAGGTAGTTGGTAACCATCATGCTTGGTGTGACGGTATCCTCGCTAAACCAAACCATACCGCAACGACTCACAGTTGCCAGAGTAGCATACTTCAACGTCTCGACTTCGAACATGATTCGGACATTAGGTGGTAGATTGAGACGCTCACCATTAGGAAGTGTGAGTAGCTTGTTATCATCGAGTACACTGTTCAAGTTTTCAACCCATTCTGGGTCGACATCACCGTCGAAGACGATCCAGTGACGCTTAGAATCTTCTCCACGAAGATTATCGACAATCTTCCGCAGTATGCTCGTGAAGAGACCATCGGTCCATTCTCGAGTGGTTGAATCTAAGTTTCCGTACAAAGCCTCCTTCGACATGACCTTTGAGTCGATGATATGAGAGACACCTTCGACCTTCTCAACTTGCTGAAGTGCATCTAAGAGGAGCCTCCACGCTGCGGATTTTCCAGTTCCCGAATTACCCACCATCATCACACCATGGTGGATATTTTGAATCTGGTAAAGCTGGAGAACTTTGGTCATCCAAACATCGTTCACCACAAGGTGCCTCTCTGCTGCTAGACGACGGATTGCATCTTCTAGTTCTACCAAGTTGGCCGGGACATACTGGACGCCAGGGAAGCATTCGCTTTCAATGGACATCATGATTTCAACATCGTTTTGGATCAGCTTTGGAGCTATAGTTTCTCGGACACTCTGCACAATAATTTCGGGCTCCACAACTTCCTCAGCACCGATGTTACCGTCACTACTAGTAAGCCGGGCACGTTTGAGACCACCAGAGCTGACGAGCACACTCTTCAGAGCACGCAAACCAAAATCGTAGTGCGCTTGCTTGGATAACCTTGTCGAGCACTGGTCGAAGAATGGAACTGTCTGCTTAGAGAGCTGCTTTGCTTGGTTGAATCCTTGAGAGTAAAGCATGACTTCAGCAATCAGTTCCTTATCCGGCTTCGACATGGCTACACTGCGGAACAGCTTCTTCAGGTTATCGGGCAAGTTGGAACGGCCGGCATAGCCAGGGTTCATTGTAATAAAGATACCCGTATTAGCATTAACGTGAAGCTGCCGGCCAACTAGTTCGATTTGAGCCTTATCATCCTCGGCACCTTGTTTGAGACCAAGCTGAATGTTCTGGATTTGCTGTGAGACGGCGGAGAGAATTCTTTCTTCCAAACGGTTGAATTCATCGAAACAACCCCATGCACCAACTTGGCAGATACCAAGGAAAATCCTACCCATTGCCTGGAAATCAAAGGTGTCGTCACAACAGAATACCAAAGTAAAGCGACCCAGTTGGACACCAAGCGCTTTAACTGATTCAGTCTTTCCAGTACCGGCAGGTCCGTAAGGCGAGCCACCAAGTCTTTGGCACAGAGCTTGAGTAAGGGTCCCGAAGCAGCGATCGGTAAGAGGAGTTCGAACCAGTCTATCAGGAACACCCAGATATTCAAAACCATAGTTAAGCTTCGCATTTGCCATCTTGATAAACAGACGTTGTAGGAAGTCCCCTTCAGGACTGTATACATATCGCATCTGTAGCAGCCAGAAATAATGTGTCGGGGAACTTGCGTTGAGTTTTACCAGATTTTCGATGACATCTCGCTGGTGCACGCATTCTGTAATAAGGGCTTCGCATTTTTTCCTCTGTATAACCTCAAGATCACCGAGGACAGTCTCCGCAAGGAGCCGCAGAACCCCGACTTCTCGGCTGAAGAGAGATTGAAGCGTACTGCCCCCGTTATTCAGCGACTTCTCAACCGCTGTAGTCCAAACTACTTGAGTAGCAAGTACTACAATCTGACTAGGGAAGTTGTTCATAAAATCATTCATCGCGCCCTGGCTGATCTCCTCCGACTCAAATATCGGGGTATACGCCTCAACAGCTTCAGCGAGAAGTTCGGCGAGGGTGGCTTTCATACCACTCTCAAGCAGAGCGAGCCAATCGTTGATCTTGGGTGTTTTAAGAAGAGAAATCTCTTTCTTTAGGCGTACGACCTCGCCCTCCTTGGAGGTGAAGCCAGTAATGACCGATTCCTCGTCCATGACAAGCCCCGTCAAGCCAGCAAACATCTTTTTGAAGTGTTTAGCAATACGCAAAGTATCGTTACTATTGCCGATCATTTCCAGAAGATCTTCATCGCCGACGAAATAAAAGCGAGGGAATGATACTCTTTCCTTTTCAAGGTATTCACCGAGCGCTTTCTGTATCTTGTTGAGCAGCTCAGCGAGACGTTCCAAAGACTTTTGGACTCCAGTGATCCCCAAAACGTCCATTACCATCGGCTGCTTGTAAACCTTCTTCATTACGGTCATGAATTCGCTATTGATGTTCTGGAACCTGGAAGACTCGATAGGCAATAGATGTTTGATGTCGGCATTTCCTGTGAAGACACCTTCCAAGTAAACCCATTGGCGTTGAACATCAATCCAGACATCGAACAGAACATGGACACGATTTAGCTTGTCTTCCCAGGAAGATGCTTCCTCTTCGAACTCTTTGTAATACGGCGAATGTTTCATCGCCTGTAGCGAGTTCAAATTCTCACTGCACTTGGCGAAGAGCTCATCCCAACCGCGAATGAGACGGCATTTATTCTGATACGGCACAAGATCCAGTTGATAGTTGTTCCAGGTTTCTTTCACTTGCTTCAGGAACTCCTCTAGTGCCATTTCACCCTGAGCCTGAGTGATAATGTCTCGGACGATCACCTCTGTGGCGACAAGGTTAAGATCCCAGACATCTCCCAGTGTCATAGACACAGGCGAATACCGCCGTCCGGGTTTGATCTCTTTCCAGATCTTAGTCCAGTGTCGATCTCGAATTGCCTCTGATTTTAAGTCGTTCAGTAGATTGTTCACTTTCAGAAGCTGACGGAGAACATTCTGGACATGTTCAAAAGCAGCATATTGCCGCATTCTGCTTGGCATCTCCTTCGTCATCTTGATGAGACCATCAATGCTAGACCTGATTTTTCTCGGTTGAACACTTCCCCATAGTATTTCACGGAGTTCATTCAAGCTCTTCCAGATCGTTGACAAACCGGCCCAAACGGATTTGAAGTCTTGGACCTCCTCTAGTATAATCGAAAGCGACGATTCAGGACTCGCTGGAAGATCAAGTGCTTCCTTGGCTTTAGATACCATGTCAGATTCCTTTTGCAATTTCGTAATGCGAGATTCGAAGGAGGCGAGCGTTGCGGACGCAACATCAGGGGCAATCGTTCCCGAGACTGGTTTCTCACTGTTCCATTCCGTGGCGATGTCTGCAATCTTGTCCATGACAACTTTGTCTTCTGCTATTATCTTCGCCTTGAGGGCATCGGTCTGGTCTTGCACGACCTTCGCCTTCCTATTCAAGAGTTCGTTAAGTGCCTCCCAAGTCGAATCAACCTGCTGGACATCTACCCAGTCATTCGGGAAATTGTACCGGTTCCGGACCAGAGTAGACTGTCCTTGACGGAAAGTCTCGACTTCCGGGGCCCAGGCCTTGACCCTACGCTTGCAGCTTTGCACAATAGTGATGAACTGGACCGCTTGTGCGGTGGATGAGGCTTCGAGGCTTTGTCCTTCCAAGTCTCTCCGCGCCTTTTCTATCTCGGCATTGACTTCTCTCATACGAGTTCCAAGCCGCGTAGCAAATTTTATCAATATCTCCTGCTGCCATTGGTCATATTTGGAATTGACCTTCATTTGTACTTGTTCGTAGTCGATCGTAATATGGCCGAATGAACGGCTTACTTCGGTCGTGTCGAAGGTCGCACGAGACTTGCGGATTTCTTGTAGTAACTGCAGCCATTTGGAGAGCTCATCGCCCAGAAGTTCGTACACTTGTTCAGACTGCAAGTCCCAGAGGGACTGGAACTGAAGCCATTTATCAACATACTCACCGATGCCTTGTAGCTTTGTCTCAATCGAAGTATAGACTCTACTGAGTATGTCGGTACAATCGCTAGGAAGATCGTTGAAGCGGGCTTCCTCTTGGACAACGGTACTCAAGGTCAAGCTCATTTGGTATCTAGAGGCCTTAATCTTAGGCAGGTTGCAGACAATACCAATCCAGTTATGCAAGTGCAAGAACCAGCTAGCTCTCGCAAACTCGAGTGGCGGATCAAGATAGATAACTTGATTTCTCATAGTGATTTCATGAATCAAGTGTTTCATGAGAGGCGCGTCCGATTTGAGAGGTTCCCCCGACGGAGCTAATTGCTTTCTTCGACTATTCTCAATTCGATCGACGGGTGTGTCGTCTTCAAATGCTTCAATCCATGCCGAGACCGCATGCTGGAGACGGTTAAGTAGGGTCAGCTTAATTCGTTCGTTCATCCTCTCAACCCAGAAGCCAAGGTTGACGTATTGCTCGAGATTGAGCTGATCGACGGCGGCCTGGATAACTTGTAGACGCGTTTCGAACTCCGAAGCCTCATACGGGCAAATTGCCAGCTCTGTCAGTGCCTTCTGAACATTCATGTGTATATTCGCGAGAGTGACGGTCTTCGCTTGAAGGAGAGAAGCGGCCGCAGCAAATTCCCTGACAAATAAGACATGCTTGGTTTCACTACTACGTCCAATTGTATGATCAAGAGTGCCGTTAGGGAGCGTCGGCTTTTGGTACGATTCCCAAGTGTTTACAAATGTCTCCCACTTCAGAGGTATACCCTTGGCGATCAATACATGAACTTCGTTCTGGTAGCCACTCAGCAAAATAGACACCTCAGGTAGTTTCGATATCTGCCGCGTTGTCTGAGTGAAAGTTCTTACACTTTCCATCAGACTAACAGCATAAGGATACACCCTCTTGGCATCCTTCGCAGTGTTATTCACGGCGTGGGGGACGTTGAAATTTTGCCAGCCAAGGTTACGAGTCTCTTTGAATAGCGCAATGATCTGAGCATCGAAGTTCACTGAGAGGTCCAGCGCATTATTCGCAGCTCTTATCTTATTGATGTTGAACAGCCGACCAGATATCGAGATATGCCTGCGCTGAACATCTTCGACCCAGGCTTTGTAGATCGCTTGAGTATTCAGTTTCTTTCTGAATAGTTCACTCTCAGTCTGAAGCTTTTGGCCCTCGGTATGAAGCGCCCAGTCGGTACCCAGGATGTCCTCGACCTTCTTCATGTAATTATCCAGTTGACGCTCAATTTGACGCGCCCAAATGATGGCTCCAGAGACGGGTGGCAAATCATGTAGCTGTGCCATGGCATGAACCTCCGAGTGGCCATATTGCTGTTTAAAGCGCTCGTGGAGCCCCGAAATGGCTTGTTTCACGTTATCAATGAGTTGATTCTGATACTCGGCTATGGCGCCCCGAATCTTGGGGCGCACGAAGAGGGCGTTGAACTGAGAGAAAACACGAAACATCTCATTCGCATTCTTTGCAGTCGCAAGACGGTCACGCAATCTAGCAATAATTGAATTTTCTACTCGCGACGTGCGTTCGTTATAGGTGTTCTCAGCCTTGACCCATCTCTGGGTACCTTCGGGAGAAACATCGAGCAGATCAACATTCTTCAACGCTTCCCAAGCCTGTCGAACCTCTTCGACGGCGTCCACGTCGCCTATTTCTTCGACAAGGGCAACGCCATTGGTCGTCGTCTCTTCAGGAACACCATTGGCAGTTGTCCTCGGACCAAGGACGTTGATGATTGTCTTCTGCAGTTGCTCATGATTGTCTCGGAAGTTATCGATATACTTCAAACGAGATTGCAACTCGCTATGCTTGGGGTTGACCTTGATCGGAATGAACCTCTCCTGCCTTCTGCGAGTCGTCTCTCGAGCAATATTGGTAAATTCTTTTATCTGAGCGTCCCAAGACTTGAAGATTTCGTCGGCAGTAGTCATAAGGGTTTTAAAATCCTTATAATCCAGGTCGACCAACTCAGAGCCTGGAAGAAGGCGGTGCATGACTTCCTCAAGATCCGCCGAGATAGCTTCAACCAGATGCAAAGTTCGGGCTATAGGGTAATTACTGAATCTCATTTTCTTGTTCATGTGGGTGAAGATCTGGCCGATGGCGTCCTGAACCTTGGGCAGCGAAGTCGCGGACAACAATTCGTCGAGGGGGAAATCCCGCATGAGTTGATTGTACTTCTGCACCATCTCCATAGCCTCCTTCAAGCCAGTGTCGGCGGTAAAACTAACAGTAGCCTGAAAACGCTTCGCATGCTTCAAAATCTCCAAAGTCAACGTAACACCTTCGCTCCTCAACTGAGCTTCAATTCCCTCCAACGCAGACTCCATAGACAACCAAAAATTAATCTCCTGCGTCGCCGTTCTCGTTACGGGGTCTCGGGTGAGTTTCGTGATAGTCTGTATTGATTTAATCCAACCATTTACTGTCGACTGCAAGTTGTTCATGAAGGTACTCTCCGAGAGAAGTTTAGCGTCTATCATATCAGTCGTCGGTCGTATATCGCGTGCAGCAGCGTCATCCAATACCCCCTGGACAATCGGATGAAACGAGAGCGATAACTCTGGGATCTCAACATTTTGCTGGAGGTGCAGCAAGCTCAGTTCAAGCTCAGTCATACGTTTCTTGGTTACGGGAATACCCGTCTTCGCATCGACGTCCGCCCGGTTCCTGGTTCCATTCGCAGCTTGCGAGGTCTTGGTATTGGCATCGAAATAGGGCGCCAGCGCATTATGAAGAATAGAGTGTAGTATTTCGAAAGGCGAAGCAGTAGGACCTTGTTCGCTAACGAGATTAGCAAGCGAGGCAGTGCCAGGCAGCGTTTGTATCTGGATCTGAGATGATAACGGCAGCGCGGAATCGAGCGCCTGGGGGCGTTTGAGAAGTGCGAGATAGGCTATCGTCGTTGGAGAAGAAGATATTTCGGACGTGATGGTGTATGTATATGTGACTTGAACTGGAATATTTCTTAGCAATACTGATTTAGAGAAAAGCGGCTACGATGGGTCGTCATACCATTGTCGGTAGAACCGTCAGGGACGTCATCCGATGGCTTCACATCTTTCTGGATATACAGGGCCACCTGGGCATCGGATGCAAAGCGAGTACACCTTTGAACCGTATCGTCGTAGTTTGCTTTCGACAGAAGATTCCCTGGTCGCTCCAGCTCGCTACGTGTAGCTCCAAGGGCAATAGTAACCACGGATGCCAGATAGTCAACCACCAAAGCTGGATCTATCATGACAAAGGGGGAAGGCGATAATGCGTTCGCACCGGAGCCTTGTAGGCCTAGAGGAGCAGCCACAGCCTCCATCGTGGCGATAATAGTTTAGCGATCGATCGAGTTATACAGAGCCGGTGGCATTTCTTGGTATATTAGGGAATGTTGTCGGTTTCGGGTCTCAGGAGAGGCGTGGGATCCAAGTTGAAATTAAAAGATATTTTCTATGCGGATGAGATAGATTAGGAGAAAAGGACAGAGACCAAAAGAGCGTGGGTTCCGTAGAGGATGTCTTTGCCTTATTATCCGACCTAGTATCGTCGTTGATTATTGCTTCGTTGGGTGGTGATAATAGTTGTAAAAAAGAAGGGATATTGTGGAAGTTGTTAACCAGTCATCAACTAATTCACAATCACATTCTACCTAGGAGGTAGCTAAGTACGCGAACTACCTACGCCAACGGCCTGTCGCGACTAGGTACAGATACCTAGGAGGTACTTACCTTAGGTACCTAGCTATCTAATCGGCGCCGGTTCTAATTGGGTCGTTTACTCTCGTGGCGTGGGGCTAGCAATCGGGCAGCTACGTCTAGTCTAGACTCTAGCCACGACTTACCTTAGGTGAAGTACCTGATACATTTACGCAGGTACACAGATACATCACGTACCTGTACGATGTAAAGTTGTTTTAGTGGTCAATTTTTCCCCAAAAGAAACCCCTAAGACATAAATCTTTTGTATCGTATAAAACAATCCCTCTCGTCCCTTAGATGAGTCTTAGCCCCTGTTTTATTAAAACTCCAAAGTGTACTTGGCACATGGCCAGTTGGCTAAAGATATCTTATCTCATAGCTTCATTCTAAATCAACGATACCCTCTCCCTATACATGTCATTACATCGCATTAGGTTAGGTACACTACTACGAATTGGCATAGCTAAAGACATCTATAAATCCACCAAAGAATTGAAATTGAACAGCACACGTAATAGGTCATAATGGAAACCATCTTCGATCGTATTTGTCTTATTTGAATCCCATTTCCGTGTTCATACGCCCCAAGTCTATATTTTTTCCATTTCCAGTGTTGGCATACCTTGCGGTTCCTAATCATCAGGTCAGATGCAGAATTGACGTCCCGTTGTATTCCTTCGTGAACAAACCGCAAATCCCTTATAACTCCAGAACCCCGCTGCATGCCACCCGTCCCAGTCGTAGCCCTCATGACGCCGATGCTTTCCTCGAAACGAACCTTATCCCCATCCATCCATGCGTGTCTCGTTTTTTCTTTTTTTTAAAAAAAAAAATCCGTTTTGACCAAGTCCCTTTAGTTATTTGAGCCTCCTGCTCCACCGTTGACTCCACCGGCATCATTCAGCCTTTCCCTTTGTACCATGACCCGTTCATTACATATGTCAATGAACATCTCGAATTTCTCGATCATTTTATCCTTCTCGCGTAGCTTTTCCTTCAGCTCTTCAATTTCTTTTCTACCCTCTTCCTTAACCCGGGCTAGTTCTTCTTTGGTCCGAGCGAGCTCTCGCCTAAGATCTGACCGTATACGTTCCTCGGCAGACGGGGCTGGCTTGCTGTATATTGCCGGCCGTTGCTCTGCAATACCTGCTTCCACTTTTTGCGGGTTTCGATTTATTGCAGCACGCGCATTGTAGATATCTCTAGGGAGGAGGGGTACATGCGGGTTCTGCTGTTGCAAGATTTCGAGGGTTTGGGTGACGCCAATACCTAAAACAAGTCAATATGATAGATATAATAGCTCGAGGCCTAAGCTTACCAGACTCCTTCAAGTTCTTGACGGCCGCAACCATCTCGCTATCTAATTTTCTCGCAGCTGGGTGAAGAAGCGGGCTCTCGCTGGGGCCGTGGTTATGGTGGAGGTGAGTTTGATCAGGACGGTAACGGATCGTCCACTGCGTCCTCTGTTCGATAGCGAAGAATCCAAATTGACAGTTACACTTGCGAGAAGACGTCTTCCTTTTCCTATTCTCAGGGCTTACCCGGCTTGGAGGCTTTCCAGCACGGTCACATACGAAGAGAACCTTCTTTAGACCCGGAACGGTCTTTTTAGATCGTCCAATAACTACAGCATATCCCACCGATGTGCAATACGCTAGCACGTGCTTGTGAACAGCTTCAAGACTAGGAAAACTACCCCCTTCAGGCGGAGCCGACATCATCGAGCCCATCGGCGTCCTGGGTACAAAGGGTGTCCCTTCGATAAGCTTAGGCGAAATGTGACCATCTCCCTCTCCTTCCTCCCCTTGGCTATCCATATCCATATCGTCATGGTGCTGATCTTCCTGCGGGGTGACGCTTGGCTCTTGACGAGGGGCAGGCGGCGGTTGGCTTTGCGGTTGAGGAGTCGGCTGAGGCTGCAACGGCGGCGGAGGTTGCTGATGAACTTGTGGCAGAGGTTGAGGGAGAGCGTGCTGATGTACTTGAGGATGCGTCTGCGGATGCGCCTGAGGATGTGCCTGCGGGTGCGCCTGGGGGTGGGCTTGCGGGTGAGTTTGATGATGCGGAGGGTTCGGAGATATTAGGTTGCTGTCATTCGGCTGAACCGGTGGGGGTGGTTGAACCTGCTGAACAGGCTGTGGCTGAACTTGTTGTATCGACTGAGGGTGCGGCATCTGTAGAACCGGTTGGGATACTGGCTGGGGTACCTGCTGGACAGATTGGACTGGCTGGTTCATAGCTTGCTGGAGATACGCCATTGCCGGTGCAGGCCCCGGTTGTGGTTGCATCTGGCGCTGTTGAGTACTCCTTTGGTGCTGGGGATGCTGGGAGTGCTGCTGCTGGTGCTGGCGAACGACCTGGACAGCAGCTTGAGCATGCTGGGCGGCTTGGGCCGAGGTGTGTCTCGAGTTGCCATTTGGCAAATTAGCTACGCTGGTGACGTTGGGTACCGGAGACGGGGTGGTATTCTGGAAGAGATGTTGCGGGTAGGCGGCCTGCGGGGGTTGCTGGGGAGTATACTGAGCGGCCTGATACGGGGATTGGTGTTGCTGAGGCGTGGGAGAAGGTTTCGGCGGCGTGGACGAGTGCGAAGATGGATATCCGCGTCTGCTAAGTCCGTTGACCTGCGGAAAAGTCAAGCCCGGATGGGTGTGGGAGCTGGACCCGGGCTGGCCCAAGGCGGACATGACGGAGGGGGGAGGAAGGACGTGGGAACAGAAAGAACAGACTACAAACGCTCGATACTAAAAGACAAGAAGACGAAAGGAAGATTCGGAAGAACCAGGAGGACTAGGAGGACCCAGAATACAACGACAGCGAGCCTAGCACTAACGAGCTAGGATATGAACGATGTGATGTCAACCCTGGCCGTTTGACAGATACAATATGTAAGGTATGTTAATGTAGGGTAGGGGGGAATGAGAAAAATAATAAAAAATAATGATAATAATAAAATGTGGCGGGTGTGAAAATATCATGGCACGATCAACATGATAAGGCTCGAGGCTCGCCAGGGCTCATGGGCAGTACCTAGGTAGGTAGGTAGGTAGGTAGAGGTAGGGCTTCACCAGGGGGAAGGACTATGTAAAAGTAGTGTAAAAGTAGTGGTAGACACGGGTGTGGTTGAAGAGAATTGGTGGTGGATTTGCAATGGATTTCGGGGTCTCATCAGTGGGAAAGAGACTTGGTGGGAGTGGGTGAAAGATCGATCTAACTACTTGTTCTCCTTCGAGGCGCACTAAGCTGAACCGAGTTAAAACAGGCAGACAGGGAAGGAGGAAAATCGAAGAAGCAGCGAAACGGCGCGTTGTTTGGGGGAGGGGGGGGCGTGAGAAAATAAGAGAATGTAACAGCCCTTGCCAAGGAAAGGACAGCACAAAAAAAAAAAAAAAAAAAAATCTTGTCAATTCTGTATTTCGTACTTTGTTGTTATTTTAAAAAGAATAATAGATCCGAAGCTCCGATAATAAACAACCTAACAGGTATTCAAATCAAGAGGTATCCGAGCAGCTAATACATACCTGTAAATAAAATAGCAAGCAAAGTACCTAAAGTAAAGTACCTTAAAATACTCTACCTATCTCGTACCTAACCTTACGAATATCAGGTACACGTAAGAATTAGATCCCAATTTTCATAAGTCGACCTTTACTGGTAGGTATTTTTAAACAGCGGGTATTAATATACCACTACCAGCTAGGTACTACCTCATGCATTAGCAACGCCTAAAAATTGAACCGTGCAATAGTTGTGAACGGTTGATTTAAACGCTCCTCTAATCTAGAACAGGTAATGAATGCCAATGCGACCCTACCCAAGGTAGTTAAGGCTTAAGACATGGGGTTAATACTTTACTACTATATTAGGTACAGGGCGAATAGGTACAAGAGACATACCGAAGGTTGTGCATCGCATTAGCATTAGGTTTATTCCTTAGGTATGGACAAAAGTTATGTCTGCCAGTATTATTATACCTTAGGTTAGGTAAGAAGTACTGTGGTACCTAGTCTAAGGGGGTACCTTGGATCTTCAAATAGGCAGAATAAATACGAATATAATCTTCAATTTCAACCTCATCAATTTCTTTTTTCCTAACAACTCCCAACTTCTGTTATTATTAGCGTCCATTCATAAGTGATCACGATACCTTTCCCGTCGGACCCCTTTCTGCATTGCCTAGGTACCTAGGTAAGTAAGGTAGGCATACGGCAAGGTAGCTAGCTGATGTGTCACCCGTTTCTACCTAGAATATTCTACCTAGAATACCACATGTGCGGCTTGCTGTTTGCTGCTGTCTGGTTCTATCCGGTTAGTACATGTCGATGCCATTGGTCCCAACCAGTTGATTAATCCAATCCAGCTCAGGTGAAACATTAAGAACATTGAAACGGTGCGCAATTCGCCATATGGGTAGAGGGACAGATGAACAGATGGGCAGATGTGTACACTGTACAGTGACAACAGTCGGAAAAGAAAAGAGAAACGACTTGTCAACATCCCGTTAACGTGCCTAATCACGTCCACACACATCTGCTCTGCGCATACCCGCATGCTACATTGCTGCATTGCTGCATTGGCACATTGGCACATTAGGGCATGCTACCTGTACCTAATTGTTCATAACAAAATACTACCTGTAGGTAAGCAATGAATGACGGGAATGATGCTTCCAGAAATAAACTGCGGTTCTAGATCATATTATTGCTTTTTCTTCTTTTTTTCCCCACAGGCTCGGGTCATTTCATTCTCTAACTTCGAACGTATTTCCATCTTTCGGCCTTACGAAGAGTCCAACTTTCTCGGTTGGCACAGTTGAGAATTGAAGGACTCGACTTGGATCTAGCGAGAGAAAAAAAAACAGTGAATCACTAGGTATTAGAATCAGTGACTCACTTATTAGGATAAGATGTGAGCAAATTCGAGGGCGTATCTTGACGTGTTTGTGTCGTTATTATTCCCTCTCTCTCTCTCCTTTCAAGTTTCGGTAGCCTGGATCATCTCAACTCGAGCCAATCTTATGCCTTTAAAGTGAAAAAAGACGAAGAAGATTAAGAAAAAAGAAAAGAAAACGCAAGTCAGCCCAAGTAAACTTACAAGGGTATTGTTATGTGCATTAGTGGCTAAGCTGAGGCTTGCTGTTGCCGCGCTTCAAACTCAGATTATTGCCTCCGCTATTGGGCGTCAGCCTCTCTCTCAAAGGACCTTCAACTCCGATATTTCTTCCCGTCCGTAAAGTTGGGCATAAACAAACGAACAATGCGACCGGGTTAAGTGTTATCACTGTCCAACCGAAAGGTCCATTAAAGAAAAGAAAAAAAGAAAGGAAAGGAAAGGAATTCGGCATTAAACTCACCCGGGTTTTTCCCATTTGTGATACGGCATGATCGTCGTCATAGCCAACTTTAATCCCAGGCTTTCTTCATCCCCCGCTCCCTTACTCTCTCACGATGGCCGAGGAGGAGAGCGTAAAGAAGCTACATGAATGGATAATCATGCAGCGCAGAGGTCGTAATAAAATCCTAAGAGCATCAAAGGATCCTATAGCACGAGCCCGGCTCTTTACCGAGATCCCGTCCCCAAACCCCGTAGTACTCCACATTTCAGAGTCCGATCGTGTTTCGGCCTTAACTTCCCTTCCGGCGTTCCTCTTCAGCGGCCCCGCCGTAGAATCCGGACAAACCCCTATCTCTATTCAGGGGTATCGATCCTTCCTTACCACCTTTCCTCCCGAGGTCCGGAACATTATTTACCACTACGCCATAGGTTATCCCACCTGTCGAAACCTTTACGACTATTATTATGATCAGAAAGAAAAGGCCAAGGCCAAGATCGAGCTGCGACCACGCTCTGCTAATACCAGAGTGTCGCGTCACTCCAAGATTATCCTCCGGACGCCTGCCATACTTCTTCTCTGCAAGCAGATTACCCGAGAAGTATTAAGTTTCCTATACCTCCAGCCCTTCGTTATCGACCGCATCCCGCCATGGATCATGGGTAACTCAGCACCCCTTTCCATAGTCAACTTCATCAGCAGAGCAACCCTGCAAAAGCTTCGATTCGTCCAAATCAAAATCTCACTCGGTGATAGTATCGAATTTGGAAGTGGGAAGGTCTGGCTTAGGCTATTGAATGATGTACTAGATGCCTGGTCGGAACGCAACTCCCTTGTTCGATTGGAAGTCATGTTCAAACTTTCGCATATCACTAGGCCGAACATATGGACATATGAACTGGAGTATTACGAGACGCTTGTTAACAAGGCAAGTATCGCTGCGCTCTCCATCAAGGGCAATATTGTTGACGTGGGCTAACGATTCTCTAGCTTTCCTATTTCGAGTTCAAACACGGATCGAAGCCGAGCTTGATCCGTTGGGAACATTGGGTCATAGATTTCGGCTATGCCTATCGAGTCGGCCATAGAAGTAAGTCACGGAGGTGATCTCATTTTCTAGGCGCTTGGAAACCTAACCGAGTATAGACCCCTTGATTAGAGTACATCCTGATCCATACATATGGCAGGGAAGCGTTATCGAATGGCTCTAAGCTGGCATCAACTATTTACGACTAAGACTATGTGGCGTACTATGGGAACCTATAATATGGAGAGGGTTACGACCGTGACCGAGCGAGGTAAAGGGGAGAAGGAGTAAAATTCACAGGCATACTCGCAAACACATACGGCGTTTGGAAGGCATATACCCAGGTTTTGATTTGATCATTGCAGCAAGCATGACTTTCCCTAAATCGTCCCAGAACGCTTATTCATTCAATAAATTGCGCTGACTTATCCTAATATTGGTAATAAAGAACCTGTAGAATCTTCGTACACTGCATATTCGACGTCAGGTAATAATACGTCTGCTATAGGCCTAGCGGCTTATCATATCAATCATATCGTGGAACGGCGAAGGTGATGCTAAAGTCTGACCCCAGCCCCTGGGCGTCAGCAAATCCAGTGACTAGCTCGTCGTGTACCTACCTCAGGCTATGTACCTAGGTGTGTGAGATCAACAAAAGTCAGATATCCTTATGCAACTAACACTCGGCATACCATACCACACCACACCCTCAACTTTCTATATTTTTCCCCATCTAAGAAAAGATCTCGTTCCTCCCGAGCGATCCCTCCGGGTCCCTAGGTCACTCCTTCAGCCGCAACCACAATACATCTGCAATAGCCTTTCACTCGGCCGCGCTGCAAGGGGAATAGGAGACCACAAATCCTGTCTTTCACATCGTTCTCTAGTTCTTCTCCTATCTACCCGTGTCTTTCTCTCTCTCTCCAGGCATGCCGTGCCATTCTATCCCATACCATTCGGACGACGCCGACGCGGCATGTAACACAGCGCCTTATACCGTACCCCGAAGGAATCGACTCGACCCCGCGTACGTAAGCCTCTCCACGCCTATATTTTTTTTTTCCACCCCTTCTTCCCTCCCTCCCAGCAAAGCATAGCACAGCACAGCGGCACGTAAATTTAGGCGGTGCTAGGATTAAATTTCTCCGGTCAGCCTTACCAAAGCAGATATTCCTGAAGGATGTGGGCATGAGCAAAGGGCGCGCAACCACACCACCACCATGACCACTACTGCTAACTACCACTACTACTACCACCACTACACTACACTATACTACACTACCTCGCTCGCTCCCTTGCGAATACTACCTCTAATCTGATCTGATAGCTCCCCTGGGGCCGCCAGGTCCGACCACCCACCCATCCACTTCCTCGCCCACCGAACCCGCCAAACCCCCCAGCCCTACGAGATTTTGCCCATGCACATCGCTTAGTAACGATAATTCATGCGCTGCGCCAAGGAAGCGGGTAAACTGCAGCTTTGTTTCGTTTCGTTTTTGTTATCTTTTCTTGTTTTCTTGTTGTCTTTTTTTTCTTTTCAAATCCCCCCTGAACCCCTTAATCCTGCTGAGCACAGCAAAACCGGGCTCAGTCCGAATCCCATTCGGAAGGGGGTTCCGAACGGCGTTATGTGGTACTTTATGTACCTACCTAAGATATCTAGGTGGGTATCTGAAAGTTGTTACGCGGATGTGCGAGGATATCATATCGTTACCTGCCTACCTAGGGCCTAAGGTACAGGTAGGTAATCATCTGTATATGTCTTCTTCTTGGATATCGCCACCAGTTTTACACAAGAGGTGGTGATGCAAGTAGATTGGGCAGTTAGCTACCTGGTATTGTGTAGGGTATTGAACCAAACTCGGTTGAAATAAACAAAACAAAAAACATAGACGTTCTAAAATACGAATTTCGCAATCGTGTATATCCAGCCCAGCTGTTTTAATCACATTTCCTGCTGGTGTAGAGCGCCTTTCGGCTTATATCTATCTTCTCTATAAATACGCAGTGGTATCTCTAAATAGCCCTCCCCATCTCAATTGTCCCTAGCCTTAGCCAAAAAAGGAGGAGGGGGGTTAAGTTCGGAGGGAGGGGAGGAAAGGGGGGGGGGAAACGACGAAAAGAAGCCACCCAAATATGTATATCGCCGATCCAGACGCCTAACTGATGCAGAACCCATATTATACTGAGATAAGAATTTGCCGTCCCAAGGTCATCATATCATATTTTCGCGTTCGTAGTACCATCATCTCATCTACTCTTCCGGGGAGTACTTCTTCCTCTTGCTGGGTCTCCGGCCTGCCTCGTCGCCGACGAAATGGTTCTTGTCGATCTGGTGCTGGCGTAGATTATCCTGGCGGTTCTTGTATTGGCTAGTGCAGCCGGGATAGGGGCATTTGTATATTACCGGCGGGCCCGCTGAATGCTGCATCTTCTTGTGCTTTGCCATGCTGCCCTTGAACCATTGCGGATCTCCCTTTGGACGGTATCCGCACACGTCACAGGCATCATTTGCTTCCATCTTCTGGGCCGAGGAGGATATCGACTTTGGTGATTCGATATGAGCCGGCGAGAGAGGCTTTGGCCTAGTTGGAACATTGATTGGGTGTGGGAGGCCGGGCGGAGATGTGAAGGAATTATCAGGTGTGCTTGTGTGAGATGCGGTTTTGGCGAAAGCTGCAGTCGTAATGGTAGGTGGCGGAACACTAGTGTTCATGTCTTGAAGGTCCATGGGGCCAAGCTCCGGGTTGAAACTCGGAGTGCCTGGAAGCACTGTTTGGTTTTGTTGAGAAGAGCTGGTACCCAGGTTTATGAAGAAATTTCCATCAATCCCGGTGTTGCTTTCAAAGTTGAACGCATCGAGAAATGGATTATACCCCGGTTCAGATAGCTCCAGCGTAAATTCGGGAGGATTTTCCTGCATATGTTGAGTATCGGACGTGATTTTTTGAATTATATCTTCCATCAACGATATTCCCATAGTCTGATATAATGTTCTCGATGGAGATCTTTGCTCGGGATAAATCGGGTCACAAAATCTTCTAACTTGTGGGATGTAGTCGTTAAAGAGGCTGGGAGAATCCAAAGAAGTCTGTTGTATTCATTGTCAGAAACCATACGAAAAGTGAATTTTGTAGACTGGACTTTTGCTAGAAAGATCGGCAGTTACGGCCGTTTAGAGCAATTCGATTCTTGTATCTGGTCTAATGGAGGGAAGACTTACTTTACCGGCTTGCAATATCGCGAGTTCAAGTTTGCGAACGTAGGTGATCTCCCCGGACCGAATCTTTCGCTTGATTTCTCCCAGTCTTGTTAATAACATGTCTGAATGTTGGAATCCGGTAGTCAAGTCTTGAACAATATAACTGGCTGTTATTGCAAAGGGACTGTCATCTAAAGAATTTGGCTGCGTTGCTGCTACATGAGTGGAATAGAGGTGAGATGTGAAGACTTCATCTGACCTTGGTGGACCACCGGTCATGACGGAATTATCTAGATCTATTGATAAGTTAATAGGATTGTTCTGGTAGCACTTTCGATCCGGCTTACCATCAAGAAAATTCTGCCCTACGGCAACGAGAGGGTCGATTTCAAAATTAACTCTCGAGCTTGTTCGATACTCGGGCTCTTTACCCTTGCTACTTGACGATACATCTGTACGGGCTGCTCTAAAGACTTGTGATTGTTCCTCTAGCATAGGTTGCCATATTTCTATCACGATTTGCGTATAGTAATCGCGATAGTTTGGTTCCAGAAAGTGCCGATAAGAAAGGGCTTGTTGGTACAGTGCGCTACAACGAGTTGCAAGGTCGTTTTCGTGGATCACAAGGGAGAAGGCGTAAATGAGATGTATAAAACAGAGGTAGTCAAACGCGTCTATAATGTTATCCCCTTGTAGCATCCTTCTTAGGCTCGAGAGGCCGTTTAATGCGACGGTTTTTGGTGACTGTGTTTGAAGTCGTTCGACCAACGGGTTTCCTTCGATGTGCGACAGTTTATGTCTTGAAGACGAGATATGCTCCTGTAAGGCGACCCAAGCCGTCTCGACAAGAGTCCTGGTCTCTGGGCTACGATCTGACGGGTCGAGGAATTCGGACGGTATGTTTGTGGGCTTCGGATTGGATCCTGCGAACATCATATTGACGGATGGTGAAAGAGAGATTTCTGTATCAACAGACTGCATCCATGAATAGTTGTCCTTAGGCTCAAAAGAAAATAACATCGGATCAGACAATCCACGGGGTATGGATAACAAGTCATCGCCTGGTAATTCAAACATGCCGTTGACCATATAGTTACACGTGTCTTCTGGACATGGGGCTGTGGGCTTTACTGCAGTCGACATTTCTTCCGGTTGGGATGCTGGGAAAAGATTGTTTGGACTCAGGGGTGTTATCGGAGATGTCATTGCGGTGCCGATACTTGAGCCCATGGTCCAGGCTCCCGAACTGTTGGACGTTGCACTCCAAGGAGTGACTGGCGATATGTTATGCGAGCTTTTAGTCGATCGAAGCGACGAACTTGGGGAGAGGCGCTTGGTACGGGGAACATTCCTATAACGGTCTATGTGAGTATCTAAGGCTAAAGAGGGTCGACTTCCCCCTGAAGTTGTCGGCATTAAATTAGGTGGAGGCATGGACATGTCTTGATGAAGTTGTTGTATTGAGTATTGCGATAAGGGTTCACTGTGCCTCGGAAGTTTGGCTGTTTGGGAGGGCACCGTAATCCCCGGTGTAGCATTATGTGGTCGATCTGGGGTCGTGGGGAAATCTACAGGTTGTGTGGCATAGTTAACGGGGTCGAGCTCAGCTGTCGGTAGCATTTGTCTGGAGTCTAACTCGTGTATTTCTGTACCATTCAGTTCTATCTGAGGACGAGGCTGGGATTCCTGTTGTCGTGGCTGTTCTTGGTGCTGCTGACGCTCACTTTGCTCTTCTAGATCGATTACGAGAGAATCGTAGCTAGGGGGAGGTGCTGTGATATCTTCCTGGAAATTAGAATGCGGCATCTTTTGTGTCTTGTTGCCTATATTCGAGAAGAAGCTCCTGGCCATGTTCATAATACGTCTTCGCCTAGTCGGATGGCCCGTACAACACCGACATTTCCCATCGTTATATCGTTCGATTTTCATGCAGTCGTAGCATACGTATTCACCAGTTTTGAGGTGTTGGCACTTAGTCAGATGTCTTAGCATCTCCTCATGGTCGTCGAATCGCTCTCCGCACAAGAGAAGAGGGCATTTTAGACGCTCGCTTGCTGCCATTCGAACCGATTTGTTTCGCTTGACGGCTGCCCATACGATGAATCTCTGCAATGCACATTCCTCCCCTGGAATCTCTCGAGTCCTTGAGAGGTTAGTATGTTCAGAACTAGGATAATATCCCGTCGCTACTCACGCGCATGGTGATGGCACCTGTAGGTTAGACTCCGATCGTAGGCTCGAATTCGACCGTCGCCTTGAGTCGGGGGAAGGGGTCTGTACTGTCGCGTGTTGCCCGACCGGCGGGTCTGAATCGAACAAAGTGACATCAATAGAAGATGCCGGCTCAGTAGCGGCAAAGCTCTTTTTGGGATCCATTGCTACAACAGACGGTCTTGTCTATAGAAGACTAGCACTTGAACGGAATGAGAGAAGTCGGGGCCAGATGGATCGCCACCAGATCCATGCCTTTATTTTTGAAAGAATCTAGAAAATTGTTTCTGCTACCCTGAACATGACGATGTAGGACTTTTTGGTATCGGTGCAGGTGCAGCAGTACTTGTACCCTAGGATCAGCGGTAACGAAGACCGACTAATAAGAACTGATCCAGCCATTGGCAACCACTAGCAGGCTCCCTCAGGACCTCCCCTTGTAATTACTATCGGCAGTGCGTTTATCTTACCGTTCGCGGCTCACAGGGCTGCATGAGAGTGCAAGCGATGGAGTTGGGGGCCAAAATCCAACTCGGTGAAGTACGCAGGCAACAAGGCAGAATGGACCCCAAATTACGCCTTGTACTCAGATGCAAAAGCCAGCTGAGTGGGAATCGCTCTGCTGACTGCAGGACTCGGGCGTGGTCCAATCAGAAGCGTAGCGTAAAGGGACACAATTGCTTAAGGATAAAGCCAGAAAGCGCCCCTATTCGAGTTTGAGAGCTCGACTGCAGATCCCCTTCATCAAACTTCTCGGATTTGGACGTATGAGTGTTCTAGTAAATCTCGGGAACTCCTTGGTGATAGGTATCTACTGGAAGCAACCCAATACCACGGAATCGCAGTAATAACCTACCGGGGAAAGTCATGACGATAAGCTTGTCTGTTCCCAAATATCCCAAATAGTTTTAGGGCATGTTCGGGCATCCCATGAAGAAAACGGTAAGAGAGAGGAACGGTAAGATCCGCATAAACGAATGGCTTTTGAACCATGCGCACGCAACAAATCAGCTCTGTTAGCTTCTGTTAGACAGACAGGTATGGAAAAGGGAATTGAATTTCTAACATGAGCCATGTTTGCTGGCTGCATAACTATTTTCTAGAGGGGGAGCGAAACGATGCTGTGTCCGGGGGTGGCTTGATATGGTGAGATGGTGATCTATCACCGCCTTGTAGGGCTGGGAAAAGCGGCATGGGGGGGATTGACGGGGATAAGGAAACTTGAATTTTGGGAACCTACATGTAATGTGGTCTTGGAGCTTAGGCCATGCCCCGGACTTGTACGAGAGATGTTGTGGCACGAGGCGGCTGGTCGGTGGCTGTGATTTTTTTTTCTTCCTTCCAAGAAGTGGCTCAGGTTCTACAATGTCGATGTCCTTAAGAACCCAAGGTCTGGTTTATGTAAGGACATCGAAGTAGGACTTGCAGGTTTTTAGGTAACTACCTAGGTACCTAGGTAGACCTGTATAACGTATGCAACTTCGTTTGATCAGTAGCAATGGATATGGGCATAGCATAAGACATATATATCGTTCGAGAGGAAATTCCACAAGTGAGCATCGGTAAAAATCAATTCTGTAACCGATAGGTTATTGAGCATATTATTGATACATTAGCTGATCACCTATGCATCAGGTTCATGGATCCAATGTATGACATGACATTTCTTACCTTCTTTCCACACCAGTCATATCGAAAACTAACCAACTTCTTCTCGTCTTATTAATACCTTCATCGTATGTACATAACATAACATAACATAGCATAACCTTGAGTATGGACTGAAGAAGCCACTTTCTTAAAAAAGTGAGGATCGTGTGGTTTTTAATATCGAAACTCCTATATCTCTTCTTCTTTATTAAAGCAATACCTCTTACCAAGCTCTTTTTCGGTATTGGTCAAATGTTTATTGCGTCACCGAAGCACAGGCAAGTCCCCTAAATCGGCTTCTATGTTGCATCTATTCTACGTCGCAATACCGACTGCATATGCAAGTGGGTTCGTTTATTAGTATGCTTGTTAGTATGCAGGAGTAGATATATCATTGGATCTTGTCAACCCCGTTGTCTATCCGTTCGGCGTCGACTGATTTGCAACCCTGGTTTTGCGCAATTTATTATTATTTTTTTTATTCCTTTTCTTTTCTCTAGTAGAGGGTTGACCTTGATGATCATGACGCACCTATTGGAGCTCTTACGGTGAGACTAGGGTTTGTTGGTCTCGAGTCGATTCGTTCCCAAATATTACGCGTTCGACGTTTCAAGAAACGCAAGTCCGACTCCTGCTCTTCGTTTGGTCCCCTTCCCTTTCCCCCCCGCGCCTTCGTACTTCGTACTAGGGTCAATCCGTTTCTTATCAATGTCTAACCCTCCAAATGGATCTTGGCACTCCCCCGACCAGAATCATGGGATTCGCTATTCCACCCCACGAGGAAGATGCGACTTTTTTTGATAGCTCTTGTTGGCTTCAATTTTAACGCCGGACACGCCGGGGTTACCACCATCCATTGATCTTCCTAACTATCTTCCTGACTAGCAAGGGGACACGCCATCATCTCCATCTACGATCTGAAGGGCGATCGACAAATATGTCGATACTCTTTACATAGTTGGTAGACGAGGAACCCGGGACCCTAACTCGGCTAGGAAGACTGTACATAGTAGGGGACTTGAGTGGATGTGAGTGGACGTGAGAGTACGTGAGAGTACGTGAGTGGACTTGTGTGGACTAAGTGGACTAAGTGGACAATAGCTGCCACACACAACGAACCATTTTTTAAAACTCAGCTAGGGATGGTCTAGGCCCCCGCTAGTTTCGACAGCCTCTGTCTCGAAACGGCTGTATAACATGAGAAAAAACCCTCTCGCGATCCATGGTTCTGGTACGGTCTATCTGCTCTATCTCACGAGGACAACCATCCAAGACGAACGATAATGGTATAGACGGGATTTCGTGCTTGTGACAAGCGCATAGTGGCGTCGTCTATAACCTCCTATTCGACCATCTTATTCGCCTATCCCTAACTCTTATCAGATAACCACCCGGTGATCGACTGGTAAGGAGCGTCCCCCGCGGGACGATGTCATCAGTGCAGCGGTCCTTATAGGGAAAACGGAAACGGCCTTTGGTTTATCTGCGAACTATCTTGCGACAACCCCAGACATATAAGCATTCCAGCCAAGACCGCGGACGCTTTGCCAATTATATTTCTGTCGTTTCGTCTCTTCATTTCTCCATTATTCTCATTCTCGATTCATCTCATCTTAACAATAACTTGTTGCTTTTCTTGACGTTATCGTCATTAATCAACCCTAACCCGAATACTCACTCACCTCACCCCTCACCCCTCCATCTCGAGCTTTGCTTGTGGTGCCAAGGAACCAACTTATTCATCACCTTATCGAGCTTGTCAACATTTATTTATTTTTCTTTATATTATTCAATTTCTCTTTTCTGGGGTCTGAGACCCTGGAGATTCCAAGCAGTTGGTAATTCTTACACTTTTAAGTTGCATTGAAAGAAATGATTTATATTTACTCTTAAAGCAGGCAAAACTTTTTTTTGAAGAAAAATTGTCCGCCTCAAACTTAGGCTAACCACACACAACGTCGAGATGGCGCACGTGGCACGAGAGTTAGACCTGAATGCTTGCTATGGGCCCGGCACCGTTATGGACAGAATGAACGCGGTGCCGGGCTTAAAGACTAGTACAGGTGAGTAGACGATGATTTTTTTTTCTTTAAATACTCTCAAACTCATAAGTCATTTTCGGACAGTTGGTCTTGTTTTGCCTCGTCTTTTGGTTTGTCTCAAATTGAAAGTTCAATTTCCGCCCTCACATTCCATGCTTTTCCTTTTCATGAGTGACATGGTGTAACTCTCACCTCACATCTGCCAGTCGCAAAAATCGCATGAGTTGGACGAGGTGGGAAACAAAACCCGACTATTCGATTCCGACGTAAGACAAAACAAAAGAAAAAAAAAGAAAGAAAAGAAAGAAAGATAAAGTAAAATACATTAGCTTCGGTAAAGCTGATCAGCACCTCCGGCCAACAGCATTCTTCTTCTTCCTCCGGGCGAATCTCGTTGTCAATCCCTCGGCGATATCAACGCCGGATATGGAGCCAGCACCATCAAGTAGGCTCCCGCCGCCTTCGCCGTTACCGTTTGTGACGATTGATCCACCTACACACCCAGTACCACCGGATCTTCCACCATTATCTGTGGGTACCTTGGACGGCAAGACCGACAAGCTGGATGCGCTGAATCTGGTCACGGACTCGATAGCCCAGCAGAGGCAGTCCTCTTCGTACCATTTAATTTTCCACCCCTACTTACTGGCTATTCTGGCCGTGTGCCTCGGCATCGCGTACGAGTACTCCTGGCGCATAAAGCGCGACCTCGGCACGGCGCTGATGTTACATTCCGGGGTGATCATGACTTATTTGATGACCATCCGGTATTTTACGGGCCAGTACATCCAGGTAGCCGAAAGCATGAAATGGAGTTGGATGGTATCCGAGGATGGCGAGGAGGACACCGTGATCGGCGTGCGGTTTGGAAGCGATCTGATTGGTGCTCTGGTATTACGGCTCGAGCCGAACCCGAGCCTAGCCGGGAAGAAGCGGAACCGAAATTCGATGCTGAGAGGGGGCAAGGGCATAATTCGAGCCTGGACGGTCAAGTTGAAGTATCGGCATAAGGGCGTCGGTTCCGATATGCTTCACGAAGCCGTCAAAGTGACGAGAGAAAAATGCGGCAGGGACGCCGAGATTGGATTTGCGAAGGAGCACGCCAATAGCACTATGGTGCTACCCGAAGCGTTCAACGGGCCATTTAGAAAGGACGAGCAGCGAGCCGCAAAGGCGTTAGAAAGAGTTCTGAGCGAGTGGGAGGGTAGTAGACGAAGACGAAAACTATAAGAGATTTGTAGGGACGGTCGGTTGGCGTTTGGCGGTTATCTGGTTAAGTTACAGCGTATGATCAATACCCCCGTTCGTTTATTAGAAATGCCTTAGCCTTATTATAGATAAATCAATCTTTTATTCAAGAAGAAATTATGAGAGCTTTCTTTGAGAGACTTAATCATTTTCTATGATTCCCAAGTAGTCGTGTAGTGATACTGTTAAATGTCCCATGAGCTCCCGGTTGCTAGCTAATGTTTCTAGCCAATGGTCCCAACTGCAGTTAAAAGAGCACAGGTTGTGAAGTCAATCCCATAGCCACCCCCACCAATACGCCAGTAGTCTCAATCAGACCATTCAAGAAAAAGCGAGCTTATTTTGAACAAACATGGTAGCTAGGCATTTCTCTCATGTGCGACCAGCCTTTGCCGGTTTAGTCTTCTGAGGTCCTCCGTTAACATCGTCGAATCCGTAAATAGGACGACCCAATCGTTTCAACGAATGTATGACCTAAAATACGAATTAGAAAAAAAGAGGGAGTTTAAAGTTAATATATCAAAACCAAAGAAAAAGGCAACGAGGATAACGCACATCGTTGATGGTGACGGTTTTCCTCTGGCGGTACTCGGTGTACACGACGCAATCACGTATGATCTGTGGTTTCCCCCGGGACGGGGCGCAGTTTAGTACGATGCATACATACATACATACAAGGGCAAAGTGAGCCAGCGAGCGAGTAAGCAAACAAATCGAGGTTGCGCCACGCGAGTTCCTTGCATTAGGTGTTAGGTACGTGTAGGTAGGTATATACATACCTCTTCGAGCCTCGCTTTTAAGGCTGATCGGACTTCGTCGTATATCTGAGCGGATATTCGCTTGACGCCACCTCTACGGGCTAGCCGTCTGTCGTAAATGTTAGAGCTAACTGGTTACACGGGATGAATGGTATAGGTATAATGTATAGATTAGATGGTGAGGTAAGGTGAGGTAGGGTGAGGTGAGGTGAGATGAGTGAGTGATGCTACCGGTAGACTGGATTTCGAGTATGTAACGGGTGTTCGTTAAGAGACATGGCATGACATACCTGATAGCGGGCTTAGCTAGAAATCGGGTTATACGTTAGTTATCCGCACGACCCGTTGAACTTATATATATGGAATTCCCTAACGAAAGACGGGTATCTATCTAATGTATGCAATGCTTACTAATGCCCTGGATGTTATCGCGAAGTATCTTACTATACGCATAGGTTAGATTAACAGGGTAGGTAGGTAGGTATTCTATTCTAATCTGATGTATGTTACCTACCGGTGACGCCTGATCCCCTGCAAAGCAACAGCAAAAGTTAGCGTTTCAAGCCATCGCGTCTAACTAGGTAGACAAGATAGAAGAAAAAGAATGGGAGCTAGGGTGAATTTACTCCTTTCCCACCGAGACCCTTGCCTCCTTTCCCTCCTCCAGCCACGTTTTTGCCCGGCATTTTCGATAGGGTAAGTGAGAACAAAAAAAAAAAAAAAAAGCTAGCGGTCCCACAGGGATGGTACCTATGGACTAGGTAGCTTTGGCGCCGGACGAACCAACGAAAGACAACGCGAACTCTTTTTGGGGGGGGCTTCCTTCGAGTTACAGTTTAAGTTCTAACTAGTATGTAGGTACGTAAATCGAGGCGCGTTAGGTTAGGTGAGATAAGATAATACCTAAGGTAAAAAGAGATGTGGAGTTTTAGAGGGGACATGGGGGAGAATCAACCTGTGAAACTTGAAATTGTAGGGATTATTTCTGTATCGATAAGACCAACGGCTCAAAAGTTCTGTCCCATTCTTCCCTACCACATGAATATGAACATCTAGAGCGGGGTAGCTAGCTGCCTGGAGTTGGTGTAACGGAGCGTCAGACGCTTATGACGTTTCATATAGGTACCAATTCGATACGTAAAATACCGGCATTTCGGTGTCTTGTATGTGTCAGTGTGTATATTGATACAAACGAGGTACATAATTACTAGTCCGTTGAATTGCTTTTAACACCGACTTCTTATGTTGCGTGCAAGGCTTCCAAGAGCAATTAGGTTATTGTATTTATATGAGATATCCTTATTAATGCAACCTAGAAACTATAGGTAGATAGTACATGGCTTCGAATGGTGGAATTCGAAAAAGAGGTAGTTTACACCTTGGCATCTCAACGAGTGATCATGTACTTCTATCAAGGACTCTAGTACCCCCAAACTCGTTTCTCATGCAATATCCTGACCGTATGCTAACCCGAACGCAAGCAAATATAGCGTAGCCAAACCTCTCTAATAGAATGCGGCGCTGAAACCAAGCACCTATGCTCTAAAGGCGACGATGCTGGTCGTTATTCTGTCTCGCTCATTTTATCGGCGTTAAGCAAGTGTATTATGCTTCATTCTGATTATTGCTGAATTACTCCGTTGCGGATATGAAAGTTGCTTCACTGAACAGCCGTCCCTCTTCGGTAATCTCCTGATCCCCAATCTTGAGCTTCAGCACAGTAGGGATGTTGTGGGGGAAGAACTATATCCAAAGTTAGAGATTAAATGCTTTTCAACCATGCTCCCTCTGTAAACTTACTTGGTAGATGTATGGTTTAGTTCCTGCTGCATTAGCGACAATTTTCTTGACAAAGCCAGGAACCTCGGCCATGACGTCAATCCTGTCAACTCTCTCGCCCATGGCGCATTCGATAACGGCCTCGACGGACTTTCCATCCTTTGTGGTGCCAGACCAACTAAACTTGATGTCGGTAGGCTCGGGCCAGTCGTTCTCGGTGTCCTGCTTTGTCTTGAGGTGTTTGGCGCCGCAGTTCGGCCCAGCAATAACAATCTCCCCGTCCTTGGCGATTCCACCCACATCTACAACGGTTGTTCCGTAGGACGGTGGTGTGGTGAACTCCATCATAATTGCGGAATATGTCGGACCTTGATAATTGAGGAAATTCCATCGGGCTGCCAAATGGTGGGGCTTCATGCCCTGCAGAGCGTGGGAAAGGAACGCCTTTCCTTTGAAGTCGATGGGTCCATTCTTCGTCATAACGCTTCCCTCAGCTGAACACCTTGGCCAAAACGCATGTCGCATGGAGCCCCACGGGCGGGATAAGTCGGTACCGTACAAGGTCTTGCCATTCTTGCCGACTACGAAGCCAGGTGCCACCTTTGTTATTTTGAGGTTGACGATACACTGGGGGTCATTCATCGACTTGATTGTGTAAGAGTTTCCATCCGGGGATAGTTCTACGGCGCAATCGGTTGCGAAAAAGCATGTTTTATCTTCGCTGAACTCGGCGTGATTTAGGGGCGAGGAACTCCATAGAGGTTTCGAGCCGTCGGTATAGAAGATCTTGCAGTTGAACTGGCAAGTGGTGCGGATGCCACTTTCAAGGTATGTCAGTTAGATTGAGAGGCAGCTGGGCGGTTGAAAACTCATACACCACATTGCTGTAGATAACCTGAGCAAAAGCTAGGGGGCCGTTGTCTGCCATGAAATAAAAGGTCTGGCTCTCGACGCAGGTCGAGTCCATGGCCTCCCATTTCATGTCGTCCCTGGTTAACTCCGTGTACGGCGTCGTTTTGGCATCTTCGGCCACTGATCTTATGGCCGAAGGGCCGTAAATGGGCTCTTCCGTGCCCACGACATTAGCCAGACTAGGCCACCAGTTAGTTGAATACCCTAGGTACGGGGACTAGGGAAATTTGCTGCTGACGTTTGCTTCGCCCAGTTGAACATGATGCAGAAAACGAGACAATCTGTTTATAGGTGGTGTTGATGATAGATAAGTGAAAAAAAGGAGGTAATATAGGATGACTAAAGGGGAAAGAAATGAAAAGGGGAAAAGAGCGGTGATAAGTTGTAGATCGTTAGGAAAAATACATATGCCCTTAATTAGTGTAGTTACCTAAGGTTAGGTAGGTAGAGAGAAAGACGGAAGTTCCATTCGATATTTTGGCGGGGTCCTTGAATAAAGTTTAGGTACCTCCTTTGTACCTGACACTCCACTCCCGCGAGGTCCACGGGTCCCTTATTCATGTATGTAGAGATGCATGTATTGTACCTAGGTACTTCATCAGGTACAATACATGTGGACACTACGGAGTCGGGACACTAAGTAGACGGCCGTACGGTAAATCGGATTTTAATTAAGGTTGCGGCGCACTCAAAAACTCAATTGTGGCTGATGCAAGAAATCTTAAGCATCCACCATTGGATCGAAACATATTGGGGAAGTTTTTTTTAAACCAAGAACATTGACGATTAACCGATTAACCGCCCATTTCCTTCTCCTTCGTTAATCCACGCGCGACAGCTTCAAAATGTCTAAGGCGCGCTCCACTGCCTTTGGCGGCGACCAGATTGTGAAGCTCATTGTGGGAGCTGGAAAAGCTACCCCGAGTCCTCCAGTTGGTCCCGCACTTGGAAGTAAAGGTGTTAAGTCTATGGATTTCTGCAAGGTAAAAAAAAAAAAGAAAAAAGATAGACCGCGTTGTTAGATAGAAGCGCCGGGGTTGACAATAATGCGTATATAGGAATTCAATGCCCGCACGGCACACATAATAGCAGGCACGCCGATGCCGACTCTAGTAACGATTCGAGCAGACAGATCCTTCCATTTCGATGTTCGAACACCACAGACTTCGTGGCTCCTCAGAAATGCGGCAGACCTACCGGCCAACAAGAAGGGGAAGAAAAAGGCTTCTAGCCGGCCGGGACACGAAATAGTAGGCACAGTTACTCTAAAACATGTTTACGAAATCGCCAAGATAAAACAGTCCGAACTACGTCTCTCCGGTCTTCCGTTGGAGGGTCTTTGCAGGGCCATCATCTTCCAGGCCAAGTCAATGGGTATTGCCGTTATTGCATAAAGGAAAGGCGGTTCCGACTCAGTCGCCTTTTGTAACATCCAGGCGTTAAGGCGAGTGGGCTAAGGGTTGATTATCGGTTTCGGAGCCTCCGTTATGTTTGCATAAACGAAGCTTTTGATATGTATTACCAAACCTATACGAAATTCACGGATCAAACGCAGAGTCCCTGATATGCTCCTGCATATGGCGTCTAATGCAACGGAAACATTGGAAATTGCCTCTTCGGATCTGACGATGATCGAGAAGTCTCGGATGCTTTTGCGGGTAGATAAGGCGCTGCTACTCCCTGATGGCTACTGATATGTCGCTTCCCCGCCACTCATGGAACTTATAATATAGTCTATATTAGAATTGATAGTCTATATAAGTGACTATATGAAAACTATATTGCTGGTTGCTTATTAGATGACAAGTAGTTAGAATTATCTCAGGTATCTTTCCACATGTATGAGGGTAGCATTGGTGCTTCCAAGACAGCTGTCAATGTGTTACCTACCTAACCCAAGGTATAAAGCGTGGTTTTGCTCCGACTTACATACCTCACAGTAGAATCGCGTCGATGAAGTGAAAAGTCCAGATCTTCAGGTCTGAAGGTATATATGACGTGATGTACCAATCGACGAGGTCCTAATAAGACCAGACATATATACGTTTTACATGAAAAGAATTGATGCAATTATTAATTCGTATCGTATATCCTTGAGACACTTTTCGGACACAATATAGCTGGCTTCCAAATGACTTCTAGAATATCTAGAACAACGTGGGTCAAAAATGGCCCGGCCACAACTTTGCGCAACATTACCGGTGGTACCGCGCAAACTAAATCCCGTATTCGTACAAATAGAAGCTTGATTTGAGGGGTTTTCAAAGTTGGTTATTTAGACCTCGTTGAATTCCGTATTGTTTTCGAACGGCCCATGCTGAATAACGTTATGGTTAAAGTAATAGTAAGGCTGCGTCGCCGGTTCGCGGAATTCGTGTTGTACAATACCCCAACATCCCCTCAAAAGGCTTGCTCGAACAGATGTCTCAGACGGATTCGTCTTCGAAAGCTGACATGATTCTGATAGGTTACAGACAAGAGTCAAGAGTTATTGGTCGCGGGACCCAAAGCTATGGATATACCGTTTGAGCGGGAAGTCTGGTAGTGTATAAGTGGTAACTATCTAGGCGATTCGTTGGAAGATAAAAATCTTGGCCCTGATAATGCATGGCAGATCACAGTCCCGCCGCGGACGGGATCCTGCAAGCTAATCAATTCCAGGCACACCTATAGCTCTACCGGTGTTATTGGGTATTGTATTGTACAAGGTATAGTAGGTATAATGTAAGGTTCGATGTTACCAAAAGTCTAGGACAACCTGGTACACAACCACTTGTACCGCATTTAATTTTTTTTTTCTTTCTTTGTGTAATGGGTCGTAACGGGCGGGCGCAATGTAATTTGTGTAATACTAAGAGAAAAAAAAATTTGTGAGGACGGATCGAATTTTGAGTCATGAAGTTATTATTAGACCGCTTAGGTCGCTTAACTATTAGAAACTACGATATACATACCTAAGGTAGTATACCTAATATAGTTAACTAACTAACAAGTATAACTAGTTCGGTAGATAAAGCTAGGTAAATGTTATTAGTATATATGATTGAAGAGTGGAAAAGTAAGAGAGAAAGAGAGTGCCGAGTGTAATACTGAAGTCGTCTTGACTTTTCTTCCCCTGTTGACGTTTTTGGGAAGCCCTGGGAGCGTTGAATTATTTGTCAGCCTACTACTTGACCTATCATGTTGGGGAATCTCTCTGCAACATCTAGACGCAAACGGGATGGAAACGTTTTTTGGTCCCCACCAACTAGGATAAACGAGAGACCCACATGGCCCCCTCACAAGCCTCCAGTGACTCTTCAATCTTTTTCTCTTCCTTAGGTACCAACCCGGAAATGCGTCTGGTGTACTCCGGGTAAAGCGCCGAGGTAAGAGCCCAATGGAAAGGTACATGTACACTAGGTACCTACATCCAGTTGCCAGACAGCCGGATTTGTACGGATCCGTATAAGCAGGGTCGAACCGAGCTGTACATAGTAAAATACTCACATCTGTCACAACATACTCACAGCCCGATTAAGACAACTGATTATCTGTTCTGCATATGTATAGTATTGCTTTTAGTCACTTTGATCACTCCAGTCGCACAACAAATCCTAGAAAGGAGGTTCTAGGTAGGTACCTACCTAGAGGTACCTATCGCGTCCACGTCCAACGTCCCCATATCTTCTAGTTAGTAGTTTCTCGTTCTTGCCGGGCAAGCGGGCAGCGGAGTCTAGAAGCGGAGAGAGCTACTTCCTACTTTACATTATAACAGGTAGGTACCTACTTGAGGAAAAGGTTGCCCCACCATGATGGACATAAGTCAGGTTCTCCCACAAGTTTTAAGAGAGAGACCTAGAGAGATCTCTTTTAGACCTACCTTTTTACCAGGTCTGGCACATCATATCATCATATCATCATCACTTAGCTTTTTTTTTTCTTCTAAAATTTCTCTTTTTTTCCCCTTTTTCCATATCCTTTACTTATTACCTGTCTCTCTCTTCGCTATTAAAAAAAATCAACTCACTACTTGGGGGCCATCCCTCGGCCCAAATTGCTGACAGCTTTTTATATCTTAACTCCATTTGGATTTTATTGTTATCTAGCTCCTCGGTATATTAATTGCCATGACAACCCCGAGCGATGCTGATGATCGCCGCCAACCGGAGCAGTCGCAAGGTAATCACGATTATTTCTGTTTATAAGCCGTCCAATAGTTAAATTATATCTGCAATGTTTTACTTTCTGAATCAAGTTCCCTCGTCTTAAATTGCTAACCATGTATGTTTCCAACCTCCTAGACAGCCCCAACGATGTATCCGAACGTACCGATGCCTCCGTAAAACCCCCAGAACGTGCATCGGTGCGATTCTCGTCCATAGTTGACGAAATCGATGCTCCAATCTCGACCTTCGGTAGTCCGGAGGCCCGAAGGGAGAGCTCTGTCAATATTGATCTAATACGAGCTCTGACCAATTCCATTCAAGGCGCTGAGCTTCAAGAGCAGCGCTTGATGAATTATTCATTTGCTCCTGTCTCCCTTCCGCCTTCTAGGGTACGCTATTTGCTATTTTCTCCCCAATTTATGTATATATGATACTTGCTCCCTCCCTACGGTGGTTGCAAAAGTTGGATGGAAATTCTCCTTTATATTGTTCACCGCTGCGCCTCATTTCCCGTTCCAGAGTAAAGCCAAGATTGGCGCCTTACTTTACCTGTAGTCCCGATAGCAATTATTTGGTTTTATTAGATTCGGCTCTATGAGATTTCCCATTATAACTAACAAATATGTCTTTGTTTAGGTTGCTTCCAACGAGACTACGCCCAGCGCAACTCCGCAACATAGCCATAGCCATAGCCCCATGAGCCATCCGTCGCCTCGATTGAGCCCTAAAGCTCCCGAGCTGGTGTCACCACCGCTCACACCAGCCGGCACTTCCGCAGTGGATTCTTCTACACGAAGCGCAAAGTCGGTCCGAATTGCTAGTTCTGATGGAGGATATGATTCTCAGGCAATAACACCGCAAGCATCGGGACAAGATTCTAGACCAGCTTCGCCTCGAATGGCTTTACCACACAGACCTGCCTCCAGCGACACTATATCTCAACGAACGACTGCTGTAGACGAACGGGACGCTGTCCGCTCGCATCGAAAGGCGATTTTTAGCATTGGACCCGGAGGTCAATCCACACCTGTGTCTAGGGAGTCCAGTCCCTCGAGAAATGCCGCCTCTCAGTATTATTCGCGGCCCTTTACTCCTCAAGGGGATATCAATGATCCTTATGCTGCAAGCAAACGGCCGATACAGAACAAAGCGGGTGGCAACATTGAGCAGCGATTCGTTTTCTCTAGGAAAAAGAAACATGCTTCCCCTTCTTCCTCGTCCACAAACTTATCCAGGCTAGATAGACAAGACAAAAGACATTCGGGCTTTTTTTCAAATAAGAACAAGTCGGGCGATCTTCACCAGACAGGTTCTGGTTCAACAACACATAGTACACACGGATCTATGTCTGATCTGAAGCGATTCTTTAAAGTTGGTGTTAATCATAGGCCCAAGAAGCCGGCATCGCCGTCTCCTTTGGGAGCTAAGCCAGTCTACCAGGTTCCATTTGCCGACGACCATGGCCTCACGTCCAAGTATGGAAAGCTGGGGCGAGTGCTCGGATCTGGCGCCGGCGGCTCCGTTAAACTTATGAAGAGAACTGAGGACAATACAGTGTTCGCAGTGAAGGAATTTCGCCCTAGGCATTCTTACGAAACCGAAAAGGAATATGTCAAGAAGCTGACAGCCGAATTCTGCATCGGGTCCGCTTTGCATCATGGCAACATTATTGAGACGCTCGATATTGTCCAAGAGAAGGGAAAATGGTACGAAGTCATGGAATACGCCCCATACGATCTGTTCGCTATAGTTATGACTGGGAAAATGTCGAAGGCGGAGATTACATGCTGCTTTCTACAGATACTGAGTGGAGTAACCTACCTTCACAGCTCGGGTCTTGCCCATCGCGATCTGAAATTGGATAATGTTGTCGTTAGCCAGCACGGCATCATGAAGATTATTGACTTTGGTAGTGCCCATGTTTTTAGATATCCTTTTGAAACTGAAGTTGTCCTTGCTTCTGGTAAGTCAAATGTCATCACGCGGTTAGCTATGTTGTGGATCTAACATGTCACCAGGTGTGGTTGGGTCCGATCCCTACCTTGCCCCAGAGGTTTATGACGAACGAAAGTATGACCCTCAAGCGGTGGATATCTGGTCTCTTGCGATCATTTTTTGCTGCATGTCCCTGCGGAGGTTCCCTTGGAAGGTCCCGCGCTTGTCGGATAATTCATACAAGCTGTTCGCAGCAGAGCCGTCTCCCGGTCACGACCCGAAGAAGCTAGTTCTTCCCTCGAGGTCTACGAACGATCTTACGAGTATTCCACAGCGCGATATTTTTGCGGAAGATGACGCGAAGGAGCAAAGTTCCAAGCCCAACGAGCCATCTACTCCTAGTGGCGATGGTCCTACTACTGGAGCTAACACCGCAAGCAGCAACGGAACCAACAATCAGGAAAAGAAGGAAGTCATAAGGGGTCCGTGGCGTCTGTTGAGGCTGCTTCCAAGGGAAAGCAGACACATTATTGGGAGGATGTTAACGATTGACCCCAAAAAGCGGGCTCAGATGCCTGAGATACTCGATGAACCTTGGGTATCGGATACAGTTATCTGTAGGCAGGTCGCTCACGGGCAAGTCATTCACGCGGACGATCACACGCATGTCCTTGAGCCACCGGCGCCACCGAGTAAATAGGAAGAGCGGGAACCCAGGGGTCATCGCGGCGGAGTATTTTGCACATATAAAAAAAAGATTTTGGGCATAAAGGAGAAAATTCGGGTTTACCATACCGGCGTTTAAGGGGTCATAGCTTCGGGGTCATTAACGGCAAAGCGGAAGGGTGCAAACCATTCAGGTTCATAGCGATTATACAACTTAGAGTATATGCTATTGCGTATAGAGGTTTGGGTATATAAAGTTTCTATAGTCTATTTCACGACCTTGCCGCTGGCGAACCGTGGCATAACTTAGGTATTAATAGGTGTAAATTTCAATTCTATTTTAGATAGTGCCTCTTTGTAAGATTGGAGATACCTATCATGTATATTAATATGTCTTTGGTCAATAAGTTCTCTACACAATAAGTACCTTGGTACCCACCCAGAATGCAGCTCAATATACCTATCTCAATGTATCTCAATGTTGGTAATATGGCTTACGTAACATGTTGAGCGGGATGTGCGCAAGGATCCGGCTGGCCCCGGATAAGCGGGTTCTACCTGGCACAGGTCCAGTGTTAGACCCGGCATTCGGAAAAACCGAGGAGATAATATGTAAAAAGTTTGGGTCTATCGGCCACTTGAAGCTTCCAAAGCCTTCCAAAGATCCATCCACTACTTTTTGCGATAGCTTCAAATTTAGACCTTCGAACTCCCAATTCGTTTGCGGTTTCGACACAGAAAAATTTCTTAACCTTTACAAACTCAACGAAACTCCCCCTTCTGTACATACATCTATACATACCTACTTCTTCACAATGGTAGGTCTCAATTCTTCAAACTAAGTGCATTATGATATGATGTGATATGATGCGCGCGCATCTCACCACTTATTCCACCCCACCATGCGCTTTGGGTCTTTTTTCTTTTTCTTTTTTCCTCGACCTGGCTTTTAGCTAACATGGTATGAAAATAAGTCTACCGTCCGATCAGTCAAGTCTCTCATCCCCCTCCTGGACCGTGTCTTGATCCAGCGAGTCAAGTCCGAAGCCAAGACCGCCAGCGGCATCCTGCTGCCCGAGTCCAGCGTGAAGGAGCTCAACGAGGGCAAGGTCCTCGCCGTCGGACCCGGCGGCCTTGACAAGGATGGCAAGCGTCTCCCCATGGGCGTGCAGCAGGGTGACCGGGTGCTGATCCCTTCGGTAAGTTTAGATTTACTTCGAGACAGGAGGACCAGAATCTACGCAGATATATTATGTAGTACTAGGTAGCTAACGTGCGATTTAGTATGGTGGCTCCCCGGTTGAGGTCGGCGACGACGTATACCACGTCTTCCGCGACAGCGAGTAAGTTTCTCTACTCCCCAAGCACCCGACACACACTGTCGAATGCGACCCCCTTGGTGTCTTGATACTTACCAGCATTTTTCGCAGAATCATTGCCAAGATCAACGAGTAAAAAAAAAAATAATCACGATACCCACGATTTTAATGACACCGATGTACTATAGCATGTATGTACAACAGGAGGCCCAACAAAAAAACAAAGCAAAAATTTAAAGAAACAGAACTCGGGTCAAGCTTTTGCATATAAGCGCAACGTGTGAATTGGCGGCCGGATGGGCAAAAAAAGCGGTCTTCCCGGACTGTACCTAGGGTATTATTAAGTCGGTCAGTAACCTCGTTGTAAGAGGCTCTCAAACTTGCGCGGTCTCGAGGTGCGGTTTTTTTCAAATCTCTCCACTCTTCACCTCGGAAATGTGTGTGTTCTTTATTAGGGAACTAAGTGAAAATATTTACGAAATGAAATAGATGGGAAAACGACTATTTGCGAGTGTCCCTTTTGAGTATGAGTAATTCGTTCAATGTGATTGTTGTAGTACCTATGTGCGGAGGGGACATGAAACTATGTGTCTCTGGCTTGTAGAGAAGGATTGAGATGCGATGGGTGTACCTTTTACCGAGACGTTGGTATAGTTGTGAGATTGTTTTAAGCCGTTCCGAGGGCTATCAAAGAGAATCTGAACCGCGCTCGTAGGAGGTAATTACTAGGGAAGTAGTACCTGAAGCTATATTCACATGTTGGAATATCCTAAGTATTAGGTACCTACACAAGGTACCTATAGATACAGCAACTTGATCATCACACTTATATAGCCTGGTGTGCGACTCGAACTCGGCCGTTCTTACATAGGTAAATATCTGAAATACACCGAGATGAATAGGAGTAGGGGATGGCTCAACTATATAAGGCCACTCTTTGCGATTTGTCTAGAAAGAAAGGGCACCAATAGAAGAGCACTCATCGGCCAAGCAGAACGTATTGTGTGAACTTAACTGACAGCCAAGGCGCGAACAAACGACGCAACACGGTTTAAGCGCCTCATGTGCGGTCCGCATATAAACGCCGAGGGGCTTATTACTATGGCATTATTTTATACAATTTTTTTTTTTTTTTTTTCGTTTCTTCCGCCATTTAGAAGGCTGGTGAAGTTGGGATGAACATGTTTCAACTTCACTCAGTGGTGTTTGGTTGATTGGTTATTGAAAATATATTAAATGCAAGCCTCTCCCCCTAGCCCCTTACGTCAGGCTGGACCTTTTTCATTTATTTAGCCCGTTTCCCGCCCCGGATTGAGGAGAGATGTCCCGACAACGTTTATCATCTCGCGTGGTACCGTCGCACCACTCTATCTGAAACTACCTGGCAAATCGGGATCCAGGACCAAGGCTTGGGAGCTACCCCCCTGAGGATATCTTGGTCGCCTAACTATAACGCTTCTATTCGCTGTCGGATGGGAGGCGCTTGTTGAGCGGAAGCTTGGCTGGGCGTATGTGTGTGTTTTGTGCTAGCTGGAGGGACGCGGGTAGTCCGAATTACCTATCCTCGAATCACGCTTTTGACAAAGCCTACTTATAACCTCTTAGATTTGATTCTATATGTCATATTGTAGGTACCTAAGGTAGGCTTTTCTTCGGTGTGTACCGAGGCAGAGGTAATTTAGAATTTCTCCTTTAATTTGTTTGCCCTACAAGATGGCGGACGCATCCATCTCGTCTCCTACTTTTATTTAACACCTGCCTTAGGTTAGGTGCCTATATCCAAGTAGGGATATTCATCTTCTATCGCCATCTTAAGTCACTCATTATTCTTCAATTCTTACTGATATATTTTCAATTTTTGATCTCTGTGGATCCATAAAGTCCTTTAGGACATTACATACATACCACTCACTCATTTTCTTAGCTGGACTGAGTCACTACTTCTCTCAAAGTATCGTCTTCGTCGTTTGATATTCGGGGTATATCTTATCTTTTATGCGATCGCCATCCGCCCGGAGCTGGTTGTATATTGTCTGCTTCTATTTCTAACAAGCCATCTTTCCTTGCCGGCATTACTCTTCGATATGAAGTACTCTCCCTACTTTCTTGCGGCCGCAGCCGCTATTCCTCTCACGGTGGTAGACGCACATACCGTTTTTACAACTCTTTTCGTCAACGATGTCTCACAAGGGGACGGCACTTGCGTCAGGATGAATATGGATCCCCAGCATTGTACTGACCCCATAGCTGGCTTGGATAGCGATGATATGGCTTGCGGTAGGTGACTGATCAATGAAAATGTAACTAGAATATGCAGCTGATTGTTCAATAGGTGTTGATGGTGAGAAAGCTGTTGCTTTCACATGCCCCGCACCGACAGGCGGGAAACTCACCTTCGAGTGGCGGACATGGGCTGATGCTGAGCAACCTGGATCTATAGATATTTCGCATAAGGTATGTTATCATATTCAGTATATTACTGATTCGGAATTATACTTACTTTGGGAACTTAGGGGCCTTGTGCCGTATATGCTAAACAGGTGAAAGACATGACAACGGACTCAGCTGCTGGTCCTGGTTGGATTAAACTGGTAAGCGTTCTTATAACGACTTTGCTTACAACAGTCCCTTCCTGCTCCGTGATCTTCTACTAACATTGTATATATAGTGGGAGGAAGGCTATGATGAGTCAAGCGGCAAGTGGTGCACAGAAAAATTGATCGATAACAATGGTCTGATGTCCATCGACATTCCCGAGTCGCTTCCTAGTGGCTCGTGGCTATTCAGGCCTGAACTCCTAGCCCTTCATCAGGCAGATAAGGGCGATCCGCAGTTTTACACAGGATGCGCACAGGTGTTTATCAACAGTGGCAATAAAGCAGCCCTAGAAGTGCCTGCGGAATACAGCGTCAGTATACCAGGTTACGTCGAAGCTGGTCAACCTGCGGTGACCTTCAACATCTACCAGCCGCAATTCCCGTACCCGATGCCCGGACCCAAGGTCTATAAGCCCACAGAGTCGAAAAGCGCGTCTACGTTTACCTTGGCCTCGACCTCATCAAAGACCTCGAAACAGACCGAGGGCGAGATCCCTTCGGACTATCTCATTAAGAACGCGAATTGGGTAGGCGTGGAAGTATCCTCGTACTCAACCGAGGACGGGTGCTGGAAAGCGTCCGAAGAGTGTTTCACTCAAGCTCAGAGCTGTTACGACTCGGCGCCCCCGACGGGGAGTGCCAACTGCCGAACTTGGGAGAGCAAATGCGACGACATCAGCGCTGCTTGTAGCGCAGGCGACTTCAATGGCCCTCCGAATAAGGATCAGAAGCTCGAAGACGAAGAACCGGCGCCTCCCAATGATATCCCGGAAGTCACAGATGGCGATAGCTCGAGGAAAATGCGAGCACGCCGTGCTAGGGCATTGATTTCTAGGCTATCTTGAAAAAGAAAAGAGGCCTGTTGGCTAGTAATACTCACTCCGGACTTCTCCAGTCGAGAACCGCTGGCTGGGTTTCGATGACAACAACAATGTGGATGTTTGTGGAGTGTCGTAAGGGGTTAGTTGGTTGGTCAGGGAGGGCTAAATAAAAGAATAAAAATATACGACGTATATAAATAAGAGATACCTAAGCAAGAAAAAAAAGATTGTATTTCTCTTGCTTCTGTTGCAATATGTGCATGGACGGCGTAAACTCATTCTCGATGATTGCGCTATATAAGATATTGCTTCACTACGGATCCGTATTAAGAACAGTAGACTAATACTAATCCCGGTATGTCCGTATTTCAAAGTATTTCTAGAATTCCTAGTCTTATAATGTTATTGTTGCATTATTAGTATAGAAGGTGGCATTTGATAAGACGGCTGTCGGTCTTGGGTTGATTTGTGATGGTGGCGTTGTACTTGACATTATTATGCTATGCGCCTTGTACACGAATAACCAGACATAAGGTGCTGTATACCTATAAAACGAGCGAAGTAGGAAAGTGTACGTAACTGATACCTGACAAACGGGCCTTCGGCAATCGGAAGCAACCTGTAGCTAGCGCAAAGTTGATTAATAAAAGCTCCGAGCCGGGTGGATCTCCTCATCCCGCTGCCAAATGGCGAACGTCGGACCTAGGTCTAGGTACTTATGATGTTGATGACAAAACAAATGGCCTAAACGAAGGGTCAAATGCCGTAACTGAGCGTTTTTCACCGTCACTTCTAGCGAAACAATACTTAAGTTAAAACCCAAGCCCGGCTCCTTAGTCCAAACTTTAATTTCTTTATAAAATGCCGATGCTGCTCGATCGTAAATAAGGACATGTTTTTCTCATCCAACATAGAAATTTACTATTTAGTCTCCTAAGGTACCTAGCCAGCCCCAGCAGTCCAAAGCACATACACGATCTCCATTCCAAAAATAGAAGAACGAGGGTCTAATTTAGCCATTTCCACTCTTTTTCTTTTTTCTTTTTTTTTCCCACCTGATAAGAAGCGATCTTAGAAAAAAAGAAAAAAAAAAGAATCCAGGAAAATAAAGCTTTTATAGACTAGACTTGTCGCAAAGGAAAGAGGAAAAAAAGGGATTTTATTTTTTCTTTAGATAAGTGATACTTGGGGAGCGAGCAAACAATTGGTTGGACAGCTCACGAGTTCGACGAATCATATTTATTTATTCCATTTACATTTCGGTCAGCAAAGAGGCAACATGACGGTCGCTATCAATGACATTATCGAAACCCCTCCACGGGCGCCGTCCCCTGTCCACGGCTTCGGAACCCTTGCTGTCCACGCCGGTGCTCCCCATGATCCCACAACCGGTGCCGTCATCGAGCCCATATCTTTATCTACTACCTTTGCACAAACAGCTGCCGGAAAGCCAATTGGAGCATACGAGTACTCACGCAGCTCCAATCCTAACCGTGATAGCTTCGAACAGGCCGTTGCGGCTTTGGAGCATGCTAAATACGCGCTCGCCTTCGCCAGCGGAAGTGCTGCTACCGCTACCATTCTCCAAAGTCTAGCTCAGGGCTCTCACGTCATTAGTGTTAGCGACGTCTACGGTGGCACCCACCGGTATTTCACCCGAGTAGCCAAGGCCCACGGTGTTACTGTTACCTTTACTCCGCAGATCGAGGTTGATATCGAAGAACACATCCGAGACAACACCAGATTGATATGGATCGAATCGCCTAGCAATCCCACCCTACGACTTGTCGACATCAGGGCCGTTGCTACTGCAGCCCACTCTCGAGGCGTCGCAGTTGTTGTTGACAACACCTTCCTGAGCCCTTACGTGCAAAATCCTCTCGACCACGGCGCTGATATCGTCGTCCACAGCGTCACCAAGTACATCAACGGACACAGCGACGTTGTGATGGGATTAGCAGCTTTCAACTCGGAAGAACTGCGCGAACGCCTTTCCTTCCTACAGAACGCGTGCGGCGCTGTACCGTCGGCCTTCGATTCTTGGTTGGCTCACCGAGGTGTTAAGACGCTGCACTTGCGAGTGAGACAGTCTAGCGGCAACGCCACGGCCGTTGCCAAAGCCCTGGAGGCCAGCCCTAATGTCATCTCTGTAAATTACCCCGGCTTGGACTCTCACCCGCACCGGCATATTGCCCTGAAGCAGCACCGAGAGGGCATGGGCGGCGGCATGCTTTCCTTCCGTATCAAGGGAGGCCGGGCCGCGGCTGAGCGGTTCTGCCAGTTGACCAAGATCTTCACCCTGGCCGAGAGTCTAGGTGGTATCGAGAGTTTGGTCGAGCTACCGAGCGCGATGACGCACGCCGGTATTCCCCAGGACCAGCGAGAGGCCGTAGGCGTCTTCGACGACCTTGTGCGTATGAGTTGCGGTATCGAGGAGCCGGAAGACCTACTTCACGACGTCCAGCAGGCGTTGGAAAAGGCGGTGCTTGAAACTGCTTCTTCTACCAATGGGACTAACAGCATTAACGGCTCCAATGGCGCCAACGGATACGAATCAAAATAGATGGAGAGATTAGAGAGCGGTGAACGTTTATCGATCCCACGAAATATCGTAAATGTAAAGCGTTACATCGAAACATATTGTTCTTAAACTTTGTTAGGCGTTATATTACCTCTAGGTAGTATTTGGTCGGTGGCATACGGTGTGTGCTAGGCCCATGGGAGAGCCAGCAACACAACCAATAGACTATTTCTTTTTTTTATATTGGGATAAAAAAACGTCTGTGTATTAACTTCATGTGAGAATTGGAATGGCTTCGAAGTTCGTTTCTGGATAACTAGAGTTACGTTGGATAGCATAATATAGACATCCGAAGTAGAGAAAGTAGAGGTATGACTTACCCATTCTTCTTTGACGCATTGATAAGTATCTATTCTTACGTCTCCTTTAGGCTTATAAATGTCCCTGTCGCGATATTTGGGTATTGATTTGAACACGTGTGTAAGTGGTAAACTAGACTACCCGTTGGTTGTGAGCAAGCACCGACAACAATAGAATTTGGTAGCACGTCAAGAGCAAGTGGCCCGCAAAGCCCGAGCTTCACGACATGACAAATTCCATTTCTCCACAGTCGTGAAAAAGAAGATTTGGAATTTCCCTTCTACTACCAGGGATTATGGCGCCGATGATCCATATCTGCGGCGGCACAGCTTCTAGCGCTGACCCAGGACCCAGGCGTCGTCAAGGGCTCCACGTCGAAGTCCACCTAGTCTTAGCGGATTGTGGGTTTCTCTGGGGACGGGAATATCATCACAGTCCGCTTTAATTACATGGTGATGGGGCGACTAGCTAGGTAAGAGAAACTGCGCTACGATGGTATGGTATATTTGGAATTGCAGTTGGTATTTGATTTCTGGTGGAGATATGCTGGCTTTGCTCGACGTGATGGTATAGTATAAGAAGGGGGTTGTTCGACCTCTCTTTCTCAATCATTAATTCAGCTCCACACACCAAACCACCATCGCCTTCAAATTCCAGGTCTTGTTCCAGTTGAAGTATAAGTTCAGCAATAAAACCGGCTGATTCGAGATGGCATCGAAAAGTCTATCCGCTCTTCTCCTAACGAGCCTCGCGGCCGTGGCTTCGGCGCGCAACTGCAAAAACCTAACGGTACCGCTGTTTCTCTCGGCGCAGAACTCGGACTTCGACTTCAAGGTGCCCAGCAGCGATATCGAAGTGACAAACTACGTCTTGAACTTCGGTCGGACGGGCGTGTCCTTCGCTGATGAGATATTGAGCGAGAACAAGGTGAGCAAGCAGCGGCTGAGCTGGCTCCCCTCCTCCATCTCTTTATTAACCATAGGATAGTACCGAAATGTCACTGGAAACTACTCCATAGCCGCGACCTACTGCGAGCCTGACTCAGGCCCAGGCCGCGCTCTACAGATTCTTATTCGGTATGTATCTTAGCTTACCTACTTATCCCATTCCTAGAAAAATTCTCTTGCCTTTCAATGATAGATAACTAACACTTGTCGTAGTAAGCAAATACCTAACCTACCCCTTATCATTCTCTCAGCAGCAACTCCCTAGTAAACACTCTTCCCTCGCCCAAACAAGAAAAAACTAACAACTCCTCCCCAGACGGCGCCGCCTTCGACCGCAACTACTGGCACTTCCCCGCGCACTCGTACAACTACAGCTACGCGGACGCGGCCCTCGCGCGCAACTACAGCGTCTTCTTCTACGACCGCCCGGGCATCGGGCAGTCGAGCCGCGGCGACCCCGTCAACGAGATCCAGTCGCGGCTCGAGGTCGCCGCCCTGCGCGAACTCACCCTCCGCCTCCGCCGCGGCTCCCTCCCGGGCCTCCCCGCCCGCCGCCACCCCAAGATCGTGCACGTGGGGCACAGCTACGGCTCCGCCCAGACGTACGCGCTGACCGCCGCCCACCCTTCCCTTCCCTCTCACGCCGCCGGCGGCTCCTCCGAGGACCGCATCTCCGACGCTATCGCCCTGACGGGGTTTAGCATGGGCCTCGGCACGTTCGTGAACAACTTCCTGTTCGGCGGGAACTTCGTGCTGGCCAAGGACACGGACGGGGACAAGGACCGCGAGAGCTACGGCCCCGGCTACATCGCGTCCGGCGACGTGTCCGCCGTCCAGTCCAACTTCTTCGCCCCGGACAACTTCGACCCGGCCATCCTGCGCGAGGCCTACGAGCGCGGCGCCCCCGTCGCCGTCGGCGAGTTGCTGACCATCGCCGACTTGACCGCCGTCAACAACAGTTATGCGGGTCCTGTTTTCGTTATTACGGGCGGTGAGTAGTCCCCCTATCTATCCATCACTCCTTCCACCCATCCATCCATTCCCCTAACCCTATTGTTACTTTCTTGCTGGCTCCACTCGTCTCCCTCCTCACAGCAGTAACTGACTTGAAACTCTCCGATATATATAGAGAACGACATCGCGTTCTGCGGAGGCAACTGCTATGCTACGAACCCCAGCATCCCCGCACAGGTGGCGTCCTTCTTCCCCAACAACACTCTGGTCGAGTCCTACGTTGTGGCCGGCTCTGGTCACGGCCTCAACTTGGTACGTGCTCCTCCACCCTTAAACTATCCCTTAGGGACGTTAGTACTAACCTCAAATAGGAGTATACCGCACCGGATACATATGCCAGGATCCTAGACTTTTTCGACAAGAGCGTTTAAACCCATATAGAAGCTGTTTGGCATCCCGCGAGGGAACTTTTATTGTCTACCTAACCTAAGGTAGTTGTGGGTACCTTATAGAAATCATGCAGTCCAATTAATTACAAATATACCACTTGACCAGAAGTCCATCGTTAAATACCAGGTTCTCGTTCTTATGATAAACTACCTTAGGTAGTCATAGACCTTGCCCAACCCGGACTATCCAGGGAATGGTCAATAGAACTTGGTATCCTAGTTGCATTATGAATTTTATCATTTGGCCCTACTCGTCATCAAGGCCCTATCCATCGTCTATGTTAGGTACATCTAGTAATGTCCTAATATATGGAGTATGCTGTATGGAACCAATACATACCATCTGATTCAAAGGCATCGCTGTCTTCTGTGCTATCCTCCGAAGGCCAATCAATAGTCATTGCGTCGATTAATTCTCCTGAGGCACGTTCGACTGCGAGATTAGGAGTTAGTATTGTCATGGGTAGCTCTTATGGGCATGGAAAGCGCAAGGGGGCGATAAACTTACAATCATTACCAGTCCATTCCGTGATATTATGTGGAGTATTCGGCGATCGGCTCTTGACTTTAAATTCAACCGGATACGATGTCATAGCGTGTATTTGTCTCAGAAAGGAGAGTCGTATGGTGGTGAGGTCGAATTTGAGTTTTGCCATCTGACCAAAGAACGCACCCCAAAGGTTGACCCTCTCCGGTGTTACAGTCTGCGATTGAGTAGTGAAGGTAACCTTGTGCAAGGAGATGATACGTAGACTAGGCTTAAACCGCTTGTAGATGCTGAGAAGCTGGGATGGTTCGATAGTAACTAACCCGATCTCAAGCTCTTTCAAATGCTGGAATGCTGGAGTCTGTGGTACTCGTGGTAGATTGTTTTGTATGGTATTCCCATTAACTCCTTGGCCTACCGTTGGAGTGGATAGATCTGGGCGATCAGGGGTCTCTGGCGGACTAGTTAGCCATTGAAAAAGGTGTTTGATTTCATCGACAGTGCAATGCCGATAATTCAATCTCAGGTGCTCTAAAGATGGCGTCTTAGAGAGGAACGTCACTAAGGGGAGGCCAAGATAACCCTCATAACTTCCCCCCTTGCTGACAACGAGAGTGGAAAATGACGCGGGACCCAAATCCAGAAAGAGTGTCTTGAGGTCGTTGAGGAAGGGTATAACGATTGGCTCAAGATAGTGAGGCAAGTCAAACGCCAGGCCCGGGACATGGCAAGATCTAAGGATTACCTCAAATCGAGCAGGGCCATGGGTCTCCGACTGAGTACGGACATGTGTCTCCTTGGCCTTGCCTAGGGCTCGGAGCATGGTCCTAAATATGTAAGACACGTACTGCATACGTGATTCTATCAAGCCAGAATCCAGGTGACGAGCGAATCGCGGTTGGTCAAGAGCTTGATTTGTTTCGCGGAAGAAAGTTGGGGCACCGTAAGCGTGCCAGCAATTGTCTCCTCCATCGCGGTATCGGCCAGAAGAGTTGAAGTCCCGTATTCCGATTGTCTTTAGGTTGGGTAGATTGCAAAGAGCTTCACTGAGAAGCTCGAGGTCTCTCCCCGTGGTGACTAGGGCCTGGTGGCTCATAAATTCCGCACGGATCCTGTTATATGCTATCGCCTGTTCAACATCGGAGAATACCTGCATGTGAATTGGTAGGCTGGGTAGCGTAGGCGGGCGCTCAAGACTGATAATGAGATAGGAGATGCTGGTTGCAAATCTGGACCTGGAGATATCTAGGAGCGCGCCGAGACTAAATTCGCTAATCATGAACTGTCTTTTGGTAAAGAACTCGTGGGTGAATGCCTTGAGGAGAGATACTTCCAATCGTCGACAGACAAGGCGAAGATTTCCATATTCTGGAGTTGTGAGGTAGGAAGATATATGAAGAAGAACTTCGAGAGGAATCTCTAATAAGGGGCATATATCGTCAACTTCCATGATGTGAAGCTTCACGATTGTAGTTTGTTGATGAATTGGGAAAACTAGGGTCGGGATGAATTAGTGAGGTTGTTGATAGGAAGTTATTGTTAATTGGATTATAAGGTATTGTACCTAGCTGAGACGGGGTAAGATGAGAGGTAGGATAGGTAGGATACCTAAGGTACCTTAGTAAGGTATTAAGGTATTTACCTAAAATGGGCGTGCTTGAATCAATACCTGGTACCTTAAGTAGGTACCTAAGGTAAGTATGAATTTTATGAAAGATGAGGAAAAATAAAAAAGAAACAGGTAGAAAGAGAAATCAAGTTTGGTTGCTGTTTTGTCTTTTAAAAAGTCGTTTGCACCTTCATCACTTTCCAGTTTCCAGGCAGAATTGGGGATGATATCTAGGCAGCTGCTAGGTTGCCTGGGTGAGGTAGGTACCTACGAAGCTACAATAGCTGCCTTAAGTAACGGGCAGCTGCAATTGGTCCAAGTGTCTCAAAAGGGGAACGGCCGTATGCGATCCGTGCATATTTATGCCTATAATGACTACTTTCCATCAAGCAGGTACATACCTTAGGTAGGTAACTTCTTGCCAACCACCTACACTTCTACACTTCTGCACGCTTGCACATGAGCCCTTGAAATATCATGTGAAGTACCTAAAGAAAAAGAAAAAAAAGAAGAAGAAGAAAATGTCATTTCGAATGAAGCAGTTATCTACCGCTTGTATATTGCTAACTTATCCCCAACACCTTTTATACCTCTTACCTACCTCAATACCTTAGGCAAAGAGGTAGGTATTATTAAATATTCAAAAACCAACGCTTCCCATCATAAACCATTTAAAATATCCCTACCATCATACCATTTTTTGATGGCTCTTATCATACTTATTACCAACATCTGCCTCCTCGTCAAATTCTTCTTGCTGACTGCTATTATGGTCGTAGGCAAGTCTGACCTCATCAATCTGGTCGCCCACTTCCATCCACGTATCGCTGCAGGCTGGTACGGGGAACAACTTGCATAATGCCCAGTACATGCCCCCTGACACAATAAATCCGCAGAAGAAATTGAAATTGTAGATGTAGGTTGCCCCTATAGGAACATTGCCGCCGTTCACCGCCCCGGCAAATCCCACCACGTTGATAAGAATACCGCTGATATACGCCGCATAAGCCCTCCAATGAAAGCCGTAAGTAAAGAAGTATGGTCCCGTCTTGCGAGCGTCGTAAAGTTCCCTGATTTCGAGATAACCTCGTCGGACCAGGTAATAATCGCTGCACATCACGCCCGCTATTGAGCTCAGAAAGACCGAGTAAGACGAAAGATAAGTCGTAAATTGATTGCTTGACGTCAATAAGGTATAAGGGCACATGGCTAAGCCGACGGCGGCACAGATATAGCCACCCCGGCGAATGTTGATAAATCGTGGAAGCAGTGCCGTCATATCAGTCCCCGCCGAAACCGAGTTCGCTGCGATATTCGTGCCTAACTGAGCTAGGGCAAAGGCGAGCGAAATAATAAAAATACCGAAACGTTGGCCAGAACTAGCATCGTCGAGAAATCTTTCCAGGAGGTCAAGGGGATCCCAGATCGGTTCGCTGCCAGGATAGATGATAAGCGAGCTAGATGAGACCAATATGCCGATTAAGGAGGTGATGGCGAAACCAATAGGAATTGTAAAAAGCTGCGACCAAAGCGCATCACGAGGCTTGGTTGAGAAACGAGAAAAGTCTGGGTCATTTACAATAAGTGTTGCGAAGTTGGCAATGGAAGACATGACGCCCTTAATAAACTGCCAAGCAAGGTCGGCACCTTCGACACTTGCCTTTTGTCGAACAATAGGGCCTGGACCGCCTGCACGGACGAGAGCCCAGATCAAGAAGGCGATTCCGGCGCAGGGGACGAAATAAGCCTTTACGGTAAATAGATGTCGAATCTTATGCACGGGGAACCAGATCGCTGGTAGCGACAAAAGCCAGAAGAGGAAAAAGGAGACGTAATCTGCAGTTGTAGTCCCTGAGCCCTCCGGGAACGAGTTCGGGATAGTTTTGCGGTCCTGTCGGGTGTTAGCCGTTCGACTTTCCCCTGAGAACAACAAGAATATGGCAACCAGGCCAAACTTACCCAGCTCAGCCAGATGGATCGTATCATGAGATATACGCAGTGTCCACCAATATACGACTGTACGCCGTACCAAATACATGCCATGGCGGCGCGATTGAATACGGGCCAGAGGCAGCCCCAAATCCCAAAGCTCGATCGGTTCACCACGGGGAAACCGACGTGGTACATAGCTCCGATGCGACCGGTCATGCAGACGAAGCATCCAGCGATCGCGTATCCGATCCATACACACAGCCACGATTGCCACCACGAGAGTCCGCCTACGATCATGGACGAGCTAATCATCCATGTGTTGATGTTGAAGGAATCGGCAATCCAAAATCCAACGAAGTTCCATGCTCCCCATTGGCGACGAGCGGGCTCAACAGGTTTGAGATCCTTGTTTGTTAACTGATTGGGTTGGTCAGTGTTGTGAGCTTATTCGATTGGCTTGGGTATCTTTCGCGGCACGATACCACGATATCACGATATGAGATGCTGAGAATGAGATGAATGTATGTGTGGATTCGGCCTTACCATCAACTGGGCAACTGTGAGGCCATCTTCGTTATCCACAGCGATCTTTTCTACCCAACTGCTGATCCTGGAGTCATAAAGCCTCTCCATCGCGACGACCAATCCGGAAGACCCTGGCCTAAACGGGTCAATGGTTGTTTCGATACCTTTAGGTAATTGTCGAGTAATGGTAACTACCTACCTGTAGCTACCTAGGTAAACGCACGTGTTGTCGGATATTTTTCACATGCACATGTATGACGCGCGACCCAGTCGGAAGGGGGTACCTTAAAAGTGAGAGGTAAGCAATAGGATGGTTAAATTCGTCCTGGTGGTATTAAGCATCCTATGTCGAAATTCTAGGTTTTCGATAATTGACCTAGGGGGTAATTATAATATGATGTGGATTTATAACGTCTGATGGGAAGCAGAAACGGATATATACCATATATACCAGGTAGGTAAGTAAGAGGTAAGTATACCTATCCTCCTGTTATAAGATAAACAAGATTAAAAAAATAAAAAAGGAAGAGTACCTGTAGGTAATAAGTATTACATTCCGTCAAGCCATCATGATTACCTAGGCGAATTTATTAATCCCTACGAGTACTTGCGATATCTTTTTCTAGTACACAAGACGTACAAGTAACGGTACCAGGGGTATAGTAGGGGGACACTACCAAGTTATTGTATACCCAGGTACCTAACCTAATGCACGTTTTCAGACCAGGAAGAACCTTCAGGGAAGAAGCTCCCCCACACTACCTAACCTACCTCTGTACCTAACATAATACTACAGGTATGTAAGTGTATGCCTTACATAAACCTATACATAAGTTAAACCTCCAAAACGCCTATCTCGTTATACCTAATCGTACCGTATCCGCGTTTGTTTGTCCCTGTGTTTGCGTTGTGCATGTGCTTAGCCGGCTAGGTATCATTCCTATCATTCCTAAGCATGCATAATACATAATAGGTAACGAATAACGAATCCATTTAACTCTCATCTGCTCATTTGCTTCGGTGCCGCCGCCAATAGAGAAGACTTACACAGAGATAAGCCAGGTCGATGATAAGGTGCTGATTGGCCGTGAGCAGCTGGAATGGCGTTGGTTGGATGTTCGATCGTACTTGATATGGTCGTTTCAGGTATAGCGGCTGAGCGGCATGCCGGGGCTTAAGGGTTCCCCCCTGGTCGTTTTTCCACAACGATCATCAGCCCCGCTGGAACCCCATGCGTCCCGCAGATGATGACGCTAAATGCTTATCTGCTATCTGCAAATTATGTCATGTCATCGAGCAATTCTTTTTCCAAAATGCTCCGCTTAGACGTAGGCCCAGCCTAGACTTCTTGGCTTTCTGTATTTTCCCCAGCTCTTGGTAAAACCTCCAACCGACTTATACGGGACAGCCCCACCAGCATCAGCATCAGCATCGCCAGATGCAAAAGTCAAAAGAACTTTCTAACCTAACTAGTGTATATTTGGATCGCTAGGTATCCCGATAGTAAAACATAGCTTGAAATTGTGACTCTTTAGTCTTGTCCATATGCGCCCATTCTTGATGAGCTGTCAGCCCTGTCAGGAAACATCTGAGCGAAAAAAGCGAGACAACCTTTTAGCTGTTCCACAATAAATCATGACATGTCTGAGACTTGACCACCAACACAAAAAGCACTTAGACAATAAAAGGGCTAACTCTACAAAAGACATCGTACTAAGATTTAGACAAAGAGGAGTTACATATGCACTCAGTCTAGGTATCTGTGGTCGCAGACTGTTAAGCTTATATACTCCAGTCTATTAGCCGGACTCCTGGTTATGAGGATTGGGAACTATATAAGTAGTATATTTCGTTCCAAATATCTTACCAAGAATATTAATATCTTAAGTATTTCTAGACGCCTACCTACCTAGGTACTCACCTCTAGGTACGCAATAGCATCCGATACCGCCTTATACTCGGGATACTTATTGGGTGGTTTTTTATATCAACGCCGTGACATTTTGAGCGAAACTTCTACCCACGATACTTGGGGTATGAATATCTCGGAATTCATACTCTCAGGGTTAAAACCTAGAACCAAGTCTTCGATACAATAGTATCAGGAGGAACCCTAACAAACATGGCTTATATATAATGAGAACCAATATCAAGATGAATAGCATTCAGGCGGATGTGGAACAGTTGTTTTATTCACGACACAGCCGTCGGATTCAATCACAATCACTCTATGACACTGTTCGAAATGGATATATATTTTCGAAACTTTTCTGTCCCTAAATTCATTCATTTCGCTCAAATCAAGCATTCAAAGCTACCTAACCTAGTTACCTGACCTACATTCCAATACCCTAAGCAAATACGGATACTTCTCAATCCAATCACTGTCGCTTAAGAAACCCTGAAGGTATTTTACATTCAGAGCAACAATGAGTACCTTACAGAGGATCAGAGAGTCCCGGCTGTACTGCCCGCAGCACAGGCTCCTAACTTGCAAGGTATGTTTGCATAGTGTAAATATTGGCAACCACGGAACCCTTCCGATGGATACATCTGGGTTTCCCTGTGCCGAGTCGGCTCACAGTGTTGATCCACGGTTCGAACTAGCCCAGAAAGTTGTCGCTGATCTGGGGTATGTAGACGGCTTGCATCCAGATGAACGGTATAAGCAGGTGAATCCTGAGGTGCCGAAGTTTATCAACGACGGCCACCTTTATTACGACTGCGAGGCGTGTGGCCTCACTTATGCCGCGGGAGGCGGACCTGGGTCCTTCGGTGCCCATCCTTCTCATATCTGCTCGGATGGCGAGCGATATGTGATTGCTGTTCTACGGCCAAAGAAGTTCCTTCGCGCCACGGAGAAAATCGAGTGTCAGGCGCACTTCAATTTTGGACATGAGTCCAAAATGAACATCAGCTATCAGTGTGTAGCAAAGTCCGACGATGGAACGATCGATTGGAACCTGGACAATGTTGAAATAGCGGCTTTAACCCGACTACTTCACCACGTAGCAGATGTAGTCGTCCCATACAGGAGGAAATTTGTAGACAACTACATATATGCCAACAGCGCCTATTTCGCTGGTCAGGCCCGACGATTCCAGCTGCTAGTGGTTACGCCCCTGAAAGAGCCTTTGCTCCATTTCTTGGGCAAAGTCATCGGTATGAAATATAGCACTAAGAGGAAAGCATACATCGAACGGGGTAAACTGGGATTCGTGACGAAGAAGTATCCCGCGACAGAGGAGCGACGATATCAAATATCGAGCTTCATCCGGATGATTAAGCATCTAGCTGCCGAGGGTATCCAAGTCCACTGGTGGCCCGGACAAGCTGACTCGCTTAGAGCGGCAAGAAAGTACTTCTTGACAGAGCCTTATGTGGTCGGAATGGATCACGCTCCCAACGTGCTTTCTTCGGAAGAAGTAGAGCCCAATGATGAGGTGGCAGAGGACGACCTGGTACCGGGCGATTCATTTTGGGGTTTGCCCGATCACCACGAATTCCAGGCCGTTCAATACGCCATGACTCCTGATGACGACGGCCCTGAGCAGCAAGCAATCCGGGATAGTTTGGACGTCTCGGGTGAAGAAAATAGCGATTAAAGGGATGGCTTCTGTTTCCCTTTAACATAGCTCGACATGCGGTATCTAGGTATCTCCAGCGTTTCTACGTAAACATCCTGAAAGTATGTAGGTAGCCAGGTAATGGCCATAAACAAATGAAAATAAATAATTGAAATAGATTTGATTATTCAAATCCTCACCTCTATGTATAGTGTTTAAAGCCTTATGATGCCAAGTTGTACTCAGTTGACAAATAACAGCTTTGAAGTTTCGTAGAAAAAGACTTGAAGTCCATCCAATTTAGTAAAGTTTCAAGAGATTTATCAAAGACCTTGTTTACCTTTTATTAGCAGCAATGTAGATGCGAAGGAAGCATTTATCAAGGAGATGTACGCATTATAACTGGCACCGGATGAATCCCACGATAACGTACCAAGTTCCGGAAGATGTGCTCTCGGATGATAATGCGGAGGAGGACGAATCAAGTGAGGACACTTCTATGGCGGCTTTGGCCGACCTTGAAAACCTTCTGATCGAACTCGTCCCAATATTGTCATCACGTTTAATGATCAACCAAATTGTCCACATTATTGCTGAACAATTAGTGTATAAGGTTGAATACTTTATTATAATCAAGTTTTAGGAAACTTTTGTCAGAGTCTTTTCTAACCGTACGAGTGACGTACAATACAATACACGGCATAGGGTATACCTAGCAAGACTCCGTATCCGTACCTCTTAACCGTAGCTTGAGTCTTGACCCCGCAGTCTCTCTCTCCCTCTTTCTCCTTCTCTGAAGGAATGACATCTATCTACTTATACCGAGGGCCTTGAACCCGGCAACTTAAAAGACGACCTCCCTTAAGTGACTTGGGTATAATACTGTACCAGCACAGAACCAGTTACTGCTGTATTAGCTAAAACCATGCCGCCGACCCCCAAAAACATTATCATCACCGGCGCCGGCGGTTTCATCGGCCCGCTGCTCGCGGCCCGCCTCCTCGACGACCCGGCCTACCGGGTGATCCTAACGGACCTCGTCGAGCCCGCGGTCCCCCCGGGGGTCAAGTACCCGCAGCACGCGACTTCGCTGCGGGGCGACATCGGCGACCGGTCGTTCGTCGCGTCGCTGCTGGACGCGGCCGCCCCGCTCTCCGCCGTCTTCGTCTTCCACGGCATCATGTCCGCCGGGGCCGAGGCCGACTGGGACCTCTCGCTGCGCGTCAACGTCGACAGCGTGCGCGACCTGCTGCTCGCGCTGAAGGCGAGGTTCCCCGGTGTCATCGTCCGCGTCGTCTATTCCAGCTCCCAGGCCGTGTACGGCCGGCCGCTGCCCGACGGCCCCGTGCCCAACGGCGTCGCGCCGACGCCCGAGAGCACGTACGGCGCTCACAAGCTGATGACGGAGGTCCTGATCAACGACATGCACCGGCGGGGGTTCATCGACGCGTTCAGCCTGCGGTTCCCGACGGTGGCGGTGCGCCCGGGGGCGCCGACGAACGCGGCGTCGTCGTTCCTGTCCGGGATGATCCGGGAGCCGATGAAGGGGGCGGAGAGCGTGATCCCGCTGGAGGACCGGTCGTTCCGGTCGTTTATCACGTCGCCGGCGGTTCTTCAGGAGAACCTGATCCGGGTGCTGAACATGGACAGCTACAGCGGGAGTCTGCGCAGGCACATCCGCCACATAAACGTCCCGGGCATCTCGGTCTCGATCCAGGAGCTGATGGACGCGCTGGCGAAGTACGGCGGCGAGGACAAGTTGAAGTACCTCAGGGAAGAGACGGATCCGCGTCTGGAGCGGATACTGCGGAGTTGGGTGCCGGAGATGGACACGACTACGTCGCTGGAGTTGGGATTGATTAAGGATGAGAGCGCGGATAGCATCGTCAAGCAATATATCGACTCTCTTAAGTCGTAATGTAAGTAAAGTATACCTCTTATAATTTAGGGCATCAGAGGTAATTAATTCGTATTGATCACCATTCTCACGAAGTTTAAGCACGAGGTTGAATCAAACCAGTAATGAGCATATTACTACTATGTACCTCCCCAAAAACTAAACATCTCCAATATACCCACCCCCCGATGCCCCAAGAGTGGCGTAATAAAGATCTTCCTCCGCCAGAATGACCATGCGCCCATCGCCCGCGAAGTTGAAGTTCGCGGACGTCTTGCCCAGGAAAATCTTCCCGATGAGCTTTCCCGACGGGTTCCATACCTGCACGCCATCTCCGCAGCCAGAGTAGACGTTGCCGTTACTATCGCAGTGGATACCTGGATGAAGGAGAGTACTTTTTGTTAGTATGAGGACGCATTAAAAGGGGCAGATCTGCTTGCATATTACGTACCATCTGGAACGCCACTGTCAACGTATGCGAAGAGCTTACGGTTATCCCAGGTGCCATCTTCCTGCACATCGAAACGGTAACTGCGAACATGTTAGCTACCTACTTCTTACCTAGGTACCTGATTATCGTTCTTTCTATTCTCATAAGTATCATTACTTACATGCTGGCTGGTCTGCTGAAATTCCAACCCAACACGACCTGGTTAGCCCCCGTATCAGTTACATATGCATGCGAACCGTTGGGAGAGAACGTAATTCCTATGAAGAACATATACATTAGAATTAAGACGCTTGCTATAACAGCCTTACGCAGAACTTACCATTATTAACATTGAATCCATCCGCAACTGCGGTAACGGCACCAGTATCGGGGTTATATCTATATATTTGGGTCCGGAGCCCGGGCGTAGGCCGGAAGTCCTGCAAATACCCGTAAAGACTGTCGCTGAAATACAGCTCCTTGTTTCGAGGGTTGACGGCGGCGTCGTTTAGGGAGTTGAACTGGCGTCCGAAGTAGTTGTTGAGTAGTACTTGTTGTGAAGTACCTATTAGCTAACCTCATTCTAGTTACCACCTATGGAGTCTCCTATACTTACTAGTGGTGTTGTACGGTTCTCTAGGATTCATTACCACCAACTGCGATGTAGCATCGTCGCCCTGACCTTCTGCCGCAAACACGATCTGACCCCTATAGTTTGTTGCGCCTAGGCTAGATTGTAAGCCAGCGCAATAACCTTGAGTAAGGGGATAGTTGGTACGTATTACATACCGTTTGAGTTAAGGATGGCCGGTGCATCAACCGTCTGGACGTTAACAGACCCCGTCGCATTACGAACATTTGACACAGCAGCTGCTTCCGAAAGTGCGATTTTGGAGATAATGTTGGACTTGTTAAGACCCGTACCCGTAGCTGGAGCTCCGGCGCTCTGCACGAAGAACATCTCATCCGTAGGCGGGTACCTAGCGACGGTTGCTTGTTAGACGTGGGTATTAATTGAAGCTTAACTACATGCTCTCTAGAAACATACCAGACAGCGGCCTCATGAAACATGGGATTTGTGCCCGTGTTGGCGATGAGTGTCAACGTAGGGTTAGACCCAATCACATCGTAGAACTCGTCATCGTAGATATGAAAAGGCCTTTCCTTCAAGGACTCTAAATCATGTCCCGGCGGTATAAAGAAAAACTAGTTGTCCCATATTATAAGTTTCTTTACCTTCTAAGTGTAACTAAATCAAGATAGGGGGTGTGATTTACCGTGGTTCCATTAGCTACGGACGGAGGCGAAACGGTTGGCAGAACATTGAACGATTTCCAATCGATGACCTGAGCTTGTGCAGGTACCTCGCGTTTCAATAATTGTTCGTAATCGGATGTAGAAGAGCCAGTATAAGCTTGAACAAGAACGCCTACTGCTAGGATTCCTAGCGCCGCCGAAATAAATGTCATCCTGTGAAAATGCCTGCCGTCTACTGCTTCTGTAGTTCTATGTGTAGAGTTTTGGGGTTTAGTTCTTGGTTTGGACCGTGGCATTCTTGTACTCCCGCAGCTCTGCCGAAAGCGTATGTACGATGCCTGGAATGGATAGGGGTCCAGTTCAACCAAGATCGCTCGCGGGCAGCTTTACACCGCATACGACGAGGTATTATACCGACACGAGAACCATGTGAATTGGAAGCCCAGTTCTAGTGGTCCGGGGAACAATGCGGAGACTGGAGCGGGGAAGCGGGGGAACGGGAAAGGGGCTGATTAGATGGTTTCTTTTTGTTACGTGGAGATCACAAAGAGACATTACGTAGTAGAGACTTCTCCTTTATCTGTTATGTTACTGCCCTTTAGAGAGGACCAGAGACCTGACATGAAAGAGATACAGTAAGTCAGAGATACACTAGGTATAACGTTGCACCATAGTCTGAATATAAGGTAGATAACTCTCCTATAATTGTTGAGATAATAGATACTTTATATCTCAGAAGCAAACCCGAAAAGCTAGTAGAGTTAGTTGAAATAAAGACTCTTCCATAGTATAAATCACACATAATAGTAACAAACTACCTAACATGGTAGTATTGTTTATGAGTGTAAGGAGAGGCTATTCGTTAATATTGAACTGGTGCGGGGAATTCCTGAGCCCTACCACTAAGACTATTGCATGTAACTTAGATATGTTAAGTCTATATAAGCCTGAGATCTTCCTAACGGGTAGAGATTTCTTAGGGCATCGAGGTTGCTAAGAAGCTCTCTTAGCTAAAGGTAGCTAAAAGAGCTAGCTATTGGAACCTTAGCGGATTGCTCTGAACCCAACACTCACTCATTCTCATACCACCTACTTGACTATCTTCAAACTTATTAGCCTCTTCACATACATCAGGAATTTATGCTTTACCAAATTGAATACCGTCTTTAGAGGTATATAGAATTCCATGGTTCCTCACTTAACCCCGTAGAATTTAGAGGGCATTCTCTGGGAGCTTTAAGCATTGTTTTCATAGGATATTCAAGGGCCGTTTCTGATCTTCCAGTGGCTCATCCTTTACGTACTTAATCTAGGTATGTCCCGACGTGCATTGTGAAAGACTTATTACACGACATATAGGTACCTAGACTTAACCTAACCTAAGCTATCGAGGTTGTAGGCCATGGTATCTAGAAATGGGGCATCCTTATGCTACTCGTCGCTCAAAAACTTGTTTCGGTGACCGACCGATACACACAATTAATCCAACCGACAGCTTCCTAGTCCAGCAAGGTACTATGTAAGTAAGCTTGGTGAGACTTATGAGGACTAGCGATATCGAAGCCGGGTCTACCGCCCACTTAAGGCAATTTTTTGTTTTTGTTTTTAAATGAAACGCCTCACTGTGCTTTCTGATTGAACAGGCCAGGTTAATTGGGATGTTTACGGACCGAAGCGTTAGTTGAGCATGGTGTCTATCTCTAGCACTTGATTCGACAGCTGCTAGTGCCAGGACGGTTTCGGTTTTCGCCTGAATAAGAAGGTCTTGGCTCTAGGGCCGTCGCAGTGTGACGCTGATCAGTGGGGACGAGCACGCATGATAACGACGGCGTCTTTTCCCCCCCTGACCTTAAGCGCCTGACAACGACGAAAGACAAAAATAAAGAACATAAAAGGGGGCTGGTAGCCGCCCACACATTTGACCGAAGATGGAGGCTTCACAGGTATCGACAATATGCTATCTACTCGCATGCTAAGTGCCGGATCCTTGACCGCGCTGTGCCTGGCCCAGTCGGTCCTCGGCGGGACTCTCAAGCAGTGTACCGGCACACTGGAGTTATCATGCCATAACGACACCAAGGTGGCCGATACCTGCTGCTTCAATTACCCAGGTGGATCTTTGCTCCAGACTCAATTCTGGGATACGGACCCCGTAGTCGGACCGGATGACTCGTGGACTATCCACGGTCTCTGGCCCGACCACTGCGACGGCACGTACGACGCCACGTGCGACAGCCAGCGCGCGTACAAAAACATCACCGACATCCTGAAGTCGTCCGGCAACGACGACCTCCTGAGCTACATGGAGACGTTCTGGCTGCCGAACGACAGCACGGGCGAGGAGTTCTGGGAGCACGAGTGGGGGAAGCACGGCACGTGCGTCTCGACGCTCGACCCGAGCTGTTTCGCGGACTACAAGGCGACCGACGAGGTGCCCTACTACTTCGACCGGACCGTCAGCCTGTTCAAGTCGCTGCCGACGTACAAGTGGCTCGCGGACGCGGGCATCACGCCGAGCTCGAGCCAGACGTACAAGCTGTCCGACATCCAGGCCGCGCTCTCCAAGAACCACAACGGCGAGACCGTCTACGTCGGCTGCAGCGGCGGCGCCATCGACCAGGTCTACTACTACTTCAACGTCCGGGGCTCGGTTGCCAACGGCGAGTTCGTGCCGGCGAGCCCTGACAACGGGGACGACGGCGGCTGCCCCAGCACGGGCGTCAAGTACCTTCCGAAGAACGGGGGCGGCGGTGGTGGGTCGACGACTACGACCACCTCCAAGCCGACCAGCACGACATCGGGCGGATCTTCGCCGACGCCGGCGCCGACGGGATCGTTCTCGGGAAAAGGGTATCTCAACGCCGTGGTCGACGGAACTAAGAAAGGCTGCATCATCGGCAGCGGCAACTGGTACACGACGGGGACCTGCGCGACGTTCACCGCCGCGGCGGCTACTTCCGGGGGCGGGTTCACGCTCAAGTCCAGCAAGGGGTACTGCTCGGCGGTGGGCGGCTCGCTGGCATGTTCCTCGGGCGTAAGCAGCGCGGACGCGGACGTCTTCGCCGCGGACGGCACGAGCCTGGCGAATGCCGGCGGCAACGATTGGTACGCCGATTCTGTGCCTAGCGGCTCCGCGCAGGGCACCGTGTATGCGGAGAAGGGGTCGCGCGCGACGACATTGCAGATACAGTGGCAGAGCGTCTGATGGGCACATACCGACAGTATATATATAGAGAGAGAGAGCATTATATAGATGTTAAATGAGGTATCTTATGTATGCAATCCCCTGCGAGGTGACTTACCCAATACCACTGTCAATGCATGTGAGCGGGATCTCAAATATACTGGCATCATCTTTGTGTAGCGACCAAGAGATCAATAGTACCTTGCTTTGTAAGAAATCCATCCTTGGGCCGTGAAGGCTAGGAATTCAACCCCTATCTGCATATTAGCTCTAGTTATCTCACCATATTTTTTGATAATGCCTTAGAATCTCGCTCTCAAGTCTCTAGAGTCCTACTTGAGCTCGGGAGCATGGTCTTTACACGAGAGAATTATATATAAGATATCAATCATATTGAAAACTATCGTTACTAAAGAGCATCTAGCTATACAATTGCGATCGCAGCAGGCCCATAACAACCTCTGCCTTAGAAATCAAACCATGTGGTATATAATAGGAAGCGGAAGTAAGATCCCACACTTTCGATCACGAGCAAGGGATAGACGGGATCTGCTCCAACGTGCAGCTCTTGCAGCGACCATGTCTACACCCGTTCTTGGTGCACATGATCTCCTGTGGCGCATACGAGTTCTTGCACTTGCAGCTATATGTCACTTAATGTTAGCCACCTTCTTTCGTACTCGTACATGGGTAGAAGAGGTCAGAACAACTCGGACTAGGTATGGTGTAGGCACTATCTCAAGGATGTTCCACCTTGCGATGAATGCCCTGCCACTCGAGCTAAAAAGCTGTGACATAGGTACCTGTATCTGAAGGGATACTTACCATTTCCAAAGGTGGGTTGCGTAGAGAGGCGGATCTTGTCTAGAAGGCGGGTTAGGGGTCGGCGGCCTAGGAGGTGGCTTGGGGGGATTAACGACGTGTTTGCCGTGATCTTCGGGACGTTTTTCGACCGCCATTGGCGATCAACTGTCGATTTTAGAATTGTAGATAACCTCGAGTAGACCAAGTGGTGTGTATGGAGAGAAGAGTCATAGGATACTGTGCTGGTTGAGAATTACCGGTTGAGTTTAAAAGTTCTCTTTGGCTTTAAATAAGCCTTTCTTACAAGAGGTGACTGGATTCCCGTCTACGTTGACGCATGGCTATGAGAGGGATACCTTACCCCTAACAGCTGGTCATGACATTACAAACAAATATTCCAGTTGTACATTGCTAAGTTCTGTACGTCGCCAAGGCACTTTTGATGCCCGAATACTTTTGTAGTAATTGTCTTCTCAGCCCCTGAGTGTGAAATCCACTCACGATGTTTCTCTAGTCACTCACTTCAAGATATTGATCTGAAAATCCCCTTAGACAAAATGCTTAACGAGGGGACGCTAATGTCAATGCTTTGGCGACAAGGCGAAAGAAAGATGATTCATCAAGACTCGGAGAGTGTTTCAAGAAAAAAAGAATTGCAATATACCACTCTACCGTAACAAGTATAGTCGAGGATAGAGTAATATTCGAAGGCAGGGTATTATTGAGCTTATATAGATAAACGAAGCCAACCTCAAGGACCAGAGGATTAATTTCAGCCTATTGAGAATTCTTGGTCGACGCCCTCCCCTTATTCTCTCACATATTGTAGCTCTATCTATGAATGCTCCCTTTAGCAACGATTAATAGGGAATGCTACTTCGACCAAAATTATGCGCTCAATGCAAGACAGGCATCAACTGCGAGACCAACCCTATAAGACCCAGGCGTTAGTACGTTAGAATATTTAGACGATGTAGCGTGAGCGAACTAACCTTCCTTCCTTCTGATAGACAACATCACTAATAACATCTCGGTCCAGATCTGGAAACATACTAGCTAGAGTTTCTACGACGTTGTTGTGCTCCGCTCGGTGTATCCTCTGAGCCTCCGCAACCTCAGCGCTAGCCTGCCTCGCTGCAGCTTCTTCGGCCGACAAACGCTGGCGTGTGTCCATCGAGGGGTGTCGCCCTTCAACACTGCGCCGCGGATCGAGTCGTGACGTATTATCCGGTTGAGGTGGACGAGAAGAGGAACTGGGACCGGCACCGCTGGGATCTTCCGAAAACATGCGACCAATAGACGACAGGGGGCGTTGAATTGAACGAAGCAGACCTGAAATCGCGGGGCTGTCTTCACCAGAGTCATCATCAGTGGATAGTGACCGACGTGGCGTAGCTGACCCATCCATGTCAAGCGACGGGCGCGTTGAAGAGGAGCCCGGGGGATACGACCCAGCCTTTTCGGATAGTTGCGGTTGTGTCACAGCAGGCGGTGGCTCCTCCGCTCTATGCTTCTCCGCAATAGCAGAGACTGCTGCTTCGACGTTTTTGTCAAATTCCTCATCCGAGATTGTAAGAGAAGTACGGTCCATGCTCTCGATGAACTGTATGGCACCCATCTAGTTTGAAAAATAAGCTTATAGAAACATACAATACGGATTGTTTCGAGTCTTACCAAAGATGAAAGATAATATCCAGCTTCTCCGCCTAGTTTTTCCTGGTTCCGGAATCGCAAAATATAATGAACATTAGAAACCAGATGATCAGGATTAGACCGTAATACGACGTATATCAAAAGCGGCATAAATGAATCAGCCGAAGAGTCGGATTTGTTATGTTTGAGAAGTCCTAAACGTCTATTAGTCAATGTTATGACGGGTTGACATATTAACCTGCATACCAAATATGACCTTGCAACAGTTGAGAACACAGATAATCTTGTCTCGAGGTGCTCTGTAGGATTTGATTTTCAAAAGTTCTGGAACTATTAGCGATGAACCATCAATATCAAGGGCATTTAAAACATACCTTGCTGAGCTAGCATAAGAAACCTCTTGCCACTTTCACTTGCAGGTGGAATATCTAGGTGCTCTTCTCGGACCCAGCTGTATATATTAATCTTCTGCGCTAGAACCTCGTCTCTCTCTACATCTTCTTGATGTTGACCGCGCCGCCCTGGCCCCATTGGCACATCACCTCCTCGGCGCTTTGGTTTTGCGCCTGGGATGGGTTGGGGCGGAGGTATTGCGGGTGAGAAGGTCTGGGTGTAGAGTCTGTTCATGACGAGCTTTTCCATTCCTTCCCGGGCGTTATCGAATTCCGCGTCTGACACCTCACTCCAAACCTCACATTGGGCCATTTTATTGGCTATGAAGGTAAGAAAATCGCTAATAATTTTCACTTGTTCGTGAACCATCCATTGACGCTTTGCAAACTCGAATAAGAAAGACTTCAAATACCTCGCGACAGGATCGGCTTTCTTGTGCTTCAGCTGTTCTAAGAATCGGTGGAAGTCAAATGGTAGAGCCGGTTCGGGTTCCGGATCTGGGGGAGGAGGCCTATGTAGGGGCGCTATAGACGAAGTCTCATCCGAGGGACCGTCTTTTGGTGGAACGGGTGGACCTTGGTCGTCGGGCTCCTTTAGCTTATCCCTCGACCGTGTACCGATAGGCGAAGCGTTGGAAATGTTCAGACCTTGCCCTTCTTGCAGTTGCTGAGCAATACTAGGTGCAAGGGGCTCGAGGCTAGACTTCCTGGGCGGATGCTGTATCGGGGGGCCGCCTAGCAGTGGCGAAGCAATCTCAAGCCGCGGACTCATCACTTCATCTTCTCCTGGACCACCTCCGTCTTCAGGAAACTGCTCCATGATACTCTGAATCTCCGAACGAGATGTCCCTTCTTGCTCATCCTCGCTTGGATAACGCCTTTCGTCATAACCGGCATCGGATCGGGTTGGGGAGGGCTCTAGACCATGCCCTTTAGGTCGGTGTGAAGAGTTAGCTCTAGATGGAGGTTGGGACCCTTCGGGAGTGGGAGGTGTCGGGTCAACATATGGGGCGGTTGTGATGCTTAAGTATTGTGGCTTCTTGGGCTTGATGGTTGCGACGGAAGATTCCATAGGGTCGACGGGAACATCGTGCGTGGATTCTTGACCAGTATTATCCGTGTCATCCGTCGATACATCTTCAACCTTGGCATCTTCCTTATGGGTAGCTTGGTCGGTTGGAGATTTATCTTCCGGAGGGTCTATTGAGACAACTTGGTTTTCCGGGCCTTTGGGCTCCGCTATAACTTTTTTGGAGTTGTCATTTTTAGCTTTACCCGGAGTATCGACCTGCTCTGACTCGGATGAGGCAATCGTGAGGGTTGATAGAGCATTCAGCGGATCGGTGGACTTTTGATCGCTCATGGTGGGGTCATGGTCGAAGGCGATGGCAACCTCTAGTCTAACAAGAGGGCTTGCAGACTCTAGTAAAGGCTGTTCAGGAGGAGGCATGCATGAAAGCTCAAGTATAGCTTCGGCGATGGTTTAGGTAGAGATGCTTTTAGTTGAGAGGTGGAGATAAGAAATATTTCGGCGAGTTTAAGTGGTTAAGTGGTTAAGCGGTTACCTAGGTAGATAGGTGGCAGGCGGCAGGCGGCGGCAGGTATGGCAGGTGCAGTACGATGTTACGTGCTGTGATGCTGGGAGTGCTAGGATAGTTTAAATGTTATCGTTATCGTTTTCCCTCGAAACGCGTGAGACTATGAACGTACCTAACCTAAAAGTGGGTGTGCATAAGGCTGTTCTAATTAATGCCGACCAACGCCAAGCAACCTAACCCAAAATTATCTAAGAGTAAGAGATCGTCACAGGTCATTTTAGATGCTTACCTAGGTACCTAAAGGATTTGAAAGACATGGTGTCATGGGCTACTGTATAATCTAAAAATTTGTGGTTAGTATGGAATTATTTTAAAGTCTGTCTTTGTACAAAAACCTATCAGATCTTCTTGTTCGTCCGTTAGGTTAGGTTAGGTTAGGTACCTAAGGTAGGTACTTATTCATAGAGCTGAGCCTGCACATGGGATCCCTTGCAAGTAAGTACCTTAATAACTGTGTAAGACAAGTTGTAGTCAACAATTATATTTATCTGTAACAGGTAGATCAACTATCTGTCTAACATGGAAGTTGTCAGTGAATCAGGAGAGAGATATTAACGCATTACCTATAAAGAAAGATTGGCTGTATAGAAAGGTTATTAAATCCAATAGGTAACTTCCACCTCAAATAAAGGAATGGCTTCTTGCAGCATACCGATACATTAGGTAGATAGTACTTTTTCTAGGGCAAATAAAACGTCATTTCGTGGTATGCATGTTTCAAGTATGCATCCATATAAGGTAGACTAGGGTAGGAAGAGATACCTAAGGGATCCACTATTTGGAGAGAATGGCAAATGACACTTAAGATCGGTGCCAAGCCAGGTGTTAGCCGGAGTTACGGACGCTAGGTAACTCGGATTTGCCCGGCATTACGGATTATGTATGGCATTGTGGCATTGTGGCATTGTAAACAGGGAAGTTACAATGGGCCGTAATGTTCTAAAGAATCTAATCACCTTGGAAATACGTTGGAAATCTTGCCTTGTTTAAACTTTTGGAGGAAGATTCAAGCTTCACAAGGCACATTTTGAAGCTTTTAACTTGGATTAGAGAGCCGACTTTACGGCATTCCGTTCGTTCCGATTCCTATCTATACCTTTCTCTATATACTCTTATACACACACTCGTTTTCTTTATATCTTTCTATATTCTAAACTGTATGGCCCGAAACGCTTCATCCTCCGTCGTCGCTGACATAAATTCTCCGTGAGAGGATTTCCGTCGATGCTTTCGAAACGCTTTGCAATGTGGTTACTTCATTCGTTCAAACCCGCGCATAATGCCTCAAACGGCCATAAATGTAGATTCTGACCTTAGAAAGAAGCAAGGCGTAGACTCAATTCCGAAAGTGGCGCGGCAGACTCGGATGCGGTTAGAAGCAATTGGAGAAGCTATACAAGAACGCGCCGTGCACTGGTACCAGATATATTTGCTAGAAATATTATTGCGACAGAAGCCTTTAAAGCCTTCCAAGGATGGGCGACACGTCCCGCTGCGAATCGACCAAGAACAAGTTTTGATCGATGAACGACGCGGCCAGCCGTACATATCCAATGCGATTCGAACCTCGCGATATACCCTAATTGACTTCATACCGAAGCAGTTGATATTTCAGTTTACACGACTAGCGAATTTCTATTTTCTTTGCGTTGGCATTCCTCAAGCGATTCCGGGCCTAAGTACAACAGGAAGTTATACTACTATCCTACCTTTACTATTCTTTGTTCTCCTCACGATTATTAAAGAGGGCTACGATGATTATAAGCGCCATCGGCTAGATAATTTGGAGAATGCGAACTCTGCTAGGGTTCTGAGACGGAAGTCTCTAGGCGTAAACGCTACTTCGTCAACTCGAAAATGGTTGACAGGTATATTTAAAAATAAAGCGGTAGACGTGAACAATTGGGATTACGAGACTGACGGGGAGTACGGGTGGCAGAGAGTCAAATGGCAGGATGTCCATGTTGGCGATGTCGTCAAACTGGTTCGCGATGAAGCTGTGCCAGCTGATCTAGTTCTTTTATACGCCACGGGAGAGAATGGATTGGCTTACATCGATACAATGGATTTGGATGGCGAGACCAATCTTAAGAGTAGGGAATCACTTCCGGATTTCGAAGATTGCCAAACTATTTCTGGTATTCGCAATTGTCTTGCCGAGTTCGTCCTCGAGGACCCGAATCCCGATCTATATCGCTTCGACGGGCGTGTCACAATACGCGGCCGAACGCTTCCTTTGACATCTAATGAAGTCATATATCGAGGTAGTACGCTTAGAAATACCACTTACGCCATCGGGATAGCGATTAACACTGGAGAGGAGTGTAAAATCCGCATGAATGCAAATCAGCATCCTCATGCTAAGAAGCCAGCGTTAGAAACTATCGCTAACAAGATTGTCATCACTCTCGCCCTCTACGTTATCATCTTAACTGTTGGCTGTTCTATGGGCTACATTATCTGGCGAAGGTCTACTGAGCGATTCTCTTGGTATGTTTCCATGGCCACAGTCGAGTTCAAGCAAATCATCATCGGCTACGCAATCATGTTTAACAATGTCATCCCCCTGGCGCTTTACGTTACTCTCGAGATAACGAGGATTGGCCAGATGCTTATGTTAAATAACGACGTAGAAATGTATGATGAGGCAACTGATACTCCAGCTCGATGCAACACCAACACTATCTTGGAAAATCTTGGCCAAGTCAGCTACATATTCTCCGACAAGACAGGCACTCTCACGGAAAATGTAATGAAATTTCGCAAAATGAGCATTGCTGGGACTTCCTGGTTGCACGAGACAGATATTCAATCCGAAGGAGACACAGCAATGACAGGTCTTAACTTTACCCCCGATACGGGAATCGCAACCCCACGCAAGTCCAGGGAGATTGCTAGTGTTATTCACGAAGACATCGAGCTATATCCGCTATCACCAGCAGCGTCGAGCTTCGCACCTCGGTCCGAGAGGAGATCCTCGTCGCAGTGGAGGTCGAGTGCCCGCCCGGACCACGTGCAGCCAGATGTTACAACCTCGGATTTGCTGGAGTATATCAGATCAAGGCCCACATCTCCTTTTGCAAGACGAGCCAAGGATTACATCCTGTGCATGGCTCTATGTCACACATGCTTGCCAGAAGTCAAAGATGGGGTTATCGATTTCCAAGCTTCATCACCGGACGAATTGGCGCTTGTCCGTGCCGCGCACGAACTTGGATACCTGGTTGCCCATCGGTCTTCTCAGGCCGTGACCTTGCAGATTGATAACGGGGATGGCAGTCAGAAAACAGAGATTTACCAGATCTTAGACGTCGTCGAGTTTAGTAGCAAGCGAAAGCGTATGTCGATTATTGTACGCTTTCCTGATGGGAGGATTTGCCTCATCTGCAAGGGTGCGGACTCGGTAATCATGCCTAGACTCAAGTTGGCTTATTTAGCGATGCAAAAGGCAACAGAAGTTCGCAAAAGCGTCGAGGCTGAGCGTGAACTGCTTCGAAGAAGCGAGCAATTAGACGTGAGAAATAGCTTCGGGGGGCGTCCAAGCCTAACTCTACGACGGAATATCGAAGTTAATCGCAACAGTATTACCGTGACACAGCCAACGTCGCCAATTAATATCCCGACAATCGTAAGAAGCAGATCCGTTGAAGGATCCAGAACGAGACGTTCCGAAGACAAACTTCGCCCGTCTTTAGGCATACGAACCACATCTCTTGACGTGGCCCAGACGCTATCAAGACTGAGCCCATCGACTCCAAGACCATTGCCAGATAAGTTTGGGTTCCTCGATGATCCGTCTATACATGACGAGTCTGTAGTTTTCACCCGATGTTTCAAACACTTGGATGACTTTGCTTCTGAGGGCCTACGTACTCTCCTATTCACGCGGAAATTTATACCTGAGAGTGAGTATGAGACATGGAAGAAAGTTTATAATGAGGCAACGACAAGTTTAGTGAATCGACAGGAAATGATCGAAACGGCGGGCGACTTGATCGAGCAGTCGCTTGACCTTGTAGGGGCGACAGCGATTGAGGATAAACTCCAAATCGGCGTGCCGGAAACCATTGATAAGCTCCGTCGTGCCAATATCAAGATATGGATGTTGACCGGTGATAAGCGAGAAACAGCAATCAATATTGCTCATTCGGCGCGAATTTGTCGGCCAGGGTCCGATATATTCATTCTTGACTCATCCAAAAGCTCAGTCGAGACACAAATCAACGATATATCCGAGGACATCGCGACGGGCTGTACTCACAGCGTAGTAGTCATCGACGGTCAGACCCTAGCGGCTATTGAGCAGTCGACGCGACTTACAGACCTTTTCTACACTCTCATCCCCTTAATCGACTCCGTCATCTGCTGTCGCGCATCGCCTGCCCAGAAATCCCTAATTGTGAAAGCTATTCGGCAGCGAGTACCAAGTGCTTTGACACTTGCTATTGGTGATGGAGCAAACGACTTGGCCATGATCTCTGCCTCTCACGTCGGCGTCGGAATATCAGGCAAGGAGGGACTACAGGCTGCTCGTGTAGCCGACTACGCCATCGCACAATTTCGCTTTCTGCAGCGACTACTTCTTGTTCATGGTCGTTGGAATTATGTTCGCACGGCGAAGTTCATTCTCACCACTTTTTGGAAGGAAATGTTTTTCTATCTACCAACGGCGATGTATCAGCGGTATAATGGATACAGTGGAACCAGTCTTTATGAGAACTGGAGCTTAACCGTATTCAACACCCTGTTTACGAGTCTATGCGTATTATGTCTGGGTATCTGGGAGCAGGATCTCAGCGCGGAGACGCTGCTTGCCGTGCCCGAATTATACGTACACGGACAGAGGAATAAAGAGTTGAACATTCCCAGGTTCGTACGTTGGATGGCCGCCGCGGCTACAGAGGGTGTGCTAGTCTGGCTTGGGGTATGGGCTGCCTATAGTATTTACGGACAGGCCCGTGACGATGCACTTTTTGCTTTGGGTGATCTCGTTTTTACAGTGGGAGTATTGTGGATTAACTGCAAGATATTGTGAGTTTTATCTATGCTAGTTAATTCTGTATCCTACTAACAAATTTTATAGTATCCTCGAGACACATTATAAGTCGGCGATTATTATGGCTGCTTTTGGTATTACTATCGCTGGGTGGTGGGCTTGGCAGGCATTTCTCTCAGGAGTCTATGCAGCACAACCAAGCCCCTATCCAGCTAGGAACGGATTCGTAGACACTTTCGGTCAAGATCCTCTTTGGTGGTTGACACTAATCATCCTAGTGCTCGTATTTATCTCGATAGAGCTGGTTTACAAGACGGTGAAGCGCAACATGATTATCGCAGGCACGTGGCACTGGCCGCCATGGAAAAAAAGAAATCCCGACGAAAGCCTAGAAGAATGGGGTCTAGAGGTTTGGCAGGAACTAGAAAAGGATCCGGTTATGCGTGAGCGGTTGCAGAAGGCGTGCATGGAGGAGGGCGAGGTCGAAGACGGAGAGCAGGACAGCATTGACCCGGACGACATCATTAAAGTTATATAAGGGAAAAGCATACATCGGCGTCTTACGGATACGCAGATTTACACGCACATATATACCACGTATTTATCTGCTTATAGCGGTTTGGATTAAGTTTATGGGATTTTTTTCGGGGCATCTTGGAGACTAAACAAGAAGTGCTAGATATACCCAACGCGTCATTTCTACAAAAGTATAGACAAATCCAAATTTTCATGGATGTATATAAATAATAACCAGTTCGTATGTATAACCTAGCTAATTTCAAACATTTTATCACATGCACTACCTGTTATAAAATCACTACAATTCAGATATAGGAAGTATTTCAAGGGAGGGGGTTTATTTCAACAAACAAGATGAAGCTTACATGCATCTAAAAGAGAATGAGGGCTGAAGTTTCAAAATAATAACATAATGTCATTAAGCTTTTTTTTTCTTTTCTTTTTTTTTTTTCCTTTGATATCAAATATTAAGTGAGCAGAATAATATATCCGTCAATTGGTCAAATTATACATACAACAAACAGTCCGTTAGCAAAGCCACCGAGACGCCCTGACGTCGATCTTTAGGTTAGGTACCTACCTACCTAACTTTAGTCTTTAGAACCCCGCCTATTATCCGCCCTTCCCCCTTCCCCCGCCGCCCACATTTCAAAAACCGTCGTACCGTCTAAATAAAATCACTTATTACCAGCCTCGACAGTAGTCGTGCTCACATGCTTCATATCGAAGCCCCTCAGCCCCTCGATGTCCCGCAACAGCGGGATGTTCTTCGCGAACTCGGGGTGGTCGCGGGCCTTCATGTGCGCCTCGACGCTCACCCAGCCCAGGATCCCCACCAGCACGCTGCTCGGCGCGCCCTCGCGCTCGATGTCCCGCTCGACGGACCACCCGATCGACCACTCGCCCGTCAGCCCCTCGGCGAACCCCTCCATCTTGCCGACGAACTCGCGCGCCGAGGCCTCGGCGCGCGCCCGCTGCTCGTCTGTGTAGTCGCCGGGGAACCACATGTGCAGGACCTCGGCGACGGGGGTCTTGCTGCTAACGGTGCCATTAGCGGTGGTGGTGGTGGTGCCGTTCTGCAGGGCGGACACGGGGAACGGGTCGAACTCGACGTGGTACGGGCGCTGGGGCGGGGCGGCGACGGCGTCGCGCACGCGCGCCTTGAAGGGCGCGTACGCCTCCGTCTTCTCGAAGGCGCGGTGCGCCGCGACGTTCTCCCAGTCGACGAACACGCGCACGGCGTGCGGGTCCTCGTGCGTGCGGGCCGTGCGCACGCGCAGGCAGCCCGGCTGCGCGACGAGCGTGGCCGCCGTCGTGTCGAGGATCGCGGCGGCTTCGGCCGCCGGGAGGTCCGGCTTTAGGGTGAGGGAGAGGAGTTCCGTGACGGGCGCCATGTTTTATTTCTTTGGCTTTTTTTCTTCTTCTTCTGATTTATGTGATTTGTAAATGCGTGCGTGTATGTTCCTGTGATAAGAAAAAAGCGAATGTATAGGTACCTTAGGAGGTAGGTTAGGTATGAGGTATGTTGGTAAGTGGGTAAGCGTATGCGTGGTGAAGATGGAAGTGAGGGGTTATAAAGAAGGAGTAAACGGCCGGAGCTCCGGATGATCGCATACTAGGTCTAGGTATTAAAAGGGGGGGCCGTTTCATGTAGTAGGCTATTTTACAAATCAAATTGATTACTATTTACTCAGGTCAGGTGGTTAAGTGCTTGTCGGGACTGAGTAACAGCGACGGTGACTAATGATCCCGATGCATACCCTGATCTATAGATGGATGTAGAAGGTACCTAATCTAATCTATAGAATATTTACCTCAGGAAAGCACAATAGGAGGTACTGTATAATACCAGGTACCTAAGGAAGGAGTCAATTATGAATAAGGTCAAGTTTATTACCTAAGGTATAGGTTAGGTACCTAACCTAGAGTGATAGGTATATCTTTACATGATCCTAAACCAACACCTCCATAGAAAATTACATACAATCTATTAAATATTTACATAAGAATTTCAACAATCTACCTTTCTACCTAGTCTTCGGATCTCGCCACTACCAACCTCTCCCATACCACCCACACACGCCTTAGAAGTTAGAGCTCGTCTAACCAATCCAGTAATGGATTCAAATAATCCGTAGTCAAAACAGGACCCGGTCCGGCTCCGTTGTCCTTGACTAGCGGGTAGAAATCCAGGAAATCCTGCATGAACTCCATGTAATACATGAGCACGTACTTGAGTCGGGGCAACACGCGGTGCTTCTCGGCGATTAGGAACCGGACGAGCTGGTAATCCCGCGGCCGAAGCGTTAGCTCCAGAGTATAGCCCGGCGGTGGGTACCCGGGGAAAACTATGCCCCGCTCGTTCATCACTCGGATGGACCGCGGCACGATGTTCTCCAGAAGCAGCATCTTCAGGTTCGGCGGGAATCTCGTCCGGATGAGCTCCGGCAATGCGGAATCGTCCATATACGCGCTTCCGAGGAGATAGATAGGGGGTATCCGGAGGAAATGCAGATTTCTGAACTGAGTCAGATCCATGCCTTGGTCCTCGACGGGGAGCTTCCATCGCCAAGTGAAATCCAGTATCCTTAGGCTCTCCTGAGCCGGGGCTAATAAGCTGGGATAGAGCCGCTCTGAAAATGGCAATTGATCGTTATGGCCGATCAAAAGATTCTGCAGCCTTGTCGATGGGGATAAGAGTCTATCCAGCGCTTCGTGGTTATACCAGCATAATTCGATAAAGAGCCCCCTTAAATCGGTATGTTGAAAGTAGTCCACCTCCAGCTTGTCAAATGCGGAAAAGTCGATATAAGAAAGTCGCATGCGCCGCAATTTCCTGTGGCGAAATAATACAGCATCATCCTCCTCAAATCTGAAAGCTGCCCAATTTCCTAGCTCGATCGAAAATGACACTGTCGTCATTTATTAGTATATCCCCCCCCTTTGTTTTCTCTACCTGTGCTTGATCGCCAGGAGAACTTACGATTCTTTAAGTTGGGTTGCTCTTTAACGAGCTGGTTTAAGGAGCACCTCTTCTCATCCTCGATGCTCAGAGGTTCGCCACCGTGTTGCATAGTGATGCTTTCGAGATTTAGGAACTTGATGCCCATAAGCTGTCGGTACGCAACGGGGTGGAACTCGTCGAGGACGAGAAAGCGCACCGCGCCGACGATATAAGGTCGTTCGAGCAGAAATTCAACCAACCCATTAGTATCGTGATCTGTTCCGGCCTTGGTAAATAATCTACGGTACAACAGCGGCTCTACAATCTCCTGTGCTCTTCGACAGGTCTGCAACAGCGAGGCCTGATCACGAATACCAAGATATCGCAATATCCACCATTGGATCTCCAAGGGGAGGCAGAGAATATAAGCATGGCCGCGTGTTGACGGCATCATTGATGGCTCTAATAAAACTTCATCAACCATCAAAAGTAATAGCTACGAGGATGACATCCCAACCCCGTGAATAGCAACAATCAATAGGTTTAAAAAGGAGGGATACCTGGGGTTCTCCCCGCAGACCATGAGTAAGTACACACTCGCGGCTATGCAGCAAGCGGGGCGAGGACCATTAGCTCCGGGTACGCGGTATTTACATAGCCGGGAATCCCAAAGGAACTTCTCGTCGCATATTCACTCCACTTCGGCATGTACCGAAAAAATCACCGTACTGAAAAAGAAGGAAAACCACGATACACCTTAATATCGGACGATGGCACCTTTATATCTAAGCCGTAATAGAATCGGCCTATGCATAATACAAAAGCCCCCAGTTATCCGGCTGTCACGCACGAGCCATATACATACGCTATAATGGGGAAAGAGGAAAAGAAAAAGGGGGGAAGGGGGGCTCGAGTTTCTTAGCATGATGCCAGCACTCTGCAACGCACGAGCTTCAATGACGTCATTCTCTGCGACGGCGCCATGAATAGAGACTAGTTCCAGACGAGCCAAGACGCTTCTACATAATTCCGGAGTCCGGCTTGAGTCGCGATAGGTAGGACCTATGCAGTTGGTAAGAATGAACAAAAAGATACGATATTGAAGAGCTGTCAAGTGCAGCGAGTCGTCTAACCTCTATTGACAATTTAAAGCCGGATCACATGGTTTAATCTACGATAGGACAGACTCACACGAAGCATCGCCTTTTGGGAATATTTACGACTACGTAGTCTTGTGTGTTTGATACCGCTAGCTGCTTTATATTATTCAAACAGCTCTTCCACTGCTTGCATAAAGGGCGCTTTTCTTAGTCTTGAATGTGTATGTGTGTGTGTATCTGTGCTGTCTGTGTGATCGTTCAGACTTCACCCGTAGTCTCCGGTCTGTCGTATGCGGGGGCTGGCTTCGCCGCCCTCGGCTTCTTCTTGCGTTTGCTACTCCCGGTGCCGGATCCCGTCGGAGCCTCGCGGATCCAACGCGCGACCGCTTCCGCGCGCTCCGTGAGAATCGGGTACTCCCTTCCGTCGTCCACGGCCCACCGCTTCGGGCCGGCGTGCGGGCTAGGAACCCCACCGTTGGTAGTGCTTGCGTGGTCGGCCTCCGCTCTACGTTGGCGGGCGATGATCGCAGCCTTAAAGCTCGCCTCGTCGTTGACACGCTCATCTTCCAGAGCCTCGATGATAGCTTGCTGGCGCATTCGCTCCTTCCGCTGCTCCTCGGTTTCAGAGGAGCTCGTGCCGCCCGTTATGGATAGAGCGTTGACGCTTGCGGTCGCGGTAGATACCCCGTTTGTTGAAACGGGAATCGGCAGTGGGGCAGGGGCGCAAAGAGCCTCCCAAGTCGATGAGAGTTCGATCCAGTTTTCGGCCCGTCGGAGCACCTCGATCCAATCTGCCCGGGCAGGAGACCTGCTCGCCTGAAAAATTGGATAGCCATCGGCAAGACGAGCAAGCCGCGCGACCATGTGTGCATGGCGCTGCAACTCTTTTGCCGAGGTCTGGATAAGGGTATGGCACAGTAGCAACGAATGTAGCGCGTCAGTCAGTAACGGATGGTAAGTAACCACTTCGGTAGTCGTCTGAATTGACTCCATAGTAACGCTACCTTGAGATACGAGCTCCGTCGAAGGATATGGCGGCAGATCGGCCGGGGGTGTGGCTGAGAAGAGGGAGGATATCTCGTACACTGTATGGCTAGGCGAGGTTCCCGTGGGGCTACTTGGGTCCTGAGAAACATGGCGGAATTGATTGTAGTATCTCTTATTACGATGAGTCGCCTGGTTTACCTGGCGACTAAACTCATCTGATATCTCAATAGGTAAGTTAGGTGAATAATGAAAGTGTTTGAGATACTCCATGTAATCCCGCAGAGCGCGCTTCGCGTAAACACGTACTGCCTTACGCGCTTCCAGTAACTTCTTAGATGGACCTTTATTCTCTAGGTCCTCTCCCCCCTGTGGTGATGCCGGGCCGCCATTAGTATTGCCATTACTAGCCCCGTTGGTACCGTTCTGCGAAGTCGTATTCTGCGCGATAGGCGAATCGGGGAGCGCAAGCGGAACATGGTCACAAGCCAAAGTAAGGTAGCAACCAGCCCGCTGGAATAGAAGCTGCACTTCTATACTGCTTGGTTGATCTCTCTCGTCAAGAGGAGGATTATCTCGCCGCCGCCTGGTTATCTGATCTAATTGCGTAGACTCGTCTGACGCTGGTTTGTGCCGCGGCTTCTGAAGACGGTATACGCCTAGCGCAGAGGTAAGATCTCGAACTGCACCCTCGAAATCCTCTTTAAACATTCGAACGACAGCGCGAGTCCTCAGGGGCTCGCAATCAGAAGGTCGTTGTCCTATTATAAGATCCAACGCGCGGAAGTCGGTACATTCGGCGAGCTGTCTCGACGGGATCTTCTCATGGAAGAAATGAACGTAGTTAGCATCGGGATCCTCGGGCGCCCTTTGTAAAACGAGACTGGCGACGTTTTCCAAAGTTGACGTCGACTGCATCGTCGCTACGCTCGAAGCTATTTCGTCCAGATGATAGGCGCGCGACAATTTCTGGGTGGCTTGCTCCCTCATCCGGAATTTTCGCTCCGGGCTAAGCTTTGCGCCGGCATTGTTCCCAAACCCGAGTCCCAAGGCCTGCATATGATGCGCGGCTCCTCCTGCCAGCGAATTAGATAAAGTCGAGGATGCGACGCCGTTCGCAGCGCGCACAGCCAGATCGGTGGCGCCGTCCACAAGCTGTCTGATCTTCACCAGGTCGTAAAATACTGCTGGGTCGACAGGGCGCGGCAAGGGCATGTAGTAGTTCGCATTGGCTAATGTCTCGAGGACTTCGAGCGGTAGCTGTAGCCATGGTCCATGAAACGAGGATATGTAGCGCCAGTGCCTGCGGTAGCGAATTATAAGCTACCAATATACACCACAACATACGGTATAGATATGCTTGCTTATAGGTAGGTATAGGTAAGGCAAGTCAATAAAAAAGAAAAGAAAAGAAAAAGGTACAAACTCACTTATTTCGGCAAATCACGAGCGCAGAAGAGGAAGAGGACGACTGAGGCGCAGGAGAAGTTGGCTTCTTCTTATTCGCTGTTGGGGGTGCAATCGAGGACTCTGCTACTGCAGCTTGCGCCTCCATGGTAGGAGATTCGCCCGCTGTGGGCTTCTTATTCTTTTTACCCATTGCGCATTGGTGGTGGTAGACTTTTTGTGTTTATAAGTTTACTCCCAATAGAAAATTAGAAAAAAAGGAGAAAAATAAAAATAAGAAAAATATGTCGACGTAGTATATATGAGAGGTGTGTATGTGTGTGATTGATACTTCGAAAATTCGCTGCACAGTATTTACACAAGAGGATTTTAGTTGAACAAGGGCGGGCGAATTCGAATTCTCATAGCGGATAATATACCCGTTGCAATTGCGAATCGCAATAAAAAAGAAAGTTGACAAGAGAAAAAAAAAAAAAAAAGTGTCTTTCTCGGCAACTCGCTGCTTAAACCTTTTTGCTTCTTTTTCTTTTTAGGAAAGTTCGAATTGCTTTGCTGCTGGTACGAAGGCAGTTGGAAAAGCTCAATTGCGTCGGCGATTCGGCGTGGCGCGCCTATTTTCTTATCTGAAAGCTAATAACGGGTATGGAGGCCTATTAAACACCTTTATCGCCACGTGATGATCATTTTTATTCTCATTCCTGTCTGACTCTTGAACTTTATATCATTTTAAGGACAAAGACTAGACTGAAATTTAGCACTCTAGGTAATCATTCCCCAGACGGGACACTTACGTACCTTACCTTAGGTACCTCTAATCAGATTTCATATCTCATATCATATTTCATAAAGTCATAAAGTCTAACATAAAACAGCTACCTAACCCAACCTACCTAGTTTCCCTTGATTTCTTTCTTCCACGCCTTCTTCACTTCTTCTAGGAGACCGTCCTGCGTCAAAACATCCAAAGCGGTACCTGCAAGTGCCTTGCCCACTCGCAGACTTCGCTCAAATGCGACCCTTGTCCCGGCGGCCTTGGCGAACTCCGGATTATGAGGTCCGTTCCCTCCCGGTCCCGGGGGAATCGCAAACCCTGCGCTCAAGCTGGGCATGGCATAACTTATATCACCTTGGTCTGTACTTGCCATTGTTCGGCCTCCGGCCTCGTCCATGTTGTCGTTACCTGGAATCGGTTGCTGGGGTGAGAGCGCATTGAAGTACTTTCGATAGGAAGCGCCCAACACGCGGTTGGGAACGTGGTCGGCATAAGACTGCACGTGGGTCATCTTGAGCGTTGCACCTGTTGCCGTCGCTCCCGCTTCGAAGCAGGCATCGACCTTCTTCTTCAGTTCCTGCACCCTTGCTTGGGTGTTTGCGCGGGTAACGAAATTACCAGCTGTGTATGCATGGATTATATTCGGCCGCACCCCGCCGTTCGTAATATTCCCCTGGATGACATCACCAGGCATTGTCTGCTGACGGAGGACAGATAATGCATTGTAAGATGTAATTAAGGCATCAAGGGCGTTGATTCCCAACCAAGGACTTGCTGCTGCGTCTAAGACATACTTAAATCAGCATTGTACATTCCAAGCGGAAGTAAACGGTTCGGGTTGGCTTACGAGCCTCGCGGCCAAAGTACTCAACCTTGAATGCGGTATACGCAGATGTCCGCATTAGAGCAGTGTCTTGGGTGATACCAGGATGAGATATCAAGTTGATATCGACTTTATGATCTCGATAAGCCCCAGCTTCCAACAGCTTAATCTTGCCACCGCCTCCTGTGAGAGATCAGAAAGCAGGAACCATTACTTCTTTTTTTTTTAGAGACCTATCATCTAGGCCTTCCTTACCTTCTTCTGCAGGAGTTCCGAACACGATAACTTTCCCACTCAATTGGTGTTCCTCCATTATTTTAGCGGTCGCCAATCCACCCGCCACTGACGCAGTAGCAATAAGGTTGTGACCACATGCGTGTCCAATGCCATCCAACGCGTCTACGTGCTTCGGTCAGACTTCTATGCATTGCATACGGGTTTTGTATAACACACCCATCTCGACGTTGAAAGATACAACTGGTCCCTTTTTCCCACTATCCCATACGGCAACCCAAGCCGTAGCCATGCCGTAGGCAGATGGAGTCACCTTCCATCCCGACCTACTGGCCATGAATTTCGTCAACGTCTCATGAGCGATGAATTCTTCGTAGCCGAGCTCCGGGTTGTCGTGTATCTTCTTATTGACAGGCCATAAATCATCGGCGATGCTGTCTAGGAAATCGCTAATCTCGCCGAGATAACCGGGCTTAGCCTGAGCGAGGTCGGCGTCCTCATGGGTAATGAAGACGAAGTCGTCGAATGCTTGACTCATCTTGCTAAAGGAGTTCTCAGAAAGCCTAGCCGTGGTCTCTAGTGAGAGGTACGCATACCGGAAAGTTATGACAAGTCGGAGTTATTAAATACCTAGATTGAATACGTGGACCTTGAGGTCTCCAGACTTACATTTCTAATTAGCCTATCCTACCACCCGCCCGCATCCGCTAAAAATCTCCAGGTTAATGCGTTCAATGTAACGATAAAGACCTCGGGGTTCAGTGGTAGGTTCGGTGTAAGTCCATTTGTCACTTATCAGGTATACCAGGTTAGGTACGTATCTCTATAACCTAGCCGCCTGGACGGTACCGGGCTAGTTGGCAGGGGATAATGCATGTAGCTACCCGGTAGTATACCCCACTCGATGCATCCTATCTGCGGGTTGTCCGGGTTGTGTGAGGGTTGCTTGCTGCTTCCTATCTAGATACTACACTAAGGTATGTAAGGTAGTTAGAACTATTGAGCTTTGTCAAGTATCAAAGAAATCACTTACGAGATATGGTAATACCAACATATCTAGGTGACTTTCCCTGACTTATCTTTTTTACTATTAGTTTCTCTTCAAACCGGAGTCATCCGACGTTATCTATTCTCTAACCCTTGCCATTGATAAGTATCTGCTCGATGGTCAACAAGATGGTCTACTTAAATCAAGATGAAAATACCAAGTGGTGTTTATTCATGAACTCGGCAAGGGTAACTGTACGATACTGTGGTTGGTATGCTGAAGCCGTGCCTTAAGTCGCAAACAAAGCCTGAAGGCTGCATTGCATACTACAATACGACAAGCCAAAGCAAAACGTCAGGACTGACTATAATCGAGTATAATCGAAATGGCCTCTGAAAAAATAACGGGTCAAGAGACAGTTACTCCTTCGGGTATTCCTGGAAGAGGAGCAGGACAACTTGACATTAAAGATGAGGCTGGCATCTTGGCTGCGAGAGCATTAGCGTGCGGAACGGTAGACGAAGAGACCTCTCGAAAAGTTCGACGAAAGATTGATATTCGCATCTTACCTTTCCTATGTATTACCTATGCTCTGATGTTCATCGACAAGACTTCCCTGGGTTACTCTTCCGTCTACAGAATTATACCTGACAATAAACTCCAAGGCCAGAATTACTCCTGGGCAAGTTCAATCTTCTATTTCGGTATGACCCCACCATCCACTTATACCAATTATAACCAAAACTCACAATAATACCTCGGATACCTTGTCGCTGAATACCCAGGCATCGCAATAATTCAGAGGTTCCCAGTAGCCAAGTTCCTCGGAGCCAATGTAATACTATGGGGTGCTATCCTCATGACGCTCTGTCTACTTGGTACGAGAATCCGTCCACTTTTATAGTAAACTCACCCCGAGGACACGTTGGCTCTTATGTTAAATCCATTTTCTATCCTGGTGTAGTTATTCATTCTAATACCACTTTAGGAAGTACATTTACCTTATACTGGGAAGTCTTACTATCGTATGGGGTATAGCCTTCACGCTCTTTGTACCTGATGGCCCAGCAAGTGTCCAGTGGCTGAATGAGGACGAGAAGGTTATTGCCATCCAGAGAGTAATCGGGAACAAGACCGGTACCAAATCACGCCGCGTCGCCAGAGACCAGGTCATAGAGGCTATTACCGATCCCAAAGTAATCGTCCTGGGGTTAATATCATTCGTCAATGCTATCGCGTCTGGAGGACTAAGCTTCGGCTCTTTGATAGTCTCCGGGTTTGGATTTGATCCCCTCCAAACCACACTTTTAAACCTACCCATTTCTGCGGTTCAGGTTATAGCACAGCTCGGTTCTGGAGTTGTCATTTCCTACATCGGTAGTTCTCGTTTACACGTCGGATCAATAGCTATGATACCACCGGTGTGTACAATTCTACATTGTGGCGACATGATGTTCGACTGACCCTCTACAAAGATCGTAGGGACGGTCTTAATCAATCAACTAGACCCAACAAACAGATGGGGACGGCTTGTGGGAGTTTGGCTACTGGTAAGTACTAATCTTAGTAGAGTCACAAACCCACGACCCATGCTTGCTTATACTTGGATTTTATCATGGTTCATTCTAATTTGCAAATCACAGGGCTCTTACCCCGTAGGGTTCCTGATAATTCTTGGTTTACTCGCAACCAACATCGCAGGTAGCACGAAGAGATCCGTAGCCTCAGGTTGGGTCTTCGTCTGTTACTGTGTCGGTCAAATTGCCGGGCCGCAGTTCTTCGTGAGCAAAGAAGCTCCGGCCTACCATGGCGGAATTATAGCCATGCTCTGTGGCTTCATATTGAACTTGGTCCTGAATCAAGTTCTGCGCTTCCTTTACGTCCTCGAAAACAAGAAACGAGATAAGATACTAGAAGGTAAATCGGAGGATGAGCTTAACGCGATGGAAAGGGAGAGCAACTTGCAAGGTTTCGAAGACGTCTCTGATAAGAATAACGTAAGCTATATCTAACCAGAACTTGACAGTTGAAATCTAATATCAAGAGCAGGTTATGTTTCGTTATGCATTATAGTAAGCTATTTAGCGGTAGTTGATAAGTCCGGATTTTACAGAGAAAACCATGTCAACCTACTCGAGCAGCTGAGGCTGAAGTATCTAGCTGTTACGTTTCTCCTCAACTACGTGTGGATAATTCGCATTCAAACCTTCATATCTTCCGCAATTTCTCGCTGCTGCATAGAGACTCTAGATTTCCCCTCCGTATTGTGTGCATCTACAATGCCATGCATCTACCCGCGGATCTCCGGGGGCGAAACCTCGCCGATGTAGATGGGGCCGGCAGCCGGGTTTAGGGTATGTTAGTTTCGGGATAGTGTTGTGAGCGGGGCGGTTGCGCACTGGGAGCTGTGCGCTGTCCAATACCAATAATCACCCAGCCGCCGATGAAACATCTGGGTTATGCCACGGTGGGAAGGCTTGCGTGAACGTCGCGACGGTGGTGAGGAGACATCCTATGCCCATGCCGACTCGTCGACCGAAGTAGTCTGCCTACCTAGGTACCTAGCCTAATCCTCCACCTATGTAAACTAGGGGCTTCCCTTTACCTGTACCTAAGGTATATCGCCTCTTTCCCGTCCCCCTACGACACTTTAAAAGGATTTGTTGAATACGTACCTCACGTACCTCTCTTACCTCTCCTCTCCTATACACTTCTAACTAGCCTACCTGTCAGCTTCCTAGGCTATCGCATTAGTACCAAGGAATCAGTGGGCACTACCCGGGACCCTATGGCCGGGGGCTGTTGCAGCTAGTAAGTATGAGGACGTTTCTCCAACGCTGAAAATTCCGCCGCTCGCAGTTTTCCCGCCTTGGTATCGCCAGCTCCCTTATCATAGAAGACATGGGAAAATACTGCTGGGATCTTAGTCCAGGATGCGATTGATGATGAGCTTAACTCTAACTAACCTCGTTACATCATATAATTAACTAGGTATCTAGGAGGTGTGCTGTTAGTTAGCATTTTTATAACATATTCAGAGGTAGGGTTAGGGAGCTAAGAGTCCCGAACAAAATCTATTGCTGGCTTGTATAAATCCGAAGCTGTGTAATGTCTTATAACCAATATGAGAGTTGACTATTCCGTAGTTTATACCAGGTATACAGTATCTCGAAGTCGATACGGCAGTGCCTATCTAGGTACAGAACATGAAGGGTTTTGTAATCATCTTACATTAACTAGCCTAGAGTTGAAAGAAGCGCTTCACCCGCTAAAGCAGATATGTCATATAACAACGAACAAGAAAAAGAAAAAGAATATCATAAAATATCAGATTGCCTGTCATTGATTTAATCACTCCGTCATCTGTCCGGACAGCTATATCTAAACGCCCTAAAAAGCAATGGTATCTACCAGCGAATATTTCCCACATATAAGGTACCTTTTCCCGTCATGGCATAAAAGCTTCAAAGGTAATCCACCTAATCCGTATGGAAATTTCAATGCAATAAATAGGAAAAAAGATAAAAAAAACTCCGTCTAACCCTGCGTAGGTACCCAAAGTTTTTATGATTATCCAGCCCAATTGAAACCCTGATTCCCGTTGCCCATGATGTTTGGATACGCCATTCCCATGTTCAAGTACGCGTCTATATCTGTCATTCCTTCATTCTCTAAAACGTCCATGAGCTCGACCTGTTGCTGTTGACTCAAGCTTCCTTGCCGCTCTGGCGGAAGCCCGTGAGCAAACGGCATATTATTACCCATATTAATATCGTCGAGGCCATTTGCACCAGAATCGCCCCAAAAGTTACCACCTAGTCCATTGCCGAAAGCATACGGTGAGATGAATGGCGGTGGGGGATTAAACCAATCTGCTCCTGCGGTTGGCTGGGGTAAAGGTCGTTGGCCTTGCAAGTGATGTTGCGGTAATGGATGAATGGTAAAAGCTGGCGGGGCAGTACCAGGATGTGGTGGAGGCACTGTATTAGGCGTCGCGATATCAGAGGGAGTCTGAGCCAGGCTTGAAGTTGAAAGCATGGGTGTAACAGGCAATGGGGTTCCCATAGCCGAAGGGGTAGCAGTGGTTGTAGATACTGATTCCGGAGAAGGTGGCACATGCTGTGCAGGAGAGGAGAAGGGCGGGGATGCTGTTGCATCAGTATCCGGTGGGCTGTTCTCTTCCATGAGCGTCATATCTCCCTGGGTAAAATCAGGAGGGAAGTAGCTGAAACGACGCCCGGTTGGGTCACTAGATGCTGGATTTAGGAAGATCGAATTGGACCTAAACGTGGGGTGAGCGATGTAGTTATTCCCAACTCCATAATGGTTCATCTCTTCTGGACTAGAGCCAAAAACGTAGCCAAACTGTGGCGGATTGAAAGAAGAGACGCCGCCGTCGGATACTGTGGTCCCACTTGAAATTTCAGACGCAGAAGGCGAGTTCGTATCTGATTGAGAGGGTGGTGTATTGAAAGCGCTCGAGTTCGACTGCGCTGGTGTTTCGTTCGTATCATAGCTCTGAAGGCATGCTCTCGTAAAAGTAGCGTATAATTGAGATGCTGCTGCGGTTCCCGGCCACCTTTCGACGCATTGATCAATTATATCCAGTGATATGTTGACCAATTCCTGTACTTTGTCACGGGTGTGTAATGCTCGAACCTCAGGGTAGGTGACAGACCATAGAATGGTGTTAAGAGACATATAAAGGGTTAGTATGAAAATCCATGTAATATCGACAGCCGCTGCCATCATCTGTTTACTAGAGATTTGGATGACAAATGCAGCCGAGTCGAAGCACTTTGTAGCAGAACGCACGGATGGCTTTGGCACTTGGGGGGATGGTCGATGAAGTGTCATCATCAAAGCATGGAATCGACCAGAAAACCTATGTTCATTTTGGTTAGAATTACTAGAACTTTGATCTCGGTGCTGGCATTAGATACGTACCAGGGCTTGCACCATGCTGGGTTTTCAGGGGATTCCTTGAGCCACTGTTCCATCTTGGCCTCCATTCCTCCGAACCATGGATGCCGATCGTCCTTAGGTTCCGCGTACTTCTTTTCATACAAGATCCGCCGGATTTCGGCCTGGAGCTGTCGCATTTTGCAGAAGTGTATGGCGACTAGTTTTCTCTCGTCTGGGGGTCCGGGGATGATTCCATCTTCACGGATATTTGCGTCACTTACAGTCTCAAAGAACCTGACATCGTTTATATCATCACTTTTAGCAAATCCATTCGGACGACCCATAACAAAAGCCATGCCGAGTTCGAGATTGCTAACAATCCAACTCAACCGTCGCCGCATGTCAAGGGTCAGTGGGTCACTGACGCCTAGGGAGATGGTCTTTTCATCGGCTAGGCCAAGTTGCTGACAGATCCTCGTTGCTAAGCCCACAACGTAGTATACAGCGGTTCGGGTTGGTGTTAACATTGAATATTGGCCGATCAAGACAAGGCATTGGAGAGTCTTGAGATCCTTGGGCCGGACGACATCTTCAAAGTATTTCATGGCAGCCTGGTAGTAGCTATCAGCAAGCCCTGCATATGTTGTGTCTAATTTCTGCATGCTCGTCGCCATGACCAGTCTCACGACAAAGTTCTGGTATGGATCTGTGCTTCCAGAGTAGACGTCTTCAACCGTTCTCTCCAATACCTTCTCGTGAAGAGTCGGAGTAAATACTTGGGCTAGGGTGGGTAGTTAGCCTGGGCGACCTATACTGTATTAAGAGGCACAAGTGAATAACTCACCTCGTTGATGAAAAACTTCTACCAACCTATCAGCGATGCCTCTACTGGGGAGGTTCTGCGCTGGGACGGCACTGATGATGGGATAGCTTTTCTTCCTTGTCGAGATTGGAGGCGGTATGGTGAAGGATTGCGACCGCGTTCCCGAAAAACTTGAGCCGGGCGCCATAGTTTGACGGCGCTCGCGTAAATCTGGTATCAGCTCTGATATGCGCTTCGAGTCGGTGTACCGTTTAGCCTCTTCCATGAGTATACGCGTCATGGCGATACCACTAGACGGTCCCAGGTACCGCGGGGTCTCATCAGTTTCATTCAGACGAACTAAACCGCCCGGTCGTATGAAATCCTCATGGTTTTTAGGAAAGTCATCGTCGTCGGTATACTGGCCAAGTTCGGCCTCAAGCTGTCTAACTTTCTCCTGGAGTTTCACAACGTAAAAACGACTAATTCTCTTTCCTTTTGTCGTGTCAAAGTACTCGCAGACGGAACCGGATCGCTCGCAAGGCGAACAACGAGGCAGCGTGGGGTCGCATCGTGTCTTCCTCTAATAAACGGCCGAGTCAACTTAAACGGTCTCAAAAAAAGAAGAGAAACAGCAATTCCGGTTTGCCGGAGCATGCGTGAGAAAGTCACTCACCTGGCGACACCGACAACAAGCTGTTAGCGTATGCGCAATGCGGTGTGAGGCTTCGCCATCGCCATTCTCCTCAGTGTTGACAGTAACAGGCTTCTTTTGCTGCCACTGTTGTGGCGGTCTCGGAACATGGGAGGTAAACCCTTGGACCTGTCGAAAGACATTTGAAGCATCCATTGGCGACTCTGGTAAAGATTTGTGTTGTTTCTGATCGCTCTTGTTGTGGGATACAGCCTTGGGCTTTTTGATCTGGCCCCCAGGCACGTGGGGGAGATCAATCGTTGGTCTCACGCAACTTCGAGGGCTCGAGGCGTCGGGAATGAAAGCGGGGCGAGCGAATTGAACAAACCGATTATATTGCTGATGCTGCTGTTGCTGCTGCTGCAGGTCGAATTTTACTTCATCATGATTTCGATTTTTGGAGATGCCACCGCAAAAGGCTTCAAAAATGTGGCTGTAAAAGGGAGAATCGTCGCCGTCGAGCTTGTAATATCCGCTTTGCGTTTGGGAACACATTCTTACGTACCCCGTACCTAGGTATGTATACATATATATACATGTATATCACGTATTTAACTAGCGTTGACTACTCCCGTGTTAGCTTGTCTGATATGCTGTTTAGAAGTACTGTCAGATTGGTAATACCTGATAAGATAGTACCTGCCTCCACTGCTTCTAAGTTCTGTAGCTTAGGTAGGTACCTAGAGCTAGGAGGCTAAGTGCTACCTATTAATGACTTAAGTGGGAAACGACTATAGAGCGCGAACTGTTGGGTTAGGTTTAGGTACGCTATAATGGAGTTACCGATTGGCCCCGCGACATATGACATGGGGGGAGGGGGGGTTTTCTTTCCGCTTTTTGTTGAACCGTGAACCGTGTACGCGACTTGTCGAAATGCGCAACTTCCACCGATCTCTATCTGAACTATTTTGCGGGAAGCAAACTCTAGATAAACATAAACCCTACATAACTTAAGTCCACATGGTGCAGTAATAAATCTTATTTATTAGTTAATCTAATCTTGTAGCTTAAATCGTCCGAATTACCCGACACCTAAAGTTTCTCCTGTCATCCGTTTCGTTTCACCTTTTTTGTTCCTTTCTCAGCTTCACATCGGGCTGGGTCGATGGCTCTCGGTTGATGGATGGTCGATAAATGTCATCGCCGGCTATCATTCCGTTTCGTTTAGGTATTCGTGCATTTCATCTCGCTTTACAATATAGACTCTTTTTTTTTAATGAGATCCTAGCCGTTGCCGCTACGACTTTACGACTTTGACTTACACGGGTGCGGCAAAAGTGGCCCAGGATCTCTTCCTGGTACGAATGCAAGAATCCGTTTCTATTCTTGGAAAACCCTCCTCTGCTTTATTAGGCACAAGGCATGTTTCCTATTCAAGTCTACCCTGGAACAGTAGCATCGGTTTTAAGAGAGGCAACAACATGCCGGCTGACGATTATTGATACAACTGGACTTCTGTATTATTCTTTTGTTTTTAACTTACATCCGACCAACGGTCTGGTGCTACCTTTTCATGCACTTATGAGACGGCCGCTCCAGAATCAAGAAAAAAATTGAATTATATCCTGCAGGCTGCCATGGCGCCTCCATAGCCCCTCGCAACGCGGTCACGTCTGACGACTCGTCTGCAAAATATACTTCCAATAACTGTAATACCAACTAGGTATATTCAGAACGACCCACCCAGCCTTACCGTGATGAGTTCTCGCACGCGGGAGCAGGGCATGGGGAGGTCGGGTTTTCTGATACCAACCATCGGTCCCTGGAATGAGGCGCAACAGAAGGAAAGGAGCGGGCATGATCTCATTTTCGGGCGGTTTCCCGCATGGTATCTACTAGAATGCCTCGTGATTATAGGCCAATACGTACAAATTGTTGAGGAGCGAACTAGGTTGAAATCCCTTCCCCTGACGCAGGGAGTTCCCGCTACGACGGAAACCCGTACATGAGCGGCATTGGCATGGCCCTAGCTTCACGGGAAAGCGGACGTTTCCATATGACAGAAATAGCAAAAGTTAAAACAAATATCTTCTCGGCTCCTTTTGATGAACCAAAGAAAGAAATCAACCCCTCCCGAATCTTTGACGATTAGATCCTAAGCCGCACCAGGCTTCCAGGAGGAGCCGCTAAACCACGGATTATGCAATGATCCATGTTATCCATGCGCGGAAGAGATGCAAGGGAGAGAGAAGGATGGCTTTGACAATTGTAAATCGGGTGGAAACCCCCACAGTTTGTGGTACACATTACCACCGCAATTCTCTTCTTACCTAGCTGGGTATTTTTCTACATATAAGGTAGAAAGAAGTATGGGTACCTACGAAGTGGTGGTGACGGTCTAGCCCATCCCGCTTCAGACACTTACCAATGTACACCACTAAAGTACCTTAGGTAGGTGGTATGGAATAAGCCGCCTTTGCTCGACTCGTCACTTGAGCCCCAAGGCTCTGAAGGCGGTATATCGGCTACATCCACGTGCAAGTTTAGAATCTCAATCCTTACTATTACCTCCACTATTCTTTTCATGACATTACGTACCTAACCTACTTTACTTTAAGGGTCCTTTCTAGACACCATACATCATACACCTTTTTTTTCATTTTTAAAAGGGATAAGAAGTTAAATTTAACGACTCCTACGCCGCATCTTACCCGTTACCAATAATACGTACATACCTTAAGGTTAGATTAATCAACCCGAAACCGCTAATCTACCCAGTTAGCTGTCAACGCCTGTGGAAATTATCTCCACTTGTACTTACGCGATATTATACTATTAAAAACCCCCGAGACCCCTGGACATCAGGGACCACAACCGGGAAGCTATACATCAAGTTCTCACCTGAAGACGTGCAGTATGCCACGATCAAGTTTTTCGGATAATCCGTTATTGCGGGTGTCACGACCAGTCTCAGCCTGCTCTAGATGTCAGTACAATCACATAGAACCGCTACATAACTAAAGAACATTAAGACTAAGATATCGATAGGTCGAAGTGCCAAAGTCAAGGTAGTCTAGCCTCAATGATGTTCGACGTGACAATTCTAGTGCTGATGACCATATTGCCAGTGCGATGGAAAGCTACCGGCATGCACTGCCTGCGAGAAGGCTGGCCGTGAAAAAGAGTGCTCAGCTGCCAACGATCAATTCGCTCGAGGCAAGGAACGGAGGTGAGAGACGAGCCTTACATGTTGACGTCCTTAACCGTCTGCTAACCTAGTTGGTCCAGCTACGTCGCTGCGCTCGAACTCCGCATAGAGAAGCTGGAAAAGCGACTGGCGTACGCTCGATCAAGAAAGGCGTCCGTCGCTCAGCATGAGTCTGAGGTATCACCGGCGCAACCGGAGCCTGACCGCAAAGATTCGCTTGCTCTTATCAAGGCTGCTATATACCGTAAAGCTGCCAGGAAGCGAGAAATGTCCGATGTCAATTCGTTGATGTCCGACTTTGGCTATCTGTAAGTCGTTTGCTGCCGAGCAATGTGCTTCACTACCTGGGATGTTAACGGATGGCAAGATCAATCAATGCTACAACGAGAGACTTTGAACCTACAATGAGTAACATGACATTTGCACGCCTCGTGTTGGCCGCCGCTTCCAACGATCCGCTCCCAAATGTTGTGGACTTGACGCTGCCTCCTAAGCAGGATGCCATTTCTCTTGTTCAGTATTATATGACGAATATTTACTCTCTTTACCCCGCGTTTCCCGAAACGACTCTTTACACCATACTGGAGCAGATGTACTCGTTCCAGGAGCGAGCGATAAAAGATGTTGACTATTGGCTCGTATATATGGTGCTAGCCGTCGGGTCTGCCGCCCAGAGTCGAGCGAAGAACGACACTTACTACCGTAACGGGCTACGTTTCGTCGCGCAAGCCTTGCAGCACGCAGACAGAGCGTTGATGCCGGGTTACACCACACAGATACAATCTTTAATCCTACTTACACAATATTCGATGCTGGATCCCGCTCATTTCGATAGCTGGCACTTAATCGGCTTCACCTCCAGAGCGGTGATCGACCTAGGATTTCACCAGGACCCCCCACCTGAACAGTTTTCGGACAAGGCGGTGCTAGATATGAGGCGGAAGACATTCTACTGCGTCTATTCGTTGGACAGGTATGTATCTACATCCCTGATCGTGGTATGAGAGATATGAGAGGTACTAATTCTTCGAGTTAAGATCCATTAGTATGGTCCATGCACGCGCCTTCTCCTTCACTGACGCATCGACAAACGTCGGCTGGCCTCGGCCTTCTTCATTCAGTCGCCGAGCGTCAATCACCGGCAAAATCCTTTCGGGCTCCGAGCCCGCCTTCTTGCTCTTCCAACTGCGGCGAGCCCAGTCGCATTGGTACCAGGCGCTTTTCCAGTCCGAGCCGACGCCCTTGCACGACGCATCCTCGTTCATCTGGCAGATGTGCCAAGACATGCGGGAATGGGCCGAGACGCTCCCCTCCACCCTGCCCGTCGGCATGCGCGAGCACTTCGACCTGGAGCTGCGGTACAGCTTCGTGTACTGCATCGCGCCGTCCGCGCGCGCCCCGCACATGACGGACTACGGGCGGCTGCTGATCTTCGAGCACGCGATCGCGTACCTGGAGCGCATCTTCGAGGTCGCGCACCGCGAGACCCAGGCCGCCTTCTACACGTACCACGACGCCCTGCGCGTCTTCTTCATGGCCAGCCAGTTCGTCGCCGTCCTCCGCGACGCCGAGGACCTCCTCCTCGCCGGCGTCACCCCGCCCGCGCCCTTCGTCGAGCTCGGCAAGCCCCATCCCCCTCCCCTCCCCGTGCCCTCCCGCCCCGCCGGCCCCGGCCCCGGAGGCGTCGATAACGTCGAGAGGAGCTTGGCCTGTCTCGAGAGGACCACCCGCACCCTCGGCAAGTACGGCGAGCGCTGGGAGACGTGCGTCGCCCTGAAGCAGAGCTTCGAGATGATCTCGGGCGAGCTCGTAGATCGCCTGCGCGTCCGGAAGCAGATGAAGCAGCGCGCGGCGCCGCCTCAGCACGTCCCGCCGCCAATGGGCAGGGAGATGAAGTGGGTTGGTGTAGACGTTGAGGCTCTGATGAGGGGGAGCTCGGGAGGGTCAAGAGGAGTAAAGTTCGAGTAGTTTCCAAGAGCTAGCATTAGGTAGACATCTTCTATTAACGGTATGTATGCATTCGAAGGGCGTTGAGACGGTCCGTAATTAACATGGTTTCTGGCTTCGGACATAGGGAGGAAAGAAGGATATTCGGTACTAGGTAGTCATGATTTATGGTGTTTATTACTATTTAACTAAGTTCTTTACTTAGTAGTCTCATCCACATTATAATGCAGCGTAGAACGTTGATCCGGCAAAAAGCATATCTCACATAAGTTGCTATTCGTTGGTGCGATGCCAATCGTACATCAAACCTCGCGAACCCGATCTCCGTCAACCTCCAACTCAACCATCTTTCTATTCGGAAATCTGTTATTAAGTACGGCCCGCAACTTCCCCATGGCCGACTCATCAGGTCGCTAACCGTTAGTGTCCTGGAAGATGAGCCTTGAGTTGTGCAAATAGGGCCCCAGGTTCTTTGTCCATGTGCCAAGTAAAGAACTATGGAGGACATCAGGTACCTGAAGGACGATAGACCATTTGTAAGGATAGTAATCATCAAACATGGACGGACCAGCCATATTGAAGCCGACGAGAGCTTGCTCTAGGACAGGCATAGACTCGATTGCCTTAGCCCAGGCCTCAAATAACGGCCACAACGTGTCGTTGCAGGGCACGCATCGTCTAGTCTGTATATCGGATGGCTCCTCGAAGTACCAACCTCCTTCCGGTGTCATTATTGCGAAAGCTACATAGAGCTCTCTTAGGCGGGGCCAATGTGACACCTTGATCTCTGACTGCTCGTTCCCGCTCGGCCAGAAAATCGAGCTGCTCAAGACGCCGTTAATCTTGAGATAGACGAGGTTGTGCGACCACATACGCATGGCTGCTCCGAAAGTGTCGTACGGTGGTAAGCTCGTGTTATAAGTGAGATATGAGCTGAATCTCGGGTAGTAGGGCCACGGGCCAACCCGTTCTGTTGTTAGAGTCACTTTAAGACACTCCGTTTTTGACAGGAAGCCGGCAGCATCAATAAGGGCAGTGGCTAAGCCATGTCGATCGTTTCGGTATGTACAATACTCGCCTCTTGTAAATCTGATGGACCTTAGACGTGGGAAGCGTGCCATGAGGTCGACAATGGTGCGTAGCGCTAGTCCTATATAAGCGTCTGAATAAAGCGCTAGGCTTGACACACACTTCACTGTAGCCAATTGCTCCCCACGACCTATTAACTCGAAGCGTGGCTCAAGAGACTGGCGTTCAATGTGGTCCAGGGAGTGACTAGCGCTCACATGGAAACTTAATTTCAAAGCAATTTCCTTACTACCGTCACTCTTTGATAGAACGAAGAAGAGCATCTGTAAATTTGATGTAATCATCTCGCTCGCGCGTTGCAAACTTCCTTTTCCCGTGTAACGCCTGACATAGATCCGGAATGTAAGATGGCGTAGAAACATACGGCGCGTATAGTTAGGCCAGACGATATCCGAGAAAATATCTAGGTCGTCAAATTCATTGCTAAGTCGTAAGCTCGAAAAGGTGCGTCGCTCGATAGCTCCCTGCCATTTTCGCGATAACGTGGCATAAGGTGCGAGGAGGCGTTGATGTGTAAGAGTATCAACTGGCAGGAAAGAGGCAATAATTATGATGATCTCCAGTGGAAGCGCCTCCATCGTGTTTGTTATGAGATGAGAGGGGGGTTTGGAGGGTTGGAAGATACCTAAAGTAAAGTAAAGAAGAGAATGTTGTAGTTAAAATCTCCATGGGGGCCACAGTTTGATAGTTAGATTTGTAGTATTTAAATATAAATTATACAAGATTTGTACCTTCCTTCCTTCCCTTCCCTTCCTTCAAGGTTCAAGGTGTTTTAGACGGCAACAACGACGACAACGGGGTTGCGACCCCTGAGTCACACGTCGTGACGAATCGTACCTACCCAGCAAATGTCTAAACACTACCAGACGCATATGGCCATTGCCCAAATTAGGGAGTTCTAAGCCCATATGCCTTCGGGGTAGTTGCCCAAAGAAGTTGAATACCTATACTTTGGACGTTCTGCGATAATACTAAGTGAAATCACACATGGAAGCGAGCATCTCAATGTTCTGATCCCATGATTTACCTAACCTTATTAATATGTACCGGTACCTAGGTACCTAAGGTATAAAATATCATTTTACACTGTTCAATTGATACAGAAAGGTATTTTACCTAGTTATCTACCAAGATACCTAATATCCTACATACCTACCTAATGTTAGGTTAGGTTAGGTAGGTAGATATCCTTTCACACCAAGTCTGTGAGTGACTTCGTGCCCCCCTATACCTTGAATACAAGTGCCTCCTCGGAAGACACCTCGCCCCTGGCAAACCTATCCCAAGCATCCTTAACCGCCTCCATACCCTCACCCCAGACGAGCTTCACGCCGGGAATGCCCGCCTTCCAGAAGGTGTCCCACGCCGCGTCGTTCCGCGTCCAGTATTCCACCTCGCCGACCTTCTCGATCGCCTGATTCTGCTGGGTGTCGGCCATGACCTGCGCGATGTCGAGCCCCGCCGGCGGCTTGCCCCCCGGCGCGATCGCCGCCGACGGCTCCGAGACCTCGGCGCCCACCGAGACGAACTGCACGCGCGGGTACGCCGACACCAGGGCCTCGGCCCACTTCCACTGCACGTGGTTGCGGCCGCCGAAGTCCACGATCACGATCTTGCCGTCCTTCTTGGACACGCCCAGCCGCGACGCCACCTCGACGGGGTCCGCGCTCGTCGGCTCCACCGCGTCGTAGAATCCCGTGCCCTTGACGAACGCTTGCGAGTGCTCGCTCGCGGCGCCCACGATGCGCGCCGGCTTGGACGCCGTGCGTTGTCGCAGGGCATGTGCGAAGGCCAACCCGACCTTGGAGCCGGGCGCGAAGCTGATGACGGTGGCGTCCGTCAGGTCGGCCTGCTCCGGCGTCAGGTTGACGGACTGCTTGGGGTCCGGGGAAAACATGAACTCGGCCATGATCCACGCAGTCAGATGCATGACGCGGAACAAGGCGCCGTAGGCGATTACGTCGGCCTTGCCCGCGATAGCATGTTCGATTCCCTCCGGGCAGACGAAGTAGTGGTTGTACAACTTCAGGTGGTTCTTCCGGTAAGGCTCGGTGACGAAGAACTGCCCAGGCAACCCGGCCTCCTTGACTTGGAAATCCTGGGGTAGGGTCCCGATGGGGAGGTATCCCCAGACGTAGCGTCCCTTAGGCACGCTGGGAAATGTAGAGTCGACGACCTTGGCGAAGCCCCAGGCGCTGATACGGCCATAAACGGAAGTGTCGTTGTACGGCGCCGGCGTGGTCGGCGGGATCCGGTGGATGCCCCACCAGTCGGCTAGGTCAGCCAACTTGCAGTAGGTAAAGTTGTTAGAGGTAAGGGCGAGGACATCCGTTCGGATCCTCAGGGATGACTCCCCTAGGGGGGGTAGAGGGTCTGGGATAGGCACCAAGGCCTGTTTGAAGTAGTCCTTCTTGTTGAGGACTTGGATAACGGGGACTTCGGCCATTTTAGATTGGGGTTTAAGTTGATTTTTAGGGACTGAAAGAGGAAAAAAGAAAAGGAGGATTGTTTGGCAGGCCGCTGCTACCGTTGCCGTTGAACCCTGGGGGAAGTTTATATATACACAAGTGACTTGTCGGTTCAGAGTATTAATCCGTCCTCGTCCTATTCGTTTTAGGTTGAAAGAAGGTTACACTTTGTGCTCTCCGAGCCGTACGATCCCCTTTCCCGAAACCCAATGAAATGTCTACGGGGGCAAACTAACATGTGGGTTTGTCGTTCTATATGCAAGGTGTTATGCGTATTGTAACGATCTGTCATCGTTTTTGGATTGTGTAATTTTCATCCAGCTTGTTAGGATGATGGCAGCAACCTCCGTCTCCGCTCTGACGGTGTTTGATATTTGATCCGCAACAGACATTGGAATCTGTTTTGGTGAAAATATGTGTACATGTCCTACAATCCTTATACGAACTCCTTATACGAACTATGGAAGTACCTAGTTTGCTTACAGGAATTAGTTGCAGGTCAAGCATGAGGGATATTGAGCAGTCTACTATACAAATCGGCGGGATAACGGACAATAGCGTACTCCACCCCTTTATCCATTAGCACATGGATATCCCCTAGGCTAGTTTCCAACGAACAGTACGTGATAGCTAAATGTCCACGGTGGTAGTACAATATCTCTCAAAGCTTATGGACGAGAGTTGAGAGTTGAGAGCCTCGGCTATTCCTAACTGGTATAGGTTTGTACCTGAGCCATATCGAAATCGATATGACTAAGACGGACCACAGCACCGATTCGAAGGTATTTTAGAATGCTAACCGTCGTATAGGAAACGGCCGAGCGGGCCCGTAGGTGCATAGACTATGTAGCATAAGGATGTGAGGATGCCACTCGGCGATGGAGGGAAAGTTTTTTTTTTTTTAACTTGACGAAACTTCTGTCACCACTTTTTGGCAACCCTACAAGAATATAAGGATACCTGGTACCAGTCAGGACATATCGGAATACTGGTGTTGCAGAAGCCGAGGCACCATCTTCTCGCTCCACTACCTAGATTCCGCAGTTCCCGTAAATCGCGCTATGGGGCCGGACTGCGGAGAGACTATAAATGTCGATATGCGGAGCTGGTGCCCGTATAAAAAGCCCGAAGCATGAAGAAATCATTTTTTTATAAACTTCACCCCCTTTCATACATACCTTAGGTACTCGCTCAGAAACGAACGACAAAGAGAGATGATGTTTAAAAGTTATAACCCCTCACCTTGGATTGCAGGGTTGCCGTTTGGATTGTTACACTAGGTGCGTACGTACGATTGGACTCGTTATTAGGTACAAAGCGAACTCTAGACTCGCGGGGTTAAGACCATGCCGTCATCGATCAACGGGGGGCTCCACATGAGCTTCTTCCCGTACCTTATTACCACGAGAGTTCCTTCTATCTCATTACAGCTGCAAGATCTGTCCTACCGTCTATAATTACCTAAGGTTAGGTCAGTATCATCCATCTAAAATATTATACGTTATACGTTACAGGTACTTAGGTAGGCACATGTGTACCTAGGTAGATATTAGGATATTATACCTATTATCTTCGAATCTGATTACCTGGAGAAAACGTCTTTCGATTCAAGCGATTCAGGTGGGCGCACTAAAAAAAACGCCTCTTTTTCTTTTTTATATCTCTCCCTCTCCAATTCGAGCTGGATGACGCTTTATTTGGTAACACAACATCAAGCCCCTTTCCTTTTCCTTTTCCTGCCTGTCTGACTGTCTTTTCTCCCTTTCCTGCCTCCTCACAAAACTCAACCATCCTACCTAGGTAGTTCACATCCCACCATCTCGTTCTCTTCCATTCAAATCATCTTTAAATAAGCCAGTAACACAAACAGCTACAGAAGTTGCAAGGTACCTCATCAACATTTAGGTAATTAGCTGTCTGTTGTTGTCGTTTTCTTTCTTATTTTGGTACACACTTATACACACATTGCGAGAATAAAAAAAAAGAAGAAATTAAAAAAAAAACACCCCCATGGCGGACCCCAACAATGACCCCAAGCCCTGGTACAAGAAAATGGACCTGATCCAGCGCGGCGACCGCTCACCCACGCCCTGGGGCACCCTGACCTTCGTCGGCCTGCGCCTCGCCGACATCCCTCTGCAGCACGCGCTCCTCGCGCCCGCGGCCGGCAGCCTCGGCACGTCGCTGCTCGCCCGCGCGGGCGTGGCGACCGTCCTACCCGCGGCTGTCCTCAACACGGGCATCCCGTTTCTCGACTCCCTCGGCTCCCCGACCGGCGCCCTCCTGCTCCTCTTCGCCTGCGGCTCCGCCGCCAAGCAGATCTACTGGCAGACCGTGCTCTCGTACGAGTCCTTCCCCGCCCGCGCCGCCCTCGCCGTCGCCCTCTACAACACCCTCATGAACGGCGCCAACGCCCTGCTCTTCCGCGCCGCGCCCACCTCCGCGCTCTTCTCCCGCCCCCAGGTCCCGCTGTCCCTGCCCTTCTTCTCGTTCCCCGTCCATATCCCCCTCACCACAATCGTCGGCCTCGGCATGTACGTCTCCGGGCTCGCGCTCGAGACCGTCTCGGAGGCGCAGCGCAAGGCCTTCAAGGACCGCCCCGAGAACAGGGGCAAGGTCTGCAAGGTCGGCGTCTGGCGCTGGGCCCGCCACGTCAATTACCTCGGGTACTCCCTCTGGCGCGGCGGGTACACCATGGTCGCCGCCGGCTGGGTCGCCGGGCTCGCGGTTACGTTCGCCCAGATGTGGGACCTGGGTCACCGCGCCGCCGGCGTGCTGGACGACTACTGCTCCGAGAAGTACAAGGAGCAGTGGGCGCAGTTCAAGCGCGAGGTCCCGTATAAGATCCTCCCGGGGATTTATTAGGTATTAGGGTTTGGCGTAAGGATAGATTAGGTTAGGCTAGGTCAGGTCAGGTCAGGTTGGGTAGGCTTTGCCTTATGTATACCTGATATTAGGCAGGGACACGGGTAATCTGGCGTGTAAAAAAGAAAAAAAAAATGGAAAAAAAGTTGGCATGCTGTGTGTATTGTATATGTGGGAATGGTATAGGTATAGGTATAAGTATAGGTATAGGTACCTGTAATACAACATATTCATCAGGGCTGGTACAATCGCAATCAGAATCAGTGATTTTGGTAGGGAGCATTTCTTTAACGTGGCAGAGTTCTTTTTCATAGTGTCTGTCTGTCTGTTTGTCTGTCTGTTTTTGTCTTGCAGCCTTCGCGCGCAACCCTGTAATCTAGTATACAAATAAGGGGAAGGGGGAAGGGGGCAGCAGCGACGACGCAGCCAACAGAAAGGGGAAAGAAAATAGCAACATTCAGCTTACCCGAGAAAATGGCCAAGCAGTAAGCGAAGTAGTCACCGTTCTTTCTTTATGAATTAACTGTCTGCGTCTTTTTAACACACGCAGACAATGTCAGTGGTATAGGTGGATAGACTATAACCAACGACTCCTGGGCAAGGGAATAGGGTAAAAAACGAAAGAAGAGTTGTAGAAAAAACAAAAACAAAAACAAGGCATAACAAGAACAAGAACAAACTCCTCATGCTATATCGCAAGGTTTCCGACCAGAAAACGCCTTTTTCTCGTAAAACACGCAAACCCCTGGGTTGCCCGAAAATTAAAAACCTATCCATTGGTCTTTCTCCTCTTTTGTTCTCTGGTAATAGGCCCCTCCCGTTCCTTGGGTGGCTCGCTAGACTGATGATGGATAGCTCCATCAACCTAAAATGGACGCAGGTCCGCCAAGTGTAGATTCTTGGTCCAACGAGGCAGCTTCTTGTTTTGTTCGTAGAATCGACCGCAATTCGCGCAGAGGGACTAGATAGGTCCATCGTTAGTAAATATATCCACCCCCGACGTCAAGAATTGGGCATATATAGGTAGGTTACTTACCCTAGGACCCCAAGGTCCGTCTCGCACCGCCCAGACACTCGTGCCCCAGATCCGACAGTGAGTACAGCGCCAATTAAGCCTTTCCTGTTCGGTAAGCGACCCGCCCCCTCCTCCACCATACCCGACATCTGGTGTAATTCTACCGCCCGGAGTACCAGATCGCCCAAGAGGACTCAGACTACGGAATCTCCTCTTCTTCTTTGATCTTTCTCCCCGGCCCATCCTCTCCTCTTCAACCTCGAAGCCTAGACCTGGTACACCACCAACCATGCCAGCGTTGCTGCTAAATCTAGCAGTTTCTCGGCGGAGACGTCGGATCTGCCGCTCTCGGTCAACCTCTCGCTTCTCGATCTCTTCCTTCGATAACACTTCGACCTTGGGCTCCCACTCGTCTGCGAGATGCTCGGGATCGTACCGCCAACCAGCATCCGCGCCATGAGCAGCGTCATTAGGGAACTCGGTCCCCACACCGCCCCATCCCGCCACAAGACCGCCAGCTTCGCAGGCTTCTTTCTTGAGACGTAACACCGCCTCGTAAATCGCATGCGTTAGAGCGGGAACCCATTCGCCAGCAAGACCTAAATCCGCACACGTGATTTTGGCAAATGCTTCTGCTGTGCCGGGAGGGTGAAGCAACGACCACTCGAACTTGTCTGTGTAGAGCTGCGAAGAAAGGTTTACGTTGAGGGAGACTATACATCGGTAAGTGTCGTCGGGGTTCAACTCATCCGAGTCGGCGGGAATCGGCGTGGCACTAGCCGTTATTTCGGGGACCTGCGAGCGAGCACCCTTTGGAGTATCAAATCCCGTGTCGAGGCCACCTCGGAACGGAGTTTCAGCACCACGCGTCGAATTTGGCAAAGGCGTAGCCGGGGTTGCTGGGGTATCGCGGAAACTCGACTGAGGAGCTAGCCCGGCGCTGTTCGTAGGCGCCTTATCTTCCGAGTGGAAGAGCGGGTGGAGCGCAACGCCAGCATACTCTTCTAATTGAGTCCTGATCTGCTTGCTGATCTCGCTTGCGATAGCGCCTTGGTTTGGAAGATCCAGGTCTTGAACGAGGCTGAGCGCGAACTGGTCTGTGGTAATCAGAGTCTCGTGCAAATTCCACATGAAGATATCCCTTAGTTTGTAAGGAACTGTCAAGTCGCCCGTCCTATATAATGCAGGGTCCATCTGAGGAGGTGGCTGGTGAACGCCTCGAGGTAGAGGGTAGGCTGCGGAGGGTATGAAGGCAGGAATATCGACGTCGATACGGATAGGAATAAGAGTAACGGGCATGGCGGCTTGGGCCTGGTTATTTAGATCTGATCGATTCTTAGTCTTCAGCATCCAATCCCTCCAGATACCCTGAACCTCGACGGGGGCATTCGTCTCTTTTCCAAACTTGTCGCTCGGGTCTATGCGTGATGCGCTGTCTTCTCGCCTCAAACTGCGCAAGCCCGTAGGCCGCCGCCTAGAATCCTCCTCATCGTCGTCGTCGTAGTCGTAACCGTCTTCAGCATAATTGATTACTGTAGTGCCACGTTTCGTTGTTCGCGATACCGGACCGGTGGGTGCGGTGGAATGAATTATGGGGGTGAGGAGAGAATTGTTGTATACGCGCAGTCGCGGCGCGTAGGAGGAGAGGAAGGCCTGGGGAGTACTTCTAGGCTCCATGGTTGATGTATCGCAGTTTACGCAGTCAATTCCTTCTATGTCATCTCATGCTGATGGTAAAAAAAAAAAGTTGCAAGGGATAGGCTGAAGAAGGTTGGCCGCAACGCGCGCCGAACAATATTTGGAACTAGTTAGTGAAAGTTAGAAAGTTGGGTACTCGGGTTAAAAAAAAAGAGAAAAAAAAAGACTTGATTAAAATATTTGTATGAACAAATAATAAAGGATACCAGGTATCGTACCCAAATGCAATTCCAATTTGGAGGTTTGAAGTATGGTTTAGAGTTGGGGTGGATTAATTAAAATGACCATATATTAGGTTAGGTATGTTTATGGCTTGCATGAGCTTTTTTGCCGGTCCGTTCGTCTTGTCGCAGCGCAACGCAACGCGTCAGGGTCGTCTCGTAAATTTTCCACAGCGAAAATCGAGTTGACTGGTCCATCGGCATGGGATTCAAGTCGGGGGACCCAAAAGCTAAGGGACGGGAAAGAGATCACGTGGGTCGCCGAAGTTTATCCTTGCAAATCTTAGCTTATGTACCTATGTATCTAGGTATGACCTTATGTAAGACGACCTCAAGCTAACCAGCTCAACATTACCTAACATGAGATAGCAAAATACATACAACTTTTATTACTGTTTTACTCATGGACCAATTCAAGAAAAAAAAAAAAAGGGGGGATTCAAGTTAAACATTAACTACTATAAAGACTTCTCGGCGGAGTCCTTTCTTTCTAGCTTAAAACTACTTATACAAGGTATCCATGATTCCATCCATCCCCTACTCGTTTCCCCAATGCTCATCATTATATCCAACAACGCCCAGCTTTGGTATCCAACGCTTGATCTTATAAAGCTTAGCGAGCCGTAGAGCACTACCGAGTCCCTTGTAGAATATATAAAGCAATAAAATATAAGGCTCCTATGCGCCGGGTATGATCAAAATCCCAAATATTACCGTATAAAGCTCCTCCGAGAATTCCTCCTCTCTCTATAATACGCAGCCATACTGTGCTTCACCGTGCGCTAGCTCGTATGCTTCGGCCTCGTTCTTCAGTTCGTTTGTTCGAGTTTGTAAGCATCATCCAGTCATCCCACTCTTTACTTATCTCCATCAACACGGTGCTCATAACTGTAGCACTAGCCATCAATCCGTGACCTTCGCCCTCAAGCACGCGGACCTCGCATCGCCGCATAGTCTTCCCAAGCCACTTTACGTTTTCGACAGGAACACGCGTGTCCCTGCTACCGTGATGGATAGTAACTGGGCGGGTGATGTCCACGTAGCGGAAGCCGATCGTGTGCCTACGCTCTAAGCAAACAAGCAGATCCACAGCAGGGTTGGCTCCTGTAGTAGCAAGTTCCCAAATCGCGTGAGTGAGCCGCATGTCGTATGTCATTTGTCTTTCCTTATCCGCTATAGCGTTCGCAGCGGCAGCAATAACAGCATTTTGGGGGTTAAACTCATTGTCGCCAGGACGGCAACGATCCATATTTTCGCTGGCAGAAAGCGGGAGGATCCTCCCTTCCGGAGTTTCCTGTATGAAATTTTCCTTGTCTATGCTGGGCAATGCATCTCGGCGATTGCTGGAGCCGGTTGTATCACGCCCGGCAGGGGCAGTGGACTTTCGCTTCCCACGGCGAGCGTTGTTTTTAGGCAATGAGCTAGTAATAGAGCTACTAGTAGCTGACATGAAGGAACTATTAGCTGCTTTAAGGAAAGGAGTTGGTAAAGCCCGGAGGATCCTCTGGGATGTGGGGATTGCATTAGTAGGAGGCAAGGCCTGAGATCCGCCGAACACGTTCATCTGTGATGGGGGAATCCAGGGAGCCAAAAGATGGATGCGACCACGAATGTGCTGTGGCATCCGAAGCGCAGTAGCAAGAGCGTAAATGGCACCCGCAGAGTGCGCGAGGATAGAAAACTTGTTAATTTTGAGCGCTTGACAGATCGCATAGACGTCATCTATAGCGTGTTAATATTCGCGTGGCATAAACTTTAAGCAGGTGCATCAACATACCAGGCCAGCTGAGGGGTGTCGCCGTCCCGTCGGCATACGGTTCGCTATCGCCTACTCCAGGTCGATCAGGAGTAATAAGTCTCAACTTCAGTGTCAGTGCCAATTCGTCGTAGAACGCAGTGACGTATCTAGTCAAGCCCATGCCAACACAGCAAAATACTGCTGAGCCTTCGGCATCGCCAACCTCTGAAAACGAGATGACTCGGCCAGTCTGCGGGTGCTTAATCTTCTGTGACAGCCTCGGCGAGCACAAGTAAGACTCGACCGCATCGTCAATAGAATCCGCGCTTTGAGGTCGCTCGTATCCCACCACGGGCTCGGAAGAAGCAATCTCTTTTTTCCTCTCTGGTTCTGGACTTTTAGGCCCTGCTACAGAAAGCCGCTTCAACCGTGAACTGCTTCGCTTCGGTCTGATTATCTCGCCTATGTCCGGGGTCGTATGTCCCACTGTTTTGCGATCGCTCCCATGCGGACTGCGTCTTCTTTGTGCCACAGCTGGGAAGGGCGCGCCATCTTCAAATCTATTGGTATCATTCGAATATGACCTCGATCGCTGATGGGTATAATTGTTTTCCTGGGGCATCTTAATGGAAGGGGCGCTTGCGCGTGTAGGGTGTGGCATTTCGGGCGGTAGAGAATCGTCCCTTCTCCGAGCACCAGACTCCGAATTCGCTCGACTTATGTGTTGCCGTCTCGAATGGGACGGATCGCGCGACCTAGTATGTTCCGAGTCTTCTGGGATGGTATCTTCGAAGCCGCCGTCGCCCTCCCTTCTCGATCGCGAAGACCTATGCGACGATCTTTTGGCGTTGGTTCCCGTTTTGCGTAAAGAAGAATCGCGAGCTGGAATTGACCTCTGAACATTATCTAGATCGATAGTCGGACTTAACTCGTACATGTCTCCTTTAGTTGGCGAATCACTCGGTTCTTCGCGAATCGGGGTTTCGGCAAGAATAGTATCGGTTCTGGGTGACAATGCGCCTAAACTGTTAGATGTACCGATAGACACTAAGCTGGCGCGCTTCTTTTCTGTCTCACTAGCACGCAATCGTTCTTTCGAGCTCATGTACATGAGACCTCGGTGATTACGAGCTTGCTTCTTTCCCCAACTGTCGAATGATCGTTGTCTGCGCAGTTCTGGTGTAGGTGGCAATCCACGTTCGACCGAAAGATTGCCTATGCTACGTGTATCATCGTACGACGAGACGGAACCCTTTGATGACGGTCTAGACGAGCCGCGCAGGAGAGCCTTCAACCCACCACCCGAAGATGGCGACTTTGGGGCAGTCAATGGAGAGAAGCCAGATGGCGGCTTCGCTGTTCGAATGGTAGGGGGACTAGCAGCTAATTCGCTAAGGTTAATATCCTCCTCTTGTAGCCGACCGAGCTTAGAAGCAGAGAAGGCTCCGTATTCAACACCAAAACTGCCTTCGCGGGGTGAGCTTGGCATAGACAAGCTTTGGTTCTCGAAATGCTTATTGGCCGGTTTTGAGATGACAGATAGACTAGTAATTAGAGATGAGATTACTTCGGGTGAGGCTGGCGGTACGCCGACGCGGTCTATGTCATCGTCACGGAGATGTAAGTGCATGGAAGGATCAATTGCCTTCCTCCGGGATTGGTGGCGACTCTGACGGGGAATAGGGGGCAGTTGTCCGGCAGCGGCTGACTTGGATGCGCCAGATGCGCCATAGTAATAATCCATAGTGGGTAGATGCAAGGAGGGATGAACCACGACGATCGAAGCTAGGGCTGAGAATGTATTGCCTAATTGCGACTGGTCTCACCTGCTTGTCTTTGATTGCTTGCGACGAACAGGAGCGGTGTACAAACTCCAACTTCCAAGATCCAATACACAGTTTCAACTCCAACTCGGCAGAGGATGCAGCAAATTGTGGAGGTCAGAGATGGGCAGGTCGAACGGGCAGGACTGGACGGGGGGGGGGGGATGCGACTGCGGCTGCGGCTGCACGAGATGCAGAATGCTGGATATTGGGTCAATACCGAGACGGGCTTGCTGCAGGTCCCCAAGATCCCAAGGTTCCAGAATTCGTAGAGGCGCTTAAATTGTACATAGGCTGGGCCTAAGGTCCCGTAAATACAAATTAAAAAAAAAACCAACTGCAGTCGAGGGGACGACTTGTTGGAGGTCTTGTGGTGTGATGTAGATCCGACTACCACGTACAAGGGAATACAAGGGAATACAAGGGGGATATAGGATAAATCGATAAATGGGGGGTACCTATACCATAAACAGCGTAAATAAAGGTAATTAAAAATAATAATAACTTTGGCTAAATTTTTTTTAGAAGAATGGATTGCCGCGATTCAGATTGATAGAAGAAAGTGCGGGAGCAGAACTTTGATCGGTTTTTTTAGACTCAGGGGAAAATGGAAGTGGACATCTCGGCGATCGAAGAAATTAGGTTATGTATTATCATTGGATAGGGAAGGTAAGGTAGGTCTAATTAAGCAGGTACTGAATTATAGGATAACAAGACTCATATAGGTTGTAGTTTACTAACTTTACTTTGGTCGGAAAGTCTGTGTGTACCCAAAGTTCGGGTCGCTCTTGCAGCAATAATAATACGTGCGTTATGTAAGTATATGCTAGGCAAGTATTGCAGCACAGATACCCCGTACCTTAGGTATGATAACCCCTCCCCCCTGTCTCATGCATGTGCCTTGCGGTTTTCTGCAGGTGATACATCATCAACGTTGTACCTACATGATTAGGTATTTTACATTCGACTTGGTGCATTCACAGCAATATTAGCTTGTTAATCTGAACTCTACTTTCAGATCGACATTGTCCCTTGCTCCACAGTTCGAGCCCGAAAAGTTGACAGGCTTAAGAAGCTGAACCTATTTGAGATTAACATGAGTCTCGGGCTTTTTCAATCATCCAAGTTAGCATGCATTGCCCCTGAAAAAATATTAATTAGTTGTCTCTCTCTTTCTCTCTTCGTCTGTAGCTTTGAAGGAATAATGGAATGCTCAACTACTACCTACATAGTATGTACCCTATGGACAGGAACAATCTTGAGTGCTTTAAACATGCATACCACACGTACATCTAATATATTGAAAGGTTACATATTTGAGCACAAATTACATTGAAATATGCAACCTCGTTTCAGAATATGCGCCTCGAGTAGCACTGTATTAGGTTGTAGCTGCAACGGTTAACTAACGTTTATTTGTGCCACATCTATTAGTAGTAAGCGGGAAGAGAAGCGGTTTCAAAGACCAAAAACCGTATGATGTTAGGTGATTTGTCTTTGCACAGAGATAGAATAACAACTCAATTGTATTCAGAAAAACTGTAGCCCACTCACTGGGTCGCAGGTAACCTACCAAAGATACCCGAAGAAGATATAAGTGCAAGAGTTGGTGCGAACAAGACAAACGGAAATCATATTCCCCTGTTGAAGTACATAAATCTATACAACCCGCAGACTATCACAAAGTACAGGTAATATATCAAACCCGCATCTGTGTGTCAATAAGCTTGTGGTGTCTAATTGAGAAGAGAATAACTGACTTTTCATAGGTATTCAAGGTGACGAGTTCTAGTTTTTGTCTTGGATTTTATTTTCTGTGACCAATGGGAAATCGGAGATAATTTCTATGAACGGCCTGGCCTCGGAATTTCTCCCCTAGATGACGGCCCCTCGGTCTAGGAAAGCGGCCCAGAGCATCTCAAATTTCACTGCGTTCATGCGCCGAGAATACTAGCAGACTGCAAACGCCACGTGAATAACGAAGATGACACGTCCGTCTGAAGACATCATCGATTACCTTGATGCTTACCTCGAACGAACGTCTGGGCTCGTTTGGGAACTGGGAGCTATGACCTTATATTCTTCCACGTTGAAACAAAGTTGAATTTGAAAGACTAGGTCTAAAAGAACCTATATATTGGACTGGTTAGTATGTGGTTCTCTTGAGAGTTTTTAGATCGCGGGCCCATGTCGAAAATTGTGCTGTCACTTGTTTTGTGAGATGACAATGTTGCAACAGACTACCTAAGATTTGGTTTCTGCGATGATCTGTGATCTGCAAGGAATACCTAACTCTGCGACGGGCAGTTATAAATCCTATGTGACATTTACACGTGGTATTTAGCTCAACTTTGCTCGGCAGTTTACTATTGAACTAGTTGAGTGGTGTTGCAAACGCAAATTATCAGCAAACTTTCAGGATCCAAGCCATCGGGCTATCAGTGGAGTTATCCCGTGTCCTTTGAAACCTTGTACCTGGCTTAGAGCGCCCCTAACTTATACTACACTAGCAGCAGCTTAGTATGCTTAGCTAAGGAGATGCCCCGCAAATCGAGGCTGCTGCTGCAAGTATTTCTTGGCATAGAAGCCCAGCAGCTTGGGCTTCACATCAAGCGAAAAAAAAAAAAAAAAAAAAAAAAAAAATATTAATGACCCCGCCAAAGCTAACAGGGGAGTCGGGGGAGGAGTTGAGAAACTCATCACCGGCGCAACCAATCAAAAGATTAAATGCCAAATGACAGCACAACATACGTCATTAGCTGTTCAACTGCAAGGTGTGCATCAAATCACCAAGTAAAAGATAAGGTAAAGCCCAAGACACGTAGGAGATTCTACGAAATCTTCGTATGATTGGGGCATCTGCTTCTAAAATGAACAACGAAGTCCTGAAGAACTAAGCCCTAATGCAATACCATCTTACGACCCTGAAAATATTTCGCCGTTAAATAAGGGGGATATACAGACAGACATACACAACCTCCAGTTGCTTTTTCCATCCAACGCGTTTTTATACCTGTAATCTGAAAAGAAAAACGGCAATAACAACAATATGGATCTCCTATTATCTCTTCCGATAGCTTCGTATTTCGGCGGGTCGATGCTCTCATCATGGTCGGGTTCATTAAATCTCCTATTCTTCTATATGACTTGGATGACGCTTGTGCTATCCCATCCGCCTCTAACGATCGAGCTGGTTGGCACCTTAGCAGTGCGCATAGTATTTTGGCTGGTACCATCGCTCTTCTTTCTCATATTCGATTCGTTGGTTCCGAGCTTAGCGGAATCTATCAAGCTCTACGGCTCTAGATCTGTACCTCGACGAAGCGCCGCCTCTTTGCTTTGCCAAATCCTGCTCGCGGTCTTCAACCTCGCGCTCAGCACTGCCGTACAAGCTGGTATCTCCAAAGGCGCGGGAACATTCTTGCACCGACCGCTCTTCAAGACTAGCACGACACTGCCTCTTCCTTGGCAGATCGCAAAGCATATCTTAATGCTGTATACTGCGCGCGAGATTCTGACGTATTACCTCCACCGATTTGTGTTACACTCTCGGGGTAGAGTGGCAAAATTACACGGCGCGTATGCGCACTCGCGCAAGCACGCTGCCCCATATGCGCTGATGTTATACGCGGACCATCCGCTGCCTCTCTTATTTAACCGCACGTTGCCGGTATACCTGCCAGCCATGGTCATCCAACCACATCTACTTACATATTTCTTATTTACCATCCTGACGACATTAGAGGAGACGATGTCCATGTCTGGCTACAGCATCGTTCCGGGTATTATCATGGGCGGCATTGCGCGGCGCACTGCGACGCATTATGCAAGCGGCGGGCGCGGTAACTTTGGCGCTTGGGGACTGCTAGACTGGGCTAGCGGTACAAGCGTAGGCAAAGACGTGGTGGAGGATATCCACGACGAAGCAGAAAAGCATGAGATTAAGGAACGAGGCCGCAAAACTGTAAGCAACACAGGCAGTATGATACAAGATGGGATCAACGGCTTGAAAAAGGGCCGTAAGACCCGGAAGAGGAGCTTGGACTAGGGACAGTCTGAAATTTTATTTGGACCAAAAAAAGAAAAAGGGGGATATGAAGCGGTGCCATGAATTACGATCTTGGATATATGAAATACATACACTGGGAAATAATCATGTTGGAGTTTGGTGTAAAGAGCGGCCGGGTCAGGAGATATGTATAGGCATAGGCGTATGATAATATGAATGGAGATATATTTCTAGGGAGCAATGAGGAATAGGGGAAAAAAGGAAAAGAGAGAAAAAGAGAAAAAACCAACGCAGAAACGACAAGCTTTCGTAAAATCATTTGCATTATATTGCTTTGTTCTAGGCCTATCTCTAACGTTTAGGTACCTAACCTAGTGGCTAGGCTAGCTACCTGTACCTAAAGACCCTTTATTCTATTACCCCACCCTAATCGATAAAGCTTCAGGTTCGGAGTGCTTTGACTAGTGGCGTCATACCGCTAGCTGCCTGTCTTGTGATGGCGGGGCAATACAACAATTATTCGGACTCGTCACCAAATACCAAAACCAAAACTTTCCTTAAGCAAGACAGGCTCTCAAGAAACGAAACTGTTCGAGAACCCCCGTTCTTCGAAGCAGATATATATCTAGTACATAAATCAATCCGACGAAATATTCCCGATTCCCCCACAACCAAAGCAACCAACCAACCAACCAATCCAAGCAGTTCACATCAACACCATGTCAACAGCCACGAACCCCGACCCGTCCCCCGACTCCCTCGCCTTCATCCCGCTCGAAGCGAACCCAGAGCTCCTGACCTCCCTGCTGCACAAGCTCGGGTTGAGCAAGGCGCTCCAGATCCACGACGTGTACTCGATCACGGAGCCCGAGCTCCTCGCGTTCGTGCCGCGCCCCGCCCTCGCCCTGCTCCTCGTCTTCCCCGTCTCCGCCACCTACGAGTCCCACCGCCTCGCCGAGGACTCCACCGCCCCCGACTACGCCGGCTCCGGCTCCGGCGAGCCCGTGCTCTGGTACAAGCAGACCATCCGCAACGCCTGCGGCCTCATGGGCCTGCTGCATGCCGTGTCGAACGGGCCCGCGCGGGGTTTCGTCGGTATGTTCAACCCAGCCCAACCCAATCTTTTCCCTTCTCCTCTTCCTTCTTCCTCCTCCTTCTTTTTCATCTTTTTCTTTTTCTTTTTTCTTCCTAACTAACCCCCACCCTCTCCCTTTCCCACCCGCAACACAGAACCCAACACGCCCCTCGACCGCCTAATCAAAGCCTCCATCCCGCTGCCCCCGCCGGACCGCTCCGCGCTCCTCGAGCGCACGCCCGAGCTCGCGGCCGCGCACCAGGAGGCCGCGGCCCAGGGCGCGACGGCGGCGCCCGACGCCCGCGACGACGTCGACCTGCACTACGTGTGCTTCGTGAAGAGCGGCCGCGATGGTACCCTCTGGGAGCTCGACGGCCGCCGCAAGGGGCCCATCGCCCGCGGCCAGCTCGCCGACGACGAGGACGTTCTTTCCGAGAAGGCCCTGCTGTGGGGCCCGCTGCAGTTCTTGGAGAGGGGCGGAGGCGATATGAGGTTTAGCTGTGTCGCGCTGGCGGGCGCGTTGGATTAGGATATGTTAGGTTAGGTTAGGTTAGGTACTAATGGCGAATGGGGAGAAGGGGGGGTTATCTGATACTTGATTGGGAAGAGATATACATATATACTGTTATAACCCCGTTGGGCCGGGACGGGATGGGATGGGAGAGAGAAGGTTGTCGTGTGTAAGTTAAGCCGCTGCGGGTAGTGTTATGCATACCATGTGTTTTCCGGGAAAGCCAGGCTCTGTTTTCAATGGTATACAAATGAACGGCCATTAGGTACTTTAGATTCCTACACTTTGGGGTTCTCGCGGGATTGAAGCTCATAGGATTGTTTTATTGTATTTTTCGGGACGGTGTTGATATACCATTCTAGCTCTTAGTCTTAGTCCTAGAAGCAACGCCAGCAATATGAATGAATAGGGGAGGTATCCTAATGATACCATACCACGTCGGATCGAGCTGAGCCATCTTCGTCTTCGTTACATTCTAGGAACAACGCGTTTTTTCTTTCTTTCTTTTTCTTTCCTTTTTTTAAAAAAAAGAAAAAGAAAAAAGCAATCTTCATACCACACAATTCTCCTGTCTACCAGTCAAACCCCCTTTTCCCGTTCCGCACGCCATGTCCTGCATAGGTACCAGGTAACAAACCACCGTGGACAATCTTCCAGATTAGCTACCTAGTACCTAATCCAAGCCAGCTAATACGTACGCCCCTTTCACAAGCCCCCTCCCGTTTCGAACCCGGAGGAGTAAGGCATTCTTATCAGAATATGATCTGGGTCTCGTTCGCCGACAAGCTCCTGCGCGGCGTGCAAGGCGGGATCGTCTCGGCGGCGCCGAACGGCTCGAAATTGAACAGCGGGCGAGGCGTGTGCGAGACGGGCAGCGGGGTCACGATCGGCGACGTGTAGTGGTGGCAGCAGCTGGCGTGGCCGCAGCAAGGGGACTCGAGCCGCAGGGCCGGCACGAGGGAGACGGGGACGCAGGCATATAGGCCGTGCTCGTGGTACACCGGGTGCGCGCACAGCGGCGTGTTGAAACACGTCGGGGTGGTCGTGGTTCTCATCCGGCTCGGGCTGGAATTAAATCTGGATAGACGCGTAAGTTGTGGTTGATATGAAACGCAACGTGGTGTGACTTACCCTCTTCTCGACCACGGCACCGTCCTCTTGTGGAAAAGAGGTGGGTCGTCTAACTTGAGACCGAGCTTTTCGCACCACGGGGAGACGCAGCGGTTTGTCGGGGAGCGGAAGGGCGAGAAGTCCCGGGGAGGAGACGGTGCGGGCGCGGTGGCAACGTCGGGCGTAGACATGGGCTTGGTGCTGCGGAGGACGTGGCCTTGCATCACAGTCAGAGGCCAATCCCTATTACCGTCCAAGCCGTGGCCGGGAGGACGCACACCAACATCCTCGCGGCCCTCATATTGCCTGTTAGGAGCGCCAGTGCCTGCTTGTCCTCCCGGAAACCGGTACGGCGTCTGGTAAGGAAACACGTTGGCTGGAGGCTTTTCTTCTGCCGACGCGTTTTCTTCTCCCCCTCCGGCTCCGGGTGGCTTGAGGTCTATGTACCGGTGTATATGTCGGTCGATATGCGCGGCGATGTGCTCGATCAACTCCTGCTCGTTGAGGGAGTAGCTCTGGGGGTTCTGCTTTGCATTGGCAGTGGCATCGTCCGCCTCTTTCGTGCCAAGTAGTTTCTTTGCAGCATCGGTGAGGTCGTTGATAGAAGGCACTCCCTCCAAACCATCTACCAGGTCCTTCATGAAGTCGTCCGTCCCCTGTTCTTCGGGATGCTGGCATATCTGGCACCCGGGATGACGATGCGACTCGACGGCAGTTCGGCCGTTGGCGCCGGGAGGTAGGTCGGGAGGCGGTTCCGCCTCCTTGCCCTTGTTTTTCTTCCTCCCCTTCTCCAGACGGCGCTGTTCCTTGCGTTCCTTTTCTTTTTCCGCCTTGAGCTTCTTTTTCTCCTCCTTTTCTTGGGCCTTTTTCTCCTTTTCCGCCTTCTTGGCCTCTGCCTTTTCTCTTTTCGCCTTTTCCTTGTCTTCTTTAAGCTTCGTACCTTTAGGTTTCTGCAGCTCGACTATGGTGAGGATCGGCGGGCCTCGAGTAAGCGCCGGGTGGTAGTCATCATCCCTGCCAGGTGGCTCCGTACTATCTTCTGGCGCCTCTTCGTGTGCTTCGGAATGAGGATGGATGATGTTCTGGAAGACAGTCAACGCCTGTTGCACTCCGTGCGTAATCCTTTCTTGCAGCGTTTGTTCTTGCAGCGTTTGTTCTTGCAGCGTTTCTCCTCGCAGCGTTTCTTCTGGAACATCTTCTTGCTTTTGTCCTTCGGGGTCCTCATCTGATGAATTGAGCTGTCAGCTGGTCTATGATTTCATGAGGCATGAATGTAACTAGCTGGCTTCGTGTGACATGAAAACTGACCTTCAAAATGCGCCTTCGAAGGTTCCTTATGATTTTCCGGCTTGAGGGGAGTGTCCAATGGCGTTGATTCAACCTCCGCTAGTAGCGGTTCAACACGTAAATTTGTTTGAGACCCATGTGATGGCTCGGCGCTATGGGCGAGGTCATCTAACTCGGGCTCAGGAGGATCGCCTTGCCAGCTACAAACTTCATCTGACGTGCGAGCTTGATGAGGCTCTTCTTTGTGTGCCAGATCGTCTAGCTCAGGCTCAGGACTGTCGCCTCTCTAGTCGCAGTTCCCAGAGGCCTTGGCCTTTTCTGCGTTTGGTTTTTGTTTTTCTTCGATCATCATGTCCCTTTTGAGGCCAAATGAGTGGACATGGATTTTAAGATGAAGTTAAGCCCAGGAATGGGCACTTAATTTATTCGCACCAATAATGTTATATCTAAGTGTTCTGTGTAGGTTATATTTTTTTTCTAGGGTGGAATCTGGAGACTGTAAAGAGTTCTCAGCAGTAGGTGAAGAGAGGGCATTTAGACCTTCAAGACAACACTACCAACTCCGAGTAACTAGCCCAAGAGGAATTAAGCATTTTCAATTACTACTAAATATGTGTATAGGCAGGTTCTATGAACTGCATATGTGGGCTACGAGTTCTTCTATTCTTAACGTTCTCCGGCAGTTACGAGAGGTTATCGGACCTTTCTATATATTATTTAGGAAATGGCCCCTTAACGATGAAGTAATTTAAACATGCCGCGCTACCTGTATCTTAAAGTTTAAGGTAAGATGAGCCTAGACATCCACTTCCTGACGGCAGTGATTACCTCGGTCTCAATACCCGGGTTGCCATGCCACAAATGAACGAGTTAATTCATACGAATCCTGATGTTCTCGGGCCATATGGACAAGACATTTCTGTATGAGGAGTGTCAGGGGTTCTCTTGATGACAGTCATCTAAATAATGGTGTAGATGGCCCTTTCGACTTATTAGTCGGCGTATTCTCCATGATACTATTCTCTACATATGTACCAGGTAATATTAAGATTCTATACTTGTAGGATTCCACGCTCGCATCAGAATTGCAGGAAAATGCCTCGATAAGGTAACATAAAAAAGATATAGGAACATGGTACATTAGATATACTTATTAGGTAGCATTGCGGTATGTGCCGCATGATCCTACCCTACGCTCAATACCTAAACATCACGCTTTTCTACTCAGTCCCCCCTATCCGTGCATTTAGTACATAGTAAGATCAGCGAACCACGGAAACTACTTACTTAAAGAATACCTATTCCTACTACTTAATCTATACCTAATGCAATCTTACTAAGGGACCTGAACTTTATTGTACCTGTACTAGAAGCGTCAAGGTTCTCTTGTGCTTGTATCCTGCTTTGAAGTTGGAATAACACATCCCTCGGGGATTTTCCAAAAACGATTCGATAGCGTTCAACGTAGCAAGCGACTATGTACAAAATCGGATCTGAGGTATAAATTAAATAATACCAGCCAGTGGACTTGGGGTATCCTATCATGTAGTACCTACATACCTGGTACCTTGCATGCTTCCTTGAGCCTTGAGGCCAACATGAGTCTAATGTGACCACGCGCTAGAGCTAGGTAACCATGTACCGGGCGTCCTGGCGTCGCAGTCCACGTGGAAGCTGCGATAATATCCCTACCTAGGTAGCTTAGGATCCATGGCAAACGGGGAAATTTTGCGGTCTGGCTCGTTTATCTGAGGTTAAACCCGTGTCTCACCCTTTAAGACATTTTCATGTTTGACAAGACACCACCTGATGTTGCGACTTGAAGAAAAGCCTCAGTGATTGCTCGAAGTCATCCACTTGAAATAAGCTGTTGGGAGAACAAATTGTTTATTCGGTTGAGACATTCCATGCCAACAGCGGTTACTCGGAACAACCCCTCCGAGTAGAGGGATCCATCCCAAGGGTATGGTACAATAGATACCTTACCTTCCAAAGATGTGTTACATTAGGTAGTAGACATTTGGATTCTGGGGTTATCGATGCTTGCTTTGATCTTATTGGTCTAATAATATTTCGCTTAGATTTACGTGTTGTACCAGATATCAATCTAAAGGCAGCTAGGTAACTTAACTCAGGGGGTTCTTAGAGACTAGTTAGCAGAGAATAGAATCCATTGTTCTGCATTAGAGGCCATAGTACATAGTAACACCTCGGGTTCACCGAGTCTAGAGCCTAACGTATAGACTATCTAGCATTAGAACAATGAGACGGTACGAATCACGATATCTCTTGGTGTTGTGTTGTGAGTAGGTTTTTCCCTTCGCATCGTCATGTAGTTGGCGTTTGATTGTCAGCTGAAAATTGAAAACCTAGGGTACAAGTAGGCCGAAAAAAGCAAGTTGATAGAGAAAACAAACGGGCCGAGAGCACAGGTCGCCGGATTATGCCTCATTAAAATTACCGTGCAGAGGGCTAGGTGCTTGGAACTATTTAGACCAGGTATGATTTAGACCAGGTATGGTAAAGACAACAACCATAGCACACGGAAATATGGTTAACTGTCGGCATATACGAAACTTTACGTCTTCTTCAGCTAAACCACTTCTGAGAAGAATTCGAGCGTTTGTTTAATAGTACACTGCAGAGTTTACAAGGATGATGACGCTACTATGTACAGATCCCTCCTTTCTCTGAATCTAAATACCTAGGTACCTACACCCCAGCATCTTGGACCTTGTCATTGAACCAAGTCCTGTAATACAAGGAGGTACTTCCTAAATTAGGTTGGCTACGCGTAGACGGAATGATTAGCATGTGTACTAGCAGGTATCCTTTCGGCCATAAGGTAAATGAACCGTCAAGTTTTGTGTAGATCATAGAGGTATTAGCGTTTTAGCGTATTAGCGATATGATATATGCCCGACTTTAGGAGGGATGTTGTTTACAAACAGCATACAGAGCATCGCTCGGGCGATAAACGGCTAGTTGCACTGGTCAATGGCCCTTAGGTAGGTACCTCTATGTGCAATCCGTGGTTTCGTAACTATCCGTGTGCCGGGAACCAATAGGTTTCCATAGGACAATTGAATGGGGAACTTGTGGGGGTATCTTCAAAGGAGTAAAGTGGGTCACCATGGACCATCGTGAAAAAAAAAGAAGGAACCTTGGAAGCAATGCACTTACAAACGCAAGGTACGAGGGAGGTGCATAATGTCGCTATAGATTAGGTAGTTCAGGTACTTATTACTAAGTAATTTACCTTAGGTGCTTAAGCTCCTACTTAACTGGCCTAAGATTAGTACAGGTATAATTAAAAACTTACAAAACCTAACAGCCCTACACCCACTCCTAAGAAATACAACTACTAAAGTTGTGAAGTGTAAGGTGTGAGGTGTGAGGTCGTCATCTTCTTTCGGCTTTAAAGTTATCGATCTGGGTTACCTTAGGTACCTACCCTTGCATCACCCTGTTTAATGCGTCTCGACTCATCCTTTTACAATTATTATTCTCTTTTACATACGCTCCCTCGCTCTTCAAGCTTTTCTTCCTTCTTTTCTTTTCTTCTCTCTTCTTTTTGGGTGCTTTCCCCGTCTTTGTTTTCCCGTATTTCTTCACTTCTCTAATTCATATTATGTGGTGGCGGCAATAGCAGTTATTTCTCTGCTTGATCCTAATGGAGGCCCGAGTCCTTAAAAGATAATTACGGAGATAAGAGAAGTAAGGGTCGAATATTTTACGGGTATTGTTAAACTGGCTTTCACTTCTCTTTCATACGAATATCTCTCAACACGACTCGACATTCAAGATGGGCTGGTTGAGTTTTCTATCCAGAAAATCTACCAATAACCTGAACAATGATAATGATCTTAAGGCGCAAGCTTACCACGAGACTGTAGCCGCAATCCCTCCAATCCGCGGTATGAGCCGAGTCTCCATCCCAGCAATCTGGTTTTAAATCTCCGAGCTGACCTATCTCACTCAAGGCACCTATCCGGTCATTGGCAATGGACCCAGCATTTTGGAGAGGTTCCAGAAATCTCATCCACATCTTGCGAGTGACGGTTATTTCAATGACAGTTTCAACGACAATTCCGCACCGCCTCCCATAGTTCCTCGGGTTCTCGACCGTCCCAATACCGCTCCTACCCAATCACCTGGAGGTTCGTCCCGGCCAAGATCCCGAGGAACTTCATTAAAGCCATTAAGAGAACCGCCTAAAAAGCGACACCGTCCCTACAAGCTTCCGCCAAAAGTATCAACCGAGCGAAACGAAGAAAGCACAGCCACCAGGTCCATCCATAGCGTGCCATCACCAAGTTTTCCTCGTGACCGTAATTCTTCAGTTTTTAGTGCCGACTCGGAATCAACACGAAGGTTTGTTGACCTACTGGAAGCTCAATCATTTATTAAGCCGTTAGACTTTTTTGGTCGCGTGAAGGCTACCGGTACTAAGGATTACGATGAGGATGTCGCGGATCGCAACACCAGCGAGAATGGATCCAACCTCAACTCACCGCAAGCTGGAGAATTCTTCAGAAAGAATTCAGCCCCAAGCATTCGAGGTGGTGAGGGCGAGCGTGAAAGGCCCCGTTCGTCAAGGAAAAGGAAGTCCACGGGATACGGCTCGAAGACCAAGTCAAATACTGCTAGCGTTCGGGCCGCATCACCTGCCACGCTATCATTGCGCGCATACGAAGATGACCCAGCGAGTGAAACAGCACTGACCGAAAAGCCTCCTCGTCGGAGTTCCTTACATTCATACGCTACTTCGGCTTCGATAGAGCGACCAGGTAGCGCTTCCACGGGAAGGAGAGTCAAGGGGCAAGGATCGGACTACTTTCCCGAGTCCCTTCGAGAGCTAGCTCGTGCGGCTATCTGGGAAGATTTCGAGTATGATCAGTCTGTGGATTTAGACCTGAGGGGTAACCGGGCGCACTCAACCTTATCTCGAAAGATATCTATGCAAAGACAAGAATCTGATAGCGATCTTTCCTACAACGCAAACCCCAGTTTTAACCCGCCCCGATCTGTCAAAACCGATCAACCTCGATCTCTCTCAGACTCTCCTCAGCGCAGAACCATATCACACACATCGTCGACTATCAATAAGCCACCGTCAAAGACGGCGAGCCTAAGGACTCTCCATTTGCCCTACCGTGGCGAACTAGTTACCGAGAGTTACTCGCCAAGCTCACCGAGTGTTGAGGATCCGTACAGAAAAAACAGTCACAATTCACCGAAGCGCTGCCGCGGGCCCATAGCTGACTTTAATAACTCACCGTCCGAGTTGACATTTCCAGCGGTAATCAGTTAGTGAACCACCTTTGCCCGTTTTAAAACCATATATCCAGTTTCCTAACAATTTGTCTAGACCCAAAAACAATCATCGGTCAAGCTAGTGACCAAGACGGATTAAACCGTCGCTTTGGAAACGGAAGTATTGTCTCCAGATCTCTAAAAAGTCTTAAACAATCCGAGATTGAAGATATAATTCCTGAACGAGGCAGCAGTATTCGTCGTTCGTCATTGAATTCCGAGACGGCAGGTTCAACATTGAGCTCGAATCCATTCAGACCTCAGTCCGGTCATACTACTAACACTTCAGTTGATCTTGCCCCTCGCGTGTCGCTACCCGAGGCCGCTGGGCCAGATGAGTCGGCTTGTTCACCTGGAGAAAACTGCGTAGCACTGGATAATGATACAGAAGTTGATGCCCCGGAGCCTTCGTATTGCGATATTGGCCCTGAAATGTTGGTAGGATCTCTTCTCAACTTCAGTCGACAAGAACCATCGACGAATTTCGTTGTCGACGAGGATGCCTCTTCGGTTGACTCTTTTGACGCTCCTAAGCGTTCTGCAGGGGAATTTGAGAAAGATCTTCTCTTCCAGGGTTACGGGCTAGAAGGCGCTCAACTACCAGGACTCCCGGCTTCGCCAGATGTGACGGCGAAGTCTAATAAACTGAAGCGATCTCAGCCATCACAAACTTTTTTGGCCCCCAAGGATCCCTTTCATCTAAATTCTTTTAGCTCTACTAAGTTTGAGGATGCACTTTCTTCTACCTTTAGTTCCCAATACTCAGCCTCATCTTCGAAGCATAAGCCTCTAGCTAGGTCGTCTCGCTTGCAGGTACCAAAATTTGACTATACTGATTCTGAACGGGGTCATGATTCGGAGCCCGAAAACGAGTCTGAGGACGAACTGAATTTTGATATTCCCTTCAAGCGCCCAAGCGAGCACCGATATAGCTCTTGCGATGATATACGGCACTATGGAACCACTGCCCGACTGTTCGAGGATGACGATGATGATGACTTGCCCGACACAGCTGTGGTTGCGCGGCTGCTAAGGGAAGCCAAGTCGAAACAAAGGGCAAGCAGCGCCTCGTTACGCAAGTCGATGGGAAAGGGCAAAGCGCCTGATTTCCGCATCCCTAGAATCGAGCTTGATGATCATTCAGATATTGGGTTTTGAAACCCGCCTAGATCCAAAATAGGAGTTGGCTAAGAAGCAAGCGATAAATAAAACGTTGGATAGGCATGCGGCAAGAGATTCATAATATCTGTTGTCCCTTTTCATGCCTCACCACGAAGGCCGCGAGGCACCAGCATAATTTCCCACGTTATGCATACGATTGTAATGATGGTTTATCATGTTTTAGAAAACTGTTTGGCGCAAACGGCGATGAAGTTAAGTTGAGTTATGTGGCACTGTACGCCCGGCGAGGCTTGAGCCCTATTTTATACCCCCAGAGTGCCGTTGACAGGATAAGATAGGATAAAATACCTAGGGTGAATGAACAGACGGACGGATCTACTAATACATGGTAGATCCCAATGGGAAAGGGGGTTGTCTTGTACCTTACATGGTTGTCATAGTCGAGGCAGGATTCTATTGTAGGTACTAAGGCAAACAGCACTTGCGTTAGGTTATGTCTGGTTAGGTGGTTGAGATATCATCCCGACTTGGCAAAAGACATAATACATTATCCCTTTTTAAAAGATGCCAACGATAGCGGTGCTGTTCGCTTTTTTTTTTTTTTTTTTTTTAGAAGTCGCCTGTGTAAAGTCTACATTTGTGAAGACCTCGGAAGTTCGCGTGGTGGGAACGGGTAGCTGAGACATGGTTGGGAGATACGCGCGAAAATGGTAGGTACCTTAGGTACCTATACTTTATGAAACAAGGAATGCCTCTTCTTGACAGAGAAGCCTGTGATGGACGACTGTGTTGCATTCCCTCCCACTAAAAGGAATAAATTCGATGAGGGCACCGCAATAATATTATTTACTACTAGACAATCAATCTAAGTTCATCTCGAACTATCGATTTTAGAGCCAGAACTATAGCGCAATCTCTATCTACACGTACCACAAGATAGCGAACGAAACGTGAACTACCTAGTAACCAGCATTGCAAAACACCCGTGAAGTATATCTCCCCTGATTTCTCCTCAAACAGCTGTAGCATGCTCTTGGATACCCGAAGCCTCAACTTCCTCAGGGGAGCAGCTACATCCAAATCTCTGCTTGTACTCCTCCACGCTTACCTCTAATAAAGTACTCATAATCTTCTTAGCCGCCGCAATCTTGGCGTAACGGCCACTGGCAGCGACGGCGTGCTCTCGGACTTGACCGTGAATTATGACGCCGCATAGTACCTGTGCGTGGCCTAATGGACTGCTCTCGCCGGAAATTTCTTCGATCATAAGGCGCCAGTTCGCACAGTGGAAGTGAAGCTGCAACATGTTCGCTAAGAAAGTCACAGGGTGTCGGTTAGCGAACGTATCGTAGATGTGCATATCCTCGAAGTATGGTCGCATGTGTGTGTTGAAGAATCGCTGGACTTGACTGTAGTCGTACTTGCTGTCGACAAAAAGAGCACCAACGTACGCCTCCACAATATCAGGGAGTGACTTAGGCGGCTTTTGAACCTCAACCCAGAAATTCTTTGCATAAGAAGCGCGTCCGAGGTTGGCCGATTCGGCCTCCTCTTCTGCTATCCGCTGGGCTTCTGTTATAACAGCCACGTATTCCGTGATTTCTCTCTGTAACCCTCCAGACACGGAGAGCATGTGCGTTTGTAGGCCAAGGGAGACACAGAGGCAGCCCAGAAATTGATTTGATACCATCGCCATCTTGTGTTCGGTCAGCCATTGGGGATCCGCATTTGGATACCGATGGAAGAGGAAGTCAACACAGATCATGTCGAGTAGCGCATCTCCGAGAAACTCCAATCGCTGGTAGTTTGGGATGCGCTCGTACATAGTACCGTATGACGGGTGCATAAATGCACTGCGTAGTAAACGGGGATAGGTAAATTTGTAACCAAGCTTCTTTTCGATCTGCCTAGCCACTTCACGTTGAACTGCCGTTGACTCGGCGCTTTGCCACTCAGGGATGTTATACTCTGCGTAATAATCTTCGTACTTCATCAGCTTATGATTTTGATGATTGACGAACTTGCTAACGGCCTGGATAGCCATGTCGAAGTTATGCTGTTCATACGTCGTCAAGTAAGCTGCCCCAATTAGCGCCTCGCATACATCAGCAATTGACTTGTCCCCGAGCATATGGGTTCCTTTGTCGTCCTTTGCCCTGAGGCTAGTATTCTGCTTTCCCTTCAGTAAAACAAGCCCATCAGGATACCACGCCCGTCTGTTGAAACCTTTAGATCGAATTGACTCTTGTAACCCCAGGTCAAGCGCGTTGTTAAAGAGGTTCTTGTTGCAAATTAGTAGCATGCGGTCGACGTGGTACTGAAATTCGTCGCTATCAGGGATCCGGGAGAACAGAGCAATTGTTGTGCTCATCTTTAAGAACGAATCACCAAGAAATTCAAGACGCTCGTAATTTGTCCCCATGCCTCGCTGAAGATTTATCTGCTCTTCCGAATGCTCTTCTGTGTTGTCGCTATCTTTGGTCATCGCCTCGAGAGCAAGGTCGGGACGTATGTCTAAGGCCAGAGACTTGCAAGCTTCCAGTACAATCAGATTAGTTTCAAGTCGGTATATTATTGCAGGTAGATTGTAAGCCATGGCAACCACATCGACCGGTAGCTTAGTTGGTTAGACTTGACAAAACACAACGCGGGTGGTCAGAGGAACTTACGACAGATAATTTCAAGGTTTCAAAGACGAGGAAACACTTTCGTTCCATATCATAAGATTTGTCTAGTTCATCGAGGAGATTCCGTCGCAGTGGAATATACTCGGCCTCTATGACAGGCAGGTCGTGCCGAATTGTTAATCTAGAACGTGATTTAGACCACAAGCTAATACTGAAATTCCAAATATCGTTGGGCGCGTTTCGAGTAGCTTTCATACCAGCCTGATTCTTGCAAGCACCCGGCGGTGCTGGGTCTGTCGGCTTGAGGTCGTGACGACGGCAAACCGTATAGAATTTACGCGAGCCATCGTGAGGGTCAATAACAAATCGTTCTTTGAAAAAGTCGTCTGGCCTATCTTCCAATTCAATGTATTTTGCTGTACTTTGGGTGAAAGAAAGACATTCCCAGTCGATTAAGGCGCGAATGTCAACAGAAGTGTTGGTAAAATTGAAGTTGTGGGGGCATATAAGGGGTGCAAAGAAATAAGGCATTATTTCTGGCTCCGAACGGTACTCTTTACTGAATACATCATCGAACACCCTGAGGGTGAATGCATTGACTTTCTCAATATCTTCGGGCGTTGTCTTTAAGGTACGGGGAAGAGGTATACATTCCACGTCTGAGGTACGCTGATGGTCGAAAAATAGTGGAAATTTGGCTATTTGCGGGAGCGGATACCTAGTTAGAATAGCCAGAGGCCTCGAAAACCTCGCCATTGCTTCTGGAGATGCGAGCTTTAGAACTGTCACATATAAGCTCTCTGTTGGGCCTCGTCTATTCCAAATCTCGGGCTTTATCCGCATGGGATAATCGGATTGCTTCTTCGAACTGATGGCCAGGTGGGCATTACGCATAGCGGGGAGCTTCTTCGTAAACGTAGATTGTAAGTAGTCGTCGAGGTACTTCTTTTTCTTTAATTTCAGACACATCTCGAAAGCGGCTGAGCACTTGGCAACTTGCTTGGAATCTGCACGTCGCCCTACTGCACCTTTAATCGGAGAAGTGTCCGGTAGAAGAACTTCACATTCGAATTCTCGGCCGATGGCCCTTATTATATATTCCGGCGTATAGACAGTGTCAAGAGGACGTGGTAACGTTGAGACAAAGTTGAGCAAGATTGTTAGACTGCTTTTATACGTTAACTTAGCTTGTGTCGAAGGCACAACGTATACACGGTGATTTCTCTCCTGGGATAGGAAATAGTCAATGTTATAATCATTTCCAGAAATAATCCGGTCTTCAGATAATGTATTATAAAATCTGCGCAACCTTGCTTCGCTGTCTTCATGGTCAAAGATGGACTGTAATTGAGCGGTATTGGTGCACTCGACCATATGGAAGAATTTGGAGCCCTTGCGCCGAGCTCGACCCCTCGACTGGATGTACTGAATCATCGTTTTGCAAAGGTCAAATCGGATGATGATATTGCAGTCAGGCATGTCAATACCTTCTTCGCCAACGCTGGTGGCAAAGATACAATTTAAGCCGCCGTTTCTGAATTGGTGCATGGTCATAAACTGCTCCTTCAGTGTCATTCCCAAGTCACTAGAATCGGTACCTGCTCCTAACTCCAGGACTGTTAGTAAATCTTATCGTATTTAAGAGCCGGCCGGCTTACCAGTACGCCCGCTTTTATGTCAAGCATATTTAAACTCGGTTGCTTGATAAGATCTGCCAACAACAATGCAGTAAGGCGTTGCTCTACGAATACGATGCACTTGTCCCTAAGTGGATCTAAATGCTTCTGGAGAGCCCTAAGAAGTGATTCGATTTTGTTGGATAGGTATAGGGGGCTTCGTTGAGGTTCGGGAAGTGAATGGTCCGTTAGTATTTTATACGCGTCTTGAACTGCCGATCTCTCAGCGTCGAGAATGGCCATAGGAATGTGTGTTTTGCGGGACATTAAATTCCTCTCTGTCTTGGCTTCTAGTCTCTGAGCTTCTTGTTCGGTTAAATATAGTTTCCACACACGGTCTGCACACCAGCGACCCATTTCTGCAGTACAAGCCCTGGAATAGACGAATAATCTTTTCAGAGCATCATTGTGCCCGACCACTTTATATAATTTCTGCCAAAGTGGTGTTTCAAAGGGCTCTGGAGTCACACCAAACTCGATGACATTCTCGGTAGGCCGACTTATAGACGATTTCGTAAAGACTGAGATATCTGCTACAGTCGCTATCTCGCTATGCAAGAGGCCCTCGAGTTTGGCGGCAGCAGACGTTGGGTCTGTTTTGGCGTCAACGGGGGACGCAGTCATACCTAGAATTCGTGGGCGTCGTTGCTGTTCTTTCTCTAGTGCTGCGTAAAATTCTTTGATGATTCTAGCGTACGGATGATTCTTCTTGGTATGGTGAGCCTCATCAAATATTAGAAGGTTGATGCCCTCCATCTTGATGAAAGCATGATGAAGACACGAGAGAAGTATCTCGGCTGTGCAAACTATAACCATAGCTTCACTCGTCTTCTCCTTCCAGAAGTCGTGATTTAAGATGGAGTTCCCGGAGACACCATAAAATCGCTGGACAGGATGATCAAGATTTGCCTTGAGAACTTCATATTGCTGAAGAACTAAGGCAACTTTATCGACCTAGGTATTTATGTGTCAGTACATTTTGAGAAGTACACGCGTCGAATTGAGGTACCAAAAAGAATGATATTCTCGGCGGCTTGCCGGCGCATCTGTCTTCTAATTCCTGCTCGACGGTATGGCGAAGGAGAAGAGCGGCAATAAGCGTCTTTCCGGTTCCTAAGACACTTCTCAGTAAGGGCTCCAATCGTACGGCATACATCTATAACAGAAGGTCATACCAGTATCCAGGACGGCGATTATGTTTTTCTGCTTAGCTCTTTCGAATAGTTCAGTTTGGTATTCCCTTGGGCTAGAGATTATTTTTTCGCTCTCTGCCTCTCGCACAAGCAGATTCGTGGATTTATCTTCGTCCCTAATAACTGAGCTGGATATAGAGCTGTAGATCTTCTCTTGTTGATCTCTCAAGAACTGGGAAAACTTCAAGCTGTCAAGCGTCTTACTTTTTGCTTGGGGTTGAGTGACTGGCAACGTAGAAGTATCGTCCTCTGAGCCAGAATCTGACCCAGAGTCTGACGGAGGCATTTTTTATGAGGACGAGGATAGAATGATTCGGGCGTTTTAGATTGATGGAATAATCTACACAAGGACCTTCATTTGTAGGATCATGGGTAGGACCTAGGTACCTAGGTAGTAATCAAGGATATGCGTGCCTGTGTAGGGAGTTGTGATTGTGTCAAAAAAGAAGAGGAAAGAGTATGATAGAAAATAAAAGGTGTTGCAACGAACCAGGAATAACAGCCTTCGACGCAAGTCGTGACTTCCCCTATTGCTAGTTTCAGATATGCAGTTTCAAGGAAACAACCTCTTGGAATAGATAAGACAAAGAAAACCACTCTTTCCCTAACTGATACCTACCTCCTACCTGTATGAATTATATGCACTTTAGGTAGGAGGTACATAGTACTTGGTGGCTCGTCGATACCTTATCTAGGGAGTGACATAACGCCGTTTGCGCCTTCCACAGCATGAGGTAGGTACAACAGGAAGCATGATTGAAATGGTAATTGCGATCATATCAAACACAACACGGCATATATCTCCTTAGCTACCTAGTAGACAGCCTTGCCCTAGCCGCAATTATGTACCATGTAGCTTGTTAATGATGGCGTGCTCTACCTCACTTATACTAGACACATGGGTTAGGTGTAAGGTATGATAACGAATAGCTTTATTATCTGACGGTTTGCTTTCCCGTCAATGCTTGTTTAATCCTACAACCATAGTCAGGTTAAGAAAAGAGTAGATATATAAATCTATTGATATTGATGGTAGATGCAATCAGGTGGTTACAGTACTCGGTGTGATTCTATTTGAGAATACACCTGATAATGGAATATTGGATAAGTACCTAGGTAGCTAAGGTCTAGGTATTTACCTATCCAGTTGATCTGAAGGGACCGTGGCCCACTTTTCATAGCTACCAAATCGACCTGTCGATTACCTGAAGCTAAGGTCCATACTTAGAACCCTGCTATGACGGCAACTGACGTTTTGCTTTAATCAGTTCACCAATCTCCTGTCTCCTACCAACATCTAATGACACGGCGAGTTATTGAATATATCTGTCAAACGGTAAAGGGCCTTGAATTCACCTGAGGCATACAATTTATTACCGCTAACTGCTTACCTATATTTTTGTTGGATAGATAACTCTCATTTCTTGCCAACTTCCACCACCTCTTTCCTATATTATTGGCGATCCAAAGTTGCAATGAGTGAGGAGCCAAGGACCTTGAAGTCCGTCTTCCAAGCTGCCGAATCGAAGCGAACAGCTTTGGAAGGCACTTATGAGACGAGCTCTCCCACTTATCGCCAGGATCTTGCCGACGCTTTGAAGCTATATCAAGAATGCAACCAGATAATTAACAAGATCTCACTATTCAGTTCTAATGAAGGGCTCGAGGATATTGCTACGTCTGACCTTCCGTACCTTCTGGTCAACTATCGCATAGCCGAGCTTGTTCAGAAGATCTCAACACAATCACCCATGGAAAGAAAGGCTGCTTTGAACACGACCCGGGAAGCATATGAGAGGTTTTTACACCTTCTCGACAGTTACTCGATATTATCTCCATCGGACAGCAAGCTGTTCACTGAATATAATGAAGATCCCTCTGCCTTCTCCACCATATCTACCTCGGATCCAGCAGCTCGGCGCAATGCCAAGATTGCTAATTTCAAGGCAGAAAAAGAGTTGAAGAAGAAGCTAGAGTATATGCGAAATTCTCCGCGATATCTAGAGGATGGGGGAGATGAAGAGGCTGTTCGCGAGCTCTATCTTACGAACGTTGCTTTCTTTACCCACATGGCGTTTCAAGGCTTGGAGGGAATCAACCGAGAGGCGGAAATATTAGCGCAAGCGCCAAGCCCCTTGACGTCGCAGTCAGCAACAGTTGAAGACGACGACAGGCGGCGCAGAGAAGCGCAAAATAATGATGGTTACTCGGATAGATTAGACGCCCCTTTGAGCAGTCTCCAGTCCTCGGGTGGGGGTCCACTTCTCAGCAAACAGGGAAAGCCCCTACGACCATTCACTCTCACATCTAATCGGCAAGAGCTCCAGAGAGGGGTATTCCGTCCGGGTCATAATCTCCCTACTATGACTATTGACGAGTACCTGGAAGAAGAACGAAGACGAGGGAATATCATCGAAGGTGGTGGAGAAGCCAGTTTTAACAGGCCCGAACCGGATGAAGATAATATGGAGAAGGCAGATGCTGAGACTATGAAAGCTAGAGAATGGGATGAATTCAAAGAGGCCAATCCTCGGGGAAGTGGAAACACCTTGAATAGGGGTTAGAGGTAGATATTAACAGGGTATGCCTACCTAGGTACCTAAGGTAGTAAGTAGTAAAATACCTTATAAGGAGTACAATCACTTCTTTACTCACCTGAAATATGTCAATTTAGACATTTCCGTTAGGAACTTCACAACTGATTAAATTTCATATATAAACCATGAGAAAAAGGTGCAAAAGTACAAAAGGTTGTTGAAAAGATGGGAAAGTCACTGCTTTACACTGCTTTACACCGTATATACCGTATATATACACCTATATAGGTTAAACCAATACAGTATCGATTATCACTATAAACGAATTTAGACTTCGCGCTAAATGGAAGTACCAAGGTATCAACCAGCCTTATCCGCGTTCAATTCCAAACCGTCCAAGGCTGAAGTGACGCTTCATTCAACTTCCTTTTCAACTTTCAAACCTCGAGTTCAAGCATTTATTATCCTATCAATTTCGGTAACCAATTATCAACGGTAATAGACCTGAATAGGTCGCCTAATAACAATGGCTTCCACCGAGCAAGACCCGCTCCTTTTGCTCCGCCAGTCTATCGCGTCTGGCGGCGCAATCTTGCCAACCGCGTCCAGCGACGTCTCAGCGCAAGAAGTTCCCCTTTCGCAAGCGACGCATCTCACCTTCTCCTCACCCTCCCACATCTCCCTTCCTATCGATACCCAAACCCGATTCACATCCAACGATACCCTGGTAGATCTGCGCAGTATCTACATCGCCTGGCTGAAGCGAGAGGTCGCAATTCCCGAGTACAATGCCTCTGTGTCGAAGCTCAACGAGGAGCTCGGAGACAAGGGACAGGTCCGCATGCTTGCCTTTGTTGAGCGGCTAGATCTTATCACATGGCTCGAGGGAGCCAGCGAAGAGTGCGAGTACATCAAGCCGCTGGCCGGAGACAAGGATGGCTCGACCTCTACTGCTGCTGCAGCCCTTGCCTCCAAGGGTGCCGCAGCTCCTGCAATTGGTGCGAAGCTGGGGAGATCTGGAAAGGGTACCTTAGACCCGAGACTCGCTGTTATCTATAACAGTGAGCGCAAGATGGGCGACCGAAACAGCGTTCTTAGAGGGATCAAGCCTACGGTAAGATCTTGCTATCTTTCTCCTCATCAGACACAAGCTAACGTTTTCGTAGGACTTTTCACATGTTCGAAAGCTATCTGCGCCCTTCATGTCCAAGAAGCCCCAACAAGCTCTACCCACTGCCATATCCAATAATCCGTCATTGGCCACACACAAGAAACCTAGACGACCCGATCCCATCATCCTACTTTCGCCTTCCGCCTCCTCTCTCCTCCGCATGACTAATATCAAGTCTTTCCTCGAGAATGGCCAATATGTCCCGCCTAACTCGCTGTCTGCTAGTTCCAGCACAGGTGCAAGCATGCTGCATATCAACCGCTTAATGAAGGACATCGACCCAAATCGACCTATGAGGTTTATTCTAGTCGAAGGTCCTGAACAGTTCAAGCCGGAATACTGGAATCGGGTGGTTGCAGTTTTCACCACCGGCCAGAGCTGGCAGTTCAAGAATTACAAGTGGAGCAACCCCAGCGAGTTGTTCCGTCACGTACCCGGTATCTACGTCGGTTGGCGAAACGAGAAACCCCCCGAGTCTGTTCGCAACTGGGGACACAGAGTAATGAGCATCGGCATAGACCCCTGGAAGGAGTCGGCTCATAACACGATTGATTCGAGTCGGTGGAGGGATCACGAGATCGTGGAGCATATCTGGAAGGCCATCGAGGGAAACATGAGAAGCAAGGGTTGGAGACGAGACCAGGCTCCTTCATCGATATGAATAAGGTTACATGCGAAGCACGTAGATAACCGTGCTTGCCCTTTTATATCAAGCCACCGAAGAGACGCCGGCGCCTTTAGCCGAAGCCATAGTGCAGTACGGCTAACATACCCTTAATACTCACAATACCTGGTCTGCGATACGGATCCGATAAGAACCACAGACCGGTTTTGTATTCCGCCCTTTTTCTGTACCACTAGACGCAGGGGATGATGACATTGCTTCATACCGAGAAGTGACCAGGGAACGGTCCACTACAAATTGCCGGCGTTAGGGTTAAGAGTTGCACAGCAAAATCATATGAACAAAAGATGTCTGCTTGAGTATAGCGAGGCCTTGGTAGCATAGAGCTGGAACAGCTTAATGAAAATGATTCCATGAGTGTATTCAGCCCACCACTTAATCTTATATGCTCATTGCGGATATGCTAGATGAGTGTTCAAGAGAAAAGGCATTCATAATGGCCGGAGTAAGGATAAGAAAGACGCAGTCGTAAGGGTTTTGAGAGGGATTCTCAGATGGGTGAGTAATTAATGTATTGATATGGAATAAATTTGACACAATGCCGATTACCCCCAGGTATTCAGACAACATTAATGAACCTAAAAAAAAAAAAAAAAAAAAAAAAAAAGCTATGATCAAAATGAGTTTGAGAGTTCCGCGGAGACTAAATAGGAGCTTGAGCCAAACTAAGGGCAGGGCGAAGATACGCGAGGGGAAAATGGAGGAATGGCCATGGCACACACGATAGTCAGTCAGGACAGTATTGAAGGAACGTAAGTATATTAGGATTGAGCCCCGAGACCCAGGTCAAGGATTTTCGAGGCGTACTGTACAGACCTAAGCGAACAGAAGAGAAACCAGCAACAACGCCCCGTTTTCCAGTTCCAATTCCAATCTATACCAACCTATCCGTCCATATAGCCCTCCCCCCCTAAATCTCTCTACCCTGCCTTTTTTTTTCCCCCTTTCCCACGCAAATACAATACACAACAACAAGAGAAAAGAAACCGGTAGTAGATGATAAATAAATAACAAAGGAAATTTTCTCTGATAGAGTAAGTGTCTGGAAAAAAAGGAGAGGAAAAGAAAATAGACATGATATTCCTGATTTTGTGCGAACGACGCGGGGAGAACTCTACGGCCCGTTCGTTTCCTCGATAACTGATCATTTCTTTTCTTGGCCTCTCTTTCTTTCTTTCTTTCTTTCAAGCGTGCCACACACACATACACACACACACACACACAGGCCAGTGTTAAACCCCTTTCTTCGTAGAAGTAGAGAAGCTAGGACAGACCAACGCCTAGCAGCATGCCCGATCGATCGTTCGGTTCCGTTCGTCCTTTACAAAACGGCAAGACCCAACAGAGCGCCGAACAGCGCGGCCGCGAAGCCCGAGCTGCCGGCGGCGCCGGAGACCACGATGCCCGACGGGACCGGGGACGGGGTGTAGCCGGCGGTACCGGCGGGCGCGTTCGGCGTGTTGGAAGGGTTGTTGGCGACGGGCGCCGCGCCGCTGGTGCCGACGGCCGGGGGAGAACCACCTTGGGCGGGGGCGGGGTGGTTGGGGGTGCCCGGCGCGGCGGGGGTGCCGGGGGCAGCCGTCTCGCCGGGGTACGTCATGCCGGTGGAGACGGCGGGGACGACGACGGCGGGGGTGACGCCGGGAGGGCAGAGGGAGGAGGTCAGGGTGTGGACGGCCTTTGAAGAAGATGAAGAGTTAGATTACGTAGGTATAATTGCGTATATGGAGGTATGGAGGTATGTATGTGTTTTTTTTTTAGGAGAGGGAGGAGAGTGGGAAAGGAGGAGATATGTGCTACTTACGGTGGTGATAGTGCAAGGGCAGTCCGTAACGGTGACCGTCTGGCCCTTAGTAACAGTGTACTGGATGCCGTTGTAGGTCATGGTCGTAGCCTCGGGGCAGACGGTGGTGAACTGGGGCACTACGACGGTGGTCGGGACAGTAGTGTTGTAGTACTGCCAGACGGAGGTCGGGGCGGTGTTGTTGACGGGGTAAGCAGGGTATCCCCCAGCGGTACCGGCGGTGGAAGCAGCGGCGCCAGTCACGGCAACCAAGCCAAAGACAGCAGCAGTCTTGTGGTACATCTTCGTAGGTGCTGATGCGGTAGATTCGGAGAGAACTAGGTGTGGTACTGAGGCAGTATTATATTAAGTGTCTTTCACGAATAGAAGGATTTTCCACAATCTCTTAAGGCGAGGGCTTTAAGAGCGAGTGTCTAGCGCAACAGTTAAACGAACGACGAGGAAACGAGCGAGCGTATGTGGATGGGATGAGAAAAGTTCAGGGGAAATTCATGAGCTAGGCGAGGGGACGAGGCGATCTTTAAAGAGCCCAGGGAGAAGGGGAACAAAGGGCGCTGACTTAGCTCGGGAGAATCTGTAATTAGACACGCAATACTCGTCAGCCACCAATAGATTTGTTGCAGAAGCAGAGACAAAAACAAAAGCAGTCGTTGTATTCCTCCCCCTCGTGTCTTGGATTCGTCTCTTGGAATGCATCCGACACCGCGATCCAAGCCCGCTTCGATTTCGACCTCATTCCATTCCCCCTTAAGCTCGGAGGGACGACTGCAACTGAGAACAACCCATGTATACGTATTGGCTCACGTTCCAATTGGTTTCACTGAGTAGAATCTTCCTACTTCAAAATTTGATTTTCATTTTTGAGCACCGCAGCGGGTAGCTTGCCAGCTTTAGTCTAGCCAATTTTATGTACAGGGTGCCGGCAGTTTGGCCGAAAAACGCGTCCACGACTGCTCATTGTTGTTGCGACTTATAAATGCTCCGGTGATATAGGGCTATGGAAAACCCCAAGACCACCCTCTCTATCCCTAGAAAACGCTGTGATCATTATAAACTCTAGAACTGCGACATAATACTTCCTAACATCGTCGGCCCTAGTTCACTTGCTCATTGACGCACCCCGAGCTTTCCGCTGTGCAGATGGATAGCCGATGGGAATCGTCTTGCGCAGTAGTTAGTCCATATCTCGTACCAAAAGCCTCCTTATATACTCTGGCGAATTTTCCCACCCCTTTTGCGCTTTACGGATAAAATGCAGATGAGCCACTCAATATGGTGCGGTTCAGAACGCCGATAATGTCTATGCTAGTTTATCCTCAACGCCGTCCGAGTAAACAAAGAAAATCTTAACCGGGAAACAGATGTCGGAGATTGTTATTACGTCTTTGCAATCAAACGCCACTAAATGATGACGTCGCTAAGGCAAAATAAAAAGAGAATAGATGATGGATGATTGACATCGAATAGATAAGTCCCCCGTTTTCGTAAAAGCGGATTACGCCGTCTACTCAACGCGGGGCATTTCGAAGATGGTCCGAATTCGTCTTGTTTTTACTTGCGGTTAGATTGACTTCGGCTGCGTTCCGGCGCGCGACCTCCAACAACAATCGCATCGAAATCGTAATTCTTCAGTGTATGTTCGTATTTCGCGTTGCGCAAAAACTTGGGGACGGAATCCTAAGACAAAGGTCAGTAATTGGCGAAATACAGTTGAGCTCGACTAGCTAGTACTTACACTGGCCATCAACTTGAAGACAGCATTTTGAGCATCTTCAAAGAGGGTCGTAACCTCTAGCAACGTGTCAATCATTGCTACGTCTTGTCCTACTGCTTTTGTCATGCGAGTAGCAAGATTGTTCCGCAGTTGGTGATCGATATTCAGCTCACAAGGCGAGCCTGGCGCTAAAAACGCATTGTAGATGCCGTATGCTTGAGCCATGATTTCCTTAATCCCGTCCATTGACGTTGCGCTAGGGGTCTTTGTAGCCAGTTTGATTGCTGTGCGACAAGATTTCACGAAGTCATCCACATCCAAGTAAAATGATAGATTCTCCTCGCAGTGAGTTTCCCGTAGGTTCTCCCGGAACAGGAGGCGCAAAGCAGCATCACTCAAGATTTTATCAAGACGCTGGGTGTTGGAGTCTCTGGCGATACCTGTACGCGATGATGCAAGCCCTTCGCTCTCAGATGAACGGCCTCTTCCTGAACTGCCGTTGATAATATCTCTTCCCTTGGCAGTAAGCTGGTAGATGGCGGTCTTGGTGGGTTGGAATGAAACAGCACCAGGTTGAGAAGCCATATAAACCCGATCTTGTTGTACAGACTCCATTAGATCGTATTGAACGAATAGAGTGCCCATTTCATAAGTCTCCCTGCGGTCAACCGTAGTACAACAATCCATCAACCAATCCGAGCACGCTTTCCCGGTGAACGTATCTTTGTATGTCCTCCCATTAATTTTGCGCTCACTAGCCATCTTGACACCAGTAAGGCCATCCCGGTAATCGCTTAACGAGTCCGAGTCGGCGACACCAATACTTGACTTGACGTTTAACCCATTTGTACCTATCATCCTCCTGAAGATGACTTCCATTGTTCCTCTGTCCATTACCAACTTATCAGTTTGCGTATCCCGTTCCAGGATACATAGATAGCTCATTCCAAGGGCAATAAGGTCACTAATTTGCCTTTGCTGTATACCGTTTCTCGAACAGAAACGATCCAAAACGCAAACGCCCTTTGGTGTTAGCTTCCATACGGAGCCCTTCATTGTATAAACTTGTTGCATTTTGCCGTCAGCTGATTCGATGAAACGAGCATCAAGAAACCGTTGACATATTGACCTAGCCATGTCCTTTGCCATGGAGAAGGTGGTCGTTGTAGTCGTCGTTACGATACGAGACGGATCCTTTGGATCAGGCATGCGGTTTGATTGGGAAAATTTCAACGAGCCCAAATTATTGATCGCATCTTCTGATAGGAAGGTATGCTCAATTCGAGTTAGCCGCACTCGGTGAGCAGAAAGCGGAAGCAAGCTGACGATTAGCGTTGAGAACAGGTCTTTGAAATCCTTCGAGGTTATTAGTATGTAACAATAGAAGCATGTATGTTATGGTGTAGTAGGCAATGATACAATTTTAAACCAGAATATAGAATACAAGAACGGAAGTTATTCCCTGCTAGAGGTAATAACTACGAACGTTCAGCGAGTGCAACTTACTTTGGTGAACGGACGGTCGTCGTCCGTCATGCGGAGCAGTCTCGAAGACGTTTGATGCATTTTGTTCTCTGAACCAGACAATATGATGGGTGGAGGTCGGGTTGCGTCGGTCTCAGAATACGGTTTCGAGATAGGATCCCTCAATGATAACTGACTCGCCCGCTTGGTTAGGCTAGGAGACTGGGTGTAAGAACCGGATGAGTTACCGGAGAAGCTACGGATTCTCGATTTCTCCGAATTTGAGTTCTCGCCGCTAGTAGAATCTAATACCACCGACAAACGACTCAGAGTCGAGGCAGACGAGCGGCTGCGAATGGTAGGCTCCGAAATCTTGTCAATTGCTGCGGCAGCACGAGCAAACAACCCTCCAGGCTTAGGATTTTTTGCAACGCCGAGAATAGAACCAGTCGACGCAGTAACTTGGTGGTGGCGGAAATTGTTCGATACAAAACCGTCAGTGGTAGATTCAACAGGGCCGTTCGAGTATACTTTTCTAATGGTAGCGGGGATTGGTTTTTTGTGTTCAGTTAACACCGCGGCGTCACTATTCGAATTTGAGTGGGATCGTAGCTGGCGAGGCTCGTGGTCGTGTATAGGAAGCGATGTCGTTTGAGAGTTTTGAGAAATTGCAGCCATCAACCTATATTACCATCGAGACGGGGAAAACAGACGGGGTCCTTTTACGGTTGCATAAGCGAGCCAGATAATAGCATGAGGATGATATAAGTTGCTTGGATCCAACTGAGGAGACTTTGAAATAGTGCGGAAGAGAGGAGAGGGAGAGGGAGGGAGTGGAGTTCAAGTTGAAGGCATAAAATGGAAATGATTGAGAAGCGGGACGGGGGTGGTAGTAGGAGGTAGTAGGTAGAAGGGTAGAAGTGGTAGTAGATGGAAATGGTACCTAGAAGGATACATCCAAAACTATACAGAGGTACCATGTAAAATCCATGCACATCCATGCAAATCAGCTCCAGTTCTCTAAATCAAACAAGTACCTTAGGAAGCCCCAGGTACAAGACCAGACCTACCTAACTTTGAATCTCTAGCCATTTGCCTAACGGGTGGGTGCACATGCTATAGGTACCCAGTTTAGATTAGGTGGGTAGGCGACAGCGTTACATATGCGCAAGGTGCAGGGAACTTGAGAACAGCTTGAGATCAGTGGCGAGGTTCGAGTACCCGGTACAAAAATAGATTGCACCACCATGTACCTGCTCGCAAAACCAGTCATCTACACTAGATACCTACCTCATTCTACTAGTACCTCCTACCTAAACCTTAGGTAGGTAGCGTTCTAGAGGGTCTAACATTAGCACCTAACGCTAGAGTTAACCCTTGTAAGTCGGTGGGCCATACTGTCATAGGGAGCCTGTGGTCGGCTTCTCAGGCGCTGTCGGCGTACGTACCTAGGTACACGCGACGTACTGCAATTCAGCGGTACAGCGGTATGATGGCATCAGGTCTTCCCCCCATGTCGTTTCCCAGGACTAGGTACCAGGTAAGATGTTAATAGCATGTTAGGTACATTAGGCACAACGATAGGTAGATTTTTAACCCCTGACAACATGAACAATAGAGAAAATTTCTCGGAATAGTCACACGGTCCGTGTGTCAAATTTAATAACTGCGAGCCTCTTAAAACGTGGACAATGCTTCTGGAAAATTTCCCGATCCCTTTTTAAGACGTGTATGGACGGCTAGGACGGACGGTTTACAGCATCTTCGGTTTTGGACGAGCTGCATTTGAATTTGAAACCCGAGCATGCCCGCTTTCGGATCCGGGTCTGATGAATCAACCTAGTGAAGAATTTTGGATGGAATCAATTGGTTATTTGTGGTGTGGGTATTATATTTTAGTGCATTTATTAAGTGGACTGCCACCTGCCATTCGAAGTTGGAAATCCCCGTCATTTGCGGCTTGCCATGCTCGCCATGTGCGGTGGAGGAATAAGCACGTTTGTTAGAGAGGAGCTAATATATGTGCCTATGTTGATTGGGGGAAAGGTACCTACAAGTAGGTACCACATCAGCATGCAACAGCCATTCACACGACCATTGCTTTTTTTTTCTCCTTCTTCTTCTTATGTACGTACCTAGACCTAATATTAATTAATTTGTACATGCACACTGCCAGGCCACGATTACTAGGTAGTTACACTGCCGAAGCGGCCACGAGGCACCAAACAATCTTGGTTTGAAAGTTCAGATACATGTAGTATATTCAATTTTTTTAGTACATTTCGAAGCAACAAGGGTTATGTGAATCAACGTAACATATTTAAACTTGTACCTTTGGTAACCTTCTTTTCTCTACATGCACTAACTTTTGTACTTTAGGTAACTAGTTAAAATCCAGTAATATAGTTATTAGGTACCTCTTATAATATTTCAACTATCTTTTATAGTAGAGGCTCATATATATTACTTATACTAACAGCAAGTATAATTGATTTATTTGCATATTTAATGATATATATAGTCGTCGAAAATACGGTAACATTCATCGTGTGGTGGCCAAAAGGATTACCATCTTAGTAATGATCTTACTTACAAAGTGCAAATGCGGCTGCTCAGAAAGATGTCTTTAGTTTAGTTAAGGTACAACTAGACTATTATATCAAACATGTATACTCTTGTCGATACATATCTCGAATGATACATATCTCGGAGTCTTCTGATAAACATTGTTAAATAGGCGCAAAGAATATACAGGTAAGACATATGTAGGTAGGTATAAAGCGAAACAGCATGGCCACACCACGTTACCGCGCGGGCTTCTTCCGGAAGCATATTAGGGACAGAAATAAACGATGCTTCGATCTTGTGCGGTAACACATAGAGGGTGGTATTAGATACCTACCTCATAAAGTATTATCTAAAGTATAGTCGAATTTCGGTGGAATAGTATAGGAGTTAATAAGTATGAAAAGAACACTTTAATATCTATGATATTTGGGAATAGAAGGTTTACTACCTATGATCTAGAGTACCTAATATACAGGTAAGGAAGGTAACTACGTACCTAATGCAATATCACTATGCAATATCAACATGGAGTGGCTGGAAAGTTTTCGAATAAGTAGCATACCTACCTAAGGTAGGTGTTCCTCTCTGCTTGCAAACTCATGTTCCTTCACGGTACTATGTAATAATGCCCACCGGCCTCCTGACGACAACTGCCCCAAGCCAGGTACCCCTTGCTGCCATACTACTTCGTTAATGGCTAAGGGGCCTTTCCTGTCTCCACCTCAATGTGACTTAACTCCGCTCATAGTTATGCCCAGCATGTTTTTTCTCCAGGTGGCCCGATTTGTCCAACGCATTTGGCAGACCAACAGATCTGCACGTGCTTTCAGGGATGGCTTTCACCAACCATTATTGTTCCACCCCTCACTTATTACGGTTGACTTTCTGCAGCAACACTCCTTTTCCTTTGACGATCTAGGCTTGTTCAGGGTTAGAGTGACTCGACGAGGATCGAAAAAAAACCGTAAAGCCAACCCATCCTAGCACTGTGTGCTTTAATATTGCAGGCGCAGAAACGAAGCGATGAAAGTCTGAGTGCATAATTGTTCGTGCCACCGCCACATCGTACTAACCTGCCTTATGGACGTGATCGCTGCCGCTTGTCAGCCATCAATAAACGACAAAGGGAGCTGACGAGCTCGCCACAGAAAACCATCTCCAAGTTCTCGCTACCAAATCCGAGCCGGTGGCTTTTTCAATTCTTTTCCATCCTCCTCCACGCGAATCCCGAATCCGGTGCTCACGACTGATCTGATATCGTGTCAGCCGAGGCAAGAGAGGAATTTATTAGTATTGCCCGACTATCCGCCAAGCTAATTGACGGTGTACGGTTAAGTAGGTAGGTATGTATACAACCTGGATACAACATGTAGTGTATACAACCCAGATCCAAAGGTCTCCACCCAACCTACATTATCACCCTGATACCGATGACACCAGGATAATTAAGACGTCCTATTAGCGACCTGTAATAATTCACACAGGCTACTATCGATGCGCGATACTGCATAGCACGTTGAGGAATCAAACTAGGACCAATAGGCTCTAGTTCCACGTGTAATCGCCATGTGGTTCATTGACTCTGAATGCCAAAACGGAACTGTGCCACCTGCTAATTTGTCCCTTCTCATTGCACGGCTACGGCAGTCCGCGTTGCATATCCAGACATGAGCATGAGGCTACACAAGGTCGAGTTCGGACTGCATACAGTAATGTTAGCAAGTTGATGACTTTGAAGCATATAGCTAATGTATGCAACCCAATCTACCGACCCATTAGATATTTGCAGTAAGTAGGTCCTTCTTAATCTCAAATTCTCTTTCATTCGATGCAGATTTAATAAGCATCCGAGCATCAAAAATTTTCAACTTGATGTATAACGATAGACTTATGACACTTACCATTTAAGTGCCATACTATATCCAGCATGTCTCTAGCAAAAGATAGGTTCCCTTTTTCGATGCTAGGCTCTCCATGTTTGACTATTCCCGGTCTATATCCGACTTATGCGCGTATGTAGATAGGGTCTTGGCGAAAAGTTCTCGTAAGGCTTACTAGGTATAGGAAGATTTTCAAGAAGAACGAAGGATCCGTACGGTGGTTGGGAATGACATGTAATTCTTCAATTATACCACTTACCTAAGCTCCTCCACCAAACTTAAAACAATCCATCTATTAACTAGCTATTTTAAGCCGCGCTCACGATATCATGACACTGTATAAACATAGTAAGTTTCAGTGTTGTAACTTGTTCGTATGTCAAGCAACAAATACACCGTAAAACTTATAATACGGCACTCGAAAAATGTTACCAAACTTACTTACAATATATTCACTAGCTTTCTCTTAGAGTAGCCAGAAGCAATACAACTAGAGAACGGAGCTAAAAAAAAAAAAAAAAAAAAATCAGCTTCGGCAATGGCAGTAACTATGGTATATGGACACAACGTAGTTAGATGGTTTCCACGGCCTCGGGGTCTAGGGGCGGTAGATAGATTTCAACATCCTATTCTACATAACATAGGAACGAAATTATGCGTTTAGGTAACCTTGCGGTTTCAGTTCCTATCAATGCTTCAGCCTCTCCTTTTCTCTTTCTTTGTCTCTCTAGCCTGTACGGTTTACACTGTAATGCTAGTTGTAACCGGTCATGCGGACTTGCCGTCATACGCAATTTCACCCAAGGTTTGGTGGGAATCCTGGATCCTCCGGGTTCGTGTGGACTTTCTCCACTGCTTCTAGCGTTTCTAGAAGGGAATCGTAGAATAGCGTCTATCCCTGAAAATCATTACCTACGGGTAGGCCGCGTTCGAATGTAGAGGATCGATGGCTCGATGGATCGTCATGTAATCCTATTCCTTAACATTTGGCATTGCGGTTCCAGAGAGTCGGTCCCAGGGAAAAATAAATTTAGAAATCAAGCCGGAACATGTTTGTAACGTGACGACGGGGCAGATAAGATTAGCATGCATTGGAGTATATTCTAGAAGAATAGGTACAACAAGTTCCTCAGACGCGTATCGAATCCATCGCTCCTTTACTACCTATATGGCCTCCATGATGATACGTATTGATATATACTGCACCTCACATACAAGTGTCTGCTCATAATAATCTACGAATATATGCATCGTAGCTTACACACGCGCCCTAGAGCAATATTTACAATTCCATATAGGGTATCTCATAAGAAGCTAAAGCAGAGAGCTCATGTTTATGCTGTCCAACTCTTTCCGAATGGTGCTGTTGATCAGAGACTTCTGAAAGTAAGGTGCCAAAGCGCGTTAATTGCTAACGGCTGAAAATAACTTAGGAGGTAGTTAATGTATATACTATGTAGAATGTAAAGGAGGTTCCCTATATATAGGTATTTAAATCATTGTTTGAGTATATAGTAAAGTGCCAGGTTATGTAACCTAAC